CGCCGGTCGGTGGTTACGCATATAATCAACAAAGCGTCGTCTGCTGGGGCCGGGCAGCAGCGGCAGCGGCGACGACAGCGGTACACACAGTACACAGCACCGGTGCACGGTGCCCTGCCTGGTCGGTGCGGGTGTTTTATTACAGTGCACTCGATACTATCATGGGAGCTAATCGGATCGGCGATCGAGAGAACATGATCATTGGGATGATGATGAAATTTCATGGAGGTGCATTCAACGTGAGTGCTCGTGCCCGTCTCTATCCCCGGCGTTAAGGGCATTAATGTGTAGGGCGTTAACATTAAGATACTACACACATTGTGTTGTCCCCGTTGCACACCGGTGTAATATTGCACAGTTGTAGGGCGGTGATGTGCAGCGATTCCTGTCTGACTACACAGGAAAGACTGAGGCATGCAGCAGCGCGTGTGTACTGTGTGGAGCGCGGAGGAGAGATCTATCCCGCTGGATGATTAGCGCGCCGGCCGCTTCAGCTCACTGCGGCCGGCTCGTAATGGTTAGGGCCATTCAAGATCCGGATGCGGATAAAGAGCGCCTGGGCTTATATGGTGGGAATACAAGGGCCGGGACTGAGTTACCTATTTTCCTAATCTGGACTACTTGTCAGGCAGGGCACAGTAGGGAAGCCAGTAGGAATGTACCGGTCGGTGTTGTGTGTGTTTCAGTGCTAGTGTGTATGTGTGTATGTGCGCCAATCGATACAATTATTACGAACAGGTGCAAAATAGCGGTGTTTGCAGCGGTCAATAAACGTCAATATATGAGCCATTACATGGATACAACACTCGGAAGAGTACACCATCCATATATATGCAGAAATACATAACTGGAGCTGACTGTTCGGGCCGTTGGCGTGAAACCCGGCTGCATGCACTGGGAATATGTATGAAAATCACACTCCTACTAGCTAAAGCGAACAGTGGATTGCAGCACTAGATCCGCATCTTGAGTCATAATCTGTAATTATGCCCGAAATTCATATAGTAACAGAGTGCAACTTTTATTTAATTATAACAATCTCTATAATAACAGCACAGTAACTCATACAGCTTCATTTAATTTTAATAGCCGGTAAAAGGCCTTGTTAGCATTTGCGCTTGCACCGGCCACAACGCAAACCTTCATTAGAACTAAACTAATTTAATAATGCCGATCTGTGTAAAAATTAACGCTTAAATAGTGGCACCGCGTGCAATGAAACCTGTAGTGCTCGCGGCTAGTTTATCTGTGACATATGTTTATGTTTATCTGTTTATGTGTTTATCTCTGACCTCGCTATTTATCTCTGACAGTCTCTCATCGTGCTCACAAAACCTTTTACAGGAGAAACAATGTACTCGTATTTACTGAGTCCCCGTAGATTTTAGTTGCACAGTGTGATGCAGAAAATATGATATAATTGAAAATATGATTTAATTGAGACTTTTACTATTAACGCTGGTTACAGTTGTGCCAAAAGTACCGGACTTATAAATTACCGGACCGTACCGGACTTATAAATTACCGTTGTGCCAAAAGTACCGGACTTTTACTATTAACGCTGGTTACAGTTGTGCCAAAAGTACCGGACTTATAAATTACCGGACCGTACCGGACTTATAAATTACCGTTGTGCCAAAAGTACCGGACTTTTACTATTAACGCTGGTTACAGTTGTGCCAAAAGTACCGGACTTATAAATTTTGCGTGCTCTATAAATCGTAAATCGTCGTCAGCTGATAAGGGGCCGGTCATCGGCTCCCGTCTCAGAAGCATTTGGTGTATGAAGCGTATTTGTCCCTGGTTAGTGATGATCAGGGGTCAAGTCAGACTTTAGGCGAACACCCCGAAAAACATCATGGCCAAAAAAATGCGGCATGCGTTAGGAGCTACGGAGAGTGTATAGTGATTTGAACAGAAGTAGATCCCGGAACAGTATTTTATCCGTTTATCGTCAACGTTTCGTTTACTTTGTATATATTTAACATACATTCGTCTGGCAAAAGCAAAATAAACCAGCAGTACAATCAGTTTTGTCACTAAATTATGGCGGATCTAAAATATATTCATAATCTGTCACTAGAAGAGAGAAACAACACTCAAAATGTAAATGGTAAGAAAGTAGTCAGAATTAAAGCAACAATCGTGGGAAACAAAAGTTTTTGTTATAATGTGGGTGAAACAAGACGGGCCAGAGTCACTCTACAATAGTGCAGTCAGTAGACTGCATTAATTGTAGAGCGGCACTGGACGGACAAACTGTTGACATACAAATATTGTAACGCGGTAAGACAGGAGGACACCACAATCAGAAGAATGGTTGTGCGCCGGATACATCCTGCCAAAACGATGCAGCAAAGAAGGCCCTGCTGTCATGTCTCCATTAAGAAAATATAAAATAACGGAAGAAACTCAAACCCGGTCTCGCCGACTCTGGAGCCGTTGTCGTTGTACATAATAATTCATAGTGCTATACATAGTGCTGTACATACCCAGCACGACATATAAAGCGATACCACCTATCTGAAATATGTTAGTAATTAATAATACAAAATAAAACTATGTGCTCCTACCTGATGCATTCAATTCAAATAAAATTATTGCGAGCAAGTTGCGGTACGACACTAACGTTAAGCAGTTATGTGCAAGGCGGCTTCGATTAGGTATTTAGCAAACAGTGGAAGGTCACTCAAATGGCTAGCTAATATACGGTATGTGGTTATGTGTCTTAGTTTTAATTTTCGAATGTAATATAAATTTTAGAGTAGTATCCGGTTGTAGCCATGTGTTTTAAAATCGTAATAAATGAAGTTTACTTGTAATACATTATTTGTATTCAATTTGAGAATGGATTTCATTTTTAACCAAACATAGTTCGAATAGTTGTTATAATCTGCAATATATAGCCAAGGCGACCAATTCGTTCACAACCTTTTGCTCGGTTTGGTATCTACGTATACAAATAGTAAAACACTATTCACTTGATAGTATTTATATTTATTTATATATATATATATATATATATATATGCGTTTTCTCTTATCGGCATATATATATATATATATATATATATATATATATATATATATATATATATATATATATATATATATATATATATATATATATATATATATATAGTTAAACAGCAGAATGAGACTTCCAGTAAATGAATCTAAATGTTCGAAACAGATTTTTGTATTTTACCGGTAGATGCCTGCTTTATGCAGTTGAGCACCGCGCAAAATAACACGTGAGAGCTCCCAAGAAGTTCTTCATCAGCTTGCGACCTTAAAACAAAATTCAAAAATGAACAGCTGCGATGGAAATGTAGTCAAATTTGAAACAAATCTCCATCTCTATGTAGCACGAACATAGTAGCATAGTACAGTGCACAACGTGGAAGGAGGATCTGCAAAAAGATGCGCGGTACTGGTACACGCGGCTGGAACGTATGGTGTACCGAGGTAAAGGCATTCAATGCAACAGGTTGCTAACCGCGAGCGGAATTAATTAATAATAACAAATGCAATAATAAAGTAAATACACTACTGCGTATTGTATTTACTCGTACCGTTGAAAATCGTATATAAATAAATATATATAAAAGCGTTGTAATGGTGCGTCTCTGTTCCTCACAGTTCAAGGCGAATACGGCTGCTTACCACACTGCCGCTTTGTTCTCATCAACTTGCACACATTGTGCTCAAAGCATGGAGTCCATAAAAGAAGGATAAAAAACTGCTACCCGGTAACGTTTTGATGTTCATCATAAGTTCTGGCATACTGTATGTGTTATTATTGTCTTTATGCTTAACTGGTATGTACTGGTGTCGCTTGTTATAATTATATGCGGTTTTCGTGGATTATCGTTGGGTTTAAGTCCGTGCTCCTGGTCGACTTGAGTTCCGGTTTGCAAATGCAGAATTTATTCTGCAACCTGGGACCTTGACTACAGAAGGATTGGATTTGGTGAACTTACGAATCAAGGCCGTGCAGCTTACCGGTTAATAGCAGTTCTGTTATGTCGGAAACCCGCCGGGCCGCCGTGGACTGCAGTCTTCATCGCGCTTTGGATCACCTTTCGTTCTCCCCCGAAGCCCCCCGGAGGGTACTGAGTAGTCGTTAAAAATACTGATAAAAATGAATAAAAATACGTCGATGTGCATGTGGAGGGAGCATTTTTCAAAGAGGCGTATGTATAACAGGTTTGTCATAGTACGGTAATTTTAGAAACAATAATCATACTTATAAAGTCGTAGTTGTGGCTGTGTTAATTTTGTTCGTGCCGAACAAAAGGGCATCCAGCGAATATTAGAGGTATACTCGTACTACCTTTATCCTGAACCGACAGCAAGAAGTATGTTTTATAGTTTATTCTCCTGCTTTCGTTTTGCTTATTTTGTTAATGGTAATCGCCCGGGTATACAAAGGGACTTGTGACCATTTAAGTTGAACATGCTCTATATATTCCTCGTATAATATCAGGTTTGATGAGGCGAGTTTTCAAATTCTGCTTTGCACTGCCATTGCAGATCGTTACTGTAGGAAACACCAATAATCGCAACCACAGCAGCATACATATGAGCCTGAACTGCATTTGCAATTCTCTGCATTGCAAAATTATGACCAAAATGGAAGCACAGACGTCATAACGACGAAACCTTTGAGAAGATGATCGTTATCAAAAGCGTTGCTCCATAATTACTGTCACTTCCAGCGCACTGTTTTCTTTTTCTGACGTTACTAAGGACCTGATGCGAACTGTGGTAAACGTCCGCTTAGTTCCGTTTACAGCTGGGTGGGTGCCGGTGGGAAGATTTCCATCAAGGATATGTTTTTGTTAATTTCGCTAACCTTTGTTTAGCTGCTGCTGCATTTAGATGCAAGAAAAAGTCATCTGATGTATCGCGAACAATTTCCAGCCCTGTAATTTTGTCACATTTACGAAGTCTGAATCAATACAACGCGAACCGGTAATACTAGTTAACAGTACGACCTAAGGCGCTGTGACAAGTGCACAGAAGTCCGCGGGTAAAACCCGTGAGCCTCCCAAAGACAAGTGACGAGTTCCTGCCGTGATTTCAGAGATGTGACAGGATACGTGTAGGCCAATGTGTGAAGTCGCCAGAGGTATTTTAGAAACGGAGTACCGGTATATGAAAGGTCTACACGAACACCAGCTGGAGAAACGCGACACTTGTATAGATTTCATTCCGTCACCGGAAGCAGTAGTTAGTCTCACGAGTCCGAGTTGCAGTCATATTGTTTTTTAAGGATTTCACTTGGTCGGCTATGTATATATTTACAGCACCGGTTTACCACATTACGGCCACAGTGACGTTTTCTGTTGCACAGGGATCTTCGTAACTTCGGTATTAATATTCTCTGCTGTTCACATGCAGTTTGTATTTGACTTAATTCCCATTTGTTCGGCGAACACTATGTCCGAGCGCAGATTACGGCCGAATGGACACTATGGTGCAGCTTCGCAGTCAGGGCCATCGAGATTGACAACCAAGAACAACGGGTACCGGATCAATTCCATCGAACGTAAGTTTCCGTTATGTCTGGATCTGGTTCGAATAAAGCTGTATTATTAGTAACACGCAAGGTATTCCTTTCCACGAATGGTTCACTCTAGAGTGAACCATTCGAGAGAGAGAGAGAGAGATCTCTTAAGAGAGACCATAAGAGATCTCTTATCAAGCTGTATCAAAAGCTGATCTCAGGACTAATGCATGTTTGTACGTAAAACCACTAATTTCCTCCTGAAATGCTAAAGGTATTCCAGTGGTACGATACTCATACTTACCCTGTAGCATGAATTCAGACACCTACTGTATTTAATTTTAAATTACGTTCTATGTACTGTAATCCAAATTCGATAACAACAGTGTCTACGACTGGACGGTACTTATGGAGTATATAGGAATTCCTTGTAAAATCCAGTGCCGCTTTTTTTTTCTAAACAATAAAACCTTTAATAAGTATCATGGTACGAGTACAAACTATGCACCAGAGCAAAACGGCATTTACAAAAGAAACAATTCCTCTATGCTATCCTGATCGGGGATCGTACCCATTACACAAATCGCGTTTCCCCGTTGTATTCGCATAGATATTCGCTGTTTAAAAAACTCTTTCGCCCGCTTTTGGCCAGTTGAAGTCGCTATACCGTTTCCAACCGTTTCCACTAGCTTTTTAGTACCGTCTCCATAAGGTCCGTAAATTTCGATGGCTGCAGCAACGAAATCGTATCTTGCTTGCATCCAAGCGTGTTTCGCTAGTTTCTTCCTTTCGGCGAGTTCGGCTGCTGCGCCGGCGTTCACGGAAGTGCGGTCGATATACGAGGCCGCCAGCGTGTCCACGCAGGTAACGTCTATGGCCAGCGGTTTTCCGCGCGCCCACGGTATTAGTGTGATCACGTCCGGCCTTTTCTTATCCTTCACATACAGACCTTTTGGTTCCATTCTAGAAGGAAAACCGGCTGACTTCAAGCCTCGAGTAAATTCCGCGCTGATTCCGTCATGTCGTGGTAGTCTTCCGGCAGACCGCTTACAGCGAAGTCCATGCCGGCCTAACTCGTCGACCAACCCACCACAAACGCACACGTGCGGAGTAACGATCGGTGCTCCCAGACGCAGCGCAACGCTAATGCGAAAAGCGTTGTCATCCAATAGGTTACCGAGGCAAGTTGCCGGTAATGCATGGATCCACACGCCTGATTCCGGGACTGATACCGCCTTCAAATGTGCCACTTCCTCCTGCGATGTTCGTAGTGCGGTCAGTCGTGAAAATGTATGCAGAGTGTTAGGAGTATCCCATGCTTTCTGGACGTGTCGGAAAGTTTCCGCGGGAAGTTCCTCGGCGTTGGCGTCTAACTTCCACGCGCGAGTGGCGGTGGTAACATCAGTTGCCGTTAGTGTCGGGCACAATCTGGAAATCAGTGGGCGCAATGAAGAAGCCGATGCCAAGTAAGCAGAAGGATCTAGCTTCTCAGTGCGTCTGATCCCCAGACCACCGAAACGAACGGGAAGGGAAGGCACTATACCACATGCGGAACTTTTACGTACTATACCACATGCGGAAGTTTGAGGGGTTATTTTGTCCTCCTACAAGTAGCAGCACCATCCGGTTAGCGTAAGACCTATAATATGAGTGAAATCTGATGTTGCAGCAAGAAACCACCGAAGAAACCACCGAAGTTTGTACGAAGTCAGAAAAGTGTACTGGCAGTAAGCTGCCGAAGACAAACTGGAGTGGTATATCTCGAGTATATGTAATCCAGAATACAATTTTGGTTTGTCGCTCACACACTTCGTTAAATTTAAGAAGATTTTTAACGTTATTTGTGTACGTACGCTATGGTAAAATATCTTACTATTTGACCCGCGTTAACGAAACTGTCAGTTTCCCTGTTACTCTCTTCCCTCCCGATTGCGAACACCGACCATGGTTCAAGAAAGGGCTGTAAAACTTTTGGGTTCAGCGCCGTCGCCTAAAATTAGTAACACTGGAAAAATTGTGTAGTGAAGAATACGTACAATAATTATGCTCGTAGCAATAAGCTTTTCTGTTTTTAAGCTGCAGTATATGCAGTATTATTATACAAATAGGATATCCGCTCTTTTTTGTTACTGATACTGGCCAGCTTGTCGTTACCAGATTATGTATAAGTACGCTATACTATATAAGCAGAAACTTTCGTATTTGAGGCAACATACTATTGTTAAACAGTGTAAAACATGTTGTTTGACATGGCGGTACTTATATTTTAATTATATTTTATAGTATTTTACCGCAGGCATTTGTTTATTAATTTTTTATGTCAATTGGAAAGGTTTTTTTAACGGTAACGCATGTAAAAAATAATTATTATTTTTTGTTTATCCCACTGCTCGATGTGTGGCGACGGCCTTGGTCATTGCCCACTACACCCGTGCGTGTTTTGGGAAGGCTGCTCCAATTCTTAAACATTTAAATCAGCACTTTCGTTGTCGTCGGTAGAAATACGGGGCGCATATATGTTTAGCGCTGTACTGCGTAGAACTCTTTTTTGGTTTAAGTTATTATTATTTTAGTCAGCAAACTGCAAACAGCGAATCTTTCAGCGGGTTTCGCACTGACAAACGTGCACAGTAAACTTTCCGTTACGAAGAGGCTTGTGGAGTTCGGCAGTGTTCAGATCAATTGCTTTATATATGTCACGTGTAGCACATACATAGACTACCCGCTACGCATAGGGTTGCAATTTGAATACAGTATTATTGCAACTGCCGTGCCGTGTAAATACGTTGCGGTGTGGTTACTGCAAGACTAGCAATCTTCGCGTACACACTCACGAGGCTAGATTGCTTATGAAGTCCTGGGGTACAAGCGGAAGCCCTATAACTTGGAACTTGCAGGAACCAACAGATTCATTATTATCATGGCTACTGAAAACCTCGTTCATGATGTTTCTGTTTTTGTGAGGGAATAATGTTTTAATAATTTATTGCTTCGAACAATATACTCTGCGCACTGTTTCCGATCATTACTCTATTCGGGCACAACTGGATATTTATACGCGTTACACATAATACATTTGCCAAATTAGTATACGTTTTGTATGTGTTCGTGCTGCCACAATGCCACATACACGTATATGTGCTACCCTAGTTATCAACTGATTGTGGTAAAACACTGCGCCAGTATCCTTTTCTTGTTATCCCCCCGTTGGTTGACAGCTTAAATGAGAAATTTATTCCCTTTCCTTCGTGTTGGTCCCTTAGCGCAGCTGCGTTCCTTGATCCACGCCATGTACAAACCGAGTTAACTGCGCCTATAACGCGCCTGGAACACAGGCACAATAACCGTGCATATATTCTGCTGCGTTGTTTTCTGCTGGATTAAAGAACAGTGCCTATTGAATTGCCATATTACACTGTTTGACATATGGTGACATTATTCCATTGGATTGCCTCTAATGGTTGACACCATCATGCCAGCAAATTAACTGACTTCCTGTATACCTGGAAATCTTTGTTTTTACACTAAAGAAACACACCACCGCATCTCCAACCATCCCAAAAATGTCTAACAATCCTCGGAAATTTTCAGAGAAAATTCAGATACAGCTGCAAAAGCAGGAGGAGGAAACCAGGCGATTCAACGAAATGATGCAGGAAGCACAACTCGTCAAGGTATGTGTATTGCGAATTTGATTGGCGATGGACGTTATCTTGTAAGTTTTAAGTGTAAGTACTTGCTGGATATTAATTAGCTACTCATCATTATAGCACGTTTTTCGTATAATTTGAGCGGAATATCTAAATCAGGCTCTGAACTCCTCGTACTTTAAATGGCAGACTTATAGTGTGAAGTGATGATCATTCCGTCCAGTTTATTCTTATGGGAGTAAATCACTAACGTGAACAAGCGCCAGATCAGAGATTTTTAGGATTCAAGCTTGTACTTTTCACAACATAACTTCCATTGTATAATTACTAAAAGTAATTCTAGTGAATTAAAATTAGCGTACGATTATTCGGATCTCATAGTACGAGTAGCTCTTAAGTGTTTCGCCTATGTACCGGTAAGTGCACTGGTCACATTTTGATGTGTTATATATACTGAGCAATTGTTTGGCAGTTCCTTAACATTACACGGTAGGTACAGGTTAAATGCGCGAGTCGAAATTTAGTTTATAATTTAAAATCGGTCTTATTTTAGCTAGTATTTGTTTGTTATGATTTCTTAGTAATATTTGAAGAAAATGTTACTATATGAAAACGATGTTACTATATGTTACTATATGTTGACTATATGTTACTGTATGTTACTGTTATATGAAAAATGTTGTTATATGAATAATAAAAGTTTGATTAGTTTTCCGGCTGATTTTGGTTTCTGCCGATTGTTACCCAATTGCGGTTTTCTATATAATTAGCCTGACTGCTGGTAAATATTTTGTGATAAAGTGTAACCCAATTTCGACCAAAGTTTAGTGGGTTTTGTTTTCTTTTCTTTTCACTTTCTGCGTTCGGTCGTCAGTGAAAAAGATAGTGCTTATGTTAATCAGCTAAGTTGCTAACGTGGGTGTTATTTCGTGCGTCGTTTTACGGTAGATTTGTAGTGTGTATGTATCGGTCATTATATTTTGGGACAACCAAGCGCGCCTATCTACCACAACTTCGATAAAAGAGATACGTTTTCTGCCTCGTTTATCATAACTAATCGTAAACACATACGTACGTACGCTTCGAGGTGCTGTGGTATGCCAAACGATTTCCTGTTGGAACTACGTATACATAATTACAAACACAGTGATCGTGCATAAAATTGCAGATGAAATGTATATTTTATATAGTATACGATTATGTGTTCTCTACTACATTAAATTACCACAAATAAGACAAAGTGAAACGTAATAAGAACTGTAAGAAAAAACGGTTTTCAAAAATGCTTCGCTTGTCGTTTGATCATGTCCTAAACTTAGTGTAACTTTGACTGTGATTTGCTGATTGCTAACTCGTACTAGCTAATTTGTTTGATAAAATTGTCATATTAATTAAGCAAGTGCTGGATGTGTTCAGTGACAACAAGAAATACTGTGAACATAAAGCTTTCGTGCTGCTCCGAATTCTCATGCTGTCAATAATGTCGCGCGCGCTTTTCGCAGTTAATATGCGCCATTTTTCTTCTTTTGTGCGAAGCTTGCTTAGTTATTATAAAACATTTTAGAAATTATTTTTAAAGACGATCAAAAATCATTTATAAGAGAATCAGGAGAAAAGAGAACTATATTTTAGAGTTAGAATTCGTTAACTCCGGCTAGGTAGCATTACATATCTTTACACTGGGATCTTCTGAAGAAGAAAACTTTTGCTTGTGCATCTGCATACGATCAAGCGAATATTTGATGAAGCACATGTTGGCGTTTTTCATCGCGGTAAGCCTGCTCAGACGGAAGCAACGTGACAGAGCGTTTATCAATCACTTTATGTGATGTTTGTATATTCCCATTCATCCCAAGAATTGGCTGTGCAGTTCGTGCATGGCACCGGAATAAGCGGTGTCGGGTTCTTGCATTCATTCGCACAATCACAGTCTAATTGAGAAGATGCTGGTGGTAGAATGTGACCGTTATTTATTTGTTAGCTGTTGCGCTAATATGTGGGCGATAGAGTAGAATTCATCTGTCGGAAAAAATAAATGTATTTTGTATTGTCGGATACTTAAATGCAAAGGTGCCATCAACATCTTATGTTTGATAGTTTACCGTAAATCTTCTTTGATTATGTATTATATTTATTACGGAAATTTTACGAAGATGTAAAGTACTTTTATTATTACCATACGGCGTACAAATTAACTTCTGTGTTAGTGTTACCAGCAATTAAAACACAGTACTCTGTACAGGAAGAAAATTTCACCCGTTCACCACAGATGCACTCGTATTATTGATATATAGTATATACATAATTTAACCTTTGGCTGGCTTGCTTCTTGTTATTGTCAGCTTGGTTGCTTGTGTATAAAAATAGTGAAAAGCATTACGTTGCAAAATAATGCAATTCTAGAATGTTAACACCACTTTTGCGATATTAATTATTGTTTTGTTGCGGATACAACATCCCGCTTTTGACGTATGAGCATGAGACGTATTTTGCTGGAAGCCAATTTCTTTTACGAATGATGCTTAGAAGTAAGGCGATAATTATTACTCGTTTCCGGCTGTAATCATTTAATGGAATGACCGTTTCGTTAAGAGGGCTAAATCACATGGTGTGGTGTTTACGTGGTTGGTTTGAGCATTTGCATAATTGCCTTAACGAAGGGGTCGGGATCGCGTACACGGTACAGGTAGGTTGGGTGACCGAGAAAGCACCACATTAACAATTGCACGAACGCTAATCAGAAATTCAAAATCCACATGTTCCACAACCAGGCAACAGGCTGCACATGTGCCGGTGCGATCCGGGACTGGGAATCTCCAGTCTCCACTCTCCAGAATACCCGCACAGTACTACGTAGTACTAGTATGTACATGTTGTTCACTGTGTTGTTCTGTAATATACTCGGGGTGCTGATCTCAAAGCCAAAGTAAGCCTGTACCCTATTGCTCGTTATCGATTGATCCGGCCGGCATTCCTGCTTGTAAAAACCTGTAGATACAGAGTATTTATGTAACAATATTGCAATTGGCCATCCTTGGCTATTGAAATAGCCGCGTGCACCAGTTTGTTCATGGGAATTTCGAACGTGCACACACGAAGCAGAAAGAAACTGGCATTCCCTCAGGTGTTAGGAACATCCGGTATACCATATTCGCTCTGTTTTATTTAAACCCGGAGCCATATTACTTAGATCACCTATGCCGTATGCGTGCATCTCGGCTCGTGCCATCCTTCGGCTTGGCAGATCTTTGAACATCGCATTACTAAATAATATTGCATCGTTTTGTAATTGTCTTAGCGCTAAAAATATGATTAAAAGAAAATCCCGAAAACAAAACTGTAATATTTAGGTCGCTCTACACTTCACTCGCGCACTATGAAACTAAATTTATTTAGTAACTGTTTTATGGATTTAGATAACAAACTTAATTTATGTAACAAACTTAAGGCAAAGTCGGAAAAAGTCACATCGAGTGCTTTCATCAATGTCGAGAGACCGAGAATGCAGTAACACTACAACAGCTAAAAGCTGTGTTAAGAGGAGTTGTTGTTTACGTAGTTTCGTTATGTTACTAAAGATTCGGCAAAATTTTAAAGCAACATCTGTGATTTAACGATGTAAACCGTAACGTGCAACCGACATTTGATCGAATTGTAAGGAAGTGTATGGATTGAACATATGCGTATACGGGGATTGCTGCAAAAGAATGCCTCCTGTACCAGCAGTATCTGATTTTTTTGGGAATATTATACAGGTGTTATACACTGGCGGTCAAACGGCGCCACCGATGCATCCTCATTTGCATCACCATCCTGCCAGTCATGCACAGCAGCATCCGATCGGTCACACGAGTCGCGGCACACAGCATCTGGTCCCATCCTATCCCAGTTATCGCGGGGGATCGCTGCCGAACGTAAACCAAATGGCTAATGCCGGTATTGATCTCCAGGTAGGCATTGGCAAAAACATTCTGCATGTTTTGGCCAGGTAGAAGTGAATTAAGGACTGATGCATATATAATCACGCTATATATTTCTCTGAATATCTGCTTGCTATTGGCGATGCCTTTGTCATCAAGTTTTGTCACGCTTTTAGAAAATGTTCCTGTTTCGATTTACTGCTTAACTATGAGCGATGTTTTTATGAAAAGATATATGTATGAAGTACCCTTAATAAATGTATTTACGTAATTGCGAGATCAGTACGAAAGTGATCTCATTACTTAACAGAATGCCCTGGAAAGCTTGGAAATGCTGCGAACCGAGCGCGACCTTTCTCCGCGCGGAGTGCGCCATCCTAGTCCGACACCTCCGTCAGGTCATGTCCGCCGGCATTTCTCACCAACGAAGCGGCCTACGGATTACGATGCCAATCGGATGCCGCACTCTTATCTGCTGCCGCCTGATCAGAACAGTCATTTAACAAAACGCGCCATCTCCGATCCCTTACTGCACCAGTCGGCCAATCCGCACATGGACAGCTTGGCCAGTCAGCAGGCCGCGCAACACCCATCCGCACTTGGTCCTAATCGACGTTCGCCGGTGCCTGACAAATCCTCAGACTCTCATAACTACTTGTGGAATGATCCGTCTAAGGTTGGTCTTTTTATAATGATGCCAACCATTTCAACAATTTTTTCTTCTTTCACTTAGCAAAAACTTAATTAAACGAGCGGTGCCTCCTATAAAAATTCCTCATTGAACGCCCTTAAATCGTTGTAGGGTATGTACCGACCAAAGCCATGCGACATTCCTGGAACGAGGTTCGTTTATTGTGTGTCCCATATATATTTATCAGCTTACGCTTGGCAGAACCCTTTGAAATTGCATTGGAACTATTTTTTCAGTTCGTTTTCCGAGCGTGATGCTCATATCGCGCAACAGCAGCAGCAACAACAGCAACACTTGTTGTCGCCCACAAGTATTCAACCTTCCGCATCGACCAATCAGAGTTCAGGTTCTTTACCAGATCTAACGAATCCATCAATGAACTTTCCTACCCTTGTATCTCCACTTGATCCAGAAGATACACAAACGGCACAGGTGAATGAAGCTTTTGTTGAAGCGAGTTGATAATACATTTTGTAGGAAACGTAAAACTGACAAATTTTATGGCACAGCTTTCGTTACTTAATTACGTACATTTAAGTAAAAATCTGGGCTTGGTTGATTCGCTGCAAGTCAGCTAGCTAGGTTTGATGCTGAGATAATGCGTTACACTGCTCATTACATTGTCGACTATTTTTCATTATATACTTAAATATCAGGTAGTATCAGTGCTAGTATTTTATGGCTACCTTAAATTTTTATACCTACCTACCTTGAATTTCAGAACTTCGAACAAGTTTGTATATGTTTTGATTTATTGTTATTACAGATGTATTCTATGAATAATGCTAGTCCCCAGATGCAAATGTCAAATCAAGTGCGAACTCCGAACAGTCACTCGTCATCTACTAGTCCGACCAACATGCGGCGAATGCGTGGCCCGGACACCAATGGTCCAAGCGGTGGACCGAGGAAATCTCCGCATTCCTCCCCTACCCTTCCCTACAATCCAATGAATCCCTATCAGCCGGTGCATAATGTAAATTACACTTTAACTGTAGTTATATCATTAATCAGCAGTTTGTCTCGTTGTCAGTACATAGTACATACAGCGATCAGTTATAAAATTAGCTTTTTTTTAGTCGTTTGTATCCTACCGGTCGAATTCGAGCAGTCCTGGTGTCCAATCCGATCATCTTGTTATGATGCATGCAGGTGGATCCAATCCCGCATCACCAGCAAATTCTGGTGGAATGCAATACGCGCAAGATCCACATTACATAGACATGCACCAAAAAATGCAGCAAATAACAATGGTAAGCTCTTGCTGCTGCATTGTATGAGTTTACTTAATAATCTGACATAAAAATCTTGCTCTATATTTGCCTACTAGATTGGAATAACCCCAAAAATTTGTATTGAAAAAAACGAACACTTTCTCGCTGCTAAAGTATTTTAGTGTCGATCGAGGTAGCAGTACTTATAAAGCGGCATTGTGGTAACCTTCTAAAATAATATGTGCAAAAAATACTGTGCCAATGGCAGTGCAGGAAGATGATAATAATTATTGTGGATACGACCTGTTAGCTGAGGGTTCTGTTATCCCCAGTTGAGTTTGGTTGGAATATGTTACCGATGTGATTTTAGGAAATTAATTCTGGTTTGGGGTATAAGACGGCGCAACAACACATTTGTTGGAGCTTAATTTATTATTTGTATAATTTCTTCGTTGCAGGATCAGCACAGCATGCCGGATCAATTCAACATTTTCAATCAGTTTATGAACCATGAATTCATGCACAGAAATCAAAACAACGACCCAACGCAGATCCCGGACATAATATTTACTCCCGCACTTGGTACGCAATTATCCTATTTATACTAACGTTACTACCATGCCCTTTTAAAGTATGCTAATAATGGTAAAGTGTCAACGTCGTCGTTAATGCTAATGGACAGTATAAATGCGGTGTATACTTTGTGTACTAATTGCTGTTGTTTGCTGTTGTGCATTAGCGTATTTTTGTATGGTATAGCTGACTTGATTTGTTGTGTGTTATCGTACTTATAAGATCAACTAACGTTGAACTTTAATTTCTCGCAGGTATGGACGATGGAAGTCAGCGCGTTGATTGTTCCTCAGGCATTTCTCCGCACACCAGCGTTGCTTCCGTGGTCAACTCGCATCCCTACCATCATATGGCGTCAGCTGGAAACGTGAACGACCACAACTTCTCAGCGCAGACATTTAGTCAAGAATCTGTTGATCTCTTGGATATGTTTAAACTGGACCAGGACGCACTAAGTATGCTGCACGATGACACTCTGGGTCACGTGGTGGATCCCGAAACAGAAGAGCAGTTCCGCCTGGACAGTAATATTCACTGAAACTGCGATGTGCGTGTGGTGCAGAGCTGGCGTCACGAAAACAGCATCGATAAATATGGTTATAAAAATTCTTGAGCCTCATGAACGACGAAATACAGAACTGAAGTGCACGTGCCAAAGTTTCTTTGCAGAAAACCGATCCATCTCTTAATTGGTGTATGCGTGTAAATTAGGTATGCCGACGAGCGGATATGGTAGTGGAATTAATGTTTTATAGTATTTTATGGTCCTTTGGACCGCAATTCGGTGTCTGTTGTTGTACAGTGTAATTCTGGTTTTTATATCGTCTTGTTGTTGCATGCCGGCGATTTTCGGTTGCGTAAACGGTGTATTAGAACATTTTAATTGTGTTAGCAGCTAACTTAAAAAATTTTGAATTTAATAAAAACACTGTTTCGAAAGTTTGCTGGAATCTAATTGTAAGATGGTAGCTAGCAGCCAGTAGTAAACATATCACCGCGAATGCTTCTGTTCCTGTCTTAGAAACATTTAAAATGGGATTCTGAAGCGAAAAACTAGAGCATCATGACGTGAACATTTTTGTCAAAAAATAAAATTACTGGATATCTGTACATACCAGGATGCGATATTTTGTGCATAAAATGTTTTTGAGAGATAAATTTTGTTTTAATCCATTAAAAAAACTGTGTAAAAATGTGCACAGCGCCTTGGTATCACTTTTCTTGTACTGTGCCAAGTACTGTACGTAATACAACTTTTTTTTTTCGTAGTTCGTTATTTATTATTTACTATGAATACTATTACAAATTACAACTTACAACACGAGTACTTTTAACAAAAGCTTCGGAAACTATCACTCATTAAGCATCAATCGACAGCGGCGGCCTAATCACAGAGAAAATTTGGTCTAAATTAATTTGGTCGTAATACAACTGGTCCTCACCAGTCAGTCGATTTTAACAGTGGGTCAGAGTCAGACTCCTGCTGTACGTATAGTACAACATCGAGCTATCGTAATATTTTAATCTGATTTACGATTAAATTATCGCCACCTTCACTTGTCAGACGTTCGCCGTTCATCTGTATCTCGGTATGTCATATGCTTATTGGTAGTTTATGTTGACCAGAAAAGTTGTTATGAAAGTGTGAAAGTACGGGTGCAATCTGTTTTAAGATTCAAATGTCATTGCATTCTCCGATATGGAATCGTAATCCAAAGCTTGCTGCTTACGCGATTATTCCGAATCGGGACACGGAGACACGGGATTAATCACTAAGAACTTTTGGGATTGTAGTGTAGCCATCATATGGACGATCGCGCCAGTCCTACAGGATTATTCCCCTCCTGCGGAGCACCATGCATGTTGATATGAATCAGGAGGAACCAACGCTTAATGGCAGCACATCGGCGACAGAGCCACAGGTGGTCAATGGCGACAATCATAACAAAGACGACCATCACCATGATCACCACCACAAATCGCTGGGATTACCGCAGGACATCCTGGCAGAAGTGCGCCCTCCATCCCCGGATTCCCCAGACAGTGTGGATACTGCGGGAATTCTGGGGGAGGACAAACGTCCGCTGACTCTCATACGGAAAGCGTGCTACGGTGTTGGACATGTGCTCAATGATTTATGCGCTGCCATGTGGTTCAGCTATTTGTTGGTGTTCCTGCACAGCGTGGTAAGTTGTAGACTTGTAGTTAAAATTCTTGGAATTTCCCATTCGGCTTCGAATGGTGAGTGGTTATGTTTACGGATTTATGTATTTACTATCTATCTATTTATAATTATCAGTGCCAGTGATGGCATCCTGACTTTTGTGCATGCTAATTGTGTAATAGTAGTATGTACTATTATGCATTCATTAATTTTTGTTAATACCCGGATCAAAGCATTTACGCGGACCTGTTTTTTTTGTAGCTGAACTTTACCAACACCTACGCTGGTGCTGTGATACTGCTGGGGCAAGTTGCGGATGCGATTGCCACTCCCTTTGTCGGAATTGAATCTGACCATTCTGTCTCGGGATTTTTTGGTTATGGGCGAAGGAAAAGTTGGCATCTTATCGGTAAATATTTCGTTGCACGTAATTCTTATTTGCACATTTTCGTTCGTTGTCGGCACGCGACTGATAAACGGCGTAATGTTTGCAGGTACGATAGCGGTGATTGTGTCATTCCCTTTCCTGTTTATTGACTGCATCGGCTGTCATAATTCTCACGATTGGGCCAAATTCATTTACTTCGCGCCCTTTGTTGTTATTTTCCAATTTGGCTGGGCTTCTGTCCAGATTGCGCATCTTGCTCTGATTCCGGATTTATCTTCAGATGGTTCCCATCGCGTTGAACTCAATGCTATTCGGTAAAAAATAAAATCATTGTACTCTGCTTCGAAATCCAGATTTTCAATTTGGATGTGAACTGAACTGTAGAATCGTTATTTGTTTTGTTTACAACAGTCGTAGCTCGCGTTTTACAATTAGGGTTGTTATTGTCAAAAATGCAGTTGTTCTTTGAAAGATATTTCGAATTTTTGTAAAATATGTATGCACCAGCGAAGCTTCGCTTTTGAATGCTGCTTCTTGCAGTTACTCATATATACTGTAACTCTCCTACGTAAGCTTTTGAAGGCTCGTCTTACTCGTAAAGCTTGTTTTGCAGTTTTTGCCAGTACTTGTGCGCTGATGTTGTGATTGATTTAAAGCGCCGGAAGTATGCTGAATCATTTCCTGTAAAAATTTTAGAACTCATCACATTTTTAACCCAGGAATTATTTCCTGTTATTTCCTTGATATCTGACTGTGTTATGTTCTCCCATTTTCTGCTTTGTAATTATGGAAATTGTAGAATAATTTGTTTTTATTTTTCTGGAGTATGTACGATGGTGTTCATCGTTTTGAGTGACACCATTCTCGATAGCATTGTTGCTCTTTAAAATTTGAGGTGTACGGTAGTAACTGGTAAACCTGTATACAACCCAGTAAACCTCTAGATCTTCCATTTATTACGATGACAGGACTTCTCTGTTCATTCCGCTGTAAAGAGTTTTGGCACGTTTTGTATGGTTTTATGCCTTAAAAAATAAGTATTTTTTTCGTTTCAGTTACGGATGGACAGTCATATCTAACCTCACAGTTTATATGCTTACTTGGTTGGTCCTGAGAATGGATACCGACGGCGATAAAACGGTCAACCCTTCTGATGCATCAACATTCCGAGTACGGTCAAAACGATTATCAGACAATAAATTATAATTAGCTCATTTTTGTCTCGCGTATTTTCAGATGATTGTTTTCATTGTAATTGGTGTGGGAACATTGTTTTCCGTTATATTCCATGTTGGTGTGAAAGAAGATCCACATCCACAACGCAGCTCATCGCAGTCCTCTGTAGAAACACAAGACAGCCAGATGAGCTCGGTGCATATGACTTGGGCAGAGTGGTTTAAAGAACCGCACTTTTACATTGTAAGTTATCTTGAAGATACTCCATAGAATTTAAGAATTTTTTGTGTGCTGTTTCTCCAAATTTGGTCTCTGCAATTTCAGGTGGGTGCTCTATATATGTCCGCCCGGCTTTTTGTCAACCTCACGCAGGTGTATTTGCCAATGTATTTGCTGGATACTCTGCAACTAGGAAAGGACAGTATCGGCTATATTCCTCTCATGGTTTACATGACCGGCTTTGTAGCTTCAGTAATAATGAAACCACTGAACCGATGGATTGGCAAGAAGGTCTGTTATCACTTTGTATTTTTGATTTCAGCTTTATGGCCAGTTGTGCATTAGAATAATCGTAGTGTTAATAGTGTTATATTCGAGTGCATGCATGTCGTGTCTTTTGTGGTCCAAGCATTATTTTTTCGTTTAATTGTATAGGTTGCCTGTGTTCTCGGGATTGCACTCGGCTTAGGAGCCTGTGCTTGGATTCAATTTTTTAACGTAGACGGTAAAACTGTTTACGGAATCGCGGCACTTTTGGGGACTTCCGGGACCGTGCTCATGGTAGCGTCACTGGCTGTCACCAGCGATCTGATTGCGGGAAGTACCAGTACGGGTGCATTTGTGTTCGGACTAATGAGTTTCGCGGATAAGTTATCCAACGGATTAGCTGTGATGGCTATCCAGCTCTTACATCCCGTCTCGTGAGTTGCAAATTCTTTTGCGAAAGTTGTATAAAAATCAAATACGCCTGGTAATTGGATAATGATTTTTTATGTTACTTTGCGTGACTTGTGGGCTTGTTTTTTTTTGTAGCGGCACTCATTCAGATCACTCGGATTTCTTTGCAAAAGTGATGGTATATGTACCGACCGGAGCATGTGTGATAGCATTGATTTGCATTTTGTTGATATCGCGTCAGACGGTGGGAGTGCGACATCGTGACCGGCAGCGGATAATGAGTTCCACATCGTACCGTGAATTTGTCAATCAGAATGATGAAGATAGACAAGCCATGTTTTCGGAATCAGGTGATCATTACGGTGATCCACGTTTTGCTCAAACCCAAACTAATGCAACCATTTCGTAAACCCGGTAATTTATCTGTTGTTTTTTACTCTCTTATTCCAGTTCCTGGTGTTACTGGTTTGTTCTCAAATTTTATCGTTTCAAGTGTTACTGTAGTGTAATTTCTGTTCTGCTTGAGTTTCCGATAAATATAGAAAAGAGATTAAAATTATGTCTACTGCCTTGTTATTAAATTTTTCAGTGGATATTTTGCTACACTGATTTATTTTTAAATAAAAACCAATTAATTTTAGGGATAGCGCCTTACGCTAACATCTAAGAAAATTGATCGGAAATGTTAGCTCTTGGAAGTTAATAATCTTGGAAGTTAATGGAAGTTAGACAGAATCAGTCCGTCAAAATAAATATGGTAATTAACGATGTCTTTCTTCTGTATCGTGAAGTCTAAACTGAAAACACTTGAGCTGTTTATGTCCAAATTTCGCTTTTCGATTTATTTCACACCAGAGCGACAATGCTGAAATTCAATGTTTCCAAAATAATAAAACACGAAAAAATAGAAACACCATTAATCCAATGAAGGAGCGCGCCCAAAAATCAAAGCTGTTTAAATCGATCGTTCGTTCAGCCGCAATGTTAAGAAACAAAATAGTAAGTATCACAGGAAAGAGTAGATCATCCATAAAAATGCTCAGTATGAATTCACTTCTTTTTGTAATCTTATACGCAGTGTCGTCAAAGATCACCATTAGCTGGCTTTTCCTTCGTGGGATTAGAATTTTTGATGTACCATACGGAACCATACTCATCCTCGAGATCATGGAGTTCTGCTTGCATTTCGCGATAAACACTCATCATGCGAGACTGAGAGTTTTTTATATCAGCGTTTGCTGCCTCCCTGGCCTTTTGTACCGATTGGCTTATAAAGGGAAAATCGTTCAGGAAGAAATATTTTTTCAGATCTTCGTTAAGTTTCATCAACGATTCTGCGCAACGGACCTGAAATTAAGCAACACTGTTTAAGCACGCGAAGCGCCACTGTTGACAATTCAACACGCAATATCACTGAAGTTTTTGTTTTTTTAAATTTGTAGCCTGTTCCCGTGATACAGTATGGTTTGTTCCTCTAGATGAAAATTCACAATATTTACTTATAGGCTATAGCGAATGATCGCGTGGTATGTGCTTACCAAATTCGTAGCGCGAATTCCCAATTCCAGTTGCTCCTGTTCTACCGTCTGTACTCGTACAGAACTTCCGCGTTCGTCTTCAACCTAACAATAAGTTGATCGATAGCATCAGTCACAACCTGCCATTGTGATTTATACACATTACAGTATTTACGATTATTTTTTACACATACTGTTGCACTAATTACGATTTACAGATTAAGTAACAAAAGTGCAGGTACTGTTACAGTGCCCGTTTGCTACATAGCAGAATGGTCTGTGAATGACAAAAAGGACATCAAAATAATTATTTATACCGATACACACTTGCCTTGACAAGCTTGAGAATTTCCGCAAAATTGTCTTGAATACTTCTAACGTCATCTTTTTGTTTCTTGCTTAGTGTCTTGAGAACGTTCTCCTTGTTTCCACCAGTTAAAGTCGTTCTTCCATGGCCAGCAGCATGAGCCATTGTAAGTTTTCTTTCAAGCTTTGCGTTAATCAGAGACGAAGGCACCACTCAGACGAAGCCTACGAAGGCCAAAACCGGATCAGTCTGAATTACGATAGAAATCTAAAATACAAGCTGTAACAAGTTACTAACAACTAACAAGCATCCAGATTCCGCAAATGCAATGCAAACCTGGAATGCAAGTAAAGGATACCCTTAAAGATGAAAAATTCTGAAGCTTTTAAATTTCCAAATCTTCACCAGTCACACAGCATGCCAGGTAATGTACAATACATTCCGTGCTAAGTACTTATTTTTTATTCTATATATTAACTGTACTTGTTGTCTGTACTCTGTAGTGACTGCGGTGTTAGAAAATAGACAAAACAAAACGAAAAACACCAAAAAACAGTGAAAAAATTCTCACGATCAGCTTTTGTGGAAGTCAGGAAGTGGCAACGTGTGCACTGATTAGGGTACACCAGTTCTGACAGCGTGCGGTGGCGGTCTCTGTCACCGATGTGCTTTTGCACATCGCAGTCTGCTTCAGCGTGTAATAATGTGTGCGTGCTGCATTTCGTACCCGGCTCCTGTGAAACAGGAAATTTGTCGATTTTGTGTGGAGAGCCGTGTATCTGGAAGATTTAATTGTTTTCCGTTTTTTGCGGATTACCAAGCATCGTGATGGTAAGTCAGACATTAAAAGATTGAGATCAGCACTTTTAGCAGAGAATGCCGATGGCTTGAACAGAGTAGCGCAGAGGATCCAGTGCAGCTCGCGCTCTGATGCTTTGGTTCTGCGTTCAGGCTTCGACACTGTTTTCGCCTGCAAATGTGAAGTATTTTTGCGACTTCAGGCTCCCAAGCCCGTCAAAAAGGGCGGCGCAAAGAAGGTGGCTGCTGTCCCTGCTGCCATCAGGAAGAAAACTGAAAAGCCTAAGAAAGAAACCAATCCGCTGTTTGAAAAACGTCCCAAGAACTTCGGCATTGGTAAGTGTTTTTTTGCACAGCTCTTCTACCGATCGCGAGTCAACACTGCTCTGCGAAAGCGGAAAGGGTTCGAAATTTGTGAATTCTTGTGGATTCTAATTTTTGAGTGGATAAAAAATTCATCTTGGAACCTTGCGTGGTTCGCCGTTCACAGTGCCAGTTTTAAACACTTTGGTTTGGTCTGAGTATTCATGGTTTGGACCAAAGTTTGGTCTGAGTATTCAACATAAGTGATAAGTATTTGATCTGGTTCAAAGGCTTTTCAGTTTTCACAATTAATGTTGTAATAGTATAGTTGGAATCCCTGAAATTAGAACTGGATTTTCATTTCTGTATCAGCTCACCAGATTTGTAATGTGTCTCAAGAATTGTGTGGTATTCTATCGTTATGCGAAAATGTTTTTTAGGACAAGACATCCAGCCGAAGCGGGATTTGACTCGTTTCGTCAAGTTCCCCCGATATGTGCGAATTCAGCGCCAAAAGAAAATCTTGTATCAGCGTTTGAAGGTTCCGCCACCGATCAATCAGTTCAACCTTACGCTGGACAAACCGTCGAGTAAGACATCATGCACTTCATAATTTCTGCGTTGCATATGTTTTCCGAAACTGCTGTTAAGTTTAAGCCCTGCCGTTTTTTAGCCACTCAGGTGTTCAAACTGATGAACAAATACAGACCAGAAACGAAGCAGCAGAAGAAAGAACGTCTGAAGCAGCGTGCTGCGGCGAAAGCCCAAGGAAAGGGTGATGTTCCCACTAAGCGACCCGCTGTTATTCGGTACGAAAGGAAATGCGCATCGAAAATTGTTATGTGATCTGTAGATCAAATGTTTCCACAGATCTGGTGTGAACGCGGTTACTACACTGGTGGAACAGAAAAAGGCCCAGCTTGTCGTCATTGCCCACGATGTTGATCCCATTGAAGTATGTTACTTCGTTCATTAAATGCTGCCTCGTGACGCTATGTAGGCGTTTTCGTGATTTCTGTTTTTTTTTCATTTTTGTGGCTTTTACAGTTAAAGTAAAAGCCACAAAAATGAAAAAAGAAACAGAAATCACGAAAATGCCTACATAGCGTCACGAGGCAGCATTTAATGATTCAATGATTACAAACCGCCTAGTAAAACTTTTACTAGGCGGTTTGTAATCATTGAATTAGTTAAACTACTTTACTTCATCATATCAGGAATTAACGATTTATCTACATACTCCCGAATTTTTATAGCGAAATGACTAAAGGATTAACTTTTGTTTATCCAGACCTATTAATTTTGCTCTATCGCATCAGGAATTCGTACAGTACGTGAAAGATGATTGTTTTCATATTACAGATTGTGCTCTTTTTGCCGGCCTTGTGCCGTAAAATGGGAGTGCCGTACTGCATCGTGAAGGGCAAAGCTCGTTTAGGACGAGTTGTGCACCGAAAAACGGCATCATGCTTGGCTTTCCAGAACATCAACGCGTAAGCAAAACATTTTAATTTCGATTTGATTAAGGATAAGAAGGGTTTTATTTACAGTGAGGATAGACCATCATTGTCCAAAGTGGTCGAGACGGTCAAGAATAACTTTAACGAAAGATATGATGAAATCCGCCGACACTGGGGAGGCAACATCCTGAGTACCAAGTCGCAGGCACGAAAAGGAAAACTCGAGAAGGCGAAAGCGAGAGAAGTCGCTCAAAAAGTGGCATAAATACGATTAGTTTTTGATATATTGTAATGTTTGTGGCTATAATAAAGGTGATCAACACTTCCGCGTGTTCTCTCCCGAAAAAATTTCAAAACTGGCCTTTTCACAGAGGAGGATGCAGACAACGCAATGGCGTGATAGGTATGAGAAAGTGGATGTCAAAAATTCACGGGAGAAATTTTGAGTGCTACTGTTTAGCGGTTCGCCACGGAAACACCCTATGCACCAGAATAATATAGTTATGCAGTATTAGAGGGCTCAGATAAGCTGAGATAACAACCTACGAGTAGTTATCCAGAGTACACTAGTATTTCGAACTGGTACATGTTCAAAAGTTTCGAAATCATTGAGAAACTTTAAAAATGTGCTAAATTGTAATAATTCTGTACCTTCCTTCAGTTCCTTATACAGAAAAATGCATTTTAGTGTGCACATATTCTTGTGATTTGCTGTCACGTTCGGCATTAGTTACAGTACTTATTGTTTGCTATCAATCCGCGTGAAAACGACACCAAATTGCAGTAAAAGAGCTAACCCAACTTTCGTTTCTTCCACCAGCGATACCATATCCTTTTTTGAAGGCTGATCAATTTACCTGTATACGTAAATGTAATAACTGCAAGAACTAGAAATTCATGAAGCGTTTCAAGCGACGATAATCGCAAATCCGCAACAAATTTGTACATCGATTTGTACTGAAAGCGGCATTGGACCGAAAATAAAGGGGTTAGTTAAACCCGGCGTTTTTCTTCCTATTATAGTTTTGTACCAACTCAACAAAGGCGAGCAGAGGAAGGGAAGTGTCAACCAAATAAAAACGCAAAAGCAGCTCAATTTATTTATAACACTTGTGTCGTTCAGCCGCATGCAAATCTTGTTTGAACACATGAATAAACAGCACTCTTGCAGCAACATGTACGAGTACTATTCGTTAGCGATTTCAATATGAACACAAAGGCTACAAGATTTTCTGCGAGTCTGTGACTGACCGTGAAACTAAAATGCATGAAACTGCTAATAAAAGTAGACAAAACTGGAAAGCTAAACACGAAATCAGGGGGAAAATATCGGTTGAATATTACAAACACGGAAAACTAATACTATTGTGTTTTGTTATTTTAAACAGCTGTGCTCACGTAAGTCAAGTTTATCGAGCACTTTTCAACTTTCCCAACCATTACCATAGCTCGCACTGTAATTATCTGAAGCATAATCCACGGTTTGCCGATTTCCATAGCTGCTGGGTTGGCGCATACCATGATCTGGTGCAGCGCGACGGTAATCCGTGCTCGGGCCACCATGTTGACGGCTATACGGAGGTTCACTAACAGGCATTGTGTTGTGGGGCGCACCCTGTGAAAAACCCGCACCCTGTGAAAAGCCAAGAAAACGTAAAGTAAACAATCATCAGGTCATACAAATTACGATACCCACATTATAATCCACTCTAGGGGCGCGCTGCTCCACGTGTCCATATCCCGACGCTCCTTCGAATGGTCGGCGCTTACGAGGAGGCGGTATGTGGCTTTCTTCCTCCCGACCACGTCGAACACCATAACGCGGAGGCGGACTCATTTCCCGACCGCCGTAGTCGTCGTAACTGATATAAAGGTTAAGTAATTGTAGGTGATTGATTTCGTTAATGTATTTTAAATAACCAACCCTCCACTTGGTCCGTAACTGCGACCATAGTCGTCGGAACGAGAATGAAGATATGACGGGCGCAACAGGCTAGCCTGGCTAGGACTGTCGTAGTACGGATCCCTTGCCGCCATGGAGTGCCCATATCCATGAGACTGTGGTGGATAATCCACGAAATCGTCTCGCGGCTCCCGGTATCCATAGCGAGGTGCCCGCGGAGGAGATGGGCGATGTCCGGGTGGTGGTCCAGGGCGGCGGGCTAAATTCGGGCAATTCATGTAAACGTTTTTTGAGTTTGTGCCGAAGTACCACAACATAACTTTCGAGAAAATCGCTTACGTGGAGGCGGTGGTAATGATTCGCCATACCCTGGGCGGCGCTCTCGGCTGCGAGACGGTGGAGGCGGGGGAGGTCCACGGGCACCTCCGGAGCGGTCTCCGTCCACTGGTCGGGGTGGAGGAGGCATGGGAACTAGCGAAGAGTTCGCAAAATCGTGATCTGATTTCAACAAAAAGAGATAAATCAATGTTGCTAACCGTATGTTTTAGTTTTGGCCCAGGCCATTTCTAACGATTGACCCAAAAATCTGTTTCCATATTGTTCCTGCAGAGCCCGCTCGGCGGTAGTATGGTCCCGAAAATGGATGAATGCAAATCTGGAACGAACATGAAATGATATTCACATACACTGCACCAATGTGACAGTTTAGGCACTAGCAGACAAACGGAACCAACCGGCTAATCAAACGGGCTTTGTCAAAGGATGGGTACTGCTGGAAGTGTTGTGCTAAGTTTTCTTCATTCGCTTTTTCTGGGAGGTTGCGTACATGAAGTACCACAGTATGGGCATTGTTAGTATCGTCGCAATACGAATAGTAGGCGTCCAACTGGTAATTATATGGGCGAACTTTGGAAGAAAAAGGTATACGGTGAGGATTTTCAGGCCGTAATTGTGATGACAAATTGGCATTTACAATGAGGGATAACCGATAAGGGTGCTATTGCGCAGCTAAGGACGGTTGCGAGTCAACAAGACTGACTTAGTCTTCAGACTTTCAAGAGTTCTGGCGTACCATAAAATCAATTTAAAAAGAGCCAAAAAAGATGGATTAAAAAAACTGATCCATCTCTGTAGACCTTATCAGTAAACACTCTAAATTAAAAAATTATAATCCACCCATCCGTCTTTTCGCTAAATGCTCCCATGCAAAACGGCAGGAGCGCGATATTACTATTGCTTGGATTTAGCAGAGAAAGGCAGAGAGGGTGAAAAATAAGCAGATAATTGCCGCTTTTCTCGAGAGGAAAAAGAGGAGTGAAAGAGTTCACTAAAACCACGTAATCACAGTTCGGGTAAAGCTAAAATTTTTACATATTCCACTGCAAATTACAGAACCAGGGAATCACAGAGTTACGATATCGCATCCTTAGCTCGTGATCAATTTATATAATTTTATTGCTCTAAATTTTTGTTGTTGCTCTAATTTCTGTAGAACAGTATCGCTATTGAAATAATAATGCGAAATTTTTAAACTATTAATTTTTATTCGTACCTTCTCCGGAAGTGATACGATTTAGAGCTCCAACAGCTGCTCTTTCCGAACCAAATTCCTGTAAAATCAGACATAAAATGGACGGACTGATTTGCATATCTGTCTTCCAGAATAAAATTTTACCAGAAAAGCAGTCAAACGCGCTGGCTTGGTTTCCGCGTCCACGCCCCAAATTTGAACATTCAAAATGCCTTCAAAATAGCTTCCAAAATCTTCCTGAAGTTGTTTCCTTGTCTTGTCCTTCGGTAAATTTCTGAGTACAACCAGGGAGTGTGGCTTTGACAACGACGCGGCAAACTTGCTGGCATTCGCTCGGCCAGGTATCGGTTTCCCGTTCAGTCCGCGGATGCAGTTGTCGGCCATCTGCGGCGCGCAAAAAGTAACGAAAGCAAATCCTCGGCCCATTTCTCCCTTTTCATCGAGCAGTATGCGCAATTCCCATACTCTACCGAATTTCTCGACAATGGGAACTATTTCGTCTTCGAACATATCGCGTGGCAGTCGACCTAAGAAAACTTCACTAGCGCGAGGTCTCTCGCTGCCGTCCGGCGGTGGTCCGCCGTACTTCCGCAGAGTAGGCCCAATCGTCAAAGTGTAGCCAGTTCGGTCACAGAGATCTTTACTGCGTTGTTGCAGCTCGGGAAAAAGAGAACCCGTAGAACCTTTTGAGTCTTGATTGCTTTCCGGCTCCACCTGGTCATCAGTATTCTGGGTCGGATACGGATACGAATTTTCCGATTCGTCCTTTATGGAGTTTTGCGGTAGCTGGCCTTCCATTTCAGTTTTCAAGCATATATAGAAATTCTTGGACTGACTGAAAGAGATCACTCAGTTGTAATACAAAATCCACAATATCGTCATTTTGATCGTATGCTTCAGAATTGATAATCAGAACATTAAGCTGCAAAAAGCTTAAATCGAAATTCAATACTCGTATCAGATTAGTCATACTAATCACTAATGTCCACAACAAAGAAGAAAGAGATTCTGAAAACAGTTTAAAACAATCTTTTCATTCTTTTGGTGCCGATATAAAATTAAATACTGTATCTATTCCGTTTCTCATACCTTTATAAGTTCAATCGGTTAGTTTAGGACTTCAAACTTTAAAGTTCTACTTCTAAACTACATACAAACTACAAAGAGAAAAATTAAAGCAGGAACCTCTGAAGTTGAAAGGGACCCTTCGTGCGATTGCCACGAAATCTTGCTACCTTGTACTTTGAGTGACTTACCGCTTGCAGTTCCTGTCTGCAGTAAAAGCAGTTCTTCAAGAAATAATCAGCGAGAAAATGAAAGTACAGCTGCACTAATTTAAAAACAAAACAGTAAAAATCCCACAGTATTATGCAGTCAGTTTCAGGAACATTTTTTTCGACAATTTGTTGTACTGTAGTACTGTACTTTGTAACAAACATGAGGCTTGGTTGGACTCTTGGCTTGTTCGAATTGACCAAATAAATACATAATCCGAGCCACGGTCGGCCCGGCGGTCTGGCTAACCATAAGCAAACAGAAACCAAAAACCAGCCGTGTATAACAAGCACACATTTTTGTTAAAGACTGATTGTTTTCAAGCTTCGAACCGTCGGACCGACAGCTTGTGCCATTAGGGCGGTTTTGCAGGATGAAACGCAAAAAAACAGAAATGAGAAAAACTAAAAAATTATGCCTTTCTAGTAGCATTCTAGCTATTAATCTTTTTATCATTATTACAAGGACGCAGTGGCAGTGAAGCTTTGCTTTCGTGAAAATAATTTCGTTTCTCCGTATTTTATCGTAGATTAAATCATTATAACTGTATGCGAATATTAATATTTTTCTGTCATTTTGTGGTGTCTTTGGTACTATGTCGAGACTTCTTTTTACGCTGTCGAAGCAGATCAGACATTCAAACTGCAAAGAATTTGCAGACTTGCTCCGGTTGTGACAGATCGAGCCCAAATTCTGGAAATGGGTTATCATTGAAGCGTAATTCTTGATACCACGTGTTTCTGGTTGTAGAGAGAGAGACCATCTGTTTTTTAGAGAAAAATTTGTGTTTTTGTTTGTTTCCGTTGTGGGGGTTACTCAGTACTGTAGTGCTTGGTGTGCACTGTGCAGGGCAGAATGAATCTTTTCCGTCATCTTTTTCGCTACGGTCCGCATGTTGGGGCTGCTCTGGGAGCAGCATCTGTCGTTACGATTGTATCGAAATCTCTTCACAAACAAGCGGACTGCAGCTACAATCCGACCCATCCTTCCAGCAAGCGGTATTCTGCATCAGAAGCATACCCGGATCTTTCTAAGCATGAAAACATAATGGCCAAAACCTTAACACCCCGTCTGTATGCAATGCTACGCGATCGCCAGACAGAAATAGGGATTACCCTGGATCAGGTACAGCTCACTCATCAGCGGTGTAGCCACGTATGAAATGTCCAGCACTTGTTATTATTAAAGCACCCAATCAAAAAATAAGATCTGCATCCTAATAGAATCAGTACTTTCCACCTTCACATCTTCTGTTGATTGTTTGCAGTGCATCCAGGTTGGCGTGGACAATCCAGGACATCCTCTCATACGAACGGTTGGGATCTTTGCTGGCGATGAAGAATCCTACTCTGTGTTTGCTGAATTGTTTGATCCTATCATTCAGGAACGTCATAGCGGATATAAACCTAGTGATAAACATACGACAGATCTTTCTCCAGCGAAGGTATAGCACTTGCGTTTCTTTGCACGGTTTTATTGGACGGATGCAGTTATGTATATTCACCGTCAGTTTATATTACAGCATTATTCGATTGATTCAGTTTCGTGGTTGTAGCTCCGCGGAGGTAATCTGGATCCTGATTATGTGTTATCATGTAGAATAAGAACTTGCCGAAATATTCGGGGATTTAGTCTACCTCCAACCTGTACACGTGCCGAGCGCCGTCATATTGAGAAAATCGTTGTGCGCTCCTGCAAAAGCCTCGGTGGAAACCTAAAAGGAAGATATTTTAATTTGAAAGATATCCCGGATGAAGAGTTAGCATTAATGATAGCGGTAAGTCCGAGTGACCGGAAGTTGGTGTTTTTCTCCACAGCTGTACTATACTAATATATTTCTGTAAGTTCTGTTGCTTTTTAACTTTCGGTCTTAGTTCTATCTATCCCAAGAAAGTATGGCGTTTTCGCAGGAAGGCACTGGTTTTGACCGCCCATCATCTTATTACTGCACATCTTCCATTGGAAGAGATTGGCCGGATGCCCGTGGCATATTCTACAACTATGATAAAAACCTGTTTGTTTTTGTAAATGAATGTGAAGATCAGATGAAGCTAATAGCGGTCCAGCCAGGCGGCAACATGAAGGAAACATTCGAGAGATTTTGTCAGGCGCTGGAATCTATGGAGAAAAATTTGCACAGCGACGGCTTTGCCTGGATGTGGAATGACCACCTTGGATTTGTCACGACCTGCCCTAGTAATCTGGGTACTGCCCTGCGAGCTAGTGTTTTCATTAAACTTCCCAGGCTCTCACAAGTACGTGTCCCGAAAATTCTTGTACGAAAAATTCCTATCGCTTTGAGTGATTATTGTTACAGGATCCAAGATTTCCTGCCATTGTGAAAAAACTGGGCTTACACAAACGTGCTGTTCCGGAGCTGCAGAATTCCGGTGTTTATGATATGTCTAATGTGGATCGTTTAGGGATATCTGAGGTAAGGGATATCATAATCCTTGGTGCTATAATACGGTATGTAGAGGCAGACTGTAGATTTCTTCAAGTGGCAATAGCCACCCAAATACCAATAATCGCAAACGCCGGCAAAAATTATGATGATTAAAACTGATGATTAAAATTTGAATAATAGAAAACAACCAAAGTTTCTACCCTCTCTATGGTTAAAAGCCTTTTAACCACTGAGAGGGTAATCTCTGAACAGCCGTAGCATTTCTTTCAGTAACAGCTGAACTAAAGAGCTGCTTGAGAAAAGCAACAGAACGCGTTTCGCCAGTTAAGTCCCGAAGTTTACGGTCCATGAAATGCAACAGTTCACTTAGAGCAGGGATAAAAATTCCCAGTGTCTCAACCACTAAAGGATAAAACAGGTTTCCGTTTTCCAAAAAGACTGTAGATTTTCTTACGATTAACATGGTACTGGATCACATTGTGCACTAGCTGATTGTGCACTAGCTAATTGTAAGGCGGACGGCGATAATTACAAGTCGTATTGCCTTAATCTTATATGGCTGTCTTGATGTTTTAAAGATCTGATATTCCGTGAATCTTGCAGGTTGATTCAATTCAGCAGGTGATTGATAGCTCCAACTTACTTATCCGAATGGAAAAGCGACTGAAAAGTGACCGCACTATTGACCATTTGATTCCCAGCTGATTTCAGAATTACTCATTGTAACGCTACCATTGTGATATTTTCATTCTTTTAAGAGTTTTATCGTTATGTGATATTGAGATACTTACTGCACAGATTGGGAGTTTCGTCTGACTGTTTGTTCATGCAGGTGTTCTTGGTTAAACGGAGTGATTTCTCAGTATGAAGTCTTTAACAGTTTAACCGTACATACGCGCGCGTATAATTGTGACAAAATGGATTAAATCATTAGTGTAAATCATTAGTAATCGTTTTGGCAATTGCCATTGGCTTGCCCGGCCTACTTTTGCTTACTTGTATAGATGTATATAGATGTATGCGTGATTTGTACACATACAAGTAAGAAACGCAAATGCACTATTGAAGTAATGCCGAAAAGCAACGAATTACGTACACGGTACATTGGTACTGTAGATCTCGTATACATGTTCAGTGCATTCTTCAATGTTTTAAAAAGCAAAAGACCACCAAAGATAACATAAGAATTCCATAACGCAACATTTTACCGCGAACGGCAATAGTCATGGTGTGTCAGCACTGGCAATGTTTTCGAACGATACGAAATTACAAATTAATAAAGGCTCGGAATTATTAGAAGTTCAGTAATCTGAAAACAGCTAGCAACTGTCAGAGACCGATGATTGCGTAGGCACGACAGTGATATCAAACAAACAGGAGCTTGAAAATAATTACTCAGTAGAAGCTGGTACTTTGAAGTGGACAGCCGATTTTTAGCGAACGCCAGCAGTGTCCAAAATATCTTTCAATTTCCCGGATTTGTCTAGTCTACAATTTATACAACATCTTGACGTTGCATAATCAGCGCTCATCTGCAGTACGTAACTTCCAAGACTCAATCAAGCAGGACTGGTACATTATCATTTAAAATTAAAAAAAGAGGATATCAAGGCTTAGCAATCTAGCATGCGTTACCTTTCGGTATCGTCTCCACCACCGATAAATTTCCCGTCGATGAAAACTCGCGGAACCTACACAACCAAAAGGCGTAAAAAGTCAACTTTCCCCCCGTACATTCAGAGTGACAGCGCCACAGTTATCATATGACGGAATAATTAATAATGAAGAGCTACTGCCTGCTCGGCCCTACTGGTATGCTACAAAATTACAAATGAATGTTTTTATATTTTTGTCTTACGCTGCGGGCCCCGGTCAAAGTTTCCATGTAGTCTTGAACAGATTCGGCCTTTCCTGAGTCCATTTTATCCAGTTCAGTAATGTCAAGTTCTTCCGGGGCGATGTTGTATTTTGCAAGTACGCCCTTGGCTTTTTTGCAGTACGGACAATACGTTTTAGAAAACACAACAACCTTGTGTTCCTTCAGCTTTTTTTCCACAAAAGCACGGGCTTCATCCATTTCCGGTTGCTCTGGGACAAACGCAGCAGGAGAGTGTGTCACGGTATCACTGAGTCCCGTCAAACCCAATATGCGATAAACCTGAAAATTAATGCCTGATCGATCTGCAACAGTTTGTTCTTTCACTTTGAGAGTTTGAGTAGTAATACAAAGCAATGAAAACGATGTACCAGGGTCGGTAAGGCATCGATGCACAAAAGAATTGCAATTAGGAAGCACACGGTAACTTACAATTAGTAAGTGGAACTTATAAACATAAAGTCATAAACTACAGTATTCTAAGATACTTACAAGTTACAATTAGTACAGGAGTACTCCGCATGAAACCTTTCAACAACTAGGGTTGGCCAGCAATTATTCCTATGATCCAACTAAAATTAATAACAACTGATCATGATGATCAGAAGTTCAGAACACTCTAGCAGTCCAGTACTATGCACATACACGCTTAAAATTATACTCAATTGTATACATAAGCTTATTAGGGGAGTGTGCGCTAAGCAATTCAGAGCGATTACGATTCCGATTAAAACATTTCCTCGGAGAAATTTCTTAATCGGTCATGTTTTTAATCGGTTTCTTAATCGGTTTTGGAGCTTAGCGCACTCTGCCTTAATGATTTCCAAATGATACGGAATGGATTAATAACAAGTTAACAACTAATGAATTGTTAAATACTTTGTAGCAGCATAGCAGAACTAAGCGTGTGGTACAAAAGCTGATACTAACCCTCTGTTAAAAGGTTAAAAGGTTCGGTGAAAGATAAAAAAGTATCAAAGTAAGTATTTACATTACCTGTCGAAAAAGAGACTTTGGATACTCGCGCAAAAAGCCGAAAAAGAAAATTCCGACCATAAGGCCACAAACGGCAAAACAGATGTTGCTTAGTGTTATCCGAAACGTTTTCATTGATGAATGTTGCTAAAAATTACTAGTAAAACTTTTGTACTACCCCGTAGCAGAATCTGTGCTTTACCCTGCCCTTAGCAAATCTGTTAGAAAAGAAACTGCCCTTGAAATTCAGACACGCGCGCGCGATTACGACAAAAACGGTCCGATCCACTTCGGTATACTTGGAACGGCTGTTCACCTGCACCAACACTGAACAGCTGCGCGCAAATAAAATAGTACTTTATGCAAATTGATTTTATAAAATAGTAACTTATAACTTATGCAAATTAATATGTACTTAATACCTATTAAATTAACTGCACTACTTCCTGCACTGTTTTTAACAAACATTCTGTAACAAATTAATGATTTGTGCACATAGGCGTGAAAACCGTTTTTGCGCGCAACATCCGGTTGGGAAGTTATGGGTGACCAAAAATTGCAAAAGTTTAGATGCGCGGAGGTGTACCAAAAGTCTCATTATCAAATTATATTTTCAAATTTTGCGTTAAAGCGCGCATTAACAATTAACATGAAGATCGTTTTCATACCGAACTAGGTTTCCACCATTTTAAACAAATTAATTTTAAACTTTTTGAAATTTATTTTAAAAATTCAAAAACATGTTGGAAACTTAGTAATCTGTACTGCGCAGTCGCCGCAGTGCGTGCGGCAGTTGCTCTGCCCAGCTGTTTAATAGCTGAAAAGCCTACCCTCGCTATTGGTACTGACTGTCTTTTAGTCTGGTAGTTTCATACTACTTGTAGTTTGCGACTCTGATGTTGTCCGCTCTGGTTTGCCTTTGCAGTTGTCATGGTTTAGAAACAGCACACTGCAGTTTTCGACAATAAACATCTGTTTATCTTTTTTCGGAAGACCGTAGTACGCATATTTTTCATCATGGCCATCCCCCAAAACTCCGGTGACTTTCTCTCCGGCGGATCCGATAGTTCAAAGGAAGTGACGGAAGTTATGGATGGGGATGCTACCGCAATTAATCGCTTATACGAAGAACTGCTAACAAAGACGTCAGAGTATCTGAAATCGGAATTTGAAGGCATGTAACAAATTTGTAACTGTTCTAAAAGTTTTGAAGTACTGGAGCAACTGGACGCTACAGAACGTTCACTGTTATTTAGGAACAGCCGAGGATTACAGACTTATCCAGCAACTAAATTTGGTTTCCAAAGAAAAGTACGAGGAACTTCTCGTGGTGGCCAAACGATTTCGCGAATCACTGGGAACAATGAATGATCGTTGTAGGTGGCTTAAATATAAGCCTGCACGTTCTGATATTAATACAGTATAAGTGGAGAATCAGAGATAGCAGAAACTTCATTTCTTAATTCTTACAACGCATCGCTAGAATTTCAACTAGGTATATCATCTTCAGCGAATGCAGATTGCAAACATTTTCAACTTTTACTTGTATAACGTAAGCTTTTGGATATCGGTATGTCGGTTAACTGTGTGTTTTCACTTCAGTCACTTGTATTTTGCCATTTCTTGAGCGGATCGACGCCGTTGAATCCCAAGTTAACGAACTGGAAAGATCTGTTTTCCGTTTGGATACTTACGCAAAGCAATTAGGTAAAACAGTACTTTCAACAAGTACTAACATTTTTACTGTTACCATAAACAGAAAGCGGTTGACTTGATTTATCAGTTTGTTATAATTGTAGATATGTGGGTGTATCTGTGTATACTTACTGTAGTTCGACCTTTCGAAATTGATCATTGCTCATACCGAGTCATACGGCACTTGAGAAGCTTTACCAGGATCCGTCAGGACTTGGGCGTACAGCAGGAATGGAAGTTGTTAAATTTTTTCAGAAACTCGTTTCAAAGCCTTGGAGAAAAGGTGATCCACGAAGCATTTCATGAAGCGGAACAGCAATCCTGTTATGTCTGTGATTGGAAGTTATTAGTGAATTCAGCCGGACACCAGCCATTCTCTTCCTTATTCCCTTTGGATATTTCTATTTAACAACGCTTGTGCATTAGGTGTTCAATCGTTTTGTATTTTAGATGTTGAAGCAATCTAGTACAATGCTAAGTATCGCAGAAACTATTTTACGGTGGTAGCTGTATCGTCGTTTTAAGCGAGCAGTTGTTTGATACGTAATAATATTATTCATAGTACAATGGAAAATACAAGTACATACAGAAATGCAGAATTACTTACTGGTTACTACTGATGCCTGATGGTGAATAATACGTGTGTGTAGATACCTATATTAATCGTGATTTTGGTTTTTTGTTACTGTACTTCTTTGGGATTGCCCAGCTTATTAGGACTGGCAGCTTGGGAATTGGGATATTATTACAGTAATAATTGCAGTTGTTTTGGGTGTGTTGTTTTGATATGCTATTAGTGTTTTAGGTGTCAGGCTCTTCATGTTGTTTTGGGATGCATTAGTGTATTTATATAAATATTCTTACTTTGTACTTAACACTTGCCTTGTACAGTAATATTATATTAAATGAAAACATAAAGAAGAAATGCATTATGATAGTAATTTTAGAGATGTAATCTTTTTGGATAACTTAATAAAGGACATTCTCCGTAATGGGCGCACGTACTGAAGAAATTATAGTTAAGAAATTGCAGCTGCGTCCTGCAAAACGGCATAAGATATAAAAATTCATAGAACATATTTTTGCTTCACTCGTACAGTACATTATACACTGCACACTACTTACGAAGTTATGATTAATATTATCGTTAGTAAATATAGTAAACACATAAGATAATATAAGTACTTCTACTTTCAAATCATGTGATATTTTCATCTCATACTCTAGGATTTACGCAAGAAAAGGAATTACTGTACCTTTATCTAAAATTTTATTTTGACTGCAGTCGTTTAACTATATAATTATTTCAGACTTCAGTTATGGTTAACAACATCAGAAACCACTTGAAACTACGCTAAACAACATACTGATTAAGAACTGCCATTTTAGGCAATATGGTCCAACAGGTTAATTAAATGCTTGCCGATGGCATAGCGCAGCAAACAATCGCATGACGAATTGTCTGACTGAAATTGTTAGCTAATGCTTGCGAGCAGTTGTGACTTGTGAGTTGTGTGACTCATCCACAATCTACGTATTTGAAATCATTTACTCGCACGTTTAAAATCTTAAGCACCGTAAAACTCTAATGATTTGACCGCTATTCGTCCAAAAAAGTCCGTAGAGCAATCGAAAGCAATTTTGATATTGTGCACCGAAGGACTGTGTGGTATGGGAATGACCTGCAAATGAGAATTCGATTGCAACACCATAATCTGTTTGTACTGTTTACGATATTGGCACCATACATCGAAATTAAAAATTATAAAGAAGTAAAATTAAATTGCAGATAGCTTATAAAAAATTGTTGTTTGTTATTTATAAATTATTTACAGTTGTAAATATATATATACCTTGTACTGTGACGGGCGACCAGCGTAATTTAAAGTTTGTAGTATGGAGTATCTGTATGGACATTGGACGAGCGACTGTACATGAAACCGCATTCGGTATCATTGTGTACTCGTACAGATCCAAAGTGAGCATAACGACCGAACTCTCTCAAAAAATTTAATATGCACAGACTCCAGCTATGTACGTGTTTATAAATAATTATTTGTGATGGCACGTACGTTACAGTTACGTCGCTGGTAACTGATATTAAACGTATACATATCAGGACACAAATTTCAATAAAATAAAATGTTTTGTAATTTTAGCATTAGATTATTGTTGCACACAAATGATATGAAATTTTAAAGCAAGCACATGCACTTTTCGTTTTGTTTACCGAACCTGTAGTGAGTTGGTGTCATCTGGGAAAAACATTTCCAGCTCTTTTTCATATGGATCCATATTTCTCACGGACATCGATTTAGCAGACAGTCCAGGCTCAAACTGGATGCGAACTTCGTCCAGCTTGACCTTGTCGTGGAATTTAACGATAATCCACTGTGCCGCACCTTGCATCTGCAACATTATGCAACTTTTTAATTTTGCAGTCTTGCGGAAACGGGTGAAGTGTTAATAATAACAACGCATAACACGAAATTAAACAGTTTCTGAACATTGCTTTTGAATGAATTGCGTTTTTGTGGAAAAACAGTACGGAGCTAGTGAAAAAATTAGCATTAACAACTAACAGCAACAACTAACAACAAACTAAGCAGCTTTAAAATGCGTTTGCTCAGCCGCATCGTGTTTTTATTATTAATTAATTTCCGCTCGTACAATAATTCCGATTTTACGATAATTCTGCTGTAGTTTTGGTCTATAACGCTGGCCCCACCGCATAATCGTAGTATTTGTACTTACTCGTATTACGGATAGTACTGTAGTAATTATGATGTGGGCAGTCAAGCAGCTTATAGTCGCTTAATTGTGCGCTCGCATTAATTTTCGGAGTGTAAAGTTGGATTATTAGATGTGCTCTCATAAACTGACCAAATTATGGAATACACTGAATAAGCAGGTTATAAGTGTGTGGAAGTTTGATAATACGAAGATTTTTGTTTGCTAAAACAATTTCGGATTGACTTGGAGGAAAAACTGCTAAAGTCAACGTTACTAGAAAAATGGTTATGGTGTTAATATTCTGACGTGAGTTCTCGTACACATAATTATTAATTAGTATAATTGCGAAAACTTTTGAATATGTGCGCATTGAATAAAAATGTCCTTTTTGTGCAATGCAGAAATAATAACTGCGAAAACTTTCTATAAAAGTAGGAACTTCTTATGGTTAGAACGTTCTGCAATATTCAAAAGTGCAATGCAGAATTAATGACTGTGAAAATTCTGCTTTATAATAGTAGCATGACTAAAATCTTTTTAGAACATTACTGTAACATATGCGCTTGCTGTTACATATGTCAGATGTCACTATTTTACGATGCTTATTTGATTCAGTCACCTTTTCACTCAGCCAGTACGTTGCCGAATTTCCATCAACAATGCGTTCTTTTCCAAACTGATTATTGTCATGACCCGCCACGGAACTCACTCTAAGAAAACAGTTTATTTTAGCACAAAGTAAGTATTCAATTATTAATGCTCCATTAAGCAAGCCTAAAACATTATTTTAATAAAATTAATTAGAAATTTTACAGATAGCACTTGATTAAACACACAATCATGGTATTGTCAAAAACAAACAGATAGTTACCGAATCTGATCCTCGTTAATGGGGATGCGAGTAGGCATGCTGCAAGGATTTGGAAAAAAAGAAACTGAAAGTCCAAGTTTTAAGATAGCAAAGGTGAAATCCAATTATGTATGCGAAGTGAATATGCTAAAAACCATAGTCCTCAGATGTTAATACTATATAGCGACTTAGTATTTATCGTTAGTAAGAACGCCAACGATGCATGGGAGTCGTCGTCAACGGAAAATACAGATACAGTAAAATGTTCTGTGCCTTCTTCAGTACGAAGAGTGTCAGAAGAGTACGTAAATATACAAATGATCTGTAGTGATCTTGTTGCAGCGCATGCAGACAGTACAACACAAGAAACTCTAATTCTGTTGGATACAGTACATTTCAAGACATACAACGTTTGAGTATGAAGCTGAATATGTAAGTCACAAATATTCGTGGGAACTGATTATAAACAAACCTCGTCAGTGTCGTCACATACCGAAATGCCGCATAATAAACCTGATGAATCAACCGTATTCGCGTAAGTAATGTACTTTCTTACTTCGGTACTTGTACTATACTGTAGACTTGGCGACATAAACGACTTGCGCTGGTCACTTGCGCAGTTCTTTTGCCAGCAGAAAATTATTAAGCATTCGTACAACTTGTGAAGCTCGAGCTTACTGAAAATAGTACCGCACAAACCACTCCGCGCATAAAAAATTAATAAATATGTTGTGAGGCATACGCACATTTGAATATTATGAGACAAATTACTAATATTACGATAAAGTGTAAGCATTTAAAAGCTGCAAAAATTGTTGCCCATTGTTCGTTCTGGAATTTGGAAGTCATGGAGCAGCTGATAGATTTATTCCTTTAATTGTAAGGTTTTGATTTTCACTCATGATTTTATCAGAATAGTGAGGAAACCCTGTGAAGATCATAGATCAGTTTTGTTAGCAAAAAACCGGTAAATACTTAACCGTAAATATGTTCAGAACTGTGGCCATTAGATATTCCCTTCGAAGAAGTACGTAGAAAAGCCTGAAAAAAATTGATTTGTGAGTTGATTTCTGCGCAACATTACCTAATGTGTGTGCGTTTTGAGAATATACTGTGTGCGTACTGCGAGTGCATTTGCGTATCCTTATTAAGCGGCTCGATTTGTGCGACCGACTAAGCATGCAATAACCGCACTCCGGTTAACTTTAGCAAGACATTTCGCTAGGTTATTTATAGCACATTTGTTGTGCAATATCTATCGAAAATGTTGACCGGTTAGTAGTTTGTATGGAATACTGTACATGCATAGTTTGCACGTTCGCGGAATGCATGCAGGTTGTGCAGAATTTAAATCGAAAAAAAAAATATGGACCTTGTTCAAGGAAAAAACAACGAAGTGAAGTGTTCATATCGCTACACTTTCTTGCATTTTACGTTTACTGTAATTTTGTTATCACAGCAGCAAGCATTTCTACTACTATAGGAAGTTCTAGATCTTATGTCACGGTTTTTTTCTTGTTGTGAAAGAAAAAAAGTACAGTATTATACAACATAAGTAGCATGACTTACGATTAACTGATCGAAGACGTAGTGCTGTATTGTCTGATTAAGAATTTCGTATATTTGCAGAAAAGTGTTCATTATATAAATATCTCTATGTACCTTGCATCAGAAGCCCACAATATGATCCAGCTCGCAGAATAATAACAATGCTTTGAATCGTGTGCGGCTTCGTGCCGTATAATTAAAATCTACTACATATACAATATATAGTATTGTATACTTATATAGATATTATACAAGTATACACTGTACAAAGTATTAAGTAAATTTAATGGGAGCTTGTGTTCATGCTGCAATTTTGCCGCAAATCAAAGGCTCGAGCACCTTTGATCCTTCTTTAGAGCCTAAAATCCCGCTTTCTCCCGGCTCGGCAGTTTTTCCAGAGCGCGACCCGGTTGCCGGTAATATGTCTGACCTGTCTACCATCGGTATAATATTATGGATCTACGTATAAAGCACAAATGTATAATTATATATATCGATAGCTGAGCATGGCGAACATGCCCGTTCCCGTCCCTGTAAAGGCTGGAAACATAACCGGCCTTCCATTCGATTCCGGGCCGCAAAAAGCGCGCCAACGCTGGACTTCCGAACATGCAGTTAAATTATGTAACAAACATTTAACAAACTGGTAAGAGGATATCTAAGCACTGCGGTTACAAGTTACAACGCGCATAAATTTGTACCTGGCGTCCTGGCCATGCTATCTGTATGTCAATGTGCCAAGCATTTGCAGCGTTGCAGTTGAAAGGAACCATAATGCGTATCATTCATTAGAGTATGCATGCCTGTGGCTATTACCTACCATTCTATAAGCAGTGGGAAATTCTGGAATATGAAGAGTTATCTTCTGGTCCCTTCAGTTTTGATCGTGAAGACGCCCATTACCGTAAACGGCAAACTACTTTTAGTGCTTACTTGTTGTTGCAGAGTGCTCTCCTCTATAAACACGAAGGTGTGAAGCTGCAAACGCTGACATCCAATCGTTCACAAATTGAACTGAAAGAGGTAAATTTACCTGTCGAACTATTGTTACAACAAACCCCATAAAATCACTGTACACGTTAAAAACGACAAAACAAACGTTACTGTCATAAGCGGTTATTAAACTGAGCAAAACTCCCAAATTTACATCAGTTTTCGTAATTTGAATCACTGGCAAATAGAAGAACAATCACTCTTGTACATAAAAACAATAAAACAAGAAGCATGGCGGTCGTCAGCAAATTCTCCCGAGCTTTCGCTGACCGTTTATGATTTTCAGTGCGTATTGCCAGAAGCAAATCCAGTTTTCCTTCCAGAGCGGTCAACTGCTCCATAACAAACGTCCTGCTCTCCTCAGCGCTACTCGTGGACGGCGATGCATCGCCATTAATCGGCATAACAACTGTGCAGCGCAGCTTATGTTCATCCACAACCGCAGTTGATTTCGGATCATTCAACAAATCATGCCAGTATTCAACGAGATCGTCATGACTATCCAACTCACCGTCCAACGGGACACTCATGACAAGAAAGCGGTCCTTCTGTGTTGACATCACAAAACCAGGCAGAACGGTCACCTCCACCATCTTCGTGCCTCCGCATTCAATGAAGCCATAGCTGGGCTTCACGCGGAACTTCTCCGGAGCGGTGGTCTTCACCTTGAAAGCCACATGACTGGCAGAAATATTGGCGAGACGTATTACGTCGAACTGTGCTGGCTCTTTCTCTCGTGCATCGCTTGCGCGACTCTCAAATACCAACTCATCACCCGGTTGAATGCTGAGATAGCGCCCTGTGTGGTTAGTGCCCAAAGATGCCTGACTCCGTCGCTCCCTCACTTTCCACTTTTTGGGGGGCAGCACCACGGAAGGATGGGGAGGCTCATCGTGATTAACACTGTTGCTATACTCGTCGTAGTATGTCGCCAACACATCAACCTCTGAGAAACGGACTCGTTTTCGGACGTCCAGGGGTACAACAGGCGCCGTATATGGAATGTCAACGTTCATTTCCGCTACGGACATCCCAGGCATCATATTAATCATACAGGTGGAAAGTCATAAGAAAACATTGTGGAAGAATGTCAACTGGGTGTCTCACAATATTGCCAGTACTGTCGTCAGCGCATGCCACAGCTTGCAAGTTGCAATCAAATATTGCAATAGTCAATACAAGTGCACATTTTCTCGTACGATGCGACACTGGATGCAAAAGAACAATTCTGGAGTGTAAACCACAAAATGGTGCGATATTCCAACAGATTAACGAACGCAAGATTCCACCTCTTTACTGCTCTCTTGTAGCCGTTGTCCGTTAGTGATTCTGATCACTCTAAAACTCCACCGGACCAACGGATGTAAAATAATCGGCTCACCGCGAAATTAATACTAAGCATCTCGACGACAAGTAATACAGATTTCGCGTCGCATTAAAGAGTGTGTTTGTTTACATTTCAGACAACAAGACATCCCTTCAGAAAATTTATAAATATTACGGAAAATTTATTTCCGAAGACGTCATATCCTTGAGGAAAGCGGTGAGTTTTCCAGACGCGCTCTACTCCCTTTGCGGCTGACGCCTGAGCGACGTATGAAATCAAATCAGCGTTGCCGTTTACAGCTGAACCGCCCGCTGACCACGGTTCCATCCGGCTCATTCAGTCCTCTTTAGGACTGCTACCTGCTAGTCTAACAATAAGAGTCTTGCTGAAAAGTTCGACGTTTCGTTTGGAATTTTTTAATCTTTTCAAAGTTGATTAGGTTTTGGTTTTATAATTTACAAATAGCGAATGTCAAAGCACGTTAGCGCAATAAACACCATTTTTGTCACAATTACATTACCGTTCGATCAGGTTAACCGGTTCGACTCACCGCTGGATCGATTGCGTTTTATTTTGGGCCAGACTTCTATGATATCGTACGAAGTTACGTACTACGAACTACGACGTACTGTAGCAATACGGAATACGGATCGTACCGTAGTTTTCAGTTGTTCTTTTAAATCTTTTCATAAAAAAGCAGACATGCCTGATACAGTTGTATCGTTAATTTTGTTAATTCTGCTACTATTCCTGAACCTGGAATCAGTCAAAATTTCTGATCTTGGCTGATCGCTTTTAAAATGACAACGCTTGTATGATGATGTAGTTTTCGAATTTCCATCTATCAGTCCCAACTGGCAGGAGAATAATTTCGCAACGTAGTTCGGTGACTATAAAGGTGCTTGGGATTAACTTGCATAAGGCATTTTTGGCCCCAGCTGACCAGCAAGACCAAGATGGAATTTTTGTGATTTTTATTTGCCATTGTTTGGCGATCAGTCAAATTTGTATTTTCATTATTCATTCGGCGCCTCATTCAACACTGAGTCGGAACTCAGTAACAACTGTACCGTTTTATCTGCTTTATGACTTATGATTTATCATCTATGATTACGAATATGACAAACCTAGGTGTACAAGATGCTACTACAGTAGGGCTGCTCACGCCTTCTCGATAAACAGATACCATGGTTTATCGTTCGTTGCAGTCTTTGGAGATGGTTCGCTGATCTAGGCGTCCTTGAACTCCATCTCTCCTCCTTTATTATCGCTCCCTTCCAATTGAGCGCAGTGTGTGGGAGAACTTGCCTCCATTCTCTTTCATTTATCAGGTTAGAACTGGTTTGTCTTTGATACATAAATTACTAACGTTACGGGTTTCTCGCCAAAAATTGGGCTTTTCGACGGAGTGAAAACGTTGTTCCAGATACTGGCAGATAGTAGCAAAATTATTAAGAACGCCTAGTCTTGGGATGTTTAGAACACGGAGGAAACGCGGAGGAGTTACGAAAAACAGTGGGAGCTGACTAATAAATTGCAGACAGAATATCCCAAATAGAAATTTATCCCAAATAGGTTTGAGAAATATCCGAAATATTTAAAAATTATAAAAGAATCTGTTCTAGGTCTAACGGTTGACGGAATTTTTATTTCGAAAGTGCCGTTTTGCTAAATTATAGTGTGGTAAATGTGAAACTGTATTTTGTGTTGGCTTTTACGGTATCAGCTTATTATATTGTTAACATTAATTTTATAACAATAACCGCTGTATATCATAGGCACAAGTTGTTGATGGCAGACTCGCAGGGCTGCGCAGCCATAGTGTAAAGGATGTTTGTTTTGAATGAAATGCTTTTTAACAGCCTAGTCGCTGCATAGCTAATATCGATGAAAAGTTTTGCAGCATTGTTATTAAATTTTTTTATGAATTACCTGACTTGACGGCTATTTCGCTTATGTTGCGGATGTTGACACCGCTACTTAGTGCATACCACACGTCAGTATACTGCTTATTATTACTATTACTTCAGTATTTTTATCAGTGTGTATTTCTATCAGTGTTTCTGATAGTCTGCAGACTGCAGATAATACGTATATATTATGATGATTAGTATTAATATGCGGGGGTTCCGACTCCAGTTTAAAAAATTAATGAGTTTTTTTTGCAGTATGCTCCGGCGTTGACAAACAATGTTTCAGTTCAGGAAAAAGAGTTCAGCGGTCCCCAAAGGTATGGAAACACACACGTAGAAAATGTGTTACAGTATGTTTATGAACACTTGCATTACTTTTTTATGTTCTTGTTTCATTAGAATCCGAACGGAGAATTTACGTTAATCAGCACGACAAAAATGCTGAATTCCATTACGCGGTAAGAATATTTCCACGAACGTACGCTGGTTGAAAACGATAAAATTAATGAATGTTTTAGTGACTACCCTAGTAGACTAGAGTAACCGGTATAATAGCAGTCATCTAATTAAACATTTGGCGGAGAAGTCACGGCTCTTTGTTCATTTGACTTTTTTTATGTAATTAATATGTTCGATATTTCAGTAAAGTTGCTTATTCACAAGATCGGTTTCTGCTGACACGAATAGCAAACATGTACACTGTTAACTGTGTGTATTTTGCAGGACAACTACATCAAAACGTCGAAATACAACATTGTTACGTTTCTGCCAAAAAATCTGTTCGAGCAGTTTCAACGGCTGGCCAATTTTTACTTCTTGATATTGCTGATTCTTCAGGTACGTACAGAGTAGATCTAATATGAGTAAGTACTGTACCTATGCTGTAATAATTCCCTTGTCCAAGCTTTGAATGCAAGCTTATACTTGCTTTGAACTGTTTGTGTCGTCGCTTATTTACTGCTTGTTGCTTCTTGTTAAACGCCCTGAGATTAAGATTGCCTCGCAGCCGAGAGGCATTAAATTTGTACTTGCGAGTTGCGACACAAAAGCGTCGGTGTACCCTGGTTTTGAAAAAATGGCGCGTCTGTTTATGAAGTTTGTTATTTGGAAAATTGAGCATTCCAATTGGCTTGTAACTCTTACATCTATTGAAGCTACACTCGGTTAAACCTTAAATTGTAAGGCATCTTCACTGTGCAGTCGAACAGTTACAAAATGAATTATTATAGTATTTCACGCTTTGAGCTGTAAGAATTACTTATTTTGTAGGTCATTCCACAAATTTCATCCCTGACACCAATTACAACGGTAGTCCCTCTTGTCGCCGTGTTGACCTTGACAGCGTTGAAGGATGCCATGGATGATATTGTACGGACATTTAAGTTTTGCCATTAGGCTGCAGCGTTGTCAGAATATTTATGCATTTTGCCTGATCGGTAGCAACGCCACCGTAACGATAATCTTGTCAATGGTCGAATATCGTACGTTTTACGGGATGGAGACTTCCGAGAGGAGCGTTGGGATAAAGTGGTTGTTGGGGATATTATCCGGATGGAGAACGATCAATTTGTGGCTGCCGATCTTTTCTTATTGTCTTCCAGTGAACCGCATGGACTGTGTTATGTCGAGACAGCTGAATTAGATGGGTATGTTGGTGACTGAATTTACTTAGAAATGGATCGTGCCTTTGTACAATGGTTTACCATAAGCATAACACGTTTTTTAGAGAAACGAATCTAAAATCACGGCAGGCGCTTCCGGAGACGGGTGAATTGAACGATGATAAGGACGCAATGAGCCGTCTTCGCGCAGAAGTTGTCTGTGAGCCGCCCAACAATAATCTGAGCCGGTTCGAGGGAAAAATTACGTTTGACGGTAGGAAGGTTTTGCTGTTTGAAATGATTTGTTGAATACCAATTATCTGGGAGAACAGTCAGCTGCATTTGGAAATCATTTACCCATCCAGAAATACTGCACGGTCACGTAAACATTATTCTGTTTTGTAGGGTCTACTTACCCGTTGACAAACAACCAAGTTCTATTACGTGGCTGCGTGCTGCGGAATACGGCATGGTGTTACGGTGTGGTGCTTTTCGCGGGAAAGGATACAAAATTGATGCAAAACAGTGGCAAAACGAAGTTTAAACAAACTAGTATGGACCATTTGCTCAATTACATCATTATTGGGGTAAGCGATCCCGTAGTTGGTGTCTTATACTCAAGTGGACGTATTGATTATTGAGGAGCGGTTACGTATTGAAAATCGATGATTAGATTGTTTGTTTGCTACCCTGCAGATCGTGATATTCCTGCTTTCTATGTGCACCATTTGCACCGTTGCTTGTGGCATATGGGAAAGTCAAATTGGGATCAAGTTCCAAGTTATTCAGCCATGGGAGCAGTTTTTACAGCAAAAATCCGCAGGCAGTGCTATTACTATTATCGCGGTTTTGGTATTTTTCTCTTATGCCATTGTCTTAAATACCGTCGTGCCGATCTCGCTTTACGTGAGGTAAGTTGAGATTTTTTTATTTGACACTTTGCTGGCTCTTTGTAATAACTGTTTTAATTGTAGTGTGGAAATCATCCGCTTCACGCATAGCTTTTGGATAAATTGGGACCAAGATATGGTGTACAAGGACATCCATGCAAAAGCCCGCACTACAACGCTAAACGAAGAACTGGGCCAAATTGAATACATTTTCAGTGATAAAACCGGAACGCTTACTCAGGTGAAATTCGGAAGCCGCGCAAACTAATTTGAAAATATTATAATCCAGATAAGGCTGACATAAACTGGCCATGATGATGCTTTAAAGTCGAATTTCGTGATATTACAGTGCTTGTATTACGGTCACAAGCTTGTTTGCCTCTTATTTTTAGAATTTGTGTTGTTGCAGAATATAATGACCTTTAACAAGTGCTCTATAAGTGGGCGGCGGTACGGTGATTGCACGGATGAAAAAGGCGAAATAGTTGAACCTGGCGAAGAAGCACCGCTTTGTGACTTTTCGGAAAATCCTTACGCTGACAACGGATTCCGTTTCTTTGATAGCAAATTGCTGAAGGATGTTCAAAAGGGCGATAAAGACTGTGACATGTTTTTTCGAATTCTGTCGCTGTGCCATACCGTTATGCCCGATGAGAAGAACGGACGGCTGGTGTATCAGGCCCAATCTCCCGATGAAGGAGCGTTAGTGAATGCCGCACGGAATTTTGGATATGTTTTTCTGTACCGCACACCGAATTTGATCCGGGTGAAAATTGGGGAAGAAGAAGTGGAGTACGAGTTGTTACACATTTTGGACTTCAACAATGTTCGCAAACGCATGTCGGTAATTTTGCGGAAAGAAGGGAAAATCATACTGTATTGTAAAGGAGCCGATTCAATTATCATGGAACGATTGGCTAAGACCCCGAAGAACGACGAATTAAAGAATGTTGTCAACGAACATCTGCAGGCTTTTGCCTGTGAAGGTCTTCGGACGCTGTGTCTAGCTTGGAAGGAAATTGATCCATCACAGTACGGTGCCTGGCAAAAGAAATATCACGAAGCTACAGTGGCTATGGAAAACCGCGAAGAAACTGTTGATGCGGTATCCGAAGAGATTGAAAAAGATCTTATATTGGCTGGCGCCACAGCCATTGAAGATAAACTGCAAGAAGGTGTGCCGGATGCTATAGCCAGCCTGGCACAGGCTGATATAAAAATTTGGGTGCTTACTGGAGATAAACTGGAAACGGCCATAAATATTGGTTACTCGTGCCGATTGCTCACCGATGAGATGCGGGAAGTGTTCATTATTGATGCGGATGACGCTCTGGGTGTAAAAGATCAACTTGAGGTAATTTGTATATAGATGCTCATAATGCGGTGATTGCTGATTTGTTTGTTTATTAGAAAGCGCGACAGAAATTGCAGAATCCTGATAGCAGCCCTTTGCTGTCCCCAGCTGTGGAAGATGTGCCACGATCAAAATCAGGGATGTCCTTTCATACGGATATTGAGAACGGGCAGTTAGGAAATGGGAACATGGAAGCGGATGGAGCATGTGCCTTGGTTATTCAGGGCAAAAGTCTGGTAAGTACAATGTGAACTGGAAACAGTAACCTGCTTGGACTGTTTGGTTGGTTCTGCAGACTTCTGCTTGGCTTGCGACCTGTATCTTAAGCACTTGTTCAAATATCGTTCGAATAGGTGTGGCATTTTATTTTCTGGCATCTCGTAATCTGCTAATTTTGCTTTAAGGTCCACGCACTAGAAAAAGAATTGGAAGAATCATTTCTTGAGGTTGCATCGCTTTGCAAAGCTGTGATATGGTAAATGCCAGGTCTTCCCTGTTTACGTTGAAGACTTGTCTTTGAATCAGATTTATTCTGCAGTTGCCGCGTTACTCCACTCCAGAAAGCACTCGTTGTGGAACTTGTAAAAAAGTATAAAAAAGCTATAACGCTGGCTATTGGAGATGGTGCTAACGATGTCAGTATGATCAAAGGTGAGAAAGTTTTTACAGCGTCAGTAGTTGCTGTATTGGTTTGTATGCGCGTTTGTGCTGATGTATTTTGTATTTTTGTGTGTGTTACAGTTGCTCATATTGGTGTTGGAATAAGTGGACAAGAAGGAATGCAGGCTGTTCTTGCCAGCGATTTTTCTATTGGCCAGTTCCGTTTTCTGAAACGGCTCCTTTTGGTTCACGGTCGATGGTCGTATTACCGGATGTCAAAATTTCTGCGCTATTTTTTCTATAAAAATTTTGCATTCACTTTATGCCATATGTGGTATGCCTTTTATTGTGGGTTCACTGCACAGGTGAGATTACACTGCTTTGGAAATTACTTATCTGTTTCTCGAATGAAAGGTAATAATTTTACTTTTCAGACGGTATACGACCCATGGTTCATTAGTTTCTATAATTTATTCTACACGTCCCTTCCCATTCTGGCTCTTGGAGTATTTGATCAAGATGTAAATGACCGGAACTCCATTGAATTCCCAAAACTGTACACTCCTGGGCATCAGAATTTGTTATTCAATAAAGCCAAATTTTTGAGGGTAAGCCGGAAGGGGTGGCTAAGTCTTTATGCAGAAGATTATGGTATAAGTGGCGAATAGACACTTTTAGCGTCTGCTTGTCGGAATGGTCAACTAATTATGCTTGTATGCATTTTGCAGAGTATGTGCCATGGTATTGTGACATCTGTAGCTTTATTTTTTATTGCTTATGGTGCATTCCATTATTCCGTCGATGATCTCCAAGGGAATCAAGCTTTCGGCACTGCGCTGGCTACTATTCTAATAGTAACTGTGACGGTTCAGGTACACGGTTGATTAATTAATATTACTGTTTTTATGTCTGTTTTTATGTATGAATTTGTTCTGCTGAAAAATTTAATTTGTGACGTACTTTTTTCTTTAAATTTTCGTTGAAAATAATTGTTCTGCAGCAGTTAACACAATTATTTTCGTGTTGTACATTGTTGAAATGATTGTTCGTGTTTCAGGTCGCTCTGGATACAGCGTATTGGACTTTTTTCAACTTCTTAACCATTATCGGAAGCGTCGTGTTTTATTTTGCATTGACACTCTTTATGTACAGCAATTTATTCACCTCTTCATATCTTGGATCTGAGCGGAAAGTGTATTCGAATCCCGCGTTCTGGTTTACTTTAGTCTTGACTGTGGTGATACTCATGGTGCCCGTTGTCGCTGCGAGGTGAGAAAATACTCGTTGTAACTGCTTTCACTGCAGTTCGCCTTTTTTAAAATGTATTTTTTGATCGTTTTTATTTGCACCGTCATTTATTTGGTTTCTGACATGCCTTGTAGGTTCTTTTTAGTGGATACTAGACCCACGTTATCAGATCGGGTCCGATTAAGGCAGAAGAATGATTCGCGAATTAAGCGGTCACAAACTAGTCAGTTGGCAGCGCGGTCAAGTTATTCCGCACCAGGAACGCGTCGTCGGAAGCGTGGTCGTCAGTCAGTGCGCAGCAGCTACGCTTTTTCACATGAGAAAGGCTTCGGTGATCTGATTACGACGGGCACGAATATGCCGGGTGGAAAAGAAAGCGGGTCCGTGCGACTGTGGCCCAAGAAAGCTAGACGTCGAGCAGAGAACGGGAAGAGTCCGCTGGAAAGTGCCTTTGTGGCGGAAGAAACTCCCGTCAAAGAGATGGAAGAAGTCAAATTTTCCGGCATTGCCGATCAAGTGGATGGAGCGCAGCCTCTATCGAGACCGGTTCAGATTACGTCATTGTGATTGTCTGATATCGGTACTTGCAGCTGTGAGACAATTTTTGTGATGCATTTTCTTGTTGTCCAGCTATTATTGTAAGGATTGGGTTGGTGGATTGTATAATTTTTAGAGTACAGCCGTTTACTTTTATGCTTTCCGTATAGCCAAAGTTTTTCGTTGAGTGTTTTTGGAGATTATAATTTTGATTCTTGTTTACGGTTCGCTTGTCCTGTATCAGTATTAAGTGATGTTGCTGTTGAAATCAGTCGTTGATTGAATCAATAATCTGCTAATTTAAAATTTGCCGAACGTATTGTGATAATTAATTTTTAGAATTGAAACAAGAGCGGTTTCTTATAACAAAACCGGTTTATCTTGTAACCTTATAACAGGAGCGGTTTTACTGGGATAACAAAACTTCGTATTGGTACTGATCTTTCTTATGCTTCGCAATCTGGCGTAGTGTTAACTCGTTATAATCCGAACGTAAACAAAAATATGATAATTACAATCATTACGTTTTTTGCACACAGGAAAACTGAAAATGCACAATGCTCGCAACTTCAACTTCAGAGTAAAACCATTGTGAATTTGCTCATCCTGCCACAATCCACAGAAAAACAATAACAAACGAATATATGTAATATAATCCACAGTGCACATCCGGAAATCCATGAGATGCCGTAACTTAAGGGATGGTTTTTTTCCAAATGCTTCGAGAGTTCGCCTTTACTGCTTCATTTCCTGCCTCCTTTGACGAACGCCCATGTTACGTGGATCGCAACACCCAAAAGTTCTTTTCCGTTCATGGAGCTTATAGCCCTTTCTGCCTCACTGTGCGTTTCATATTCCACCAGCGCGTATCCCTATCACAAGCAGAAAATTACAAGATCAAGTTCAAATTTTTCCATTTTTAACGTAATTAATATCTATAATCTACTACAATCTCGCAAACCAGATACGGTAACTGAATTATACATGCTCGTTCCACGAAAAGAAATGTCAGCTTTGCTGCCTTTGCCTTTTTGTAATCAAAACTTGTGCCGTAATTTCCCGTGTCATGCACTACGAAGCTTTAATGATGTACCTTGATGAATCCCGTTCGGCGATCTTGATTCAAATGGAGATTTTTTATGGTTCCGTATTCCTGGAATGCGTCGATTATGTTTTCTTCGCTGGTTTCTTCGTGAAGATTGTTGATAAATATGATCCATCCCTCAATAGCTGTAAAGGCAATCAGTAAGATCCTTCGCTTTGCGAATTACTCCAAAGAGCCGATTGTTACACTTACACTTTTGCGGCTGAAATCGTGCGTTGGTGTGCACACTTCCATCATCGTAACGCTCACCCGGACCCACTCCGTCGCGACCCACCCGACTCGTATCTAAATCCGTAAAATAATGGCATAAAAACCCCTTCGTTCAAATTTCCGTGATTCACAGTTAGGTAGTGGTAGTACCATTAAATCCACGGCCCTTTTTTACAGTTGCTTTTTCTTTCATCTGCTCCACGGAACCTACACACAACCGATCTCAACGTTTCAAAACAGGAACTCTCACCCAACCAAATCTCTTACTGCTTTGACGCACATCCTACAAACTTTGTATAAACAGTAAACAAAATCATTTTCTTACGTTCCAGATCTGTTTCTCCCATTTCGAAGTCTGTGGACATTGCGTGTATTTGAAGCTCCATGTTGGCAGTATCCATGTTTCCGGATTGTCAGCAGGGACAGGAATGAGTTCCTCACAGCCCCACTAAGTTGACAAAAAGGTAAGTTTAAGGTAACTGAATAACGTTATAGAGTTATGCTGCTCTTCTACTGAAATCCAAACAAGTTTTCTAGATAAAATTTAAATCGGAGATTTTTCAAAACTAAAGTGTAGAGCAAGATGCTGCAAGAAACAGAAACATAATACTCGTACGGGCCGCCGTGTGCTGTATATTTGAACTCATTCGCAGAGTGTGTTTATTAGCTGCAGCGTATGCTGCAAGCGTCGTCAGTGCGCCCGCCCGGGTTCTGATCTTGCACTTGCCTACCTACCGCTTTAGAGAGCGGCCAAGGGTCAGTCTGCGCACACTTCTATAATGGTGCAGCACCGATACACATGCCGTGCAATGTAGAATTCAATAAGTACCTATCTTTCAGCAAAAACAAATTACACTGACGTTATTCACTTTTCCGGTATTTGTTTGCCCTCGTATTTTTAAAAGTACTTACTGAATATCAACCAGTTAGAGAGAAAAAATGGACAAACGATCAAGCCAGTATGCAAATTCGCATCTCCAGCATCAAGTTGGCAGCGAATTTCACAAAAGGGATCTGCTGGATGTGCTGGAAAGTGCTACGGATAAGAACGGGTCACGACTGTCCAAACGCCGTGATTATCGCGCGGCACTGAGACCCGCTAAGCGCCAAAACACCAAAAACGTGGAAGAAGCCATTGCTTACGCGATCCGCTGGAAAGAACAGCTGCAAGGGAAGTCAGATATGCGCGCATCACTTCCTGCTCCGGTACGACCGTCCCGGCCGGTACGTGTTGTCTTTGACATACTATCCATCACAATTCCTGCGCTTTAAACTCGTGTGCATATTGCCAGTCAGTCTATAGCAAGTAGCAAATTAGCAACTGAATGTTTTTATATACGAATGTGCTAGTCATCAAACTTATCCCCTTTTAGTTGGGCCCAATATTTGGAAACATCCGAGTGTCCGATCGCATGCGTCGAGGCAAAGCGGAAGATCTTCTCGGCAAGAAAGGTGAGAAACCCAGTTCAGTTGAATATACTCGTGTGACAGCGCTGCCGACTACGGTTGTAGATTGTAATTAACGCAGCTGTGACCAACTGCGCAATTAAAATACCAAAAATCTGAAGCATAGTTAATACCATTTAATTATAATTATTTTAATCCAGTATCTGGTACTTGCTGTTCAAAAATAGGAAGTGATGTTGTTTGTAAATTTCGTCTAAAAGCCTTGTAGGGCGCCACATGCAAGTGGTGTGCGGTGTAGCTACTTTAGTCTACTTAACATAACGAAGTTAATATTGTAGACGTTACCGGACAAAACTGCCTGCCCAATCTGGCGCTCCAGTCACCCTATTTCGTCCAACCGCCAAAATCACTGCATTTGCCGCTTAGTGAGCCTGCTCCATCCTCTTTTTTGGATAAAATACCGGAAAACGATCAGCTCTCACGACCGCAGACAGACGAGGAGGTTCGCGAACAACACAGCAGCGCCTTTGCCATTTCTTCCGACAGCGGTGATTCGAAGAAAAATGTCCCTTTTGCTTGTTCCATGGGAAGCAGAAATTCGATTTTCACATTCACCCCCAGCATCAAGTTAGCCGAAATGGCAGAATCGAATGACTTTATCTTCAGGTGAGTGTAATGACTATTTCTTACGGCGCTTTCCTTGCAACGAGTGGTTTCCAAAAAATGTTTTTCGTATACTATGGCCAAGTTAAATTTTTTATAGCCCGAAATACGCTGATTCACTACGCCAGCTCCCTGAGTTGCGGCATAAAGTAGAAGTGGCCATGTCCAGCGGCCGTTCCCTGCCCTTTCTTCCTGCACATCTGGAATAGCGCACATTGCGACATGATGACCTTCAAGAGAACTGATTGTTGAATTCTTTGTCGCTGTAGTTGGCGGCATAGATGTACGCGCTCGAACCAGCGTGCCGCAAGAGGCTTAAAAAGTAGTTGTATTTTTAGTGTTGAAGATTCCTTCTTTGGTATGCTTTGCTGTACCTATATACTTGCTATAACAGCCGCCCGTAATACTCGTAATTCTGACAAATTAAACAGTGAACTTTGGGGCTAGTTCTATGTTTTCTTAATCATTTTATTGTTTTGTTTATTTTCAGTAGCACGTTTTTGAATGGCAAAATAACCTTGTTGTTTCTTAATTATGGTCAGTTCAATAACAGTATTAAAGCGAAATCATTTGGAAGCGGAACAACTGCTTACTGTTTAGTTCTGTATTTTGCACGAGACCGTCCATCAAATTCAAAGCAAGTGTGCGAAAAAAAGTCGCAGGCTGTAAAAATTATTGCAGAAGGTTCAAACAAGAAAACAGTCCAAATTGTTACACGTCACGGGTGCGCATCTTGGTCGGTAAATTTACTTAGCAAAAGTATATCATTGCAGGTTTGCAGCTGCAACCTGGAAAATATAACAAAGTCTCATCTCGAGAAAGAAATTCGATTCCTTTACAATCGTATTGTACTGGATCCCATGCTTACAGGTTATACCACTAAGATTATTGTATTATATGGAAGAAAACGCAAGGCAGACAATACGATCAAGGTGCCGGTCTTCCTTTTCCGGCGGGGATCACCATTGTGTACTTGCCGGTGGCGGTAGTATTGGGTGCAGCGAATGCATTTTCCTTCCATACTTACAGCACTTTTTACATTTCGCATTTATAAGCCTATTTTCGGACAGAAGACTTCTAGCATAGTGTAAAAAGTATTGAAATGGTAAGAAGTAGGCGCTGGGCTGCTTCTAAACTGTTTACACTATGTCAACGGAACACACACTGATGATGCCCCAATGTGTAACCTGATCGTGGATATTTGCACATCGTTAGCAGCGGAAGTGCGCAGAAAGGCTGGATAGAGCAAGGGATGACTGGACATGATAGTCAGACATATGTCCATGTATTTAGTGCCGGAAATCAGAAATACATTTTAATCCTTCTTTGTCCAGCGGGTCGGATCTGGTTTTGGGTTTATGTGCGCAAAGTGTCAAGCGTACATGCAGTGTAATTCGGAAAAAGATTAACTTGTGTTTGACACGGGTGTAGAATTACAGATTTTGAGCACAATGGGATTTGAGGCCAGTTGCTACACTACATATACATGCCGGCAAGCGCAAGTATTATTGGTAATAATCATAATCATAACCTGTCACCAAAAGTTCACATCGCGACTGAATGTCGATCTCAAATGCAAAAACTGAAGGGATAATTCGCTGATACTGTCCCATCTCTGACTTGTACTCTGTACGTGCAAGAGGATGCACATGTACGAATACTGCTGCAGAGGCCGAATAACGCAATTATCTTTTTAAAAAATATATCTCAGGTGTAGGTATTAACAGACCATAATATTAATAAAATGTAATACGAATAGTTGCACTTTGTACAGTACGTAACACTAGTATTTCCTTTTCTGGCATTGTAATGGGCCAGTTATGATCAGCAGCCATTGGTTAAAAATTACCGTATTATATGCATGCAGGTTTTGATTTTACCGTAGTAGATTCAATGCTCCCTGACGGCGAGTAGAAGTATACAACTGAAGGACACACAATATTTTTACTCGAATTTTATTTTGAGGATTGAAGACCGAGCACGAGCACCGCTGAAGTGGGTATTGACAAAATATCCTTCACCTATTTCGAGAACAAAGTATCCGCCGGTGCCAGATTTCTTGCCGTTAGATTTAGAGGGCCACTTCTCAGTGTACTTTCATATTTTAACCATAAAAGCGGCATTCATACACTTTGAAGTCTCCCTTTCCAATGGATGATCTTATTCAGCGGGAAGGTGAGAAAGCGCACACTCATGGCAGTGGGCAGCAATAAATGACCATATTATCATGACGCAATATCTGCTCAGACGCAATAAAGGCGTATAAAGCATTATTGGATATTAACAATGTAAATATTTAGGTGTGGCTAGCTGTACGTAAATTACAACTTTTTAAAAATAATTTTAAAAACTTTTTCAATGAGGTCACGACATGAATGCTTTGTTTCACTCAGAGTGGAGGCAGTCACAATTTTTATATAATAAAAACTATCTGGCTTCCTGTTATGCCACATTTCGTTAGCGTTTCAGCAAACTGCAGATATTGACCCGCATTTGCATTTAATTTTATTTTCATTCCACATCCAGAGCTGACATTGAATTGTGCTATGGCACTGATCACTATATGAACCTTAAAATCACCGACTATAACTGGAGTTTACCATTTCACGGAAGCGAACAACTGCTGACGGCTGTGGATTGTACTAGGCTTAATGGTTAATATCAATTAAGCATGCATTTTGGGAGTTACGGGAATTTGTTGAAGGAACATTTTACTAATTATTATTGCTTTTAAATTCGTAATCAAGTGCTACTGTTCACGCGCACAGTGTCGACCACTTTTAAAATGTGTTACTAAAAAGTTTTAAAAAGCATTTATTTCATTTTTCTATCTCCAAATTCAGAACTCGTAACGAAGTTGTCCATTTGCACGTCCTACTATAGCACAATGGCATAAGTGCATGAACGATGTATTGTACAATATATACTCGTATCTATAGTCTGCAGTACCGGATGTGCGCATCCCACTCGAAATAATTAGCTTCAGTTCGTCATATTAATATAAAAATACTTAATTAATTCAATAGTGCCTGTGCATACTGTATGACTATATGGAGTACATCAATTAGCGAAGTGACTTTTATTTAGGGACGGGTAATTAATGATATCATTTCATCTTGTAGGATCGGAAAAGTAAATTAAAAATTGATTATATTTTGAAATGTCCAACTTTTGTCACAGTAGGTTATGCATGACATCAATAAGAAGGCTTTTTGAACAGGCAACAGTTGTAGTAATGATTCTGTAGAGTAGGTTTTATGGATTGTTATAAATTTAAAAGCAGGCAGCCATTTGGAAATGCAGGACACACTGGCAAACGCTAAGTGAAATACACCATATATTCATGTGTATGGAAAATATTTGCGTGCGATTACTTTCAGCAGCGCTGATTGCCGGAAAGCAGCCACACATAAATTTATCAAGCATCCCATCGCAATTTTAAAACTATTATCCTGGCTGGAACGTTGTCGATGTTTAAATTAGATAGTAACTTTTGTACCATTACTGCATGTGCATGTCTGCATGATGGGTATAAAGTATATGTATCCAGCCAGCGCCGGTGATCCGTTAGGCACAGTTACACATATAAGGAATGGAAAGAAATTTCCCCGCTCCATTCCTTACACGCTAAATTATAAAGTCACTAAAAAAATTTTGATCTAAATTTACCAGTGATCTTGATATACTGTACTTCACGATGCTACATTACAATGAGGAAATCCGGTTTATGATACCTGTGCTTCTAGTCTCGATCCTATATGAAGTTTATATGAACTTTTCGTTTGGTTGACATTATTTTGTCGTACCGAAGATAACCTCCAATAAGTTTCTTCAATAAGTTCACTTCAATAATAATCTAGTTATATACAAATACGTTCCAAATCGTAATTATTATATTGTGTATTTGGTAACTGCATTCAGATTGTCAGGGCCTAGCTTGTAATAATACAATATACACACATACCGCTTTGATAAAAGAGTAACATTTTTGTCGCCATGTAGTCAGTTGCTCTTATTCGAAAGTTATTATAATAATAAGACGTATTCCTAGGGTGTACACTGTATCGACAATGTTAACGATAAAATAATTAATTCAGGACAGCAAAGCCTCCACCGATCCGACTAGTGCAACTTCAACAGTAGTTTTATCTGACTTTCAAGCTGCGGTAGGAGTTAGTTTGGCTAGTCCGAAGCGCAGTATCGTAATTGTCCGAAATTACGTGGGAATTACGATACACAGGACTGGCAATAAATATTATTTATGCGCAATGTTAATTAAGATTCGCCGTGGGTGTGTAGAATGGAAGTAAATTTGTTGCAATAAACGCTGATGAGCATTCGCTTGGGCTACTCTACTATTAATAATTTACTACTAACCACTTTTTAACAGACTACCCGGAGGTCAATTAAGTAGCAAGGAATTGCATGACACTAATCATGTTAATTCATCTCAATTTACTTCCAATTAGCAAGTCGTCTTGTTGTCCTTATCAGTAGTAGGTAGGATATAATTAAGTATCTTCCTGGTTCCAGTGTAAGATGAACTAATTAGGCGATAATAGTGACATACTGGGTTATAGACTGGTAGTGTGAATGTCGAAAGCACTAAACAAGTGAAGTCTGGTCAGCACTGGCAGTGACCTATAGTGTAATCTCCCACATCCTGATCATGATGCCGATAACAATATCCATCTTCCAAAGGGATGTAAACGGATTTTATAAAAATGTTGTTGCTAGAAAATTAGCTGGAAGAAAAGAACTCAACTAGTTGTAGTAATGATTTCATAATGGTACAATGCTGCAGCTAATCTATCATACAGTATAAGAATACATAATTCTAATTACACTGATACAGTACGGCGCAGAAAAAGCTGTGTTTCGAATCGACGGTATCCTTCACTACTTTGTACATAGGGCAGGACGTAAAGGTAAATTTTGCATCCTTAGCTATCGGTCATTCGCTTTTTTTTGCACCCAAATATGATATTAAAGAGCTACATTTTCCTTTTACTAACTTCCGCGGCGTTCCGCAGGTTTCAATAAATTACGCGTTAATGGTCCAGCCTTCTCAGCAAGCTTTAAATAATATTACTCTTATATAGATTTAGCCGGGCTTGCAGTTCCAAACTCCCGGCACTTTAAATTCATTCAAAAAATGGATACGGAGCGCAATATTCGGCAGTGCAACATGGTGTTTTGCATTTGTCACATTTGTCGAAAATTCTACTATCATGCAAATACAGCAGCGCAAATAAAACATTTCTGTTTAATAGATTCCTTTGTACCGGAATGCATAATAACGAAGCGTTTGCCACTCACTGTGCTGCTAGAGTATGATGTACAATAATATAAATATAACACATCTGCCGATTGCGACTGAACATTCTAAGAAAAATCATTCAAATGTGCATTTTAATCATTAATTTGATAAATTATTACAGCAATAGTAGCGGGACAGTACCGTTCATCATAGATCACTGAGCAATTCTTATTTCACTGTATACAATTTCTATGTCGCAGTATTGATTGCTTGGACGAGACGATACAGTACAATTTACTTATGGACATCATTTGGATAGAATGAATGCGGGACGTGGTCGTGTAGTAAATATTGCAGAATGAATACGGTGTCGAAAAAGTGTGTTGGGCGCCATTCGAAGACTTTAATGACACTGCTTCTCATTAGCAATATAAAAGAAGAACGCTTCGTTTAATTGCTAAAGACGCATCACATACTAAATCAATATGCCAGTTGATATTGTGCGATCCAGGATATGTCCATTGAACTAGCCAATAAGCTTATTAATTCAATATGCAGCCAGCGGGATGTAAGCACAACCAGAATCCATAACCTTAAGTTAATTTATGCCATTTTTGTAAAGCGGAGTTGTCATATTACGGTAGAAATACTTCTTAAGCTTGCGACATGCAGAAGCAAATAATACTTTCTATCAAAATTTTGGAACTCACACTAAAAAATCAGACTCTGCTATGGTAATCATTTCCAGTTGTATTTGTGTAATTTTAATCATGATAGCTTTTGTAGCAGTTTATTAACATAGCCGCTATGGCACTTAAGGCCGAAAATTATGGCTCTTCTGAAAATTAAGGAATTATTGCTTTCGAACATGAAAAATGCGCATAAAATGTATACGGTGCATAAACACTGGGCGCACATATTGAACTCAAAAGCAGGTAATTCTATTCCATCTTATTATCGCGGCGAAAGGTACAGCGAAAATTGTTTTGGATCATATAGACTGACTGTATAGATTGCATGGGTCAGCGCCCCTCTGGAGATTCTCTAAAAAGAGTTGATTTGCGATAAAGGCAGGTGTTATTGTCTGCTGGAGCTGAAATCCGATAGTACACCCAGGTTGATAGTGCTTTCCTTGTATAGTACTTTGCAGCTCCAGCGCCCGGCGATAGCTAAAGCTGCAACTCACTAGATCCGACGCGATTAGAGAGTGAACGCATTTGCTTGATTATTCCGTGCTTCCTTCTGGACTGGATAAGTCAGAAGGTAGCGTAGAACTGGATACGGAATTTGGTGCGTGTTGGTAACTGTCGTCGCCGCCTAAATCATACATATCCCCGCCGCCGGGATGACCGCCGTAATCCTGCCCGTGCTGCAACATCCCGCCCATGGTTGGATCAGCAAAGCCATGTAGCTGCCAATAAAACGGAAATGAAACACAGCACGTGTAAAAATGCATTTAATGGCATGAAATCTTGACCTTATAACTACGTATGTAAAACATACATATAGATATACAAAAAACCAAGCATCATTATACTACGTACATAATGTTGATGTGCCTTTTATGTAGTATCACTGTCTGTCTATCACATTAAATTTTCAGCAATAATCAGGTCAATCATCGTAGCTAGAATATTATAATATGTTCTTCGAATTGCACGTTTTGATGGTGATGAGTCGCACCTCTTATTTAATAATACCACTATGACTAAATCTAATTTTATGCGATATTATTATTTTAAATGTACGTACGAGCATGTTCCGCTAGAAAATACGGTTGGCAAAATACTATTGACGGTAAGGATAACTAGGCCAGATCAGCGGCTAGTTTATGTATTTTGTCCATGTTGCCGGGTTGGTCTTGCTGATGTTTAGTCTGCTCTATTGTTTAACTTGAAAATTCCAGTAATTCGATCCTTTTCATCTCGATCTTTCTGTTACCGATACGCATGGTTTCTCCATTCTCATTTTACTCTCTCATAGAGCGGCACATATTTAGGCCTAAGATGCACAGCGTATAATATAATCCAAGTTTGCTATGCACTGTTTGATAATTTACACAAACGTATTTTCTAGCAGGCGATCACATTTCCCTTCGACTTAAGCGACATAATTTCCCTATGGCATAAACAGATTCCACACAGGTTTCTGATTCCCGCGGTGCGTCGCCGTAATGTACACTCTTCACTGTAACACTGCGCGCGGACATGGTTATGCTCGATAGGCTTACCAGTTGTTGAAATGCATTTGTTGGATCGTGTCCATGGTCGCCGGGTAGTCCAACCGATCCGTTCATTGGATGCCGTACTAGATCGTTTTGCACAGCAAAATTTTCCAACGCCTTCCACGCTGGCTGTGGTTGATGGTAACTTCTAATATCCACCGGATTTATTTGAAGATGTGGATCACCAACATGACGCACCGGGCTTCCCGCTACCATTGCCACACCTTGCATTCCCTGAATTGCCGCTAATCGCTGGCCATTCTGAAAATCCAAAGTTGGCTTACTAATTACTATGTCCACAAATTTAATTATACTGTTTTAAGAAATCAGTATAAGATAACATTGGTTTCGAAATACTTCTAGAATATTACACATGCAAAAACGGAACCAAATTACCCATTTACTAATTTCTAAAATTAATTTTCTTCGATATATGGAGCGTAATACATGCATTTACATAAGCCCCTTATAAATTTCACTACCGCTGTACGACTCGGTGTATTGCAAACTCATTTTCTGCGATTTCTGTATGCTGACAAGCGACGGTTGATTGTGCTGCAAAGGTCATGATTGTGATAAGATGTTCGAGGGCTGGCTGAGTCGACTCTCGACTTGCATCAACGGGCTTACTTCGTTACTGCTATGCAGTGTAGCAATGCATGGGAATAATACCAAGCCATGCCCGATGACATTTTAATCTGGTTCAAATATTCGATATCTCAATCGATAGAGAAGAATGAGAAAATGTTTGCCAATGCATGAGGGCGAAAGCCGGATGCTGACTAGCTCTGAGCCAGCTTTCTATGATGCTAGGGATGTGTTGTCGGCACAGGGCGTCAGCACAGAAAGCGGGCACTGCACGTACGGAGAGAGTGAAAATGTGAAATCTCAGTACCAAATAATACACGCTGATTCCAGATGCTGCTGCTCGGGTCTCGCTTGCGGGTTAAGAATGAGACTGCTTGCATAAATATGATTGAGATTTATTTGCTTAAAACCTCTGTCACAAATGCACTTTGTCCTTGGTTATCTTCCCAGGGAGGATGATTCTCCTGCTGGGTTAGATATATAGACCACAACCGGCTCGCACTGGATCCCACCATAGCCAGCCTTGCGCAAATAAGAAAGGATAACAAACATTACTAGCATAGGTATTCCTTATTTCTCGGGGTAGAACAGATGCGATGTGACCGCAGTTATTACGTAAATGAATCGTGAATATTCTTAATGCATCAGCCTGTGAAAATCATGTGCTAAAGGTTAAAAAGAAAGCTAATGAGAACAATTTGCTACAAAAACTGCGAACTTTTACATGTGTAGTGAAGACAAGAAATGTAGGCTACATTACTTCATAACAAAACAATGGTCTTGATGTTTTGACTTCACGCGGTACACTTCTAGAACGCATGCTCAGAACATAGCAAATGAAGCGCTTTGCTATAACATTCGCTCTTATAACCCTACTGCTGGTACCATAGGACAGTCTGTATGTTGTTGAAAAACTTGTTGTAAAGAACGCTAATCTACAGTATAATAATATTACAGATATGCTTTTTCTTACAACATACTTGTTGCAGTATATCTGTTACTATATTCAATTAATGTACCATAAGGAAATTAATGTACCATAAGGACCAAGAATGATTAAATAAAATCTTGGCGCTAACAACATCAAAGGCTGAAGACAGAAGTTACGCTAATACGAATCCTGTAACTTCACTACTCCTATGCTACTCATACTAACAAAAGAAATGCAGGTGCGCGCATAGCTGTGTTCAAATAAGGCCACCGATACGCAAACATTTTCTTTTGGTGAAATAAACACAATCTGAAACACGTACGAGTATCAGCTAGGCTATTGTTCTGAAGCAACCTTGTTAAAAGTGCACGAACACTTCATTCTCCGTACACATCAGGTCAAGTTAATTAGAATTGTTTCTGTGAACCGATGTCAGTCAAGGATACGCAGTCTATCAACAGTCGAATATACCACTTTGTCGAAGTAAAGACCATCGGATATCATGCTAATTGATAGATAAAACATGTACGTCATCAAGCAATGCACTTCATTCAGTTCAAATTGTTCTTGTTGGCATTAACGAAAACAATTATAAAAATCTTAACTACCTTGTCCTTACACAGCCCAACAGAAACTATGCAGTGGCGGTGGGAGGGTAATTAAAAAAACTACGTTATTATTAGTTATGTATCTGTGATTACTGTATTCGTCAACTTGCGAAGTGCGGAGCTTCTGGTTGCTTTTGATTTATTGTGCGGCAACGCCCGTCATGTCGGTAGCGGTGTTTAAATAGATATGTCTAACAATGTTATAGATCGCCAACAGTGCGCTCACACCAAAGTGAGCGGAAAATAGAAAGAAATAATAGAAGTTATGGACAATCAGCTAATAATATGTCCAGCATCGGTCTGACTTGTGCCGCCCTCCGGGAACGGCGTCATGTCATTTATGACGGCAAATTAAAATCACTCAACAATGCCCATATCGGACACTAGGCTTTTTCATACCCAGCTAAGAATGGACACCCCGACCGTATCCTGACAATTCTGACCATGTCACGTTTACTGTATGCAGTGGTATTAATACAATACAGCGCAGTTTGAAAAGACAGGGCGAAATCTGACTGAGCATGACGTACTCTTTCAAAAGTCGGCCGGTCACTGCGAATGATTGTTGGCCAAGTGAAAATTGACTGCTCTTTCAATTCACATCAACTGACACGTGGCCAGGTAGCGGAACATGGACAGCCAGCATAATTATTTCATTATGGGTTTTATTGAGCCTTCATTTGTCCATGGGGAGAGAAAGCGCTACCGCCACACACACTCATACCACACCAGCGCGACTGCAGCACCCTGAGAAAGTGCGCCAAAACATTTACTCAACCCTTATTGAATCAGATCATCAAGCGAAATAAAATCTAAATAATCACACAGCCGCCCCTAAGCGTGGCGGCACTTGTTGTCCAGGTTGCAACATTTTCCAGGACAGTATAAAATTAATTACACTCGACGCCCAGCCATACGCGTCTAAGTACTGCAAATACAACAATACATTCACTGAGACACTGCATACACATGTGACATGACAAAATGTTGTGGTATGTGCATGGAACAATAATATGATGAGTGTCCTGTGCTACCCGCATCTTTTCTGGTTCCCGTGCAATGGAGCATAGGCACACTTAAAGGCCGGGAGCGGACGAGTAGCCTGATCGGAAATGTTACGCTTCACGCTCCAGAAACATTCAGGCTCTAACTCGACCCATCATTTAAATCAATTATAAGCCAATTAATATGCCGATCCATCCCGGCGTCACTTATAACTGATTTCTTAATTTTTCCGCCATCTGTCACCACGTTTCTCGAGCATATTTGACGAATAAGTCGTTTTTCTAATACTGTACCACTGAAAATATTTCGGAGATTCATAAGTTCGGAACTATTAAATTAATGCTGCCGACAGACTTTGTATCAGCAGACATCATCTGGTTTCCTTATTGTTGTTTTGACAATATTGACATATTACGAAACCGGGATAAATTATTGCGTACAGAAAAAGGTTGTCACATATATTGATAAATTGGCTAATTTAATCTTGATATACTGTCTTTTGGCGCAAGCAGTACCTAATAAGACAAAGCATCGCACACGACCGAAAGTCAACTTGTCAGCCATCAATTAATACCCACAGCAGTCTGACAATAGCCATTGTGATTATTGGTCCTGTCATATACAGTAGTCGTCTACAGCATAGCGTGTGTCGGCCGGTAGCGCGTAGCATGCAGACTCAAAGCATGTTGCACGTTAGATCCAATGCGCCAAAGGCTACCGGTTAGCAGTCAAGTTAGCCCCAGGGGGAATGCCGAGGACATAAATTCGCACGAAACAATATGCCTAAGCGAATTAAGGGTGCAAGAAAAAAGACAAAGCGCATAATCAGTTTATACGGCCTTCGAAACGGCCAGCAGTCATTTTCCTGCTGCACACACACAGCACTGCTAGAAGAACTTTACACGTCAACACAATTAATCAACTTCCTGTGTTTTAACGCAGCCAAGTTGAAGTTGCGTGTCAAACTCACTGAAGAACGACCGGCTTCCTGCTCGCAATGATGGAATTGTTTCGAGTCCGACAATTTCCCAGGTGTTTTCAGGGGAAACTCTCGGGGGATTACTCATGCACGCTACACCTATTTTTCTTTTACGCTACCCGGCCTGTGCAAACCGGCAGAAAATCGATATTAAGACAATCAGACCCGGCCAAAATGGCGGCAAGCCAACTGCCTGTGCCTGTACTTTTAAGCACAATTAAACGAAACGTTATATAGATTAACATGAACATACAAACGACACAGTTCCCGCGCGCACACTAACAACGAAAAGTTATTTACAGTACTATAGTTCTAATCTCTAGCGTTTTATTCTGTTAGACCATTTCTTCAGCATTGCCATACACTACGTGATTAGACACTCGATTGACAAAGATTGCGATCTAAGCAGTATGTAATGATATAGAAATACAAACAGAATGCTGTTTGGCTTACCTTTTCTTGCTGTTGTATTTGCTTCATAAGCATTTGTTTCTTTTTGTCTTTGCAGCGTTTATTCTGTCAAGCACAAGGAAAAGTGTCAATATTAACCGTACAAGTTTTGTTGAATTATCACATATACTTATTCAGCCTCTGTCTACTGCAAGTGCGCATACATATCGTTTTGTGTCAACAAGGATTTCGTACATGAGTGCACACTGCTGTTTACTAGACAGAAAACACTACTGTACACAGAAATCTGTCCCGTAACCAAATACGGGACTTTTGCTATTGTTCTCTCGATTCCCAACGCTTACCTGAAACCACACTCGAATAACCCGTGGACTCAGCCCGGTCATATCGACCAAATGCTCCTTCATCAGCGCATCGGGACGCGGGTTCATATTGTAGAGATTACGCAGTGTACTCAACTGTTTTTCGTTTAACACGGTGCGCACACGTGTCGTTTTGGTTTCCTTGCCGTGTTTGCCGCCGGTTGTGCGATGATGCGTATCACGGGTGCCCGTTGTCGTGTGTTTGGAACTGGGGACAGCGCTATTGTGATTATTGCCCGTCGGAACTGCCACTGTGCCACCGCTGCTGTTGGGCGAGCCGGATCCGGGACTGCGAGATCCATTTAATGCTGCCAAGCCATCGACGGTCGTGTGCGGCGGTGTCGTGGCGTTTTCTGTCAATTCACAAATGAAATACTCACGTACTGTGTGGTAGAATGCTTCAAAAAATTGCATCAGATTTAGTCTGACAGCTGGCAGCGGCTAATCACGCTGGCCAGTCTAAATCACAACTAATTATACATCTAAGGGGAAAATGTCGTGCGTGACGCTTATTTGGAGATAACCTTTTCTCAATTGCTGATAAAAATCACTTGCAATTTGCAAACCGAATGCGAATATGACAGCATTTTATATTGTGTCTGTGGATACAACATTAGGATGCTCAAGTCAAGTGCATAAATTATTGTAGTCAATGGAGTAGGCTACCACGGATCAAACCTTTATGTGACACCCTATAACAATATAATACGAAGCCAACCTTCGTTTAAATGTAGAAAAAATGTATTGCAGGTGTACAAATACTGCAAGGAAATACGTGTAATGGATAGACTTTTCCCACTTGCACGTATAAGATTTCATGTCTATTATGCTTTAATAGGAAATTTATTGCATAATAATTCGACTTAACAACAGAGTACAGTATTGCATTTTAAAAGTTTAGTTTTTTTAACAATTATGCCGTCCGAATGATCTATTGTATCAGCTTCAAGCGCAAACGCGCAGTTTGCTGACGAAGTACAAGTCTTTAGAACTGCATTACACGAAACAAATTATTATACAGTACTTCTATACTTCGCTATTCCATTTCGTTTTTCCATAATTATGCCTGCAGAATTCATTAGTGATTCTAGCGTTATTTGCAAGAACACACAACCGCAACCAGAGCGGCGATGCTATGGAACTGCTCTATTGCTCCATGATAAGACTCCCATCAGTTCAATATGCATACCATACCGTGGCTCGCAAATTGTGTTAGATGTAAGCTAAACTGTTTACGAAGTTCGTACTTGTTCTGTCACTGTCGCATTAATCAAAATCAGCGCGACATCAAGCTTTATTCAGCTTGACAAAAGTATCCGTCAAGTGCAAATCTGCCCTGCCGCTTGAAGTTCTGTATTTTATTCATTTGTATGGATGACTAGACTCCAATGCTAAGCGCCATCGTGGTAAACTGTTGTTCTGCTTGTATATTTCATAAAGCTTTCCTAACGTTCTCCTGTAGTGTTTACCCATTTCAAGATCCTGTCGAATCTTACCGAAAGATTTGTCCCTTTTCCGAACTGGTTTGGAACAGAAGGAAAGATCTGCGTCCGCCATCTCTGCTTTCAGTGTTGGTTCGAAATGTATTTTGCAATAAAGCATTTCTTCTTTTAATCCAAACTCGTCGCCTATATACCACATACGCACAAATTACGTTATTTATTAAGCATTAGCGGACACAAAACTGCTAATTATAAAAAGTGGTAAATAATATTGACCGCATATGATTTGGCTTCGATTTGCCCTTACCTGTACACAAGGAATTGTCACAAGCCGAACACCGAAAACATTCCAAATGATAGATAAAATGCCGTGCGCGCATCACTGTGTCGTCTTTTCGAAAGGACACTTTGCATTTGGCGCAGCTTTTAAAATTTCTGAAACACAAAAACGCATGCAAGGTTCTGAAAATACGTTTACTTTTGCAAAGTTAACATGTTTTTTCAGTAAATTTAAAGGTTACTAGTAACCTGATGACCAGAAATTAGTGGATTTGAAGATTATCGTTAACGCAAAGGTTCTACAATCTTTAAGATATCAGTCTAGGTATTTTCTGACAAAATTAATACTTTGATTAACGTATCTAAAAATTTTGTTGTGGCTGTCAGAAACCGTATGCTATATAAGATAAACTTTTATGAAGTGCAATAGTTGCGTTCAATGACATTTCGTACTATGGTTAGACACATTGCAGATACTTCATTATGTGAGTCCCGAACAGGTTACAACGTTATTTGCTGTTTCCTTGTGGAAGTTGTTACTGTCAAGTGCCAGCACACTTTACAACTGGTGCGATTTGCGGAAGCTAATAAAAGACCACGCAGGAACGAAAGGTCACTTTTTGAGTAACAATATCCCAGTGATCTTTATATGGCATTCTGAACACCTAAACGGTCACAAGAATTGGTAGCAGTATGTAGGTATGATTAACCAAACTAGCAGCCTGCTCGCATCGACTGAGTGACCTTTCTAAATCAGAGCGTTGGCTTACCAAGGCTTGCCAATCGCATATGCATTACAAATCTTTGTTTAGCATCTATTGCATGTATTGAAATAGCGTTTTCTAAGGTAAACGAAAGATATGCCAAACAAGATTCAGTTAAAGCGTTTGTTTACGATAAAGGGCAAGACAGCAAGTACAGCTCCTAATTTTAATTTTGAACATGATAAATGACTTTTTCTGAAATATGCAGACTTGATATGTTGCGCAGATTCTTCGAGGTACAAACTTTCACAATTATTAGTAACTGCAGAAGTCGTATGACATTCCTACACCGTTAGCCTGCAAATTATTTATACAAGAACGGTAACAGATGCAAACTGCATGAATCTTTTTGAAGATGATCTATATGGGAACCCGGCGGGTGCTCTTATGCAATAAGCTGTTGATAATTGCATCTACACCGAATGACGCAATGACTATGTGTGAACGAAAAGGAGCAAGTGTAGCGTAAGTTAGTGCCACTGTGTCCATAATAATTAAGAAAAAATTAATTTTTGCTTTGTGCGTGTCAGATATGTCTTTATACATGCGTCTTTCGTCACGAATAAAAACATTCGTCTTTCTTTCGCAGTACCTAAGTATGTATGTACGTATGTACAAACTGCATTATTATATCGAATTATATGAGAACTTACTTAATATAATCTTCCTTGCAAACGGGACGTCCTTGGTAGACAAAACATGTGTGTGTCTCGTCCAAAAACTGCTGACAAAATTCACATTTAAGGCACGATGCATGCCATTCGAGATCGGGCGCTACTCTAAGGATATATTGATCGTGGATTAATCCTCCGCATCCTGCACACCGAGATATATCTCGCTCGCATTTCATTCTACCTTCAAAGGAAAAACAAATAGCAATGAATCAAAAATATGTTTAGCATATAACCAGCTATGAAAAGGTATAATAAAAAATAAAAAGGCGAAGATCAAATGTCCAGACAAAAGGTAAATTCTTGAGCTATTTATGCTAATCAGGAAACGTAGTCTACAGGTTGGTGCTGATTGTGATCAAAGCAAAATGTATTTACAATTTCTTCAACTCATCCTAAACAAGTTGTCACAGGCATAATAGAGACGAGCAGTATTCAGCATGATGATCTGTGGTTTTACTCTTCAGTGCGCCTGAAAATGCGCCACGAGACTGCAGCTGATCAGCATCACCCATGTTGAGATTGTAAATGGTGCCGTATTATCTGGGATTATACAGCTAATAAGCACATTACCAATGATTATCGGGAAATTGCTAAAATAATAATCTGAAGAATGTCTAGCCAGCCGGCTGTCTCCCAAACGCCTACACGCTGTCCCTTGCCGGTACGGTTAATTCAATGAACCATACATTGATTCTTATTCTTCGTACAAGTACCAACTTGCACTTATTACAAACGTGTACCAGCTTAATAAAAATATAGAAAAATAAACAGACATTTTTAAAATTCCTAAAGCTTGGAGTTTCAAAATCTTGAGCATACTTACTAGGAATCATTAACTGCGTCTCAATTAATCCCTGCGATCTCTCCATGTTGACGCTCAGTCATAACCATTCTGAATCTCTGACCAACATATGTAGGTAACAGACGGTAAATCCAACCACTCACATAATTTTATCAGATCATTTCGAACACAATATACAGTAATCTTGCTAAAACACTGGTTGTGTTGATCAAAAAAGATACGCGATTTGTTTGGAAATAAGATTTAAAAATGCAACGGCAGCAGTTTGATGTCGAAGATTCTCCTCCCGTTAGTCTCATACAATGTCGTCATAATTTTATGGACTGTGTGAAGCGAGCTTGCATATATTCGTGGTGGTACAATATACAGATGGCTAAAACTTAATGTGCGCGTCAACCAAGTTTGACTGCATAGCGCATGTTTCTCGTATCTACATTCTACATTTCCTGAGGGAAGAAACGCACTCATACGGCTGGGCGAGATATCGATCACGAATCGCTGCTGATTTGCCAAAGCGAAATACCGGTGATGGTGATTTGTGGGATGGCGCATGTCTCAAACTGGGCCACGTATGTTGTAACGTTTGAATACGCACATCTGCAAGATAATACATTAATTTTACATACCGTACTTTCGTGTCTTGAATTCTTTGGACGTCCAGTACGACACCAACATGCTGTACTGTAGATATATTGAGCAAGCGCTCCTTAAAACCAGAAGGAAGACTTTCATAATGCGATAAGAATTACGTTAGTTTCCTTAACAGAATGTTGATGTTTTATGACTGGTAGTTAAATATCTGATTTATTGTCGGCGAAGTAACAATAAAAAATTTAATGATTTTTACAGAAACGTGGCCTAACACGGATATGACTGAACGCAATTCCTGCACTTTTCTTACGGGTGATTATGCCGGTGCTGGTAAAGCTGGATCGGCATTCGACACAAAATCTAAACATAAACATCGATGCTGGCTAACCATGTGCTCGAAAATATACACATTACCATCTGGACTGACTGAAAGTGGACATACAATTTCTTAAATTTCTCGAAGCTTCTGTCTGATACTTTTGGGCAGGACTATGGTACATAAAAGGACAAGCTCACAATACGCAACTATGTACAAAGCACCGACGCATTTACAGTTCTACGGTACATACATAGTCGAATATATATATGCTATTGGAATAAATGCTGGTGCGCATGTCAGTTAACATTCATTGTTAATAACTTTAATATGCATTCGCTGTGCTGCTTCAGGTTGGACAAGCTCTTGCTGGTGTTTTCTGTTTTCTAACTTGGATAGCACTCTGACAGTTGGATGGTTATGATTTGCCATAGGATGTCAGTGAAATGTGAATCAAAGCTGTCACTCAAATTTGAAATGGACCACGCGCGACTGCCAAGCGAGAACTGTATTACGATTTACGATTCAGAAATAAGGAATGAAGATTCTGGGATAAGGTAATGTCAAGTCTGTCTTGTAGCACCACCGCGTGGCTCCGTTCTGTTAACAACACATTGACATTATTCTGCCGGAAATAACTATTAGTATAACGTCTATTCGCATTATCTGCGAATCTCCCAGAATTACTAGGCTGCTTTAATCTTGCTCTCTATATGAACATGTAAGAAATGAATTTGGTGACTGCAATACTTATTAATATTAGATAACCTATTCATGGTTATATAAATATTGATTATCTGTGCCAGGGCTTCGGCCCCTGTCCTTTGAGGCAAAGGATCTCGGCTTCTACTTCACCAATTTTGTTGCTTTAAAGTACATCAAAATTCTCTAGATGTAGCGGTGGATCCAAGATAGTTGACTTTTTGCCAAAATCATTTGTCTAGGTCCAGTGGTCAATCATAAGCTTGTTACCATGGACGCGATAAGAAATGCACACTGTTCTAACACAACTTGACCGAAATCAGCAGAAATATCTGAGCTGCTACTTAACAATAACTAATAAGTACGAGTACAATACAAAGTAAAAGTTAGTCATCATCACATTAGTGATCATTTGTACTGTATGTACAAGTAGACAGTCCGTGTTTCGATTAACTTATGTAAAGTGCATCATAATAATTATTACTAAGCATACGTACGGGTTTATTAATATTACATAATGTGACAGTCTGTAAGCGACCGCAAAGCAACACATCCTAGGAATTACTAAGTTTTTAATAGTCATCGCCCAATATTCATCCGTGCTGGGCTTTAATATTATTAGGCGTAACAGTACGAACGCACAGTATTACAATAACTTCATATTACACTACAAATTGGCATGTGATAAAACGGTGATTGTTCTAATGTGCAACCACTGTCCCGGTAGCCGCGCCAAGACAGCAATGAATTATAACAACAAGGGATTTTGAAATTCGTCTTTCGGTTTAGCACGATGCAAACAATTCGCAAAGCCGGTGATACTGTACCGCCAAAAGTGCATATATATTGTATATGTACAAATTACAATACTTATATCGGTACATACTAACGATAGTTCAGACTATACTTTATAATCTGTTGCACAATGCATAGTACAGTAGGCAACATTGCTTTATAGTTGGATAAGTGATAATTACAATACATATATATGGGTGCATGTATACAATACATGTATATGGGTGCACAAGTAACGTGCGCAACTTTGCTGTCTGAGCACGTGTTGCAATTTTCAGACGCAAATGTTACGAAAAAAATTCTGTATCCCACGTATCGGTACTTCTACCGCAAATTATGTGTTGAATATAAATATAAAAAAATAAGGTTTTTCGCATTAGGCTTTTAATGCGAGTAAAAACCTTATCAAACTAACTACAATAACCGACAGTTAGTACTCGTATCAAGGGCAAAACCGAACCGTTGCACGACTTGGAAGAACTGACATGTTCTGGTCTGCGCATCCCGCTGGGAATATTTCACTGTTGGCCGTTAAAACAAGTGGTGGCGGATACGTGCGCCGTCGCCACCCACTGGCTGCAGGAGGTAAACGCGTAATTACTGTAGACAGTATCTAATCCATCTCGTCTTCCATCTTTACCAGAACTTTAAATTACTGTAATATCAAGCAACATTGCCTTTGTCGGTTGATATGGGCAGAGATGAGCATAAATTTGGGGAGCTAAAAGATTGTACCTGTATCGCGCTCACTTATAAGTTTTTATTTTACGCAATTTGGAATGTAAACGTTAGTAGTATCGCTTGCTGTTCATGTATGTTTATGTGGTCATGGCCTAATTAATTTAGCAACCTCGGTAGCCACAGGACTGCACTGAAAGGTCATTGTTCGATCGTTTTAAAAATTCCCCTTTCCTGGAGTCCGCATAATGGCCAGTTTCTTTAGCCAATTTCACTTCACTTTGTGGACGGCCATCCACGGCCTGACCAGGAGCTAATTATGCTTTCATCAAGTTTCATGCATGCATGCATTGTAGTCGTTTTGAATCCATATTTTTTAGAGCTGGTAAATTGTAACGGTTTTTTGAAGGCTGCGAACAGCCTGCAATTCCCGTATGCAGTGATTCTGATTCCTGATCCTAGTTGATGTTAGAGTTCTGTCTCTCCAAAAGTATAGAAAATTTCACATTTTAGCATTTTCTTCGTTCGGGTTCACAATTCAGAACCTAACATTTATTATTTAAGGTAATTCAACAGTGATGTTAATCCTAATCTGCTTAAGTGCTTATTGTTTCGTTGTTAGAAAACTACCGGCAGCTAACGGGACGTTACGTTGATGACTTTCCTTGTTTTTAATTTTTAATTATGGTTTCACCGCAACGTTATTTAATGAAGTTTTTATTCCCAATATTCATATCCGCAAGCACCACTCCGTAAATAAATCAAATGAAGAATTTGTCCCAATTAACATGAGAAGGGACTTTAATGAAGTACGCGTGCAACGGTGCAAGCACTGTAAATTTGGTGGTAAGTTGCCAGAATAATAAATAACGGACACCCCGGAAGAAGTTCCGCCAAGAAGTCAGCTGACGAGGGCGGTTGGAATGGCTTTTCGAATGTATGACACATATATGAGTCATCAATCCGTATCAATAAGTACAGTAAGTACTATGACGTTTCCTGAGTGAGCTAAAGTGTAATAAACAGCGTCACGATCAAAAAAGTTACAGCAGTTTTTCAACATGAAGTTTTTCAAGTTTCTAACATTTATATTGTGCATTGTGCAACTAACTTAACGTTAATGTTTCTTATTTAAAATTCAACTTTGTTTTTACATTTGCATTTCAGTACTCTCCATTATTTCGCTTCGTAACTGACTACAAAAGCATGCTTTAACATCGATTGAAAACCTGGCAAGCATTGAGAAGTACTGGCAATCTGATTGCTCGAGTTCGCAGTTGGCCATGGATAACGACGAGGCAGCTCCGAACAGAGAACCCCCAAGGAGTGCCCCTACTCCCCACAACATATCAGAAATCTTAAGTGACTCCCCGAGTATGGACCGAACATCCATGCCGTTCGCAGCGTATTCTCCTGAAAAGATGCCCCAGGGCAGCGTTAATGCTGTCATCACGCAGCCAGCCTTTATCCACTCAACCTACCCATCTGCGCCCCACGCCAGCAGCCTAACTCCGCTGAATCCTTTTCATCCCTTTTCGGCCGTCATGCCAGCCGGTGCTCTGGGCATCGGGAAGCTTGACAGTGATCTACCTCCGCCGTTGCCCGTTCCCTTACTGGCCCGCAGTGATGGAGGAATGCCGCCCGCTCTCAAACCTCTGCCCGCGATGCCCATTCATCCTCGTACCAGCTCCATGTCCTCGGGCTCCTCGCCAGGCATAACGGTGGCTAGTGTGGTGGGTGAATCGATTATGTCGCATTTTGCTGCATTCGGCGCAGCGCACACTCTCAGTATGGCTGGAATGCGCGAAACGGGACGGGGAACCGAACACAGCAACAAGTGAGTTTCATCAGACAAGTTGACAAACAGTGCTTTGCTTTCCCTTATATCTGCTGCTTGAGATCGCTGCACCTTAAGGAATTTTTGTACTGATGCCACTGCACATGACAGGAGCAGTTGAACTAAATCGGATAATAATTTAATTTTGATTTACGACTGTTTTGGTGTGAAATCGTTATTGGTTTAATATGTTTAATATGTGTATAATATGTTTTGGTGTGAAATCGTTTACTGGTTTAATATGTTGTAATTCGCACCTGTTTCATGATGATTAGGAAGCAGTCTAGTATTGAAAAGAGCTTGATTGGGGATTTCACGATGCCATCCGAAAGCAGCAGTGACGCCAGTGGTAAACTGCAAGACCCCCGGGCGCACGGACTGACATCTACGCATCCGCGTCTCAAAGTGGAGGACGCTCTGGGCTATTTGGATCAAGTAAAGATCATCTTCAACCATAAGCCGAAGGTGTATAATGACTTCCTGGACATCATGAAGGAATTTAAATCCCAAAGCCTCGATACACCTGGAGTTATTGGACGAGTGGCCAGCCTTTTCAAGGGACACGCTGATCTGATTGTCGGATTCAATGCCTTCCTTCCTCACGGCTACAAAATTGACATTGATGACGATGAAATTGTAAGTAGAAAATTGTTACCCGGTGCTGCACTTGATTTCAACATTTGATACTGTCCATTTGACAACTGCCCAGGCAATTAATTCGAACTTCCAAAAAATCAGAAATAGTTCATCCAGGTAACCACTGCACTCAGTGGTGCCCAGAATGGTGTACTTACTACTTACTGGTGGCATGACGACATTTTATTTGTAAACTGAACGCTAATCAGAAATTGCCTCCCACGCCCTTTTAATGCAGCAGTGCAGGTTGAAGAAAGATTTCGACATCTTTTTGAACCTTTTTTGCTGGAGCTCTGTATAAGCTGTTTTCATTGTTTAGTGTTTTCGAAATGTAGGTTCGTGTGACGGTGCCTGGGAATCAGGTTCTGACTATAACGGAAGTTTTGCCACCTCCGTCTCCTGGATCTACATCCGCTGTACAGGATCCATCCAAGTCGCAGTCTCCCGCTTCAACAGTGTCTGCGGATTCCGACGATATGGATAGTCGTTTGGATGACGAACTTCTTAATGCACGACCGCTTCGTGCAACCGATCTTCCTTTATTTCCTGTACAAGATGCTGACGCGCGCGCTTTGACGGCCAACGCATTGCTGCCTGAGAGTGGAAGAGCCGGATCAAGAGCGTCAGCTGTGCCTTCAAAGGGCGTGGAATTCGATTACGCCATTAATTACGTCAATAAGATAAAGGTCTGCAATTACACTATCTTATTTTATCTTTTTTATAAGATTCGTTATAAGTTTAATTTTTTAGGACCGATTTAAGGATGAACCCGCTCGTTACAAGCGATTTCTTGAAATTTTGCATGCTTATCAAGGAAAGGTAGGACTGAGGATTATTTGCTACTTTTTAAAACTCGGTCCTTCATAACCCCATTAAGATTCCACTTTTGATATGCAAAACAGATTAGGGTTACGGGAGATCGTCCGCTGGATGAAACTGACGTCTATAAGGAAGTAGATCGATTATTCGGAGATCACCCCGATTTGATGGATGATTTTAGTCGTTTCCTGCCTAATGCCTGCGCTATGGTTTGTAGTTATTTCTTACTGTGTATATACTATACGAACTTCTGCTGAATACGCTCAATATCATTGTAAATAAGACACTTTTTTGAAAGCGTATTTTGAAACATTGATTCTTATGTTGAAATTATAAAGGGCGGATCCATGACGCCTCCACCGCCCACGACTTCCACTCGGACAACAACTTCCCCCAGTCGCAGCACCAGTTCATCACCCCAACCCACAACCGCTAGAGACCCACGAAATCGAACGGCTTTACCGAAGTCAGGTGCCAAACGTAAAGCATCACAATCCGGTGCTAGCAGCCCACAAAAATTGGAACCGAAATCCACTGGTAAAGTCAAGGAGCCAGAAAAGAAACGTTCTAAAGGCCGACCGCGTTCTGCAGAGGAACCCGACGAGCCAGCGGGTGAACTAGTAAAACCAGTCCGACGTTACAATAAGCAGACACCAAAAGACAAGTCTATAAAAACCGAAGCGCTGGATATGAGCAAAAAGAATGGACGTAATCCAAGTAGTGTCAGAATGGCGCGTGGTAAAACAATGGAAGCGGTAGCGGTTGTACCGACTACTACCACCAAAACCGTGACTGGTCAGAAAACCAAGGAGGACAGTCAGGTCATCGACGACGGGCAAGGGAAATTGAAAATGAAAAAATCGAAGTATAAACCGGCTTTAATAATGCAGCGCAAGCGATCCAAGCGAATGTTGTCACCCAGAAAGGTAGCGATTGTTATACATTAAATTTAAAAACACTGCCAAGGTTATTTTACAGGTGTTCCAACCTACCCGACGAGTATCGCTGGCCGAGGCTTTTACATTCTCTTCGCTGGAAGATTTTAACTTGCTTCACCGCATTCAACGAGCAGTGCCAGTAAATGTGTGGCATCTGCTATTGAAAATGTTCGAGTTGTATAACAGCCGAGCCATCACCAAAGGAAAGCTCCTGGAAATCGTGGAGAAGCTGGTTTATCATAAACCCAAATTAGTGCAAGAATTTGCACAGCTGCTGCAGACGAAAGCGGTTTTCCGCTCTGGTTCGGAGCACATCGAGAACGGCGCTTGTTCTTCAGAATCCGCCAATGCTGATGGTGATACAAGACGAGGTGGATTACAAAAAACCCGTGAACCAGATAATAGGATTGCTGAATTTGGTATGTATTTTTGTGTGAAAATTGAATACTTTTGCTTCTGTGTAGAACATTTTGAATTCTCATGTCACCTATAGTGAAATTGCGGGAAAGTCTTCGCTCTTTCGTTTATCAGACGTATATCCACGTAGATCAGTTTGTATGTACGTTTTACTTGCAGATTTTAAAGCATTCGAACGATTTACCGAGAGTCGCAGTTATCGCATTCGACCGGAAACAAACATTAAACGCAAGAGTTCCGGTTCGACACAATTGGATAGGAGTGTGTTGAACGATAAGTATGTTTCATGCCCGATGTTTTCGGAAGGATCTCAGTTCACCATTTCTAAGAAGAATTCAGCGGAAGAAGTCATGTTTAAATGCGAGGACGAGAAATACGAAATGGATATGCTGTTATCCGGTGCCGAGGCGGCAATGGATGCTATGACCTTTGTTTTGAATAAACTGACATCCAATAGCGTTACGGGAAAACTTCCTACATGGGACGAGGCGTTTTTACATCGCCGGGTTATTACGAAGTACGTACAACGTATTCACGTAATAGGATTTTGCGTTTAGACAGTAGACAGCACCGTGCGGGTGCAGTGTTGATAGGGGCTTCAGGAAATGGGGTGGTCGCCATGTACACAAACGTTTCATGGTTGCCATGTAGAAAACACCTTTGGAAAGTACCGCTTCTCACTCTGTTATTGACTTACTACTGTTTCTTAGTCTGTTTGGTTTTGTTTAACGAGCTGACGTGAGTGCATATAACTGAAGAAGGCTAATACAACGAGAAAGCGTCAATAAAACTATCTGTATATTACATCGTTGTTTTTCAGATTATATGGCGAAAATGCTCCCATAATTTTGAGCCATCTTAAGCGATCTCCAGCGTGCGCGATTCCGACCGTACTGGAAAGGTAATTATTTTGGCTTTTTTTGTGGTGTTTAGTTTGTGGATGATGGAGTATTACTAGTACTTATTTGACTATTTATGGCTAACATCGATGCCGAACATATGAGCCAGTACTGATGGCAGTGCTCATGATATAATAATTAATTAAACTTGCATGATGCGGTACAGTTTTATGTACTTATTGTATTGTGCAGAATTAAACAAAAGCATTCTCAGTGGATCCGAGTGCAAAACAGCATGAGTGAAATTTGGATGGAGCAAGCTCGTCGCAACGCATCCAAGATAGGCGATTATAAGGGCATCACCTTCAAACAGACGGATATGCGATTTCTGCGCTCTCGACATTTGGTTTATGAAATGGAGAAACTGCACAGCGAACAGCCCGAACACCCTCCAGTTTCTGTTCACAAGACAGAAGACACAGGAAAACGGAAACCGGAAGAGCCGATGAATCAGTCAACAACCATAGTTATGCCATCCGCCCCGGAAGTCGTCAGTGGCTCCGCAGAGGAAAAGGCTCATTTGACTGTTCGCTATCCCAAATCGGTTATTGTTATTGATGATGCGACATTCTTCTTATTACGCTACATCAAACAGTGTTCCGCTTTCAATCAGGCCGAAAAGAAGCAGATGAATCGCTTCTTACTTGAATATTTGTTCCGCTGTTTGAAAATACCGGATTCGAGCGGTAATCGGGAAGCTGTGATGGAGTCCAGTGATGATGAGACCGACAATGGTAAGGGCGGCGATGCGGCAGGCTTTCTTAAAGGGTTCACTGGGTAATGGCCTGATGATTGGCTTAATGGCCACTGGTCTATCGAACGATCGTGCCCATGCGTATCAGTTCTCATGTTGTGACGATTGTCGGACTATTAAACCAGTCAGCATCTCATACCACAGATGTTGGAAACCCGTTTTTACGTGATAACGGGCAAGAGGTTTACGATAATACATAACACTTTGTTTGCTTACTGCAAAACCCCTTATCATAGGGATTGTTTAGCCGTGATATTTACGATACATATTGGAATGAGCTCTTAGTAACATATTATTATTTAAAAGTATACCAAGGTCATTATTACCAACAGGAAAACAAGCCCAGATTTAAATTTATTCTTTATTTCAGTGGAATCTTTATTTCAGCCGTCTAATTCGATGTGCATTGTTTGTAGAAGGAAAATCTCCTCGAAGCGGAAAGGCGTCAGTTCCTCGTTTGTCGGACTGTACATCGGACGAGGAGGATCACGAAAATAAAAACGATAGCGATCATAATAACAAACGAAAAACTAATGACGGTGAAGCGGAACCCGTCGAGAGCACCGCTAAAAAACTGAGACCATTGAAGGAATTTCCCATTTTGCCATTGCCATGGCCAGAATTGTGCCAGTATACAACGGATTTAAAATCTCTGGATTCCCAGGTTGACGAAGAGCTGACGATGGAAGCCAAAAAGCGGGAACAGAATCGCGAACGGATTGCTAAGCGCCTTACAGTGGGCAGTATCGGGGATGCTTTACCGGCTGATGATGCAAGCTATGTGTTGATCTACGGCAACGCTCCTTTCTTCCTCTTTGTCCGCTATCATCAGATATTGTGCGATCGATTCAGTCAGCTATATAACAGCTTCCAGAGTCTTTTGATGATGGAAACTGGAAAACAGGACACTCCAGCGTATATCGTCAGCAAAGCTTGTCGGCCGAGGATTGACATACCAGTGGAAAGATTTTGGATTGTTTTCATGGACCGATTACTGAAGTTGTTAGATGGGAACATTGATCCGACCGGGTTCGAAGAGGAAATGAGGGAAATTTTTCGGAAAGATGCTTATTTGACCTTCACATTGGATCGCTTGATTCAGAGTATTACAAGACAGGTGCGTAACTCTTTGAAAAATATCCGGCGACTTAAAGCAGTGTTTGTCTTAAATGCACAATATGGGGAACATATATATCTGCTTTTCTTTTTTCGTTGCAAAAATGCTAATTGTTTGCAATAATGTGTGGTGCTTCTGCAGCTGCATCACATCATAGCACAAGACCGTGCTAAAAGTGTGCGCACGTTATGGGAAGAAGCTCGGGTTGCCAACGGAGCTGGTGGATTGTTGTTACACCGAGAAGAACGAGGAGAAGCAGAAAAGCAATACGAAGCTAGAGTTGCGGACTTTTTGAAAGATCAGAATTGTTTTAAAATGACGGTTTTCAACTCTGGTCGCGTCTGCTTGGAACTTATCGTTTCCGAAGAGCCGGAAGATTTGAAACCTCAGTGCCGCACTTGGAAAGATTTTGTGGCTTATCATGCTACCAACAATAACGTCGACGACCAATTGAGAAGTCGCTTGCTTCAGAGAGGACCGGTCTTCATCGTCAGGTGAGCTAGCTTGATCAGGTCGTTTTCTGAAGTCGTAACTTATAATCAATGCAGTACCTTTTGCAGTTGCTTCTACGGGTCGATTTTTGAATAGCGTATTAGTGTTTGAGAGTTGATTGTATTCCCTTGTTTTCGAGGGCGCTTAATAACCTTCGCGTGCCGTTTCTTTTTAGGCATCATAGACAATTTTCGCGCCATCGAAAGCAGCTTGGAGGAGAAATTGACGAGGAAGAAGAAGAAGAGGAAGATGAGGATTTGGCTTTGGATAGCAGCAAGACGTCTAAACCGGAAACGCCAGCTGATTTCAGTTTGGACGACCGCTCATGGCTGATGAGCATCAACATTCGTTCACAGATCGAAAGTGGGGACATTCTAGGACGTGCGTTTGACAAGACACCCTTAAACGAGTGGTTGGTGTATCGACGCGGCGCGCAGAAGATTGCAGCTGAGGTAAGAAGATCATGGAAAACGTCTTACACTCATGAGTGTCAGTTTGGTGATAGTGCGTGATCAGCGAGAAATTTTGTAGAGCCATCGGCGAGTTTCACAGCGCCGCACTACCGCCTTTAAGCGTTATCTTTCCGATGTATGGACGAAGAAAGCCCTGATATCCCAGGAAAAACACAAAGCTTTCTTGAGCATGATGCGCGAGAACATGAATCGGTACAAGCAAGGCAACAGCGTTGATCCGCCTTATTTCGTGTATTATCTATGTCGTTCCGACGAAAGTGAGCGGCTGGATGATGCGAAACCCTTTTGGATTCAATCTGACGCTGAAAGAGCATCCGCCGAAGGTGAAAAAGTGGAAAAGGAGGAAGCCACTGCAGTGGACACGGCACAGTCCGACACTTCAGAGGAGGAGGATACCGAGACAGACAAAGATGATATCGAGCGGAAGGTTAAACAGCCCCGCAAGCGGGCGTCGGTCGAAGAGTCGAATTAGTGTTGCCTGGTTTGGAATTTATGCATTGATTGCTTGCATTCGAAGAACAGTATTGGGGATTTAGTATTTAACGTTTTATGCTTTTGATCTTCGTCCATTGTGTGGCAGTTAATGCTTGTTTCTAGCGTGTGTTTTTGAGTTTCGCATACTTTTATCATTCAGGATTAAGGAACTACTGATTAAAGTTTATGTGTTGGTTTTATGTGTGCGCTTGTTATTGATATGTGAAAGGAAATGTTTGTGCAACAACCGTTCACGGGATTTGCCTTACAATTAACATGATTTCATTTACCATTGAGACACTCACGAGTGGTACAGTACTTGCTACTTGCATTATTTTCTGCTGCACAAACGCTTTGTAAATAATACGTACTCACAAAAACACAACAGCCGTACTTTGATGTGACACGGCGTCCTCGGGTCAGCCACCATGGGCGGAAAGCTCCTTGAAATTTTTGCAGTGCTTATGCGTAGTTTTGTCACCTAACGAAACCAAGAAAGCTAAACTGCTAAAGCTTTAAATTATCAGTAATTTACTGATGGCAGTAAACGATATTTGTTTAATAAGTATCGGTCGGAATGGATAGTAATGGTGAGGATTTTTCAGCGCCGGAGATCAATCTTAAGCGGCTGCTTCGCAAGTGCGAACTGTTGGAGAAGGATCAGCAGACAGACTGGCGCTTCGACAAGGTGCGTGCAAGACTGATGTGATATCCCACTTACGATTAGAAAAATTGAAGACGTGTGTGGTGTGTGCAGTTTTACATTGGCATCCCATGCGCTGATCATTGTATGTAGGCAACTGTTTAATAGAATTTTCTACGTTTTTTTCAAAATGATTAATTTTGCAGTACGTGGAGGCATTGCAGGAGCTGTTCCTATCCGTGAAAGCTACGGCGGATACTGCGCCAAAGAGAAGCGATTCTGTTCTAGACCGCATTACAACTTACAAATCGCGGGTCGATCATTTACGCCGTATTTCCAGGCCTGATTTATTTTCAGAGGTGAGTGTTGTCACTTTGTTAAACCGCGTTTCCACAATCATATCTTTTTAATAATTTTGCGATTTGTATGGTAACGGAGCTTCTTGCCAAGTTTGTTGTTCATTGTAATTTGGCTGGTATTTGTACTATTTTTGGGCCTTTTGAAAAGGCTAAAATATTTGTTGTTTACTGACCAGTGAGTTGTTGATTTTTTTTACATTTTTTATTTTTTTCACATTTTTTATTATGTAGTTTTGAAGCTTGTTCGTATAATTACAACTTCGGTGTGGGTTTTATTTGTTCCGTTGTGCGTAATTTTAATAACTCGTTATTGCGGAAAGAGCCGTTACGGTTTCATTTATTTTTGTTTCCCGTGGTTTCGAGTTTGCTTTGCCTATTACGGCATGCTTTGTAGGAAAATGACCGGAAACTGCTCCTTGACAAACGTTCGCTCTCCAGAAACTTAGAGCCGTCACAGGACACCGCAGTACGGTTGAAGCAGGATAATGCTGTTCCCGGGGCAGGAGACAGTGGAGCGAGCGTGGTCGATTTCTCTGCAGAGACAACTTATCCGCCAATCGGATCTTCGTACACGAGTTCGTATATGCTCGTCATGTGTTTTTAATTCCCACTATACAATACGTGATTTACTGCTAGACACGTTGATGCGTTTGTTATCGTGAATCATGACTGATTCCCTTTTGATATTTTTTTTAATTTGTAGGAAATACGGCGGCTGCTGAAACGTCGAAGCCTTCTTCCAGAGATCTGGATATTTTGATGGCCCATGAAATGGAACGACGGGAGCGCATCACCGATGAAATGCTGGATCTGACGCAGACGCTGAAAGCCAACATGACAACAGCTAATCAGCTCGTCCGGAGAGATTTCACGGTGAGGTAACACAACCCTGCGGTAATAATGTGTTTAATGCGTATGAAATAAAAACATCTGTCGAAACCGTAAGAAAATTTATTGAGGACAACTGCTTTAACCACTATCGGTGACTAAATAATTTATGGCATTTTATCATCAATTTTTTGCGCTACTTTGCTGATCCACTGTTTTACCCTCACACTGCCAGATCTTGTGATTGAATCCTAGTAAATTTTTCCATTTTATTAACATTTTACAGACAATTGACAAAACAACGGCAATTGTGGACAAAAACCAGACTCGTTTAGAAAAGGAAAATGCGAAATTGGCGGAGCAGACAAAAAAGAACACAAGTTGGTGGGTGCTGTTCTTCTTGATTGGATTGTTTGGCATTTTTGTAATGATGGTACTCTTTATGAGATTGTTTCCCAAGCCACGGACACGATAAAATTGTTGAAGTGCCGGGGAAACCGCCTGTATAATAAGATCATTTGTATGAATTCTCTTGTGCAGTCTTTCGAGCGCCGGTATCCTGCCAGTCAGTTGCAAACGTGCTCTTCTATTCGCTCTGTAAAACAATTTACACAAATAAAATTTAGGGAAGTTTTGGGAGTCACCGAGTTAGTAAAGTTACTATCCTGGAGACAGATTGACTAAGAATTGGTAGTAATTAAATCAGTAATTCGAAAATCAGATTTTTATATAGAGTCTGCTTGCCTTGACATTTTTCGCATTTAACACTGCAGCACCAGACGAATTTACACCGGCAATCTTTCTCCACTTCTTTACCATGGTACGATATCCTCTTCCGCAGCACATTAAACTGCAGCCATCAATACCGCGACTGGTCTTGTTGCACTTTCTCCCTCTCGTTCCGCCAATTCCGTGTTTCATATTTCGCTCACAATAGTCGGGTGACCTATCCAGATAGACCAAATCGTCCTTTGCGGGAATTTTGTCACCGCGATATTTTGGTTTCAGTTTGCCTTTTTTGCGATTCATTCTAACCTAGAAAGTGGGAAAACGCTTTGCAAATTGAACTACTTCGTACTTATACTTACTACACAGCGATGTACTTTATAAAACCTTGGTAAGTACAGATACGTCGTATGCATTAATAAGTTCGGACTGGGAATTGATTTTATACTGTAACAGTGTAACTTCTACGATTAAAGTACAAGTAATCATTAATTTATTTAGCTTAAGAACAGAAATCTGCCTTTCGTGTGAAAAACTCAAAAGTAAATTCCAAGAAATGCTAGACCACTATTTGTTTACTTGTGAAGCGCTTTCAAATTTGCTGCTCAGCGAATCGCCGATTTTGTGGAACATGGGTAGTTTTTGCCAGCAAAACTTCATAGAGCAGGATCCAGAAACACCGTGACATTTGCATAATATTTGCATATTATTCCGGACATGCCGTCTTCCTGCTTCATTGTTGTGTAAATTCATAAGTCCTTCCGGATGACGCGAAGTTTCTTTTGTGTCCACGAAATCCCGACTGAAACGTTCGCCGATAGTAATATCATCGCTGCAGCCGCTCCAGTGAAACCGTCCGTGTGCCGGCTTGTTGTTTAAGCGGTCGTCGCACATGCAGTCCAAAATATCACCTAGGTAAAGATCCCGCACTCGTCCGCGCTTAATTAACTTTGTAGTTACACATAACCATTCGTTAATAATATTCCTTTACAGTTATTCGTTCCTTCCAAATTAAAAACAGAGAGCTAAACAATATCGAGAAAACATAAAAATAAAAGCATCTATCTAGATCTATGAAATACATAGATTTTGTATTAAGTACAATACGTAACTGGAAGAATACTACAAATACGGTATCCATGCATCGTGCAGGCGTACATAGACAGTATTAGACACCCAGAAGATACAAAAGAAACTTAATATTGTACCTTGGCTGCACGCTTTGGTAATGGAATACGCCACTCCAGCAGAACTTATGGCATAAACGAAAGCCTTCTCCCGGCTATCTGTTGGAAACAGCGTAAAGGGAAAAACGTTACCTGCTCCATCTACCGATTTCAGTTTGTTTACAAAATTATTTACTTACATGTGTTTATTTTGAAGCCAGTTTATCTTCTTCAAAATAATAAGTGTTATTATCAGATTTTTAATAATTATAAGAAGCACTGGCATCACATGCAGTTTCGTTGTCAATCACTTTTTCATTTAAGAAAACGTTTCGTTTATACCAATAATGTTTTCAGAATTTTCTACGAACGTACTTATATTCAACACCGGTCCAAAACCATTGGATGAATTGCTGACACCGGTAGACGTCAACGAACAATTCCATCTCTGTTGCTGGAACTGTTGCTGGCATTCTGTTATGCCCGTTCTGACTCCCGCAATTACCTAATGGTTTACACACAAAATATCTTTAGCTTGTCCTAGGCGCATTCTTTAATTTATGTCTACGCCGTGCAAGTAAAGAGCTTCCTGGTGGTCCGCGAATTATTAGCGCATGCGCTCGAGTAATCCTCTTGACATTTTCTTGCACCAGAGACACACTCAGTCACTCTGTACGGCGTAGAGTTTCGACCGCAACTTATTGTGAAGCCAGAAAATGTCAACGAATCTCATTACCGTTTTCAAAACATTGTGGTCAGCCACACAAAGCTGCTTCTGTTTGTCTCCCAGGTAATCGAGATTTCGGCAAACTGATTGATACGCTATGACCTTATTTGAACTGTCATCGGAATTTGACGCAACATGCACAGCTGATGTTCCCAGTAACCTGTAATAAAATCGCGGCATTGTGCATGTGTTGCAAAAAAAGATGTAGCGGATTTGCAATACATTAATCTTTTATGTATGTATATGCATATGCACATATATATAAGCACATTTATTTTATCGTTACGCATACAAAGTATTGCTCTTGCGCTGTAAGGCGTAAATTATATGCCGGTAAACAGTTAATTTTTTGCATTGATACTGTGACCTCTGCATATGCAGTATATATATTTATTGTTTCAAAAAGTATTCAAAAATTTACTATATATGTAGCCTTCATGTGTTTGTTTCCTATTTCAACTTCAAAATTAATAAAAGCGAGACCTAATCGCGACAGGGGTTCATCATCAGCTTACCACCACGACGAAAATGCCGGTCGAAAAATTTGTAGCAGAATAAGTCCGGAAACAACTGGATCCACCATAAATACATGGGAACTTGTCATTTTGTTCCTCAGCTCATATATACCAAATAATAGTATCATAAAGCTGAGATAAAAAAAATCAGGCTCCAGTTAATCCTGGTTCACATGTTTGGACCATGCATGAGTCCAGTTCCAGTTCGTGATTCAAAGGTGTCACTTGCCTTCACTTGGCAGGATGCCCAGTCCTGCTTTATACTCAATAATAAAGGTTTGTGAAAAGAGCAACAGCCGCAAAATTGATTCCTAACAGGATTAGCTTTTGCAAATTCTGGGAGTATCACTGATATGATACGTCTTTACACATTCCACACGGCCTACTCGGCCGATCGGACTACACATATCCATTCAACAGATTGTTACAAATCGCGGGTTGGGCAGAGTTAAGCTCAGTCAACTGAGCCCCAAAGTTAATAAGACGGTATTAAATGCTCAGTGTCCATCTGCTTAGATAATCTGACCATTCTCCCATTGGAGTAGCGCTAGCTTCGTCGACGCAGGACACGATATTATATCTGTGCTTGTCCATCATAATTAAGCGGGATAGGACATTTCTCTAATCAACGTTTACATTTTCATTGACCAAACACTGATACGAAACTGCACACACGGACACACTTGGTCAGACATTGGAAATGTGGTAGCCCAAGCATGATGGATTGATTACGCACCATGAATTCTTTTGACATGTGATTGCTTTATTAGAAGCTGGCTTCGGATGGGACGACCGTCAGGTTCTGCGGTGCAAACGGTTTTGCCGTAACACTGCTTGTGTACAATTAATTACACTATACTTAATTATACACTGGTTTTTCCGTATAACTGCTTGTGTACATTGAGTTACATTTCACTTAACAAGACGGAAGAGACAAAAAAAAATTTTATTTATATTTCAGGCTATTTCCTTGATTCTGTCGCACGACACCGTTTCCATTTGACGAATAGCCATCAATTACGCTAAAAGACCAATCATAATTAACACATAAAAAAACAAAGAGAACAAACACTGGGCAACCATTGCTGGATGTTTTGAGCTCACAAAACCTCTCGACAACCAAGCTTTCTGAAAAATACACAGCATGATCACACAAAGTCACAAACAATCGCATCGCAATGCTCTGCTTAGCGGGCATGACTGACAGGTTTGCGGCTGACTGACTACGACAACTGGCCGGGTGTCGCATCGCCTGACGATGGATGGATAACACAATGGAAAAGGCGGATATCATGTTAGTATGGTAAACGCGCTTTGGATAGGAAGACATTTCTGTTCACCGCAAATAGTGACGAGAGCACCACACATTTATCCAAAATCGGAGACAGCAAATCAAGACAATCAGTTAGCGGAGCGCTTCAGTCATCCAGCTGATCCATCTTGCATTCATTCCATTTTGACACATTATTCAGTTCTGGTGGAATAAACAAGACCAGATCGGACAACGACAGGTTCCCAATCTGTCCGTCGGAAACAGATGAATTCTGCATATCAGCGGCTATCATGTTCGAAGTTGCATTTGGTCCATATGCCTGCAAAACTGCGATTACTTTCTGTTGCTCGTTAGAATATTCAGTTGTAGAGAAAATTCTTTAGTCACTGCACCTTACTTTACAGTACGAAAAAAATTAACAAGCACCGCTTCTTGAAGTACTTTTTCGTAAACGTGAATGTCAAAAAAGTACAGTCCACACCGGCTCCATGCGTACTACCGGCAACAATAGCTGTCCAAAAAACAAATAAACTCAAAACTGATAATGCGAATTTTAAGAACCTTCACATTCGTTTAACACCCATTCTGCTAGACTTATAAGGTAAAATAATAGGACTTACATAGCCTCCAGGACGGACACCCGTGACATTCAGCAGACTCTGCACACTCCATACTACAGATCGCTTCGCGGCCAGCTCCTGTACCAAACTATCGAACTGCTGGAAAAGATTCTTTGCAGCATTCGACAAACCGATTAAGACTGATATCTTCAGCAAACTTTCGATATCTTTCATCATCACGTTTGCCTGGTTATACAGGCTCCTGATGGTATCCAGCAGTGCCAATTCTTCATATGATCCTCCTTCTCGCAGACTACGCTTCTTCTTCTCGTCTTTCCGCTTACTTTTACTGGAGCTCTTGCTCAGCTTGCTCAGTTTAGAACCACGAGAGTGGTCCGAAATGGAACTTGTCTCTGAAGCGGTATCTACGTAATCTTCTCCACTATCCTTCTTATCTTGCTTCATTTGTCGCACAACTACTAAGCGACTCGAATATTTTTTTAAGCTGGTCTTGATCTCTTCAATTTCATGCAAAAAATCTGCATGGCACTTCTCAGCTGTCAATTTTAGGCGAGGAAATGTATCTTCCTTGACGTTCTGCCCGCTAGCTATCAATAACAGCAAATCGTCCCAGCATCTTCCTGCCAAAAACGTCTCTGTTGCTTGTACAGAATTATTCGAAAAACGTAGTAATAGATTTCCAGCTTCAGCGTGCCTGCTGTTCGATTGTAACTGCAAGGCTAACTGCTGTGCCAATTTCGATAGTCTTTCAGTCTCCCAGCCGGCACGATGGGCGCACGACATGGCCAGCTGCCAGTCCAGTGATTTTCGATACGAATCCACTGCTTCCTCAAAAAACTGTCCTTCCTCATAAGCCACACCCGCTTCAAAGGCTCTCCGTTTTTGTTTATTTAAATACTCTCCATATAAGAATAAAATTCGACTTCTTTCACTGCTCTGCTCAGGAAATATCTGCAATGCGTCTTTGTACAAATTATGTCGCGTCATAATATCCACAAACTCTTCAAAATATTCCGGTCCCAACCTGGCCAAATGTTTTAACGCTTTGGAATAGCGCTTTAAGTGCTTATCAATCTCCAGAAACTGTCGCGCTTCAGGCTGTAGAATACGGAACTGATTCAAAAACGGAATGTACTCTTTTGGATCCTTCCGCGACTTTCCGGCCACCATTAAAACCAGTTCTAGATCGTATGTTCCGAGAGCAATATTAAACAGCTCGTTCACATCAGCGGAATACAGAATAAATTTCAATGCTTCTTCGGCCGAAATATATGGCTGACTTGCACCACGTAGATCTTTCACTCTGAAGAGGGCTGTCTCCAACTGAGAAGGTTTCTTGTATATGTCACAAGCTAAAAGGGAAATGAACATTTTTCCCAAAGGCTGGCTGCCAATAATCTTCTCCAACCGATCCAGGACGGTATTAACTTTGTTCGAGACAGAAGGCGAAGCCTGCGCAAAGTGCGCCGCGTAAGTTGTGCTCGTCACATTATCGTTGTTCAACTCAGCAATGAAGATATTCATATTGGCCGAGTCGTTCAACTGCTCCACAAATAATTGGACATCGTTTAGGAAAGTATTTACGTTGTAATCAACGAGGAGATTCATGTCCACACGATGGCGGCGAGCTAACTCAAAACCGAGAGCATAATTCTTCTGGTTTAGAGCCTGGCATATTCGGAATATAACCAAGGCTCGTGGATGGCTGCAAACAAAAACTCATTTCGATCCTACAAAAGTAACATAACGAAAACGCAAACCCAATGAACAGAAGGACATACATTGTCTCCAGATTACCACGTGGAAGCTGTAAAATCACATCCGTCCTGTCCGAAACCACTGTCACAAGCCGCGATCCTCGCTCCACTTCTCTTTCATCTCTTAACGCTCCAAATTTTTCGATTCCACGACGAATGGATGTCAATTTGTGATGATGTGTTGTGTACAGCAAAAAATTATGATCGACAATGAATGATGTACATGAATCGCTAATTAAATCCTCTTTCCGATACAATCGCTTAGACGCACTGTGTAATCCAAATAATTCTTCCTCAGAAACTATTTCCACTCTGTCACATGGTAAGGGAAACCTGAACAACTTGGAAACAACCGCGCCGGTCAAGTTGTCCATCAGTTTGAAGATCACACCGTTGCAAGTCGCTACAACAAAAAAATCCCCGCGCGGTATGCAATTCAGAATGGGTGCATCAAAATATGCCAGCAATCGACATGTTTTGTCTGCTTCCAGAAATTCCATTGATGACAATGATTCCAGTTCCATTTGTGATTCATGTTTCACTGAAAACACCCACAAACCCCATAAAGGAACTCCATTTTGGTTAGCTGGTTCAACTACGGCCAACACTTGGGGACCAAACCAAAATATTCGGGGATAATTCGCAAACGGGATAACGCAAGTCTTCCGCAATATGGGTGCAGCTGTTGGATCCAAGCGGCTCGAATAAAATATCGAAACAGATTTCTTGTCCGTTACAACCGCAAGCTCATAAAAATCATGGGTAGAATAAAACGCCACTTGATTAATGAAGGAGTCCAAGGTCAAAAAATGGGAAGACGAAGGAGGAGGAACAATTCCGGAAGCAAAATTTGTCAATAAAACCCTCGTTCCATCAATTACGGCAACCGTCGAGGAACTATCTTCGCTGCGACAGCAGCTCCATGTCCATTCTACTGTGGACAGACTTCCCGAATCGAGAATATAGAGAACATATGGTTCGTGCTGACTCCAGCGAGCCGCTGCAATCTGATCCGCACCGGTGCGCGGATAGCGCAAAGTCTGTTTAGCATACCAATGATAATTGTTCACAGTCCATAACTGAAGACAATCACAAAGGCCAGTCGGCTCATTGAGCACAATCCACACCAAAAGAATTTCGGACGTTGAGTTCCATTGCAGATCTTTCACAGCTGATTGTTGAGCAGGAAAGGGAAGAGCGAATTCGCCGTGCCGCAAACCATTCTTTTCAAAAAACTGAATGTGTCGTTGATCTGATTCGTAAATCGAGGAAGCGATCAGAGCTCCGGAAGGTTTCCAAGCTAGGCACCATTCCAGGCCGTTAACAGGTTCACTGGTGCTCTGCAAAACTCCCTGTCTATCGTACACGCGAATAAGCCGACTGCGGCGCAGCTCCGAAATGGATCCCACGGCAAAATACTGACCGTCGCCTCGCCAAGATATTCGTGGAATCGCATCATCTTCCCCCATTATTCCACCCGTTATCTGTATTAAAGCAAATCATTTCATATTCGTTTTGTGCTTGTTATTTACGTATCATTAACCAGAACCGACTACTAATTTCATAAAATAAAAGACAAACTTGGGGAACACAGGTAACAAAGAAATTCTTCAAAAGAAGGAAATTACAAAAGCAGCATCTCTGTTCAGACACCACTGGACACCACCACCACCACTGTTCAGACACCACCAAGTCCATAATACGTAGAACAGAGCGAACTTCGTGAAACTCAGTAATAGTACAACAGCATTTTCACTGTTTCACACCCTATTCAAATTAAGTAAATAACTGCAAAATGTAAATGCCAGTTCGAGCTTGGAGTTGATAGTAACACTTTCGTTACTCACAGTGATACCACGCAACTATTGCAACTTAAATTTCCCGGAACAAACAAAAATCAGGCAATTCATACCTGTGTTTTCGCTTTCGCAGCTTCCTTGCCTTCACTCCCATGAAACTGCGTTTCTTTCTTACCCCATCCGACAGTGACGGGCATTTGTTCCCCGAACTCCTCCGACTCCATAGGACTGGTAGAAACCGCCAGCCAGTCAGCTGTCATGACGATCAAATGCGGTCCTCCGTGTGTATGGCGAGTGGTCAACGCTAATACTTCTTGATCCGCACTCCATTTACACGCACTGACACCCTCCGCAATGTGGCACATAACAGACTATAACAAAATAAACACATTTTTTTATTTCACCTACAATGCTTCTAGAAGAAGCGTCCGCCAGGAGCGACGATCAAGTGACGCAAAAATACGTACCACGTCGTTCCCCCAAGAAAGCGCAATCGTTCCTTCGACTGTTGCGATAAACAACGCGGCTTCCGCGACAAGATAATCGATGTCCACAATGTGCGAATGCTCCGGAGGGATACCAAAGACGGTTTCTTCCTCATTTCTTATGAAAACATAACCTGAATTACTGGCGGCCGCTACCGCTCCAGTGGTGTCTGAACAGAGGAACTTGGACTGATTGTCACCAGCATGCTCTGAAACAGTACCGAACGGCAACGAGCGGTGACGCTCGGAAACAAACTCTAAATTCCTCATTCTGAAAAAACAGCAATAGCAACGTTGTAGCACTCTAAAGAACCAAATAAAACCAGATTCAAGACTCTATATGCAGAAAGATTCAAGATTCTATATGCAGAAAAATTTCAAAAAAGATTTCTTAGTTTCTGAATGTCCTCAATCTAAAATCTTACACGTGAGGCAGCTCGTACAACACCCGCCTGGGGGCGGCGATATTTTTGGATGTAGTCACAGTGCCGTCCTAGGCGGTTGGTTGACCACTACAGGACGCGAAAATTTCCCGAACTTTGTAGCTTCACTAGTTTGCACTTCTGAACTTCCAATTGTTTCTGCATTTTAATGAATGATATTTAAACGGATCAACGGAATGCACGAAGTTAAAACCTCGTGAAATCTCAAACCCGCAAAACTGGAACTTGGGTTACTGCACAGGCCGCAGACTTTTCGTCTTATAGTTCTGTTTCCGACTCAGAACTATCAGACGGGAAAACAATTGGGTAGACTGACCACTTGCTTGTCCATCTTCAGTCCACCATCGGGCAGAACATTGCGACAGCAGCCGTGTTGCAGATTTTTCTACTATCAGCTATCTCGTTGTAACGGGTATTAGCTGCATGTTGCATATTACTCCATCAATCCATAAACATAAATAAAGGCTGTTTTGCGGTGCAAAAGCGAATTTGAGCGTCCATCATGCTTTTTTTCGCGCGCGTATATACAGAAAATAAAAAAAAATAAATTACAGATCACTCAAAACCAAGGGTCTTCCTTGTTAATTACAATCATACAACATTGTGCTAGAAAAATCAAACGATCAGACTAGGTCGATTTATGAATTAGTTGTTCAAAACTGTCCGACGTATATAAACATTTCCTCTTTGCTGCGTTACTGCTCGTTTCCAGCGTGCCATCTGATCGCTCAAACGTCCAGTTATTGACAAGGTTCTCCGACGTTCACCACCGTTCCGTCCATAACCCTGCAAAAGAAATTTTTGGGATTAACGGAAACTCCTTGAAAATGTAGTAAAAAAGCACCTCAGAATCGGAGAGCAGCTGCTTTACCTCGTCGTCGAGATGCTGCTCGTAGGGAACGGAAGTGTCCTCCACGACGGCTTTGGTGGGCTTGAAAAATCTGGCTTCCAGCAGTAAATATACCATGTAAACCATGAGTATTCCCGTAATCACAATAAACGCAATGACAACAATCTGAAACGGCAAAAAGACAGTAAAGGATCGAAAGCAATGAGAAAAAATTGTTGAACACTATGTTGTGGCAAACCCGCTTAGTAACACTGATACCTTTTACAGTTTTACTAATTAATAACATGTGACCATGTCACACCGTCAAACGACATCGCATTTTTATTACCTTTATTGTTAAAGAATTCCTGTTCTGGTGTTTACACTGGCACTTCGCACAGAATTCACCCGCGGTGACTTTCTGTCCGTCCGCCATACTGGTCACATTGGGCAGGACAACGTGGTCACAGTTACTGTTACAGCACAATGAAAGCAATGGTAAATCAACGCGACATGTTGAGTTGTGTGAATTTCACTTGCTTACCATTGTTCAGGGTTTACGTTCCTGATATAAACAGCACGTCCTGTGCCGTTGATACGGGGACAAATACATTTGCAACGTTTGTCGGAATGATCCTTAAGCAGAAATGCAAAATGTGTAACAAATTACAAACAAGACCAAACTCTCATAATAAGTTCCTGGGTATGCGATCAATTCCTCAAATTTTACTGGTTTTCAGGTTTTGGAAGAATTTTCGTACCTCATTGTCATCAGTTCCATACGCCCTCGTGGTCACAAATAGCAATAACATCGAAACAATAATGAAATTATAGGAGCGCCATGTTTTCAAAGCCCGTGCAATATTAAGATCCATGTCGCCCTCAGTTGATGGTGAGATAAGTCACGAAGCACTTACGTTTTTATGAGTTTAGGAACTGCAGAGCAGCAGATTAAAGAAATTAATGGAATATGATTACCGCTTACGCAGTCCAGGAAGCGAAACGTACCTCCAAAACTTTTTTGCAGGTACTAGTTAGTAAGGTAACAGTACCAGTACTAGTTCTAATGTAAGGTAACCGTAGATTTGGTGCTACGAGCCTACGATCGCTATTATTAAAAAAAGTACCTAAAATTAGCAAAGGGAAGAATACTACAAATTACAAGATTTAATATAAAACTTCGGTATATGTAAGTGCCCATATTTTTTTTAGTTTGTGATTTCAAATTAATTTTTGAAGTCGCGCTTAGCCAACCGCAGTCACAGACCATGCCGCAGTGCTCACCAGATTGCTGTAGAATCCGCCTCGGCGCCTCCCCAGAAGAGTGGCATTATTTTTACAGCAGTCGCCGTCATTGACTGACGTAATATTGACTAGACCGCGTGCGATGACAAAGTGCTGCTAGTGGCAAAATTCAAAATGCACCATTAATTGGATTTACGCCCATTTTTTTACTGGAATTTTCAATATTTTTAAGTTAAGCAGTTTGACATGGTAAAGGTGCTGTGCGACTGAAAAAAGGCAGTAGCAAATAAGCAGGGCGCTATCCACTGGAAACCCAGAAACGGCTGAAAAAGGCGCCGATGGGGGAATCGAACCCCGGCTACGTCGTTAGATCCGCGTAGGCAGTACCACTGCACCACGGCGCAATACGTTGAAAACTTGAAATCATTTGAAAGATTTTGTCGCTGTACGTGAGCCGCTTCTCCGCTCACACTAGCAATATGCACGGAGAAAAATAAATTCAAAAATTGTTATACGTAACTGCTAGACAACAGGAGTACGGCACGACGACACAGTAGATCTGGAATTTCCGACACTCTCGGCATCTCCCCGAAGACGGGAAAATGAAAATTCCAAAAAGTCGGTTTTTTGGAATTTTCAGAAGATGCCACGTTCAGCCAAAATGCTTAGCCTGGCAAATTTCCGAGCCGAGCTAATACTCTGACCAATCACAGCTTCCTTGGCGTGACGTCAATTTCAATTTTCGGTATCACGGTCATTTTCGACTTCCGGCTGCATTTTGCTTTGGAGCAAATCGCACTAGGTATACTGTACTCGTACTGACCAGAGGTTGCCCATCTCCATTTTTATACGGGAATGGATCCCATTTTTCCCCCATTTTCCATTTTTCCATACTAAAATGGTATGGATGGAAAAATTGCATTTATGGATGGGGATGGATGGGGAAAACGAAGAAATGGGCGGAAATGGGAAATTTAGGAAATATGATGAAAATAACGAATTAATAGATTTTTACAACCACTTTCGTTGCCCCAATTCACAAAAACCATCGCGCGCCCATAAAAAAACTTTCGCGCTTCGCGCGAAATTGTAATAACTTGAAATAACTTCTAAATGGTACGATCGAAAAACGTTCGGCAAAAACAGCGTTGAATTCACGCTTCGCTGAATAGCGGATTGCCTCGCAACTCGGTTTTTGCTTGTTCGTTTTTAATTTTATTTTTAAAAAATGGGGCGCTGAAATGGGAACGGAAGAAAATGGGTCCGATCCAAAAATTATGGAGCGGGAATGGGTGGGAAAAGCTTCAAGAAAATGGGGTATGGATGGGATATGGAAAAAGCAGAAATGGGCAACCTCTGGTACTGACCCAATATCGTTGCGTCCATTCCATTCATAAAATCAATTTTTGTGACCCGTTTTGGCGTTTTGCAAACATTTACGTCATTTGAGTTTGGTTTCCTAATTCCTGGCTTCGTCAGAATTGTTTTACAATTTAAATTAAGTACCTCAATTAAATAAAAGACGAAATTTTTTTACAATGCGGCCAATCAGTATCGTCCATCAGGATCCTTGTCTGACAGTTTTCAAGCATTGCAGCAAAGATACTGTTGTCATTTGTATGGGTTCGCCCGCAAGCTGTCCTCTGTGCGATGGGGAATTGAAGGACTGGATGTTCTCCTTTCGCCAGATTTTTGCTCCATGGAAAACTTCAGAGTCGTGCCCCTGCACGATTGTGATCCGTCCAACGAACGGGAGATTTCTCCAGTAAGTTTTGTTATTATGTATGTACTTGCGAGTATTGAACCCGTCGCCAGTGCCTGCGATAGTTAAATTTCAATCAAATATTTAAATGCATAATAAATTTTTAAGGAAATGATACCAATAATGTTGAAGTCGTCGAGGTTTTTGACAAATGTTCATGTTTTTATACGCATTAAACATCGTTCTGACTGCAGGGATTACACAGGAGTAGAGGATTTACACATCGGAATTGCGGATAGCGACGGTAACTAGATGGTACTACGGTAATTATGATAAGTATATAATGACAGTACTGTTTTTTCTTGTTTTTAAATTTTTATTTATGTTCTGTTATTTTAATATCGCGCGCTGCCGCTTATCTTGCTGACTGCTTGCGCCAGAACAAGATTTTTTTGTAATTATCATTTTCCTATCTCGTACGTAACGTTGCTAAAAGTCTTGAAGTACGTATTTCAGCCTCCCTAGTACACTTTTACGAATCTGCGACCCACCACCATTATTTCAAATAAAAAAATTGTTGTTAGTTCTTTTGGTAATTAGGAAATTAAAAATAGTACTTTTTGTAAATTTTCTGATGTTTAATGAATTACTTAGCTGTACCTGATACAAGTGCTTCGCAAAATTTAATGTGCAGTTGTTACTGAGTTGTAGGGCAAGTTTTGCATTATGACGATAATGGAATCAAGCGAGACACGTTCTGGCCGGAATGTCTGCCCGTTTGGTCACAGCCGGATGCAGATTTATTAACGTATGGTTCCGGAAGTATCCCAGATACGCAGCGGTGTAGATGGAATAACACATTAACGTTACACACACTGTCGTGGAGAATTGACAATCATGCGTAAGAATTAGCACGGACTGACAAGTACGTATTCGGCTTTGGGTGATGAAAGCTGCTAAATTTTTAACAGGTACAACGAACAGGTTCGGAACTGTTTCGATTTTGCGCTTGGGTTTGTTCGCGCTTTGATAACTGAAACCGAGCCGTTCGGAAACAAGGAAATGTTTACCTCAGAAGTCATTCTCCCCAAAATTCAGCGCTTATTACGTTTTCTGGAGTTATACAAAAAAGTTTGCTCAACTGCACGGTCATGGATAATTCAGGATACCAAGGATATGTGATCGATCGTTGGTTGGCTGGTGACTGCGCTACCAAACTGAGAAATACCATTGAAATGCACGAAATGTGGCTTCGCATTGCTGGTTGGGAGGTACAGCCGTTATTTCGAAAATAAACACTCTTAAAGTTAAGGTAGCGGAAAAGTTCTTGTTGTCGTAGAATGGATCAAGACTTGTTAAACTTGCATTTTCCTGGAAGCGAATGAAAGAGAAGCTATCCTAACGGAGGGCGCTGTAACATTTTGTGTGTGAAATCTTCCTGCGAAGCACAGTTTTGAAGCTGGAAATGATGTGCCGTTTTGTTCTGAATTTTCAGCATTGGAATTGAACTCAGAATAAATAGCAGAATGATGGTTTTGTTGCCTTGCTCCTCCTGGAGCGCTCTATCTCTTTATTTAACTGTCTAAGTCTCAAAGCTCTTGCATTTCTGTTTGTTTAATTCTCTACTTGCATCGGAATCGCGTCGACAAGACGAACTACAACTACGTGTGCAACACTTTGAACTCACTTTTTTAAGCAGGTAACTTAAAATCAACACATGTTTTTTTGTGTGTTTGATCATTGGAGCTTTATTTTTTCAAGCAGTTATGATTCAACTTGTGAGTACTGATGGTGGACGATTTTGTACCTAAAAGCCACAATACATGCAAGCGTTGATACACTCTCATACAACGGTTAGTATTGCGTTGCTAACAAAATAAATTTAAAATACGAAGTCTTTAGCAAGTTTTACAATTTACGTTACGGTTTGCGTGAGCAAAAAAAACATCTGAATTTTAATAAGCTGAGATTCCAGACTGTTCAGTATCACTCCTTCGGCGTCATTTGAAGCCCCTGGAAAAGAAACAGACATGCATTAGGGAGAGATACGCAGTTGTTTGTTATTCTACATAGATCGGAACGAATGGATTATCGAACACACTACAAGCGCATTCGGTATTTAAACTTTGCTATGCATTTGATACTATCATACTAAAAATAAAATGCTTTAAGACGGTATATATACTTTTAGGGTAGTTGAAAACATTTTACCTTAAGTAATTTATCAAAAGTAAATGCATAGCGTATACGATTATAATGATTGTAGTAGTAAGTTTGCAAGGTTTTGCCAACTTTTACAGCATATCTATACTCAAATATCGCAAAAAGAGACATATTTTTTTCGAAAAAAAGTTCGTAACCGGTTTAAAATAATTTTATTCAACCGTTACAACCACAATAACTTGCAATTAGACGTGTTTGATTCTAAGGTACTCTTAGTTAATTAAAGGTAATTCGCGACTGGCATTAGGGCTTAACGGTACATAACAGGAGACTAACGACCACCGACATCATTTTTCAAATACCTGAATATTAGAAATTTTTGTTGCTTGATTGCTTATACGTACTATCGTACGAATGATAAGACTTAACCGAGAGTTTGTTTATTCGAATTCATAGCTTTTCTACAAAATTAATTGTAATTTTACAATGGTCATTAAGGCAGAACTTAATCAGTGTGTAAGGGATGCATAGAAGTATTGTTTTACTTTGATTAAAGCATCCAGCTCCGTTTCTAATTGCGCGTAAAGGTCATTTGCATTTGGTCCAGTTTCGTTGTTGCTTGTTTGCTGATCGAAAATGCGCTCAATAGGGATTTCAATACCACTAGAAGATTCCTTCAAAAGAAAGCAGTCCATGATCAGTTTCAGTACAAATTAGAATAACAACTTAATCGCGGCTGGAGTAATGGTTGTTACTGTCAATCTGAAATCTATTCCAAAGGCTCTACTACTTGATGTTTGTTATAAATTCTAGATAAGTTTTTTTTTGCGTATTCATTAAATGAAAATAATCCAGCACACTGTACCAAAGCGGTATAGCTGATTATAAAGGGCAAAGCGGCATCATTGTTTGCGAGTAGAAGCTTAATTATGTTTTGGTTGCAGAGTTTGTTTTAACCAAAGCAGATTATAATGATCCTGCCCAGGCTTAAACGAAACATAAATTTCAGAAGGTCGATGTACAGTATGGTGAAAAACGATAATTTCGCATGGCGAACTAGTCATTTTCAGGAGCCAGTATGCATATATATAGGGAAACAATTCAAATTACAAGAGCGAAAACTTTGGGCTGCACCACGTGCACTTCCCATGGCCATAATTATGTACTGTATATCTTTTAAAGAAAAAGTGGCAGAAATGCCACATAGCAGAAAGTCTTCGATTTTCAGTTGTTATGAATGTACACAGTAGAATTACTGTACACGATGATGGCGGCCATAAACAGTGCATACTGCATAGTCAGTCATGAAGTTTCTGTGCGGACCATATACTAGTACAATACATATGCAGTAAAATCAACGCTAAAACGCTTACCTCACTACTGGCATTTTCCGGTTCAGAAATCCGTTGAGCATGTTCGAACACCGGCTGATCAAAGTTTTTCCTGCCAGGCAAAAAAGGGTTTTGATTCTGCTGCATTAACTGGTGATAAGGCCGCTCGTTTTGAATTGTATTTTTTCTGGTTTCTTGGGCTATACCCTCATCATCATTCTGGTATAAAGGATTTTTCATCTGCAAATCAGGATTGACTGGTTACTGACTGTACTAAAATAACTGATTTGTTAGGCAGATTTTTGACTTTTTCATGTATCAAAAAATATTATCTGGGCGATGGAAGAGTGGGAGCACAAGGCAGTTGTACTGCTATATATATAGAAATTATGCAACTGTATTAATGCGCCAGCGTCAAGCCGGTCAAAGATCGATCTTACAATAAGAATGTTTTACTGTAAAAAAATACAGTAACGCACTAACATTGTCCTTGAAATACTTGTCATAAGGACAAAATTAATTATTGTTCATATAGTGCACAATATCGTCACAGGACACGTATCTGCGCGGTGCGATACTATCATTGTAATTAATCTTTAGTATACAGTAGACAGTTAAAACAAATTTGCCACAATGTCATTATCTGTGTACAAACTGGATTAAACGCTCAAAAGTATCGAAAGATAATATCTTGAAAAAATCAACGGAAAGCGTGTTTATTTTTTTGAGGCGAAATTTGCTGAGTTTCAGCAAGACTTAGTAATATAACTTAGTGAGTAATATAACTTAGTGTACATTTATATTGTACAGATACACGCTTAACGGTATACCAGATTCTCGGATGGAAAAGTACATACAGATATAATACTAACGCGACCTTACCTCGTCAAAAACAGCCACTCCCGTACTCCGTCGGCTTTCCCGAAGTCCCCGGCGATTTCTTTGATTTTTGCTTCGGGTTGCTCCACTCATTTTGGCTGTCAGCTTTTTGCGGGTTGTTTCAACCGAATCCCGTCTCTCGCTTTCCAACATCCAGGGATTAAGGTTGTCGGGAAAAGTGTCATCACATTCGTCCGCCGCTGACGTTTCGTAAGCCACTGGCGCCGGCGTGCGCATGGCTCGGAGTAAGCCCTCCGTGAGCAATTTGGAATTTTTCCTTTCCGGTTGACGGCTGTCCACATTGTTCAGAATATCAGCATGCAGATCGCGATCCGTTAAGTCTTCTGTGAAACTGTTACCGTCCGCGGAGGGGAAATTCAACCTTAACCTCATTGTCATGGTGTTTTCGTGGAGAATTGATTTGGGCATATTTTGTAACGTGGTGAGCGGTGCCGTCATAATCGCATCAGTTGCATGTTGAGTATTGACGATAGGATTGTCGGCAATGTGGTTATGGTTATGCGTGATGCTGGCCGAGCCAGCGTCCGCTGATGATTGGCTGTTATTAATATTATGGTAAGCGTTATTGTGATCACGGTTGCTTTCCATTCAGATTTCGATTTGCTGATTGGACCTAATAAACAGCGTGTGTACATGATAGCAACAATAGGCCGCAAACAGTAACCTATAATGTTTGTACTAATGGTCTCCATAGGTATGCGCCACATAACTTAATTTTTCGGGTCATCAATAAATTAAACAATTGCGCACCGGTTGCAAATGGAATTCGGTTAAATCTGGCTTCCGGCTGCAGTGTTAGAAGTAGACGCTATTGGTGGAATATGGATATACATAACTAACATAAGAATTGCAGTGTCGCAATCGTATTGGATGGGCACCTGTGTATACACATTACACACAATATTATTTGCGTATAGTCGAAAATGAAATTATCGTCTGGCTTGATTTCATACCGTATGTATTTTGGTACCCTATATATTTGTTCCCTTGCACATAATTTGTGCCAATTACAACTTTACACAAATAAGAATACGAAAAATCAGCAGGCAAGACCAATAACTATCCTTGTCGAATCCGACAGGAAAAAAACCCGGAAAAATAATTTAATTCAATACTGTATTTGGTAAAAATGTTGCACTATATCGACAAACCGACAGTCAAAAAAGTTAATATCAGACTGCATATGCAGTCTGATATTAACTTTTGACTGTCGAGTTTGATCTTGGTTGATATTGTTACTGGAACTTCATGATGCATCATGAAGTTCCAGTAACAATATCAACTAACCATAAGTACTTATTTGACCTGCCGGGTAGCTATGCTCAAGTACGAGTATGTATACTGTGCATACAGAACGCTCACCGTCGACCGGGCTACTTTTAATTAATCCTACGCACCGTCATGAAAACAGAAGGAAGTTATCCAGGATGGAACCTGAATAAGTGAATGAAAGTAGTGCAATTTGGATTAGTCTTTTCCAACAACGAGCGCAATAATGATTTAGCGATCACTTGAATTCACGTACAATGAAGTGAGATTAGACGCAGACGTGATCGCCGTTACTTTTTGATTACTTATCCCTTTCTAATCAAATACACACGAGATAATCCAATTCAGAGCAGATATATAAACAAAAAGTGGGTTGTGAAACGTATTGCAGCATCAAAAGATTCTACAGGTTACCAAAAACAGGAAGCGGATATTGTATTCGTAGATACTCATAAACCTCTTTGGTAGTTATGTTATCAAAAGATGAATGTTATGTTTAAGTTGCGCATAACGTAAAACATCTTTAGAGTACTTCCAGACTGGTGAAAGTGAAATGAGCCAGATTGGTTTACATACACACAACCGATGTAGTGATGCTACAAAGTAATACACAGCAGTTTTCAAGACAGAGGCTATTTAATGGAACTTTCGTCACAGGGTTAACGGCAGTACGCAGAGCGTCGCGGAAAATGTTTCCGAGACGAATAATTAGATATATAGAGTTGCTGGATTCTGTGCATGTCCATGTCGTGCGCCGTACTTTTTTGATGACGGGAGATTTTAAAAATAGACTACTTAATCTGACTTCCTCCTAACGGCAAGATACGCGGACTTATTAAAGAAGTGCAACTAGGTTTTTGCATCGCCGGTCAGCTGAGCATTGGCTATATAAAGCACCAACATCCCCACTTGTTGCGAAATTCATCGGCACTGCAGCCGGAATTTCATGCATGCACGTCGCGTCGGAACGACCTTGTCGACAGGACGAAATCTTTCAAGCGTTCGAGTGAGACACATTTGTGTACACATAAAAGTCGTGAAACAAAATGATTTGGTGAGAAAACATAGGCATTATAGCGTTCAGCAGTGGCACATAAACATTTTGTTATTACTGAACGAACCAGGCAAAGGTGAGCAATAATTGTTTATCAACCTTCGCTTTTATAATTGTATTCTACGCTTGGATATGCGCGCACTTCTACGCTACATAAATTAACCCACACTAAAAAAACAAAACTGTATAACATGAAAATATGTAACAATAAAGTAACGAAATTAACCGGTTTTTCCACCAAAGTGTGATAAATCCAACTGAGAATTAAATTCTATCCGTTTGGTATGGCGAGATATACTCCATATTGCAGAAGACAAATATACCAGAAGAGTTCGTATGTTAACAAGGAATCCATAAACGAAACCAGATCAAAGTCAGCCAAAATAATCGGAAAGTCGCAGCGTAACATTTATCAAAGCACGCTCTCCTTCTTTCCTTTTGCTGATCTCCCACGATACAAGCTCGTTTTCATCTTTATAGACACTCTGCAGCATAAAAACATCCATTTAAATCCAAATGGTAGATCAGTTACAGTGGTCGTAAAATTCCTAATGATATCGTACATTTTCGGAATTATTTGGCAATAACCTATTCAGTACGTAGGGGTAAGCCCCAGACACTCATAGGGTCATACCTTTTGCTTACTGCTCAAAAACAACAAAAAGCAAAAATAAAAATTGTACAAATTGTACAAACGCCGCATACAGTTTTTGAAACAATTTAAAATACGTACGCCTGTTGCACAATTTAAAATACTTACGCGTTATATTTCAGATCGGCAGAGCTCACTTTAAAACGTTTCGGGTTATCAATGTGACGCTTTACGGAAGTATCCTCCTGAATGTCGAAATGGGGAGGTATATCACCTTTAAGGTCTGTAACGAGAAACAGTTACAAGATGTTCGACAATCGACAGTACTTGTAGTCATTTAAGCAACTAAATTCAAGAATAGAATGGTTGCAAAAAATGGCTCTAGACATTCTATAAACAGTTCTTATTTTCATCAAATACATCAGCTTTAAGATTGCTTTTTCTTGTATAAATTTTTAAAATTACTGTTACGCTCAATAAAAATTTTACCGGAGACTGTTCGTTTGCAGTTAGTTAAGTTCTACGTTACTCTTTTATGTTGGGGTCACTATTTCTTTACTGAGCTGCGAGTATGGCCGACTCACGAGTTTCGAATCATTGTGAAACAGAATTTGAAATATTCTGAGCGTTTGGTAAAGAAAATTTAAGATCTCTTATAACACAATGTTACATCAAGGTACGAGCAATTTTTTAAGATATATTGATACGCACAAGCCTCCTTGGTGTAATGCACGGTCAGTCCCAAGCGAATGTCATTGTTTTCGAAATCTATCGGCTTGACGGTCTTCATTGCATCTCGAATCTGCAAAAACAGTACAAACATTTACATCACGATTTCCGGTACACAACGCTTTTCAATTTTCGCAACAACTAATTGGGTGACAGACTGAAAGTAGTACCATTCCAATCGTGCGCGAGGCCATCTGCGACACTTCGGAGTCACTCAGTTTGGGCTTAACAAATTTCTGCGAGCCGAAGTCCAGTCTGCAAAGAAAACTGCTAATTAGACACTTGAACGAAGCCACGCCCGCCAAGGAAAATGTCCAACTGCCAACAGTTCCACTCCTACGTTTTGTCGAGATCCGGCACACCCCGGGATCCTGCCACCTTCGCAGTCATCTGCTTCAGCTGATCGTCATCGCGGTGTTCCAGCTCAAATCGCCATTCTTCGTACAGTTTCTGCAGAGTGCAAACCAACGCTATAACGCTTAACTTGCAATTCGATAACAAAGAGCCATTATTATCGGTGCACTTACGTTCATATCCTGTCCGTCATGGAACTGCGGAAAGAAAAGTACAAAAACAAAGGCTCACAGACAGAAAATCGATTAAGGTGAAAAAATTTTCGCTATGGGAAGTTTTTACCTGCAGAATTATCGCCGTGACCTAAGGACGGAATAAAGTAGGGAGGTTTTGATTTCATATCAGTAACGGATGGTCTTCAAACGCGGCTTACAAAGAACAAATTGCACGGTACCTGATGCGCGAAAATTCCTTTGAATACTTTGGACAGCATGTCCAGCAATCGGTTGACGGCCTCCTGGTAATCTTCGAATTCGCCCTTCAGGTTTTGGCGTTGCAGAGCCACCACGGTGTTTTCTAGATATTTATTACCGTAAACGTGCGTCCCAGTAAGCATCCCTGCTGACTGCGTTACCGGCACTGCTTTCGTTATGAGAGTAAAGAAGCATACTTACCGTCTCCCAGATCTGTTGACTGGAACGCATCGGCTGGAAATACGTGCCGTTCTTTCAGTATCTCAGAGATTGACCAGGCGAGAATTCTGGCGGTCACGCGAGAAGAGGTCTCTGCACTGGTCACTTCTAAAGTATTCGTCTTAGGCGGCTGAATTACTTGCTGCTGAGTGGCCATCGTCAAGATTAGTAAATTAGCAACTGATTTACACTTGAAAAAACTAATCAAAACTGCAGCAGCTCAGAAATGCGCCACAAGCACTACAATGTTCTGCTTGCAATCGATAGTTATTAGTTACTCTACGAGTAGAAGTTACAAGGGATAGCTTTGGTTTTCCCGTGCCTGTGGCGCGGCATTAATGATGAAATTAAACCAATAATTATCACCAAAATCACAAAACAACTTGAAACTTGGTAAGTGCTAAAAGAGGAAGAAGCCGCAACAGTGCGTAACCTTTCCTTAGGGAAACCTGATCAAACATCAGTAACCGAACGGAAAGCGATTCATAATCACTGTATTATCAAAAATTCGGAATTACCGCACCATAAACATAAAGCACGTTTGTGCTGCTGTACGGTACGGCTGTACTCTGGCACGCACAATTCGTAACCGTCAACTGGGTGGGGTAATGGTTTTAAAAAAGCTGCAAAGGAAGTACTAGTACTCGTACAGTCGTACGTACTTTATTTTAAGTTTTAAAGTAGTGCTTGTGCTTGTACTAGAGTACGAGTACGAATATTTTTGACGATAAAACAAGTACTGTACATGAACCAGACTACCAGGGTGCCCGTACGTTTTTGCAATTATATTTTACAAATTTTTTGCGGCAGGTTCATTGAACCGTGACAGGTTCTTATATGCGGTATACAACTAGAATCAGTTGCAGCATATATGAAACTGTAGTTTCGGTTTTTGGTCTTCGATATCCGTGTGTAAACAAAACTAATTTTTGGCGCCCGTAAAGTACGGAAGGGTCCGGCCGGTTGAAGGAAGCGGTGGGGCCTAACAGTCATGTGACATGAGTCATGTGACAAGAGTCGAGTAACGATGCGTGAAACTTGTAGATGGCGTTGTTAGCTCGGCATGTTTTTTAGTTTACATTATGTGCTCCTACATTATGTAGGAGCACATTGCATCGGTTTCATCGGTTCTTGTAGGAGAAAAACGGAATTGTAGTATCCAAACAAACGTAATCCAATATGCTCCTGCAATGTGCTCCTACATATGTAGGAGCACATTGCAATGTGCTCCTACATATATGTGCTCCTACATATGTAGGAGCACATTGCAATATTCTCCTACATAATGTAGGAGTACATTGCAGGAGCATATTGTATGTGGAGATTATAAGGGGTAGGAATATAAAGTGCTGAATAGAGAATTTAATAATATAGTAAATTATATTAAGGTGATATGTTTGACGAAAAGTGATAACGAAGAAAGGGTGTACTAATCCAGTGTAGGGAAGAAAGAGTCTACATTGAACTAGGGTGAGTTTTACTGTAGTATGGTATAAATATATTCGACCTTGTGGTTGTTCGTATTTGACTGTTTAATGAAGTGTTACAGGAAGTGGAGCGTGTTGCGGGTTGTAGATAGTGATGGATTATTGTGGAAAATTCGAGAAATTTCGAGAAAGTTGATTGCTTAATGGAGCAGATTATTATGTTTTGCTCTGATAGTCTTGGATGTGTAAGAACAGGTGGTTTGTATATGGAAAGTAGGTTGGTAGGTACATTAAAAGGTTGTTCGAGAAAATGTATAGTTTAATTGGTTTGTTGACTGGATTTTTTGAGTTCGGTGGGTATAAAAGAAGTTAAGGAATCTTGTGTTGGAGTTATTATGGAGTGGAGGAAGTTGAGGAATCTTGTGTTTGAGTTATCATGGAGTAGACGAAGTATATAAAGTGAGCGAAATAATTTTCTTGTTAGTTATTTTTTGGTGGCCGGTGTGGATTTGTGGATACTTACTGATTCAGGTTGCTGTCTTTTGTTTGGCTTTGGTAAGTCTTTTTAGGTTGAGTATGGTTTAGTAAGTTTTCTTTCATACATGATTTTCGTTTAAGAATTCTTTTTTAATAAAATAATGAAAGGTGGTTGTGATCGTAAGAAGTACATGCGTGAGTATATGCGTGATTATAGAAAGAAACACAAAATAGAAACTGATGGTAGTTGTAGCAGGGAGGACAATGTGGGGAGTGGTGATGATGTTAGATATGAGAATGTAAAAATTAAAAAACAAAAATTTAATCGGAATACTAAAGGTGGTGCGTTTTCTGGTATGTTTGGAACAAATTATTGGAAAAAGGTCATGGTTGCTTATGTGCCGTGCGATTGTTGCAATATTTTAGTTGCATCTGATTTGATTGGTGATAATTCAGACATGTCACATAGTGACTAAAAGCCGATGCTAGGCTATGTGCAGGATGTATGAGTTTACATAAACATAAACATATTAATTTTTGTGATTACGATTTACGGCGGAATTGTTTAGATGTTGGTGAAGAAAATTGGTTAACTAATCTTGGTTACATGAAAGTACAGGCAGTGCGTTTATTACAGCCTTTTTCGACAATATTGCATTTGAAAAATAATTTAACAAAATGTGTAAGGCAATTTCTTCATGTAACTAGTGATCCTAGTGAAAATTTCGAATGTTTGCTACCACGTCCGGCTACAGATTGTTTATTAGCTGTATGCCAGGCAAAAAAGAATGATTTTGATAATTGTATTCGAAAAGTCACTTATTCTGTTGATTTTGATATCGTCTATAAGGCGCTTGATTTTTTGATTTGTAATAACATGTTTTACGGGAACTGTAAAATCCGCGATTTGAAAAATTTAGAAACCAGTGAGTCTGAAAGCAAAGTGAAAATTGATATTATGGATAGTGCAGCTTTATTAGATATGAATAATCAATAATGTTATACCCCTAAAGTATACTGAAGGTTATGAGGGTGTTTTACCTTATAATGATAATTTGTTTGGGACTGGAAATCAGAAACTGGATTGGAAGAAAAAGCGTATCCTAATTAATTTCCGTTTGGTTATGGTGGTTTAACTGATGATTGGCCTTATAGTATTTCACCTGAAAAATATTTTAAATTGCGTCTTTTAAGTGCAGACAATAAGTTTCAAAAAGATTGCTCATACGTTTTCGAGCTCTAAACCTTTATCAACGGGATCAGGTAGAACGGACGATTAATTATGTTATTAAAAATGACAATTTTTGTAAAGAGAAAGATTTAGGTAATAAAAGTGTTGCTAAGTTTTTATATCCAAAAATTGGAAAGGCTACACGAGGCAGTCAAGCATATTATAATGGTGCTGAACGACATTTTCGGAGTATGTTAATGTGTAATGGTTGTTCGGATCTTTTCTTAAGCATTACTTTACGATTTTATCCTGAATTGTTGTGTTTTGCTGACCCTGTTAAGTTTACATTTTTGTTTTTTAACTTTATATTTTCATGTCTAACATCATCGCTACATCATTATCTTCCTTGCTATAATTACCATCAGTTTCCATTTTGCGGTTTTTTTTCTATAATCACGCAGACACTCACGCATGTATTTCTTGCGATCACAATGAGTTTCCATTATTTTATTTAAAAAAACAATACTTAAAAGAAACTATCTATGAAAGAAAACTTACTAAACTATACTCAACCTAAGAAGACCAAAGCCAAACAAAACACAACAACCTGAATCAGTACACTTCCGAAAATCTAAACCGGCCACCAGAAAATAACCAACAAGAAAAACATTTTCTTCACTGCATATACTTCGTCAAATCCATAATAGCTCAAACACAACGTTCCTCAACTTCTAATATACCCACTGAGCTCAAAAAATCCAGTCAACAAACCAATTAAACCAAACTTTTTCTCGAACAACCTTTTAATGTACGTCCCAGCTTACATCCTTACAAACCACCTGTTACTACACATCCAAGACTATCAGTGCAAAACGTAATAGTTCGCCCCATTAAGCAATCAACTGTCTTAACTACACAAACTACTAATACACAAATTACTACTACCGAAATGACTGTGTACTTAGAGCACGATAAAGAACAGCGAATAATGTAAATTCATGGGTTACGCCAAACAACATACTACGCCACGACACGTCACACTCTTTAAACACGTAACATGCTTTTGGCTGGCTGGTGGCTTGGTGCATGCCATATATTTTAACGAGTGTAATCGTAATTGCCTGGCGGAAGGTGGCTAGAAAACAGTCGGTGCAATAAGGGACAATCTTACTGCGGAGCGCATTTACGCATTGTGGTAGACGTAGTGTAGTGGCCAGCGTGCTATGCGCTTACATCGCGCTTATTATGCATTAGCTGTTCTCTATCGTGCTCTAACTCCGGACCGGCTTGTAAACCTATGGAAAGTTACAGACCACACGCGCAATTTTCAAGGTCTCAACTATAGTAAAGGAACACCCACAACATCTCATGTCCTTCATACACTCACAAAATTCTTTCCCCTACTATTATTATTCCTTTTATATACACAAATCCGAAATTATTTTAAATCCCAGTATTCCTCTTTCTTATCCCGAACCTGCCGCTATACAATCGAGAGATTGTCCACGCAGTGTATTTAAGAACATCCATGCAGCCTACTTAATTTACGAATGTCTGCCAGTATTCCGGTATTCTCTTCTCTGTATGAGCGTCAACAGAGTCGTAAAACACTCCAAATTAACGACGTCGAAATCTTCGGTAGGCATTTTATTTCACGCGAATTGCGCTCCCTGTTTTACTTATGGCTAATATTATAATCACTCCCGAAACAGAGCAAATGCAAAATTAGAGCAGACATCCCAGGTTCTACTGCAGTTATTCAGTTCTACATGGAACCTGACAATTGTGAGACAAAATTAAAAACGTTTTCTACGCACGACGATAGCTTCCTGCATGGTAGTGCTTGTACATGTCCAAAAGTAAGTACAGTACTACCGTTTTATGTGAAGACTGAAGGTATAAAAAAATACCCTTTAATAATGTATTTTGTTGGCAAGTGCAGCAGAAGGTCACACGTACCAAACCAGGACGGATTGGTCTACTACTGAATGACAGCCTCCATTTTGGTAAATTTAAATCAACTTTTTGTTCCATGCCTACAATATTTGTTTCGCAATCGTTAAAATTTTCAGGTAATATGTAAGCAAACCGATTTGAAAATACACACAATGTACTCAAAAACTCAATAATTTTAGATAAACACAGTACAGATTTTCACAAGGGCAAAACAACAAATTTAATATCCAAAAATCTGGACTGTTCTCCATCGTTTATATTTTCTTTCGATACAACTAACATACAAACAGGCTCGAAATGAACAATTTCTAAATCATTTCGCAAATCGTATTTGATACAAATAATTAAAAAAGAACATTCTCTGTGAAAATTCAAAATCAACTTTTGGCGCAATTATAACACAGAACCGTAGCTGAAAGCAGCCATTAAGTGCCGGTACAGCAGCACCACATGCCGGATTGCTCTGTCCGCTAAGATCATACACCACCTAATTAAATACAAAACGCCGACAAAATTCATAGAATACGCCACACAACAGCTATACAGCATGCAATGCCAAAAACAGCGGCGCTCCACAGGAAGAACTGAAATTTCTGAATGAGGGAATCAAGTCGACATTCCAAACTGGAATGGGAAACAGTACGCTGAATGACCGGCCGCATACCTTGCAGCTCCGAAAGAATCTGGGATTGCTGCACTTGTAGGGCCTGTATCGCCGGCCAAAGGTTGCTGTCGACTAGTTTATCGGCAGTGAAAGCACGGGGAACTGTTGCACCGGATATAAGTGCCGATTTACTCGCTACAAGATATAAACTGAACTTCAGTTAATGCACTTATTGACACAAACTTTATGAAAACATATCATGATGCTAATTATTCGAAATTTTTATTAGAGCAACAAACAACGGTACAGGTCAGATGACAACTTATGTAAAGTACTCACCATCAGTTGTCGCAGTTCACAATTTTCATTTATTTTTTTAACACTTATCTATATTTACAAGGCATCTGATAATCAGCAAGAAAATAACGTCACCTACAATCATTACGTTCCATAATTCCATCGCTGGATGTATCCGAGTCATTAGGAATATTTCTCCTTCTGGCTTTAGACCCGTGCCGCACCGCAGCTTTCGTAATCCGAATTGGCTCACTGGTCCCATCTAACACTGCCGGTTTCATTTCCATTGGAGGTCCAACTGGGAGTGGACCTTGGTGGCGTGTTTTGGTCTGGATGCAAAAATCATTTTCAAACTGATGTAGATCTAACAATGGATCCCATGGTCGAAAGCTAAAAAATCACAAATTTTTTGAATTTAAAATCCGCACATATAGCAGTAACGCCAACATGTATCTTACTCGGCATATCGGTAGCACCATTCTCCATTTTCATCTTGAGCAAAAAGACGCGGAATCCAAGATTCTTTCTTGGCTAGGCGCTCCTTCGCTTGCTCTCGTTGGTTATCTTCTAAAAAAGTTTTCTCGTGCGTAGCTTCTAGTTGATTGTTCACGGCAAGGGCTGCCGTTACGCGGGACCATAATCTGTCGACAATGACAAATATGGAATGCAATAACGAAAAATTCACTAATCCAAGTAGGTATATCAGAAACATTTAAACTCTCGCTCAGTAATGTAGCTCTTCAACAACTATTCCTACTTCCTAGCACCACACTCACTTTTCGGATTCAAAGTCGCTTTGACGATCAAAAGTGACAGTTAGGCGATTTAGTCTAGCTTCCGGTATCGGTTTCCAACATAGCTCCGTACTCTGTTAAACAAATTAAATTAATGATATGGGCATGCTGTGCTCTGAACTCCTCGTGTTCATGTTCTATGCGTATTCTTACTTTTAATTTCATATCCGTTACGAACATCTCTCCATCCCAACTACCCTGCAGAGTTGCCATCACTTCGTTGCCGAGTTTAATTCGGCCCTCCACCGGATTCACCGTGCGTGTCAGCCAGACAGAAAAATTTAATTCCGTTGAGTAGCCGGTCGTGGCACATGCTATGGTCACTTTTCCGCCGAGATCCATCGATAATTTGCCAAACAGCATCCCTTTACATATCAAATGCGGCATGGTAATAATATACTCTTCCCCGCGGCTCAACAATTTCAATTTGGCGCTTCCGTCAAGGATCGCCAGAATAGAATTTCCTATAATACGCCAAATAACAAGGTACAGATGCATTAAAAGCTTTGGTTCTTCCGATTATGTGTATCGCTTACGAGACACATGCAAAAACAACTAATTCTTAGACTATTACCTTTGTATTTGGATTTGGTTAAAATAGCACCACTTATTGTAAATCCCTCCTGTCGGTTGGAAACATAAAATGCCGATATAGGCGGATGGTGAGAGACCTTTCAAATGTACACACTTCCATATTACACAACATACCCAAATCCATATCTGCCAATTGTCGTGGCTGACAACCGCGTGCAGGCACACTTACTTGTTCAGCCACATAAAAGGTACGGGATTTCTTCTCAGGATGCTCCCACGCGCAACGAAATACTTCTCCCAAGATAGGATTATATGGCTTTTTCACACCCTGTATTCCACGTCAACAAGACAAAATGCTAAAGGGCATGGACACTATTAGCTCGAAATGCAGCTATCACCTTTGGCTTTTTATAAAATCCAGACAAATACCACACGACAATGCCTTTCATCCTTTCGAAAGGACTGTCATACTGAGAAGCTCTGGAACAAGTCAGAGTCAGACACGAAAACAACGACAAAGCGTCTGTGTTCAACTTTACTTGGAAAGAAGATCAGCATGGTAATAATAATCCGACAATTTATCAAGCAGAGATCGCGGATCCAGTATAAAAGTAGGTAAAACAACCTTTGATAAGTCCATACCAGGGCGTACCTAAAACAAAGATATCATTGACACAAACATGTCAAATTGTACATAAAGTCTCATGATGGAACAGCTGTCGCGATGCACTTACTTGTAACAAAAGATGCCAGAAAAGACTGCAATAACACCGTAAGAAATCATTAAAATTCAATTCATACCGTAGACACAAGAAACATTACCTTCGCTCTTCTTCTGGAAGCTTTTCTTCCAAACCTTTCCCGTGCTACAACAAGTTTTCATACGTTAAAACACTTTGCATGCTTGCGTAGTACGAATATCTCCATAAATAATTGTTGTGCGTAAACAACAAACCGTTGCGCGCATGACTGCAGTGCGTTAATTACGATAAAGCACTTATGCTCACCTGGCCCAGCTCTTCTTTATGGTTAAGCACGTACGATGTCTCCTGAATAGCATCTGCCAAGTAATCTTCAGCCTCGACGAACTGTTCATTATGGTTACTGCTATCGTTTCCGCTAACATTCTCTTCCTCATCGTCTTCCTCTGCAATTACAACTAATTACAGGTGCCCATAGGAAAAACACAAATAACACGTACCTTGAGAATCAGTGTCATTCCAGTGCGATGCACCAGAGATAGGAATGGGAGATTCAGTCTGGGTAGCGCCCTCTTCAGCCGTAACCGAATCGGATTCCGAACGCATACGCTGTAACAAACGGCTCTGATCCACCCCAGTGGACGCCGTCCGTCGTACACCGTCCCTTTTCAACGTGCCCTGACCACTTTGAGACTGTGTGAAATAATCCGGCGAATGTTTAACAACCAGCTCGATTTCAGACAGCCATTCTCTTCCTGAAAAATAACATAAACTGCTATTCTGTGTAGAATATGAAAACATAAAACATTCTCGCTATAACTCCCTACAATGACACGTATTTCAGCACTGTACTGCACTGCATGTACTGCAATGATTTTTGCAACAAAGCCAAAATACTTGCAATTAGACAATAGAAAAGTCACAACGCTTATTAAATTCGCACTATAAAGATTTTAGAAACAAAAACATGCCTAACTATAATGCATAATTTTGATAGGTATCGTACCCTTTAAATCGTTAGCCGCTCGAAAAATAACATGATCAACCGGCAGTGGAACACCGAAAGCTTTCATCCCAAAAGTCTCTCCATGCGGCCCTTTGTTTGTCCAAATATTTTGATCCAGGGGATGGTAAATTTTGAAACAAAAGCCTTCCTTTTTACTGGGTCGCTCAATGATTCGGCAGATATTAAGAAGAATGGTTCCAACCCAAATACTTTCAGTTGTCTACAAAGAATTCGACATATTGAGAATCTCTGAAAACTCTTGTATAAAAATCTAAAATCAACCGAATAAAAAATGTTCAATATTAAAACAAGAAACCGTGTAACACACTTCTTGCACATAGCGCTATAAACAGTGAAGCACTTCCTATAAAAAGCCACAAGAATCACCTGCTATGCTGTATTTAATCTGTTGTGCAAATGAAGAATATGTATGTAAAAGCGAAAAAAGTCATGCCAGAACATTTTGTCATGACAATTACAAATTGTCTTCATCAACCGGAAAACAGCACTCCGCTTAAAACTGATGCGATTTGGTTTACTCTTCTCACCTCATTAAGACGTTCATTTTTGTAAAGAATCAATCCACCTGGTTTGAGTTCACACCATACTTTCGTCCACGTCTTAATAGTCGTGCGCGCCTTTAGCCAGCCAGAATCTATAAGGAATGTCGACTCGGATAATATCTGCATCACTTCATCGGTAACGCGTTTCTTTTCTTCCTTATACAGGCGTTTCTGTTCTTTGTACGTTCCCGTGCGTGCCAACTTATAATGTCCGGCTTCGGCGCCTTGCGGACCTTCGCCGGAGCTGTCATCGCGCAGTTTCTCTTTTCTGGCACTGTTGCTTGTCTGAATGTCCTGAACGGCATTAACACCTAGAAAATCCGATTAACCAACATCAACATTCATCCAATATTACCGGCGGCACTTAGAGATCACCGTCAGTTAGTGGGCATGCTAAAAGCACCGGGAGAAAAAAGTGACATTTACTCGACATCATGCGACTGTGCTGTCGACTGTCGTCAATCCCGCTTATTGAAATTCCCGCCATTACCGCGCATCGACGAACGTCTTTTTCCTTTAATTTTCTAAACCCGGCAATGCACTGCCGGGCATATACGGTGTGCAGTGTGCACAAAAACATGCAGATGGGATTTCCAGTAACGCAAATATCCTCGGAGCATTATCGTGTGATTATGATATCCAGTGATTCGGGGAGAAAACGTGAATGTCAACATGGAAGCAAATTTGCACAATTACTTACTCCTGCCGATGCGAAACAGTGCTGGTGTCAAAAAGGGAAAAAATGCATGCACACTGTACACACACGCGTACATATATAGTGCTGAGTGTACAATACATATTGCCAATGCAACCTGTGAGCCGCAATTCCATCTGACTGCAGTCACACAATCGCCGAGCGGAAATTGTGCATGAAAATCGATCCATAAGTATCCAGCTCGCTTACTCTTTACGAGGCCTACAATCCGCCCCAGCTAAGGCGCTCTGTAATTTAAGCCCATTCAACTGTTGGCGGATACTGTTTTCCTAAACCAGGTTCCTAAGATCCCACGTATTTTCCGCCACCAATTGCCAGTTGCTGCAGTCAGTGCGCGGCGTAAGCGACACACCGCACTCGATGGGAAGACGCAGGCGCCAGCCTCATTTCAAAGTGATTTAAACTCTAGCACTGTCAATGGCTATGCGACGATAGCTTACCGCTCAGTTCGCGTTGCAGGTTTTCTTCCAGTTCTTCCCGTTGTTCCCGCAGAGCAACACTTCCGGTGCGATCACGAGTAGGTTTCTCGGTCATTTTCTCGTCAGGTTACAACAAATGTGGGCGATCATATTCTACCTCCTTCCGCTGGCATGCATCTTCATAAAGTTTTCATGAATAATCACGAGAATGCAAATTATTCACAGATGATGTACGTAACGCAAACAACTGCTTCGGGGATGAATTATCGATGCGTCCATACTAAACCAGCACTTGCAACACAATAATTTCATGCACACATTTTATGTGCTCGCATGATACGATAAAATTAACACTCAAGGGAAGGGCTGTCGTGTACGCTTGGAAATTGCAACAAACTTAAACGATGATATGACCATAAAATTTATCTCTGATAAGCATACCATTATTTACGATCGGCAACCAGCAAAAATAATCACTCCGTCAAACTGCGTAGTAATAATGGGACTGTTAACCGTAAGTAGTAATCGTAAGTAATAAATTAGCCAAACCAGTTTTGAATCAACAGCTGCAGCAGCAAGTCTGTTCTTTTCGGCGCGAACGAGAACAAGGCATATTTTGCAGCTGGGCAACCGCGGGACTGGTTGCTGCTGGTATACTACACACACAAAGAGCAATTCAGCAAACCCATGTTCACACATGCATAATAAAAAACATCAACAGATTTCGACATCCATGATCCATCTCCGTCAGCGTCGCAAGTCCGTGACTGGCTGAAGCACCATCTCGTGATCCATCTAGTAAGAACTGCTAAGAGCTAAATGGAATCAAGGCTGCACAGGATGAGATATACGTATGCGTATTTGCCAATTTTATCCTTATTTTGGAGCTCGCTTATAGTCCGGGACCGACCGATCGATTTCCGAAGGCTGACTGGGAGATGACGACTATGATGGGCTATCAGCCTCTGTATCGGGAAACATCCCTTCAGGCGACAGGCCGGCCGCAACGAGTTAAACAACAACAAAAAGCTTCTCAGCGCCCATAGCGGCAGCATAGCCTGAAATCCGCTAGGATTTATGCATAGGCCAGCACGGCTGCTGTGGCTGAGATATGACTCGTAATTGTTATGTAAAGAGTGCGTAATTAACAGTTATTAATAACGTTAAGAATATAGATATACATTGCACTAGGTATATAAATGAGGTTAATTACTGCTACTGTAACTTTATTGTCTTCCCCAACAGAATTACGCCAGGTAAGTTCTGCAGCTCCAAAAATTCTGGCAATGAGTACAATTTGGAATACAGTGCAGACTGCACTGTGCAATCAATAGTAAAACTTTAAAAAGCATAGTACATAATACATACTTATCGTTAATAACCGATTTGCAACAATCAATAACAAATCATTCAGGAGTCAAATTTTGTGGTAACTTTGCAATGTCACTCCTTATTAGTCATCACACTACTTCTGTAGGCAGTTCTACTACAATCTGTACTCGTACGTTTATTGTAAATTTACAATGATCGAAATTCTTATTCTCTTTAGTTAACGTAATTGCGTAACTGACTTCTGAAATTTTCTCGATGTCTTCATTTCTGATATCATTGATACAAGTCACCGCCGAATTCTGCTCTGGACAAAGCAAATTTATTTCAAGCAGTTTGCGCAAAAACTAAGAAATACTGCATTATTAAATTTTTTCTGAAAAATAACAATTTGGATGGAAGTTATTCATGTTAGTTGCACAGTGCTGTACATATTTTTTCTATACTGTATCACTTCTGTTGCATCTTCATTATGGATACTAAATAAAAATACCGCGCGCAACTTTTGTATATTCGATGTATATCATGTCATCTTCGCATTCAGTTTTTGTTTTCATTCATGCTTTGGAGACCCTACCGGCTCAATTTGGAAAAAAAACACATCAAAAGTAATTATTCAAAATCCAACTGTGATATAAATAATTAATTAAATGCATTTAACTGCAAAGAAGACCTGAGAAAGGAAAAGCAAACATCACCGCTCCACAGCAGTACTTCGGAACGATTCAAAAACTTTCGCATGCCAAAAACTGTACTTAATCATACTCATACAAAATGTGAAAAATCATAACAGAACCAGACATTACAATCAATTGGGATTACTGCTACGCTGTTGATCATGGAAAATGGTCAGTCTACGATTGTGAATCCGATCGAGACCGTCCACTGTCTGCGCTGGCAGGTGAATCCATCTTAGGTCGTTTTGGTGGATAACCGGTCTGTGAATCCTTGCGACTCCTGGGTCGTTTAGGTTCCGCCGCTTTCGGTGGGCTTGCCGGGGGTGCAGGCATCATAGGCGGTATGTATTCCGGATACATCTCCATCATCCAAGCAACGTCTTCCGGGTCTTCTATTTCAGGAGTAATAGGAATATACAGCACTGCCCCGGGATCTTCTTCCTCCTCATCGCTGCTGCAATATGCCGTATTCTTTTCCACGGTGACAACGTCCACGTAATCGTTTTCATCCCTAATTTCTTCCTCTTCTTTAACGCTGCGATCTTCATCTTCCAAATCGAACTCACTTTCTCGCTCCTCATACTCAACGTTCTCGTCCAACTCACGGAAATCTGGTGTAAATGCGCTCCAGTTTTCAATGTGAGTTTGTGACCAAATGGAGACAATTCCTCCCGACACGGAAACTATGATTGGTCGCACGGGATGCCATGCTGCATCCATAAGCGTTTCACCTTTTGTTCCGTGAAGAATTTTTACCAATGTGCCCGTATAATTCTCCCAGATATGCAGTGCATACCGCACTGACCCAGCACAAACATATTCTCCATCACCTGAGAAAAAGGCCTTTTTCCATGCATTTTTATTAATCAAATCTTGCAACCTTTGGTAAGGTTCTGGGTCACCACCCTGGCCAGCACAAATAATGTCCGACAGTCTGTATACACGGATAATCCGATCAGCGGTGTTTACAACCATATTTCTGAAATAAAAACAAGTTCTTAAATCACCCTGCAGTCGAGACAGCACCGCAAGAAACGTACTCTAGACGTCGAGAAACTTCAATAGTTCGAATAGCTGTAGCAGTAGCCGCGGCAGTCATAATCCGAAAAGAGGCACGGACTTGCATGGTCACAGAATCCAGTACCATTACGTGACCTTTGGGATTGCCGGTAATGATGTAATCGCCCCGCCTGCTGTACGTCGCGTATGTGTGGTAATCGTCGGCACCGTCTTCGGTCGGTAAACGGGTGAAGCCAGGCCGTCCCAGCTTGACTACCAAAGCCAGCTGTTTGAAGGGAACGACGACGTATTCGTCCCTGGAACGAAGAGTTAAAAAATTCAACTGGGGGCACATTAAAATAATATTACGTATATTACTTTATTAAGGTATAATTAAACAGCTACTGCTGAGTGCGAAATAAAGACCACCCGAAACCACACGAAGAAAGCCACAACATGTCAGTAATAGTTTTTCAGATATTCTGAATTAGTCCGTGAACGTAATGCATGGAATTCAGTATCCTTTAAGCGCTGAAGAAATAACAACCTCGTAATATAGTTTTTCGATCTCCAAAGTAGTTTTCAAGTACTTGCCAACTCACAGTCAGGTAATTTTCTAGTCTATTTTGAACACAAGAATTTCTCCGGGATAACCTACACAACATTAAAAGATTCTCAAGAACGAAACCTAATTTGCAAGAAAAGAGAATGCCAGATGCGTGCACGTTGTATAGGCGAAAATTACTCAAGTTAGCAAGCTCAGTGAGTTGACTCAGGTAACCGCGCGCCTTGTGGTAAGGAAGTACTGAACAACTGTAATTAGGAAAATTAAAAATGCCAATTCGAAAACGTCAAATGCCTTATTAACAATACCAAATTCTTATGGTCCAAGTAAAAATAAACTAAATAATTACATAACCCTAAAAAATTAATAACAACCAAGTTTTAATGAGATTTCCAGTACGAGTAATGCACAGAATCACGCCAACTTTCTCATCTCTCTCAAATTCAATTACTACAAAGAACGGAACAAGCACATAGCAGAATACTCAAATTATTTACTTCCACTTTCCACACCGAAGTACTTGCTAATAACAAGTGCTACCTAATGCAAACTCACATGTTTCGCGGGTGGCACTGGACTTTCATGATAGGTGTGGAGAAGTTGTACTGCCAAACTGGTTCGCCACTCAACGTATCCCAAATGCACACCTTGCTGTCCGTGCTGCAGCTGGCTATACGCTGCCCATTACGACTCCAGCTCAAGGAACATACGGGATGCACGTGTCCCGTAATAATCTTCGCGATGCATCGCGTAGTGAAGTCCCAGATACAGATGCGCCCATCGTTGCAGCCCACGGCCAACAACGTTCCCTGTCGATTGAAAGCACATGTCAGCGCAATGCTGATACAGTCCAAAGTTCCATGTTGTTCCTAAAACACACGGAAATCATGAAAAAGAGGTACGGTGAGAAATGAACGGCTGTTAATGCGTACTTCAGGATAATTCTGTCCAAACGAATCAACTGTAATAACAGAAAAACCCCGGTTATTCAGTAGTCAACTGTCGATTTACCGAAGTAGTTCATAATAACAATATAACTGCTTTAAGTTCTCACGACAGAGCATATCCTAAAAATCGGCAATCCCACAAAAATGCATACTTACGAAAAAATTCCAGATTGCTCGAAAGAGCCATTCAAATACTACAAGGGCAACAACTCTTTTCTCTTCCTAGAGAAGGGTGCAGAGTTGCAGACTGATAAGACCCGGGGTCGTGGTTTCAGCTCTTGGAGTTATACCTTGTGGTGGGTGTCTCACATCAGTCATAAATTCATAACGTGGAAGTGATAAAATAACCGTATATTTTAACGATTGTTATTCACAAAAAAAGGAAGACGCGGGATAAAAGCGATAACTGACTAGATGCACATCCTTTTGAGGGTGTGCACTGTGCAGCCGTTTCTGGCTTAGGATCAATCAATTAAGAAAGTTGAAGAAACCAAAATTTTCTGTTAAAATAATCATATTAACTAACTTTTTATAGCGTATTACTATCAAGTCATCAACTGTCGATTTTTAGCATCGCAAATTCGAAAATATTCAAAACAAAAACTTTCAAAAGGCTTGGATCGAATTTTTCGAGTTGGTGGTCCACTTCGTACGTACTTCGTAACTCATTCAAAGCCATTCCGCGATGACGTCAGTGGAGGCCGCCCAAAAGCTTCTGGCGATGGTGGTGGTTAAAATTTAAAAGACACTGTCCAATAAAAGTTAGTAGTTTTTAACTGATTATATGTACAGCCGATCGCGGAATTAACTAATCAACCTAACGGGCGAAATGTTCTATTTCCTCAGAGGATTTACCGGTTACATAGTCCAAAATCCAAATTACCCGGAGCTGGTGCTGTCCCCATGACAGAGGCCGCCTTCCCGCGTTGAACATTGATGCTGATCCGCTGCTGACACTCGGTCGCCTGTATTACGCCTGTTTCATGTCGTATCTCCTTGACCAAGCGGGAGACATCCGGTCCGGAAGGACCTCCGAGTGTTTCGACGTCTACTGCACGGAATATGTAGTCTCGACTCTTTGTGTGAGGTTCCGATACTTTTCGGCACTTCATCCGCGCCCGCTGCTACTGTCCCCGCTTGTTTCCATGTTGCCGTGATAGAGCTGCCGATAAAGATTGAGTACTTTTTTAACCGATAAAGATTGAGTACTTTTTTAACTCTAAATTTGAGTGAAATTGAAATAAAACTGCTTACCGATACAACATATGCAGTGAATTTTATTTTCCATATTATTACACAAGCACTGTTTCAAGCATGCTTCAAAGCACCAATAGTACAAGTATCGAAGATGTCGAAAAAATTGCGATTAACAAAAAACAATCACAATTTGTTAAGGTTCCAATCGAAAGTTATTTTGTCGACCTTTTTTCTTCGCTTCCGCTTTGATTATGGTCTGGCTGCCTTTCCAAAAGGTCGTCCGGCCGGCTTCACTTGCTTTTTTGAATTCCACGATCTACTCCCAGTCTCCAAATGATGTACGTCACCAAGATGGTGGAACTCAAACATCAAGCAATCCGGAGAAATTACATGTACTGCGGCACATGGAATTTCTCCGGATGTTTGATTTTATACAACCGCCCAGCTCTACACTGTGGAACAGTTATGTGACCGTATGTCTGTATGTGTATGTAGATTAATATGTATTGTGCAGTAATTAATACAGTTCGTTTGACCACGACTGAATTGTAATTATACTGGTAGACCTGCGGACAACCCGGTACTATTTTCTTAACAAGTAAGTGACATGTAGCGAGCGATGTTAGAAATCACCGAGGTCACTGCAAGCACAATCGTGCACTAAAGCAAACAATCCCCGAATAAAAACCTTCTTAAATTAAAACAAGGGTCAAGCCGTCTAAAAATCCTTCCATCTTTCGAACTATGCAACTGCAAAGTCCTATTTTTCATATCAGCTAACAATAACAGACTTACAAAGCGCATGTGTGCCTGTATGCATCTCCAGAGCTTATTGAACACACATTCAAAACAACTTCTTTAACTTTGCTAACTCGGCTAGCTTTTCATCTCGCAGACGACGCCGCTCGTGCAAACGGCCTAAAGGAATAGTTTTCTCCATTTCCTGGCAAATAAGCTTTCCCACGTCGGTCTGGGAAGATAGTCGGGGTGTTTTGCCCAGCGTTTGTGACACGTTGAAAATCGTTTCCCCGTAGCGGTCGCAGTAATTACCGACACCCTCCGCATTCAGGTGAATCGTTTCGAAAACACCCATAAAGCGTAGCGCGGTCCGAGTCCGTCTTTCATGAGCTTGTCAATATCCTCCACACTCAGTAGCCCATCCTGCACCATGCTCCAGCACTCGTTAATGATAGCGTACTGTATGCGATTTAGCGCGAATCCGGCGATTTCATTCCGCAGTGTGACTGGCGCCTGTCCAATGACTTCCTGTATTTTGCGCGTTTTTGCTGTAATGTGCTCGGCTGTCCACGGCGCCGGCACTATTTCCACCAGCGGTACAAAATACGGTGGGTTTATCGGATGTGCCACCAGAACTTGTGAGCGGTGCTTTAAGTTTTCGGAAAATTTTGAGGGTGGAATACAACTGGATGAACTCGCCAGAACAATGTCGTCATCATCGACTACATCATCAATTTCGCTAAAAAGCGGAAAAAGCACCAAAAGTCAGCTGTGATCTACAAACGCAATGAGTACAAGGAATGATTCTGGCGCATGTGCGTAAAAATTTTTTTACTGTATTATATAGATAAAATTTAAAAGGCATGTATATATAGATCTATATATAGTGTTTGTTACATAATATAACATAGCGGCAAGATATTTCTGGTTGGTTGTACGTACTGCTGAAGTCTGAGCAACCCGTACAATCAAGTACAATAACATTATCGTTTCACCAAGACATGTACTTACCGGAAAACCTGTTGTTTTAACTCCAAAACTTCGGGTACACACTCCTGAATGTAGGTTGCGTTTAATACGCAGTCTTCCAAGGAATGCGCTTCCGTAATCAGTGCATATTGTTGGCCGACAGACAACTCCCCACGCAAAAGTCCGCGTTGCTGGAGAGTGTCGAGCTGCTCTTCGATAGCTTTCAAGGCTTTTCCAACAGCGTGACTGTCCACATCATACAGTGAGACACGGTATCCAGCCGATGCAAAAATCATCGCCCAGTTACGCCCTATTAAACCACTTCCGATGATGCCGATTTTTTCGTTAAGTATGCTATCTGATAAAAGAGACATTTTTCGAATTTAATGCTTGAAGGCCCACAAGAGGAAGATGTAATAAAATGATATTCTTCGGTACAAGGTGGGCTGTAATAGTCACAAAGTGTAAGTAATAATTGTGCGGTACATAGGCTGCAACATCACGAGCGGCAATATGAGATGCCAGCAAGTGTTGAGTTTCAGCAGCAGCACATTTTGCAGCATTACAGCCAAAAATTAAAGGCAAGTGTGCATGAACTCAAGTCTGATTGCAGCAATCGCATAATCGCACCGGTCAGTTCCAAAGTCGGCGACGCGAGGCGTTCGGCAACTGTTTTGACTATTTTCTAGGTCTCCCGACCGGTACCAAATACCGAACATTCGCCACCCAAAGCTAGAGCCTACGTGCAGTATCAGAGCTAGATTAAGTAATAATCACTGAACGTGCCGCATACTATTGGCAATGCTATTGGCGTACGTTGCTTGTAATCAGGATGGAAGATGTTAAGATAACTTTAACGGTAAACACAGTAGTAATTATCTTATCCGATATCGTGAATGACTACTACGAGTACTGTTGTTCTCCGCGACAGCAAGTCCAACTAAACTATAATTTAACACAAATATAGAATTAAAAAGCAGTTACTTATTATCTACCGGTTCGTCAGTCGGTCATGAGATTACAATCCGAAAAGTTACAAGAAAAATGACGGTTTAACAAAACGAAAAACCAATGTAAAAGAGCGCAGTATATCGCTTCACATAACACTTGTTGTAAATTATATTAATCACATTAAGGCACCATTGCTAGGTCGGCTGCAACAGACCGACCCACCATGGGCCGACCAACGACCCCACCATCACTCATTTGCTCCTAACAGACCGCCCAAATCGCATGCCAGTCTTCATTCAATGCGTCCCACACTGGCAGAAGCGTCAGCATCAATAGATGCGTCCTGGAATAACCATTTGACTAGAATTTCCGGTTTCAATAATAACAATTTTGCTGGCAAGCAGCTCTCCGCAATTCCATACGACATTACAAATTGATATGCGAGATCACTCAGCTCACGACAACACAAATCCCAGAAAGACATCCGCGCATAAAAGAAAGGTGCACAGAGCAGTGATCATCTGCCCAATTCTAACCCTGTGTGGTGTCCATGCTGCTGGGAGATACTGCTTGGCAAAGAGCACGTCGAGCCAAATAGAGAAGATATGTTGTCCATCCAGCCCGACACAGGGGACGACATTCAAAATCGCCAATGCTAAGGATACGGACACAATGTATTTCAGCCAAATTTCCACAATTCCCGGCAGCCACAGCGGTAGAAGGGATTCAGCTTGGGAATAATTAGATACCCTCAGTGCGCGTAGCAAACCAGCAGCATCGCCCACAAATAGTACCGGACCTGCGGAAGTGTTGAAAAGCAGAACTCGCTCACTGGGTAGCAAATATGGCACATAACATTCTTCCGCTGGCCACATCCGACACTCCAGAGATACGTTGCACCGCTGTTTGTATCGCACTTTTTCTACCTGTATGATAAATCGTCCACAATCATATTAAAGAAATGGAACAACAGTAACTAGCATACTAACCTGAAGACACTCCGGGGATATGCTTCGCGTTTGGTTGGAGTAATCCGCAATCTTGGTTTGCATATAAAAGCACAGAGATGACGAAGTATTCCGGCAACACTCTAGCACTGTAGAATTTTCCGTATGGAAAGATTCGCTGGGTGTCTGCTTGTATTTCACAGGCGGAATGAAATCTCCGCGCGCACTCTTAATTGCTTCAGCGCTTAAGCAGAAACCACCTTTGTTGTAAGCAACGGCACAACGTTCCAGGGCGCGGCTATTGTTTGCACTACACTGATTGATGCTGTAGATTTCCATACCCACATGGAATGGAATACTGTGATTCGCCAAAGCAGCATGGGAATCTAGCACCGCTGTGACGGTTACGCCGCGCCCGGAAGTGTACATCAAACCGGTCAGAATCGGCATGCTCCATAAAAATGTTCCAGCAATTGTCGCCAAAACGAGATTATGCCAAACTCCGGCGGCCATAATTCTTAGCTGACGAGATAAAGCTTGTGAATCCAGATTTTTTACTACAACGAATGCTGCGGGAAAAATACCCAAGACAGCCACTCCCATACCTCCCACTTCGGTCAGTTCGGATGCGGATGAAATGCCGTGACCCATTTCGTGAACAACAGTGCTCAGTAGGACGGAACAGAAAAACGGCACAATATGGGATAACGGCAAATTAATACCGGGAATAATGGGCATCAGGCTGGGACCGCCAGCTGATATACTAGCAGCAGTAGTCTGTAGAGAATCAGCGGTCAACATAAGATGGCAACGGCAGGGCAAATAATCATCTAATAATCTAATCTTACCGTGTAAAAAGCAGAGTTGCTTATAGTTGATGATCCTGGTGTTAGCACAGGACTAACAGGAGTTGGTGCATAATGCATAGCGTGAGCTTGGTGATAATTGTGCCAAATACGAAAGGAATGGGAAAGAAATAAATACAATAGAAAAAGTACGGCCGGCAAGATCAGGATGGAAGATAACAAAGCGCCACAAACAAACCACACTCGCCACAGACGCACAATACGACTCCATGCGCCCAGACGTTGCAGCGGCCTGTTCAAATGCTGGAATGTCAAATACAAGCGGCCAAAAGAGACCTGAATGGCTCCGGTGCGGACCTGCTGCTCGTACCAGTGGAAGTGACGGCAACACCACCTATGTAACACAATGACCACCAACCTAAAGGGAAACAACATTTTAGTCGCGAAGTATTTGGTACTGGTCAACAAATCAATACCAAAAGAAAATGAAAAACGCTGCAAAACTCTGCAACGCAGCATAGTCCTTGGCTCGCGTCGATGAGTGTGCATGAGGACGGCCTCGAAAGGCTGGGTGGAAGGGCCCAGGCGGTGCAATGGTGGAATATAACCAGCTCAGTCCATCCTGTTCATTCCGGAGCGACGAGGCGGACGCAAGTGGAATCATGCTTGAATTACTGCACTATGTCCCAACCATAAGACTTAAGAGGTTATGATTCCATATGACTGTGATCCACAAACTTAGGATATGACAACCCTCCAACATTTCCTACAAAATAAAAACAAAAAACACAAACATACGAAACATTCAACAAAGTTTCACACGCTAACCATAAGAAGATGTGGAAGTTGCGTGCTATGCATTAAGCAATTTTATAAACACACACAAGCCAAAAATCGCCTTTCATGACAAATCAGAAACATCAGACTTGCTGCTTGTTGATAGCAGTTGTACAAGGAGGGAATTAATCAAAATGCAGGCTGGTCGTTAGCTCAGGCTGCATAACTTCCAACAAGAACAATTCGTTTGAGAGCAAATTATCGATGTTTTGGAAATAAATGCAAATTTCAGTGTCTACACTGCAAAAATAACTCGAATGCATTCAGTAAGCTTTTTTTAGCAGTTAAAAAGGTACGATCGGATCGATTTCTAATTTTCTACTGTGATTTCTCACCTTGCCCTCGTTCCATCATGTTAAACGATTTGCAGACTCATTTGCTGCATTTACTGATTTACAGTTTTACACCTCCTGTCGTGTACGCTGTAAACTGTGGCGTAACAACATGGTGTTGTACAAGTTGTTCAACCAGTTTACAAAACTCCAGACATCCTTTTATGCCATATCCGGATCCGCATAAGTTCAGTAAATCGATAGCCAAATACTGCTTAAAACTGAAGGGGCAAACTGATTATCAAAGAAAAATAAAGAGTGGATGGGTCTGGTTCCACCGTTCCCATGCCAAGAGTAGCACATATCACTAATATCAGAAGAAAGAAATGCAATAATAACAGATAATAATAGGGTTGAAAACCTTAAAACTATAAAATCCTTTTATGAGCAATTACTAATACTTCGCTGTCAAACCAAGGGCCGTCCTGTTCAGCGAAGAACTGACTGATTAACAATAAAAAAACTGAAAACTGGAAAAAATTAATGCGAAAAATGCAGTTTTCTACATATCGGGAAAACTTCATGGTTGCGACTGCACGCGACTCAAGTAGTACATGACAACCGGTGTCAACAGCCCACCCACGGCGTTTTAAGAGCTTAAAACATCAGACCTCGTTTGTAAGTTTTTCCGTTTTCGCCTAATTTTTTGCTTATGGGTAAGGTTTCTGCTTGTAACCTTGTTGTCCATAAATGCCACAAACGTGTACTGTCTTGCGAGCAAGCCACGAGGACATCAAAACTCCTGCTCGAGAAAAAGAGCATGGCGCAGTGTGGAGAGGGTCAACGCTTCAGCTTGTGCGGTAGCCCTATGTTACGGTGTTACCGGAAGTCGTGCAGTACGGTACTGCAACAGAAACAGATGTAGATAAATTTTGAAGGTTAATTTTTTTGAATTTCCAAAATTATGGCGCGACCGGTGATTAAAGTGTTTTCTACCGTAGTGACCGTCTCCTTTTACTTTGAGTTAGCTCCAGAAATGAGTGTTTTTTAAGCTTACATACTTTAGTCTGTAGTGCTATCACATGCTTCCTATCCCTGGAAGTCTTTCTTGAAAAGTAGACTGCGAAGTTTCTGCTCAGACTGCTAGGAAGCTATCAAATTGCAGTCCTTACTGTACTTACTTTGTGCCACTGCCACAGTGCCACTCATCGGAACTATGCCTCCAAACAGAAAGAATGACTCTACAGACTCAGGAAGCGAACCTATGGATCTCAAAAATGATGGAAAACTCGCCAAGGGGAATGACAAAGTGGCTGTTAACAGGATCGGTGGATCGAGGAAAATGTGCCGGCGTTGCTTATTGTCTCCGGATGGCAGGTAAAGTGCCTGCTTGTTGTGTGAGAGCTATATGTCCCCATGCATACAACATCCCCATCCTTTCAGGAAAGTGTTAGCCTTGGTGGATCATGCAATCATTCAAGTGTTTCGCACCTCCGACGGAAAGTTGTCGCACTGCATTGATCTGAACCAAGAGCCTGGAGCCACGAAGCCGTATTCGAGCTGGTGCTCGCTGGTATTGTGGCCACACGATCCTAACCGGTTAATCTGTGCCGTTTCGGAAGACGGTTGGATTTTGTTGGTTAGTTACGATTGTGCATCGACGGCAGTAGAGTCGCGCTGTTGCGCACGCTGGAAATTGGTTCTGCCGTCCAAAGCGAAACCCGCGGCTGACAGTGCAGGAGACTGTGCACAGCGCTTAGCTGGGATTCATTTTCAACATCCTCAGCAGCCTGCCGACCTTCGGTTAAACAGCTGCTCGGTTTTTGGTTTAGTGCGGTCAGTTGATCGTGGAGGCGAAAATTCCCAGAAATCTGATGAATCTGGTTAGTGTGGAATTGAACAGATTGCAGCGTTTGTGCTGGTGCTGCTACGAAGAATAACTCTTGTGTATGGCTTTTACAGACACGAATGCAAAATCTAATGGTGCCACAGATCATTGCGTGATTCCCTTTTCGTTATGTTCGTTAACCATGGATATGACGGTTAAAGTGCATCAAAGCGCTTCTGATAAAATTGGTAAAGTGCGGCCCAAGAACGGTCTCATCCATCAGCTAACTCCGGATTTGGATAAAGTGGCGTTTCATACATCGGTACATGGGCTTGTAGGAGTACTTATGTGCGGGGGCGTATTTTATTTGTTTTTAATGAACAGGGAGAATTCGTTGCTGCCATATCGGAGAGCGAATTGAAAATGTATTTTTTCAACCAGTCCACTTTCAGAAGGTGAGGAAGGTTTTGTACATTTGCAGATTTCTGTTGAGCTGATTTGTTTGACGTTTTTAGACATCTTTCGCCAGGAAAAATCCAGTTTACTTGCTTGACATCTCATCCCACACAACAATGCGTGGCCACCGGCGATCGTAGAGGACGCATTATATTATGGTATTTTGGAATCTTTTCTATGTGTTCGTTTGTTGGATATATTCTCTCACAGGTATGGCTTGGAAAATCCGTCCAGCGTTACACGATGCATTCTTCACTGGCATTCTTCAAGTGTCGGCGACGTGGTATTCTCCAGCCAGGGTTCTTTTCTATGGAGTGGTGGATCCGAAAGTACCCTGGTGCAATGGTCTATGGCCGACACTGCCCATAAAGATTTCCTGCCCAGAATGGCTGCGCCCATTGAAGGACTTTCATTTGTACCCACGAGTGGTGGCAGTACTGTCGCTGTTCACCATCGCAATAACAGTAAATTTATCCAGAAAACAGTGATCACTTCAATTACTAACCGATACATTTTTTAGCAATAACTCTGGTGGGAGCGCAGCGAAATATCCTTGCACGAATTGATGATTTGTGTTCCTCGTTTTCTTCTTCGACAAACAGCGAAAGTATTCATTTTGTGCGATATGATCCAAACAACGCAGCGCTGGTTCTTCCGGGACAACCGGGCCAACTAGCTTTTTACGGTCTTACAGACCGGAATCTTATCGATAGAGTAAGCGGATATTGCTTGGCCTTGCTGTAGTTATGTCCTCATTTCTCTATGATATTTACTTATTAGGTTGATGTCACTGGGCAGAACGTCATATGGAGTGCAGTGGAAGGCTGGGATAGTGTCAATTCCAAAATAGATGCGGTCGCTTTTCTACCGTCTGTGAAAGGATCACCCGGTTGGATGATAACAGCTGATTCGATAACTACGAAGCACATTGGATGTACCTTGCATCTCAGATTTTGGACTTACGGTGCTGAGCGTAATAAGTGAGAAGCTGAAATGAATAATAATTTTGTGTATCATTTGTTAAAGTCGAATTTGTGGTACAGCAAGTATAGTGTCGAGAGCTTGGTTCTGGACCCACACGATGGACAAGAGATCCGCAGTATTATTGCTTGCCAGTCAGCAGAATCACCCATCGTCGTCACTTTAGTCCCTGACGGTTTCAAATTGTGGATTTTGTTAAAAGGTGAAGATCTTCAGTTTTATATGCTCTTGAATAATATTGGTTTAACAGCCTTTTTTTAAAAATTTTTGGGTTCCTTGTCTAGCACCGAAGCCACACTGGATATGCACCGGACAAGGGCGATTTTGTGATTTGCCGGTTTTTGTTGAAGAATCCACTCATCCCTGTGTTGCGGTTTCTTTTTCGGGATCCAAAGATGGTGTTTTGGCTGTGGCATTTGGAACGGTGGTGGTTTTGTTTGAAGTTGGGCCGGTTTTGAGGAGGCGAAATGTTCTGTTGGAAGGGCTGACACATCCGGTAGTTCCCGGGTACGGTGACCTGTCATGTCCTAACATGTTCAGATTTCTCAGCCCGCTATTGACGTATTGTTTATTTAGAGGACTTCGGTTTGTGAATGGAAAGAACAATCAGTGCTTGCTGTATGCGGTCACCAAAAGCGAACTAGTACTTTGGAATATACGCGCAGGCCAAGGTTAGAATGCTTTATTTTGTCATGGCTTCCCTTATATAATCCAATTTATTCAACAGCAATAAAAAGGTTTCCGTGGAATTTTACGGTGATTTGCCTGGATTTTTACAGTCGCTGGCTGGTTATTGGTGGAAATAAATCTGGTAAGCAGTATAGCATTCTTGTGCTGGTTGCACAATTTTTTGAATCGCAATTCTTCTGCGCCTAGTGGCTATCATGGACGTGGACGAATGGGCATCTCTGGCTACCGACATCGGAACAAATAGCCCCCCATCGTTTACTGTATTAGAAGAAAGGGAGAGTGAAATTATTTCATGTTTATGTGTCCCACGGTCAGAAAATGCGGATCTGTCATCAGGGAGCTGGGACATTGAATTCCGAATTGTTGTGCTGACCAACAGAGGTGAACTCTGGTCAGTCGGGCTTGGAGATGAGCCAGTAAAACCGACAGCTGAAAAAGAGGATGCGAAGAGTTTCTACGAAGAAGTGATGAAAAATTTAGCAGTACAGAAGATGATATCACCCGATGTTTCGGATAACCTGCAATTACAGGGCGGAAACAAAACGCAACTAAACTTTGTGCAACAGGTTGGTGTTCATTTTCTTATTTTTTTATTAATGCCCTTCTGTAGTAGGCAAACTAGTGCCCACTAGTAATGAGTAGTACAGTACCGAAGTTATTACTCGTACCTGTAACAGGTGATTTCCGCGCCGGCTTATCTTATGCCGTCAGTGTCGTTTCTGGTTGGAGAAGTTATCAAAAGTATGATTCATGAAAAAGATAGTGTTCAGAATATTCCCACGCCCGTGGAAGCAGTGCCGACGACAGTCAATCTCAACCGAGATGATGACGACGATGCCGAACCTATGGATACAGAAACGATTATTACTAAGGAAGAATCAAGCGGAATTACAAAGTTGATAGACGAATTTTCTGCTGATTTTGATGACGTTGAAGATTGGTCGTTTTTGAAAGCTGAAGTTTTGATGTCAAGGTGATGTAATGATTTTTATGATAAACCGTCTCTCTTCCATCGTTATTTATGTTTTGACGAAAAAGAAACATAAGGATACAAATCATACAATGTCTGTGGTTTCGGTGCATCCAGAATACTATTGTTTGAAAGATTTGCACTGAGCTTTCCCAAAACACCGAAGGCTTGTGAGCTGTTGTTTTTGTTGAGATAAAATTATGTTTTCTTCTGAGGTTCGGTTCTTTCGATCTTCCTTCGACTGCAACGCATCGCAACAGCTGATATGTATGAGTACTTCATTATGTTACGCAGCGGACTACGTCATCGTCAGCTGATCGGCAATTAAACAAAATATTTACTACGCTACTCGTAAAACGCTGTGCACATACAGTACGTACTGGTGGAATGATTCTTTATAACATTCCGGGAATGGAGCTTTTAAATTTTGAACAAATTAATTTTTCCTAGAAAATTTCAGCATTTTTTCGATTTTTCTGTAAGTACTTTAAAAAAGCAAAATCCCATTCTTTATACTAGTACTTTGTAGTTTGTAGCGTTTAGCATGGCCGTTCACCGTGCAGTGCGGCATTTGCAGTTGCAGCTAATTTTGCTCATATCTTAATGCCATTCACCATGATTTTACGTATGACGGACATTTCACAATCTATAATGATGCGAATGCGAAAACACAGGGCGTGCTGCTGGCGATAAATGTTTTTGATGCTGTCGGCGGAAATTAAAAATTCATGACGTCACTGAACGATTGTGATAGGCTAGCCATTTTCGTCCCGTTTGGAATCTTGCCGTGCTCGGCAGCATGGCTCTGGCAGGCAGCTTCTGATGTTGCCAAAATCTCTAAATTTTGGCAACATCGTTTTGGGGTGTGGGGGGAAGCTGGGGGTTGTTGCCGAATATGTCCGAAATTCAGATTATGTATGTGTCATTGCTCACCTACCTTCATCTTGCCGTTACGAATATCGCCGTTTGAATTTACAACTTTACCGTGCAGATTCCTTTTGCTTTTCTCGTACGCACAGGTCTTTTTTTAAGTAGAATTTCCTGCTTTTACAAAATTGAAGCTGCTTTGGATAACCTGGGCGGATACTGAATTAACGCTGCAACTTGAAACTTGCCGCAGACAGCAGCTTGCTTTCGCATTTCCGTCAATATATCTATATTTGAGAATGTACGTGGATACGAGTGCATCATATTCTACGGCGTACCTGCTATATTTCGAGTTTGACTTTGGATAAGATAACACCACTGTGCATTTGTGCGGTGTTATCGTCTTTTAGATTTCTTTTGTAATATTGGTGGAACTTGGTCAGTGTTTATCAAAGATGGCAACGATTTGTCCATTATTTTACGACCCACGACGCGGACGCCATTTCTCAGATTTTACGATGTTGGTGATAAGCGACTTGTTTGTTTGAACTTGGTCCTATTATTGTCCATTCATTTTTCCAACTATTTCCTGCTGCATCTCAGCGTTGGAAGTCTTTTCCATCGCCGGACGATTGCAGCAGTTATTTTTTTGCCTAAGGTGTGTAAATTGTCCTGTGAATTTTCTAGGCGAAAATACGATATGTCGGGGTTTTTGTGCTTCAGTACTCGTGTTCAACAATAAGCACTTGACTGTCGCCAGGTGTTTCCGCTTTGGCCACTCCAGTCATGTCGACATTTTCTGACTCCACCGTGCACGATCCAACAGTTCCGTATCATCGCCATGGTTCGATTAGCTACAATCCGGACTGGAATGCGGATGACGGATACGTTGTGGCCAGTCATGATCGGCTGGATTCCGATGCGTCTACAAGTGTCGTGCGAGTGGAGGTAAGGAAAACAAGTGATTGTTAACTGGCAGATGCAGATACCTGCAAGCTGTGGATATTGGGTGACAATTTTTCCTGTGCGACTGTGTTCACTGATATGGACAATAACAGCAGCCAGCAACAAAATAGTGAGCCAGCTTCCCCTAGTCGGAAGCTGGGTGGGATATTGTCTGTGGAATCTGTTGTGGAGGTGGTGTTGATATTTAGCTGGATTTCCTAATTATTTGTCATTGTTTTTTTCAAATTTGGGATTCTCATTGAGCAAATTACTTTCCGAGAAATTTAACATTATTTTTTTATAAAATTGTTTGATTCGTAGATTTGCGATTTGGATGAGCGAACGCATACAACAACAGGTGTTTTACGATGGTGTCAACAGGTGAGAATTTTTTGTGTTTATATTAATTTTATTTGTATCATAAGTGAGTCTCCTTTAGGCATTTCCGTCTGTTGTAGTTTTCATGTTTGGCATTAATTTTAATTTTTCGTTAACCGAAGTCAGTTATACTGGGCATTTATTATTAAACATTTTGTTTTTGCGCAGGTTATTTTGAATCCGTATGCAAAACTTTTGGTGGTCGTGGGCTGGCGATCGTGGCTGAAAGACAGTATTAATTATGGATCATGGCCCATTCGTCTTTTGAACCTTTTTACACCATGGTGATAATCTTCCTGCAACTGTACACCTTTGTCTACCAAGTGATTGCCTGTGAGGGCAAACTGGTTATCAACCAAGGAACACCCACGACGACGCTCAGTCCCAATGGGTCGGAGGATCGGATGGCCACCATCGAACCGTCCGTCCAGCGACGCCAGTGTTACCATATTACGACAACCTACATTGTGCCGGCAGTGCTGCATTTTGCAGTTTATATCATGGGTTTTATGCATTTCCGCGTCCAGGAGAATGAACAACTGTACTCTTTGATGGAAAAGGTTTGAAATGAACATAGACAACGGGTCAATAGTTTTTTACACAATAAAATTTCAGGTTTTTCTTCGGCAAGCGCCGGTACACCGTGCCTTGACGCAGTCCAGCGCCATAACCGGCGCTCGTTGGTATTTTTATTGTGGACTGGTCTGGAGTCTGTTGGCTGTTGCCTTGCAAGGACTGTCGGCTGCTGCTTTTGGAATGACGCCGACAATCTGGTTTTTGGATTCCGTTGAAGAGTGGTGGACATCGTTTTTGTTCGCGTTCCAGTTACTGGGTTTTCTTTTTGTCTACCTCGTGCAAGTGGCCGTTATTGTCAACTATGCCGCACAGTGTGAGCTGCTTATTGCTCTGGTCAATGGAATCTGTATGCGGTTGCGGGAAAAGTCCACAGATTTGCGTGTTGCGATGCATGTAAGTCGTTTTTTTTGGCAGCAGTGTCTTTGGCATAGTAAGTATATGCATGACTTTACCCTTTAGGACATTTTGGGTGTCCGGGAAGGTATTAGTATGCTAAATGGAGTCATGGCGCGAATGACGGCTATTGGCGTTTTAAGCTTTACGGAGTTGACCATAATGGGATTATGTTTACTGGTCCTTAACGACATCTCCAATACATGGGCCTGGATGTATCGCGCCCTGTATCCCATTGTTTTTGGCACGGCATTATTGTTTCCGTTAGTGCAGGTTTGTATTTTTTGATATTATTAGCAGCAGAATTCCTTCCCAATACCGTATATAAGTTTTTTCAATGATTAGGCCGCCCGAGTTGCTTCCACCGGTGACAAACTGAAGCAGATTTGCTTTGAAATGCGAGTATTTGGATATAAGGATGCGTCTCAGTTGGATCTCGATTCATTTGTACTGTTCGTCAACCATGCTAGTCTTCGTGTAAGTTAAAGCAGGAGCTGCTTTACATGCGTGACCTGCAGTGAAAACTGTTATTCTTCGTTCATTGAGTTTTTTTTCAGACGAAACTTTTCAGCATACCTATCAAGTTCGGGATGATAATGGCCTTTACCTGCGGAATTTCGCTGATATTACTGGTGCTCTTTCAAATGGGTATTATTGCCGGAGCCAATATTCTGTTTTGATTGTGATTTTCTTTTAACTGATCTTGTTTTGCACTTTTTTGCTGATGCCGGTCGTTACGGACAAGCCTGTATTTCAGCTTGTTAATGTTTTTCAACTTACTTGCCATGGTTCGTTGTGCTTTCCAATGGTGTGCTCAAATAATATTTTCCAGTGGTAAATCTCTTGGATTTCTATTCTCGTTTTACTGTACTCAAGTTTTTTGACAGTTTTTTTATTGCTATTTGCATGGAAAAATATGTGTGAAGCAAAGAAAAGAATTGGGCAGCAAAAGTTTCGAAATTGTAGAGGAACTCCAGTTTGCTTTGCACTTCAAAGAGTACTTCTAACCATATGAACCTTTTGATCAGTAGTTTATTTATGTACTACTGGGTAGTACTTGTATGGCAGTTAATAATTCACATAACTTATTCTAAGTGCAAATTCCAGAGACACAATAAAAATGCAAATGAGAACATCGATTTGAAAGACATTACAGAGACGATAAGAAAACACACACAGAAATAAGGATGAATAGTGGACCGGCGCAGAATCCACCGTAACAATAAATACCTGAGAACAGTTTTGGCATGTGTAATAAAAAAATTTACTGAGGTCAAGTACGATACCCATAATATTTACTGTCTGTTACTTGTATGCGAAATCAGATCGAGCACCGTTCCGGCGACCGCAGAACTCAGGCTACACCGCTTCCGATCGCCTCCGATACGTAAGAACTAGGGGCAATTCCTGGAACCAAATAGAAGTACTCGTAAGCGTAACTTGGTATGACAACTTATTTTACAAAAAAATTCACATCAAAATCGTACAAATTCAAAATTTCATCCAATTAACGTACCCTGAAATTCCAAAATACCAGTTTGATATACTGAAGGGTGTGATTCCGTCCAAGCATAGAAACATCATTGCACATAATATCCAGCTAACATAAGAAAACTGTTTCCGTCATCTTCGTTACATAACACTTAGTAAGTCAAAGTAATATAGAGAAAATGTTATTTAAGATTTAAAATACAATAAAACGTACCTCCTGCCATCGGGAGGTATTGTTAAACAGCTGTGCCGCAAGGAACTTTTTCAAGTGATGGATTTCCGTGAATATCGAACACAGTAGATAACGTCTTTTCAACGGTTTCAAAGCGCTGCTCTTGCACTCCAGCTGTACACTGATTTGTACGTCGTTCCGGTGGCAATCAGACGCGGTTATTTTGCGCACAGGCAGCACAGCTGGTTGGGATCCGGAAACGGCGGGGAAAAAAGCAGCGCCGTTCTCACCCATGCGAGGATTGGGAAGCTCAGGATGCTCAAGATAAAACTGACGCTCGCGTTCCAGTTCATCTACATATTTCACAGCTTAACGATACGGCCAAATTCCCACCAACTGCCGCATACATGTCTCGCGGATACGCTTACTCTTTTTGATTTCCGGAAGAAGAGCATCCACTACATCTTGAAAAGTCCGATCATGACTGAAAAAGAAAAATACGAAAATGTGCATAATGCCACCATTTAATCACTCTATTTTAATACTACGTATTTAACTGTTACCATTAAGCTAATAACCACACTAACCATAAGGCACATTTATACCGTGTAAGTACTCCGCAACATTACTGTTCCTAACAAGCTAATTATGCGACAAAAGCGCTGCAGATATGTTGAACAAAACTTTCAAAACAAAACACAAATTAGAAACCGTAAAAAATCCAAAATTATATCCAGAAGAAATGGTCAGAAATCACTGTGCAAAACAGTAAACTGAAACTACAGCCGCAAGCAACTATTGGAATATTAGCACTTATAATTCAAACCACAAACTGAAACAATGCGCGCAATCAGTGACTGTAATAATTTAAAGTTAAAATTGATTTTATTGTGCGTTTACGGTTAAGTACCTAATACCTTATATACTGATAGCGAAGGGCTTCGCTTTGGTGCACAACATTTCCACACATCGGACAACTGTCGGCCTTCTGCAGATGTTTAACCAAGCAAGATTTGCAAACTGCAAAACCAACATGGAATTTGCTTCAGCGAACTGTATTTTTCTCTCCAGCTAAGGAACTTACACGTATGGAGACACTCAATTATGGTTGTGGAATTGACCAGAACTCCGTTGCAAAGCTTGCACTGAATCAAATGCAAGAAGTCCTTGGCTGGAATTTTTCGTTCGGACATTTCAAAAACAAAACCCTCAAGAGTAATCGGGAATCGCAGTTCACAGCGTAGAACCTGAATGCACACCGATTACCAGCACCTCATATTAAGACAACCGACAATTCCTCATACTCAAAGATAAGTAGAACTAGAAGTGCAAAATAATATTGATAATAGTAATAATATTAATTCCAATAAAAATGCAAAATCACAAAATTTCACAACTTTAAATAAACTTTTGTAGAGCGAAATTGCGTTGCAGCGATTTCGTTGCTGCTGAAGCCGAAGCTACAAGCAGTAAAAATGAAAATCATGTTATAATTCGTGATTAAACTTCATAGCATTTGTTACAGTAATATTTGTACCGTACACACTACTACACAGTACAGTTGTACATTTAAAATATAGATATGAGCACGCTTTTTAAATACTCAAAAATAAAGGTGAGAACAAATAAAGGCTCCAGTTAGTATCTTTTCATATCGATAAACACATTATTACAGTAACAATATTGTAAATTTAATGCTGTAAAAGGAATGCTTTCGCTTTTTCGTTATGAAAACAGTCTAAGCTTACCAGTAAAGTTTATTTCGTCGCATATTCACCAAAATATGAGACTTATATCATCTTGTAGGATAAAATCTGTAGTATTTTAATAAATTTTTTATTTTCCGGTAAGTATTACCAGTTTTTTGTAATAACCATCTAAACTAAGTATGGGAGAACGTTCGGTGACGTCAACGCGCACACATCAAAGATACCGCCCATCGCGCATCTGAGATACCGATCTTCATTAATGCTGATCGCGGATATGCTGCATCGCCTGGTTATCAGTTGGCAGATCATATCCGCGGATTCAGTGCGAGCTGAAGCGAAGTCAGCTCTACCTTCTGAGCACTGAACGGCATAATTTTTGTTTCTGGTTTGCAGAACCAGAAAAATTGCTGTTCAAAGAATTCTAGATTTCAAAATCCAGAAAATAATAATAACGTGTCGGCGCCCTATGTAAAACGAAACTAGAACGAATAAAAATTATTCTTTTATCACTAACGCAGCTGCCGTACAGGCAGGCCAGCGCTCAGGATCGGAGTGAAGATCCGTATCTCAGGTGCACGATGGGCGGCATCTTTGATGTGCGCGCGTAGACGTCATCGAACGTTCTCCCATACTTACTTTAGATGATTATTACACAAAAACAGTAATACTTACCGGAAAATAAAAGAATTTTTAAAATACTGCACATTTTATTCTACTAGGTGGTGTAAGTCTCATATTTTGGTGAATATGCGCTGATTTCAACTTTACTGGTTAGCAGCGAGCTGCCGCTTCCGGTTCATACTGCTTTGTAGGTACAAGTTCATGGCAGCTTATGGTTAGTGTCCTACTGTCGCGCTGCGCTCGGCGGCCTCGGCCAATAAGTTATTAACTAAATTTTATAAATTCTTAATTCTGCCATCAAACAGTTGGGTATTAAAGGGAATATTGAGTGTCTGGACCTTAAAAATTTTCCAGCACATCAAGCCACTACGTACTGTACTGTACAGTTTAATTCCGCATACGGGCATAGTTTGAAAATTTTACGCTTAAATAACTAAAACAAGGAATACGGCGCTCCTGATGGAGCGATCATGAAAACTAACTTACTGTAAGCAACCGCCACATATTAAACCGTAAAACCAGAGCAGAACATTTAACAAAAAAATAAGTTTAAACAATTTAGCGACAACATATATCAAGCTTAAGGACTCCTACGACGCGAGCGGTCAGTATCGCGGTCTCGATCTCGTGAAAATCTGCGCCTCTCTGGCGAGCGACGCCTATAATCCCGAGATTCCAGTTGAACTCTCTCTTCGTTACGACCTCCATCACGTCGTGACTGCTTTGTATCTGGTGAATCTCTTCTCCGTCTTTTTTCTTTGAAATGAGGAGATTCAGAATCCTTACGTTCCTGTTTGACCTTAGGCGATTCTTTCTTTCGTCTTTCTTCCCTCGTTTCCGGGGATCGTCGCGGTCGTTTGCTCCTATCGAAATCCCTTGCAGCGCCTGCCTTCTTTAAAGGCTGCATTTTCCGACGGTTATCCTGTTCTGATTCCGATGAGGTGCTAGAGCTATCTGAGCTGCCAGATGAAGAATCCGACTCGGAATCCGAACTGGAGTCGCCCTCGCTTTCCGCAGTAACCGGCGCAGCCTGAGGTTTAGGCATGCTGCTCAAATGTTCTCGAAGAGCATCCCTGCAATAATTAAAAGAGTTATTAATATCAGCCGATTTCAGTAAGAAAAAACAGACATACGTCAAGCCTCCTAATCCAATGGAAGTAAAAAAATTAATGGCAAAACGGGTGTTTTTTGGATTGTTTCGAGGAAAGAGCCCTTCGAACGCTTCCTGCAATGCACTACAACAAAATTCAATGAATTGTAATGCAAACAATAATAAAAATGCTTAGGACGAATGTCAACGAAACCCTTACGGATCGGAAATTCTTTCCATCAGCTCTTTCATTCCCATAAATTCAGCTAACTCCTGGAATAAAATTTTGACGAAAATCCTGCTCGACGAAGTAGTGTCTTCTTCTGACAGCTTTATGTGACCGAGCACCTAGTACACATACCAGTTTCAAGTGTTCATCGTGAGTCGTAGTATCGCAAAACAATTTTGCAATCTTACCAGCCAGGAAATGGCGTCAGACCATAGAAGGTGGGCAAAAAATTTAGCAACATTTCTCAATTTATTCGTTTCCAAACGGTGAATCGTGTCGTACGAATCGATGAAAATTTTCTGGTATGGCTCAATGTAGGTCTGGTGCAACTGACAGAAGCGGCCTGCCAGCAGACCGAAAAACTTTTCGTATGTCCGCTGTTGTGCACAACAATCCACAATCATATGGCAAATCTCTGTCTGCAAAAATATTAGCTTTGAATGTAAACTAACGCTGCTAACTTTAACAGCAGCAATAGGGACAAGCACGTTAATTACTCAAGCAGACTTAATCAGCACACTTAATAATCAAATGCCTAAATACGTAACGAAATCTTACTTCTTGTCCAGGTTTAAGCTCCAATTTCAAAAGTTTGTGAACACATTCTTCGAAATTCAGGCTGGACTGAATGGTCAAGTAGACATTTCGCCGGAGTGCAACAAGATTAGTTTCGGTGCTGTCTACAATTGCCGTGTCATTTTCAGTTGCTGGTTTCTCTCCTTTTTCCTCATCACTCTCTTCATCGCTTTCCCCTTCTTCGCCTTCACTTTCAGATTCACCAAGAATCTGCTTGCGAATACTTTTGTACTTATCCTCATTGACTTCATATTCTGGATCAAACTTGAACACATCTGCAATAAAAAGATTGAGTGTACCCGTTAGGAGATCAGCAAACTAGACTAGTTTATTACTCAGAATATCTTCCGAATCATGTTCGTCTTCCAGCGTTAATGTGTGGGTAAACTGGTCTTCTTCGTCCACCAAATCCAGACCAGGAGCGACAGCAGGATGGTCTTTAAATCCATCTTTCCGGATCTGGGCTAACACTTCAAGCATATACCCAACTCGCTTGTCCAAATCACTTTCATACGCCAGCGTTCGAAACTGATCGAATATAGCTGCAAACACAAGCCATTTTCCACTAATCGCAGCGAAAGGCACAAGCGGACAACCATGCAGTATTTTTTTTGCTGTCCCGACTTCTCGAAAGACTGAATAACTAGACAGTATAAGTCTTACCATTGAGTCCCTTCGGCGTCGACTGCTGAAGCTTATTTCCGCATTCTTTCAAAAAACCAACAGCTAATTCAATAGAATCCAAGGTATGATTTTCCAAAAGAAGCGTTACGATTTCCAAAGCCACAATTTCATCAGCCTGAAAGAATGTCAAGCATATACTGCTAACAAAAAATAATGAGATAACAAAACCCAAAACTGCTTCATTCAACTTCGACCAGACTTGAAAGTGTTTAACTAAATCTGATGGGGTCGACTGCTCTTTTTAATACTGTAATATTACGAAGGAAAAGCAGGAGAAGATAAAACCTTATTATTCATTTTACAATTTTTTACAGGAAAGTACAAACTACTACTCGAGTAGTACTTACCACTTGTTGGTTGACGAGATGTGCTATGAATCTGCACGCAGATAAACAGGCTGTTTTTTGGTTGCGCCGGTATCCTTTCCGAAAATTGTTAATTAATCGTTTAAGGATCAACTCGCCAATCTGGGGAAACTGCAGAAAAACAAACAAAATTCTATTGATTTCCATAATAAGACTCAATCACCAGTGCACCACTTCAATAGGATGAAATCGAAGCGCTTTTGATAGTTCAAACAAAACCACAAAAACATTCACAGTCCTGTTTGGTAGGTCTAATCAAACCACAAACTCCAATCAGTAACTGCATCTACCGTGCATTTTATCCGATTATCGCTCAACGTGTTTTTCTCAAAATCTCACCTTCGTATTGATCACAGCAATTAGCGCAGCGTAAACATGCGTGAATGTAGGAGACTGGGTTTGTGCATCGATACAAGATTTCACCAACAGACCGCGACCACGAACAATATTTTCCTTAAGGATTTCTTCCGTAACTTTCACTATATTTTCCACGTTGATTTTGTTGATCATGCCGTGCAGGCTCTTTTTAAGTGCTTCCCACGAGATTCTCTGGTAAGCCACACTATAAACCCACAGATTATCATGGAATGTGATGTTACTAACTTTCCCTGACGGAATCGTAAGTCATAACTTCCGTACCTGCTTTTATCAGTAACCTGAGCTTGCAAAGCGCGCAGGCGAGCGGGTGGAATATAAGCTCCTCCTGTGCGTGTGGTGAGCGCCATGATCTCATCGTCCGTTTTCGCCTTTTTAGCAATGGGTTCCTCCATAGTTTTCAATAATGGAATAATACAAGAAATCTGGTAAAGATTGATGTATCCGTCACGGTAGTGTCCCTTTACTGTCTTGGGTAAACGATGATTTACAGGAATCCAGTTTGAAAACTGTGTATCAAGAGGGCGATTTCATCAACGAAATTTTTTTCTACACAAAATCATAGAACCAGCGTAAACGAAGATCAAGAATAACTTGTGACTAGTTAACTAACAGAACAACCAAAAATTCGGAAAATATAATAATTATTATGGAAATTTTAGATTTTCAAAAATTCAAGTTTTCAAAAGGCGACGCTTAAACGGTTTAGTCGAGAATAGTGCGACAGGACTACCGTGAGGCAAACATCGCCAGAGATACACCCCCAAATCTTTTTTGTTGCCAGCTTATGAATCTTTATTCTTTTATCAAATTATGCTTTTTTACATTTTTTTAAAAGATGTCCTAAATTCTTGTGGCTATAAACCTTTTTTGGGATGTGTTACGAGAATTTCTGTAAATATACTTTGACTTCTACCGGAAAAGTGCTTTGCAGCTCAGGACGACGTCGTGCACTACTTGCCGCGTAGCAGAATCCATCCTTGAAGATTTTAGAGTTTGTAATAATAATTTGTTGTCGATTTTGAATGTTTTATCTTCCAGAATTTTGTGCAGTATTAAAACGTGGCTAACCATAAGATTGTTTTGATTGGACATTTTTTTATGTATTGTGCCAATAATTGTTAATTGAAGTTGCTGTGTATTGGCGGATTAAAACATATCAAACAACTGCTGCACTGCAAGTTTGCAACCGCGCTTCGTTAGACTATATTTATTGTTCCACATCGTATTTGCTGCAAAATGGCCGGAAGAATGCCTGCATGCGTTATCGACTGTGGAACGGGGTGCGTGTGCGACTGTGCATTGAGATAGTCGATAGCGTTTACAACTTCTTGATGAACGTTTTTCTTAGATATTCCAAGCTGGGGTATGCTGGAAATACCGAGCCACAGTTCATTATTCCATCGGGTAAGAAGCTGTCCGTAGCCTGTTGTGAGGGTTCCTCCCCCTTTAATTCTGTATGGTCCATTGCTTGTTGTGGTTTCCGACGCGCTCCGATTATTGCCTTTCTCTTTGTGTGCAATTAAAATCAATCCGATTCACTGTTGAGCTTAAAAATGTTCGTTCTTAGCGATTGCCATCAAGGAGAGCGCAAAAGTAGGCGATCAGTCGCAGCGACGATTGGGACGCGGAGTGGAAGATCTGGACTTCTTCATCGGAGATGAAGCGCTGGAGCAGCCTTCGTACGCCGTCAAAGTCAGTGTCTCTGCAGGCTCTTTAATGGTAATATCAAGCGCTCTTTGAAAAATCGAATATTTTACAGTGGCCCATTCGGCATGGTATCGTTGATGACTGGGATCTTATGGAGCGATTTTACGAGCAATGCATTTTCAAATATCTCCGATGTGAACCAGAAGATCACTATATGTTCCTGGTTAGTGCCTTTTAAGATACTTACTTAGTAAGATATCCGTATATGTAAAAAATTGACAGTTGTCGCGAAAGCGCTCGTTTGATTTGATACATTAATGGAAGGTAGCTCTTGCTTCAGCAATATTTTCGTAGTAGGCTGTTAATAAGTATCACGATACAAGTACAAACATGGTACCAATGTAAAACAGATTTTAAAACAAACACTTCCTCTATGCTTGCGACACACTTGCGATTCTTGCAGACGTCGTCGCTAAGACATGTTTGGTTTTGATTTACAGTAATTTGGAAATTCGTTGTGGTATTGTTTTATTTACGTGGTATATAATTTTTTTTCCACAGACGGAACCGCCGTTAAACACTCCAGAAAATCGAGAATTCACTGCTGAAATTATGTTCGAGACGTTTAATGTTCCGGGATTATACATCGCTGTTCAGGCAGTTTTGGCTTTGGCTGCTTCTTGGCTATCGCGTCCTGTTGGTGAACGCACACTGACTGGAGTTGTTGTGGACAGTGGCGATGGAGTTACTCATGTTATTCCTGTGGTATGTTTTAAAAAAAAAGTATTGTGCATTCCTTAGGTAGAGTTCGGAAAGATAATGAATTTCAGAGTTTGAATGAATGAAACAAAATCGTCTGATATGATCCTTCTATACGTACGGATTGTCTTGCTGGCAGTGTTTGGAATGTGTTTTTTTACATATAATTTTACTTACTGGGTTAAAAAAAGATTGGCAGAAGAAAGTAAGGAAGGCAAATAGGTTTTTTCTAAGTTGTAATTTAGTAAATTCTGGATCGTGTGCAGGCGGAAGGCTATGTTATCGGCAGCTGCATCAAGCACATTCCGATAGCTGGCCGGGACATAACGTATTTCATTCAGTCTTTACTTCGAGAGCGGGAAACTAAAATTCCTCCCGAGCAGAGCATGGAAACTGCAAAAGCTATAAAGGTGCGTGACGATGGTATTCTGTTGAGAATTATGCTGCTTTGGAAATGTGCTGGAAATAATATCGTTTGATTTTCAGGAGCGCTATTCGTACATTTGTCCTGACATTGCTAAGGAGTTTGCGAAGTATGATCAGGAACCGTCTAAATGGATCAAACAGTACGACGGAGTGAATAGTATCACGAAGCAGCCTTTTTCTGTTGATGTGGGATATGAACGGTTTTTGGGTCCAGAAATCTTTTTCCATCCAGAGGTAACTTTTCGGCATTCTTGCTGGGACCATGGATTCACTGCCTTATTCGTGTTCTAGTTTGCCAATCCCGATTTTAACACCCCGATTTCTGAAGTAGTGGACGACGTCATTCAAAATTGTCCGATTGATGTTCGCCGGCCATTATACAAAGTACGGTTTCTGCTTTACGTGGACTAAGGGAGATTTTTTTCCGCATAGTTCTTGCTTAAGGTGGTGCTTCCTTTCAGAATATCGTTTTATCGGGCGGTTCAACCATGTTTCGCGATTTCGGTCGTCGCATGCAGCGGGACATTAAACGCAATGTCGATTTACGGTTGAATTTGAGTGCGCAGCTGAGCGGCGGAAGGATAACGGTAAAATGCTTACAATGCTTTATCCAGACGATACTGATCGAATTTTTTCGGCTTTCAGCCTAAACCCATTGACGTTCAAGTCATTAGTCACCAGATGCAACGATACGCTGTGTGGTTCGGTGGTAGTATGCTGGCCTCAACGGTACGTTTAACTAACGACAACATATTATTATCTTCTGGTATATACCGGTAATTGCTTTATGTAATTTTGTCTTTTTTCCTTTATTCCTGTGATGCAGTGGCATTCGTGTTTTTCTTGAGACATTGTTAATGCTTTTGTGGTGCATTTTCGAATGATTCATTTGCTCACACAACCTAAGATTTTTGTAGTCTACGTATGTAATTCATTACGTATTTATTCTTCATACTCCAAGTAATTATTTTATATTAAGTGCAGCCAGATACTAAGCTGTTTTTGCAAATCTTTATGACCAATCGGACGTAATGTTTTGCGGCTTCTGTTGAATGATTGATATTTATTTAGTACGAGTACAAGGCACTGAAATTGCAGTTCTGAGTGTTACGTTTTGTAGCCTGAGTTTTATCAAGTCAGCCATACAAAAGCGGATTACGAGGAATATGGCCCGAGCATTTGCCGTCACAACCCAGTGTTTGGAGTGATGTCATGATCGACTGCATCCAGACCAATCGTTTGATGCCTTTCTGTTTGTTTTACCTTTTTTTGTGTCCTGCTTGTTTTTTTGTACCGCCTATCTTGTATTTGTGACAGATTCGTGCACTGCTTTCCTGGTGACAAACTGCGACAGCTTGTTCCAAATTCGTTTTCTTTCTTGCAGTTGACTTGATCAGTTTTTATCAACTTAAGCTTTTTATATCCTGGTAGCATACGGGTATGTAAATGCTGAAGTAACAGTTGATCGCATGCACAACAAATAAATAACAAATCACTTTAAAACCTGAAAACATCACCTATGTACATTGAAAACCTCAAAAGCAGGAAAGAACGGGAACAAAATTAACGTAACAATGACGGCGCAAAAGCGTTAAGCGGTACAAATGGCGCAGCTCGTATCTAGCAAATGGAAGAATTCAGAATTGCACCTAACAGTGCCTTTCCAGCAAAGTGAAATTCCGCATCCTCTTCGGACAGGATCAAAATCACCTGTGAACCCAACAGTCAGAGTATAGTTTAATTAGCTTAACAATGCCGGCATAGAACTACCTTTGAATCCCACAATCTGCTTCCTCGTTTAATGGAAAAAACGCCGTTAGCAGCCAACACTTCACACAGATCTGCTACATTTGCCGGGGTCAATTCAGGTAATCCGTACGTAGGGCAAATTTTCTTATACTGAACGGTCAACTAAAAATTGAAAAATTCATTATTATATGTACGGTCTTAACATTCACAAACAAACCAAGCCAAAGAAAAATTCAGAAATGGGTGTCTAATCTCACCAGTCCCAAGGTCAAGCATTTTCTTCCGCGTAGCAAAAGAATAGCGCAGCAAATAAGAATTCGCTGCTGTAAAGGCAACACACCAACATCGCTGGCACTGCTTTGTTCCGTCATCACCATTTGAATATGGGAACTTTTCACTTCGATCACAGATGGAGAAGACTTTATTAATTCTGCAACATAAAAACACCACTTTCGAAATGGAATGATCTAAACGATACAAAGCAGCATGACTCTACTACTTTCATAACGACAAGAACAGAATGCAGGCTGCTTATAACCACAACAAAGTGACAACAATTCTTACCGTTTGGTAGGTCAGGTAAATCTGAATTGAGCCGCATTTTTTTAAATTGATTCTCGGCCATGTTAATTCCGCGCCTGAATACAGAAATTCCAAATTAGACCGCGACTAATACAATGTAGATCTGGAAAGACTTACCGACACGCGCTTAAAGCCGTCCGAATATCGCCGGTTGTTGCAGCGACTTTTCGAGCACACAATTCCAGAGCGCCCTTGTCGAAATTCAACGAATCTTTATCGACGGCCTGAAATAAATTACGCAAAATGTCGTGCAGACTAAACTCAAATTAAAATAGTACCGATATCCAACATATAGTATTGTGAACCAATAGGAAACACATACAAACTATTGTAAACTGTTGACAGTTATAAATTGTCAGCACATGCTGCAGCATCAGACTGACCTCATCCATCCTGTCACTGAGGATGGATTTTATCTGGCCGACAGTATACGGCGCAAAATGCAGCACATCCGGTGTGAAACCAGCAGGGAAGTCCAGTTTGCGGATTAAACTGCTGACAAAATCCAGAACATTGGAAATACCTAAAAATTGCATCCGGTCAAGGAACAGTGATGTGGAAAATTCACCGGTAAAGTTACAGAAGACGAGGAAAAACTTTACCAATTAGGATAATTCTTGAATTGGGTAAAGTAGGCCATAGAAATATTTGCCGGAACACATCCAAATCCTTAGTTTTCAACTGGTCAATTTCATCGAGAAGAACAAGTCTGCAAAACACTTCGCTACTGCGGCATTCTGCCCTTTTTAATTGTTTTGATTGCGTAGTATTACCGATACATACCGCATGGGTCTTTTATTATCTGTGAGAACGCGCTTCAACTGTGCTACGGAATCGAGATGCTTCCGCGGAGATTTCGCTGGAGATTTTCCTTTGGTCGGCTGGTTCATCTCCACCAATAATTCGTGATATACTCCTTTCGGATTATCAATGCCCATGCAATTTATGGAATACTTAAGGCCCTGGAAAAAATTAAGTGCGATCCTTCCAATCAAACATCAAATCGATAACAAGATCGTCCAAGACAGATCGCCCACAAGGGAAATAAATTCCGGGTCAATTTTTACATAATCATATTTCCAGAATTTTATATCCTAGTGTTAGCACTGCATAAATACAGCGATGCAATGTGAAATGCTCACGGTCCCACATTCAAATCTGAGCTCACTGTCAAAACCGGAGGCTCACCTTGTGCTCACTGAAGATCTCATTAATGCAGGCCGTTTTCCCTGTTCCCGGTTTCCCCGAAACGTACAGGGCACCGGGAGTTTTCTGTGCTAAATGGTCACTGATGAATCTTTTTATCCGACTCATCTCAGAATCCCGTCCTTTGATAGGAGTCACCTGTTGCGTCGACAGGGTTCTCTTCACACTCAAAGGAGTCAAAGGCGCGCTGGCAGCAGTCGTTTCTGCAGCGCTGATTTTCAAAGGAGTCACTGGCTTCTTCGGGGTACTGGGAAGTGCGGGTTTGAAAGGTATCTCCGGTGAATCCAGCTTCTCCTGGTGACTGTATATTACACGGGATCGCAGCTTCCGTACTCCAGGATTCTCCATTTCTAGCGCAAGTGACGGCAAGTCTTGTAATAAAACGGTACGTAATATAAACAGTTCCTAATGTCGAAAATTCCAAAACAAAGTTAACTACAAATATAATTGCAATAACAAATAACAACCATTAAAAAATTGAAAAATTTTTGAGAATAAGTTATCCAACAAGTCTTTTTTAAAATTAAAAGTGAACAATTAAAATGTCTTCCCACATAGGCACTTCCCGTATGCTCTTATTAGTGACTTAGTCCGCAAAACTATGGCAAACAGACAAAGAGGTGGTCGCAGGAAAATCGCGCCGTACGGTTCGAGTGCAACGCCTGTACTACTGAAAATTGTATGCCCGCCTAGGTAAAATGTTCCGTGGATGCCAGCCGCTTCATCCTGTGATTCCTGTCAAAACTAGCGTAAAACTGAAAACGCAAACAAACGAAACCACTACAATCATATTTGAATACTTTCGTTGACTAATTGGAAATATTAATTTTTCTGATCTGTAGACTGTTTTCACGTGGTAGTTCTTGGCTTCAGAGGTACGTGTAAGACTCCATTTGTTTCCAACTTAGTGACAAAGTGATTGCAGTGCGCGGTTGATCGTGAAATGGATGAATCGGCGCAGCGGGATAAGCGACTGCAAGAACTGGAGCAAGTGGATAAAGACATCATTCAGCTAATCAGTCTTGCAGGTGGGACTCCTGCTTTTTACTTGTACAATCTACAGTTATTATTAGTTGCTGTTAACAATTTTATGAATATGGTAATCTATGAAGTGGATACGTGGTAACACTGGCGTCCTTGGAGCGTACTTTTTAAAATTCCTTGTAGGTCAGTGCCTGCAAGAGCTGTCCAAAGAGAAGCCCGTTTCCAAAACAGCTGAAGGACACTGTACGAATTTCTTGAAAACGCTGGAAGGAATCGACAGAACACTCGCACAACAGGTCTCTCACCTCCAGCAAATCTCTACGGGTTAGTAGAAGCCGCACAACTATACGTCCGCATCTACGCGTTAACATCCAAATTTCGTTCGGAAAGATTGATTACTGACGACGACTGAGGTTTTATGACTCGAAAATGAAGTTATCGGATGCAGATTCTTTGGTTGTTTATCAGGTTATATACGCGTGTCCATACAAGATCTTGAAGACTTTATTTTTTCAGGAGTCACTCATGAAGGCACGCATTATGACTGCTCTAAAGAGCGCGAGATTATGCTCCGATGCGAAGGTGATCTGGATGAAATTTTGCAGTATTTAGTGCAACAGAAAGAGCAGTATCTCGCCAGCACTTTGCCTGATCCGGCCGCTATGGAGTCGGATGAGGTGGTTTTCGATGAAACTACAACCGTACGCACACCCCAAACAATGTAAAATCAGGCTGATAACTTCCAGCCATGAGTATAAGTGTGGTTTGCGGTTCTAGTTTTATATTTATTTATGATCTCGATACTTTGCAGTCTGTCCTGTTCAAGTTTTGTTCTTCATTCCGAAATGGTTTTGGAGGCAACATAAAAATTTCTTGATTTCAGTCATTTTTATTATTGCACGAATTGGTCATCTGACTAGGTAGTTATACACACCGTATATGCAAGCACTTTAAAATCGACTCATCAGAGCAAGAAGGTTGTCAAGGGCATCACAACCGGAAAGGGAAGTTATAAAAAACGCGTAACAAATCGTAAGAAATGAATCTGAACCTTCACAAACTCACGGGATGTATCAATTCGTAAAAATGCGACAATCAACAAATGCTTGATATACCATTCAAATTCAACAAGCCAGTAAAAATAATCACAACTGATGTGGATGATACTCGTAGTCTCCTTCCATCGGCGGAGGAGCATCGGGCATAGTTTTCGCACTACCTTGCGTTAAATAACCGGCAACGCCAGGCGTACCTGTAAAAATCCAACACGTTTGGTGAATTCCACGACTACTGGATAATGCATTAAGTCATACAAATTCTTAAACCAATACTTTACTGAAATAAATATCGGTGCTAAAGAACCTACAGTAATTAGTTTCTACTACAGTGTTGAGCCTTTATTTTTTATTAGTTATAACCGTAGTAAGAATAGTGTTGATGCACACGAAGGACAGAATTGCTAAAGACTTTCATGTTTCACTGCGAGTCTCTTAACTGAGCAGTGACCTATTGTTTAAACAATACGTTCAATAATGCAACGAGAAAAAAAGTAAACAATGCCCATACCTGCTGTCAGATAACCAGCCGTCGTCGACTGCGTAATAAATAGATCATGCCGTTGGTCTCGGAATTCGGACCATATCTTGGAAGCGTTCAGAATACTGGTGACCTACAATTGCACAGGAACTAAATTAGCTAATTTCTGGAATGCGAAACACGGTCGTTTTTCACCTTCTCTCCATGTGTCAAGCTTTTAGCCATGGATTTCAGTGCTTTAACAATATGAGCCTTAATTCCAGCTGGATTAGGAATAAACTCTAATGGGCTTCCCAACAAGTTCAGGAGAAACGGTATCAGATCGCAGCTCAAGGCCTGTGATACTAGTTCATCCTTCGGATCTTCGTAAATACTGTTCAGCGCCTCGCATGCTAAGGGCGTTACGGAACGGTTTCGTTTCATCGCCAACTTCATTCCGTTAATGCAATCAACACTGGCTAAACTGTTTATGCAAACCTGCAACGAAAAAATTAGTACAACCGGTAAATGGCTGGCATTGTTTAATTACAGTTATAAACGTTTCATTTCCGTACCGGACTCTTGGCCAGTTGGTGCACCACTTTAATAGCGGCACTAACGACGGCATCGTTACTGTTTTTCAAAAGTTGAACTATCTGTGGAACGTGTCCAAACGTAGGAACCTGATCTGCCATTAACGGCTGGGCTTCCAGGAAGACAACAATAGCTGTCGTAACCAGCTCAAGCTCTTCGCCCTGTGGAAATACAAGATTTATTAGAATATTTCAACCATCCAATAATTTCGGTTTAAATATTTGGCACAAAGGGGATGAAAACTTTTGTAACAACATCTACGGCCGCTCAAGCAATATGGCTTTTCGCCCAACAAATTAAAATGTGCACATGTACCGGCGGAGAGGGAATAGCAGCCAATTCCAAAAAGCGATCCATAATATCTATGAAAAATTCCTTCGGTTTCCGCAGTATCCAGCCAGGATTAGCTACGAACAAGCGCAAGAAAACTCCACCAACAACAATTTCTCCTTGCACGTTGCTGTATATTGTATCGTAATCGGGCGGCAGCTGCAATAGTATTAAATCATTTGAATCTTTGTTGTTTGGCATGCGAGTATTACTGATTGGCGTTTGTTGGTACTCACATTCCAATAAACATTTGGATCTCTTGCTTGCATTTCATAGAACCTTTCTTTCAGCTCTTTCACGGTACCGGAAACCTTTTCTCTAGCTTCATCGTTCCATATCAATTCAGGATTCTCATGGGCGCCTACAAAGTACAAATAATGTGCATCCAACTAAATAAAAAAACAAAGTTGAAGCGATGACTGTGTTTTTTTCGGGTCTGCCCTATTCGTTTCAAATTTTCAAGAATAAAAAGAAACATTTTCAGTAATAAAAACGAAAAAAGTCGCACCTTCGAACATATGCACACTAGTTTCCGGGGCATCTCGCATTGCATCCATAAAGATATTCGGTAGAAACTTCGCCAAAAGCAATCGTAATTTGGGCCCGTTAAGCTTTTCCGCCATCATTTTAGCAAACAGTTCTGCGGTTTTTTCCCTAACTTGACCATTTGTTGAATTGCAGAACATATCCAGCAAATATATCGGAGCGCCCTTCGACATCATTTCCTTGACAATTTTTGAATTTGAAACCAGTGGGTGAAGAACCTCTAGGATAACTGGCCGCGCTACACAAAACACAAAAAAGTCAGAAACCTCACATAATAAAATTATTTTTCAACATGCAACAAGAAAATACATAGCACGCCTGCACCAGATATCGACCTAATATGTGATCGACAATACAGCTATTGCGGAAATAAAAAAGTATGCAACAAACGCAGAAGTTAAAAAATTCCATACCATTTGGAACAGAATGCATTAAGGGCATCAAATTTCCTAACACTTCGGCATTTGCAATATCCACAACGCATTCTTTATTGCTAACCACACATGATATTGCTTCCAGGGCTACCGATTGCAATTTTGCCGAATTATCCATTCTTAGCAGACCAAAAATGAGTTTAAAATGCCCAACACACTGCAGTTCCACACCTAACACAGAGAAAAACATTCAAAATTAGTAATCACCGACAAAACCATGCTTACTGAGCCCCTTAAGCAACAGTACCTGGGCTGGCTCGGACGATATTACGCAGTGCTTCTAGTGCCATTTCCACATTACTAATTCGTTTCGCATCGATCTTCACACCCTTTTTGTCTGGCATCGACATAAGTGAATGAACATACTGCGCTTCCGATCCCAAATAATGCAAAAGATCTTTTATAAAAGCTTTGGGGTCCTGAAAATATTAGAGCAAAGCCATGCCAAAACAGTATTGGTGCTAGAGCTTTTATCTGAAACTGAAGCATGACACAATCTGATGTATCCATACTTCGATCGGAAATGTGGGTTGTTCGTTATAAATTCGGATGAAGATATCCCCAATAATCAGTTCGGATGAATGCGCAGAGTGGACAAAGCCGGTTCCGAAGCTTGGGTCACATTCGCCACTGCGCTGCATGGAATCACGCTGGCTGTTCAGATATTCCGACAATTCTGCCCGGGTGCCATTGTCCCACAGCAAATACGGAGTTCGAATGTTGCTGTTCAGAATTTTCAGCAACTACGTACATAAACAGAATTTCAGTTTCAAAATTCCGATACATATTCAGCATTCATAAAGCTTACTTCGTGTGGACTGCACTTCTGAAACTGTTTCGTGACATATGGAGTAAGCATGGTGCAAAGGGCTTGTCGAATTTCCCGGTTTTCGGGTGTTTCAAAGGCCGCCCCTCTGAGATAACCACCCAGTCGAGCGCACGCCACAATACTCAGTTTAGCCAGATTGTTAGATACTTCCTGCCAAAATAAAATATAGAAATCAGATAACTGCATCCAACAAGATTTACATTATACTCAACATCGGCCCGTTAACCAGCCACCACAAAAAGCAAAGTCCATCCCATCATAAATTCCACAGACTTCAACTGCATCATAGTTTGGTTTTTAAACTGCAGACTTTTTACCTGTTGGTTCGTCTCCGCACTACGTTCCACACCTCCTTCTTCCAACGTGAAATCATACCGGAACAGGAACAAAAGAAGATGCCACAGAACACCGGCTTTGAATAGTTGTGTTTGCAAAAGTACATCCACAGAAAACGCGCTTACGGCTTCCACGGCCACGCAACACAGTCGGAAAAGGTGCTGTACAATAAATTAATAATCATGAAAGCTAACGAAATTTAGTGTCTAGAGTACAGGCTTACCGAATAATATAGCAAACGACACAGATCTCGGATAACGTCCGGCATTTCGGACAGGCGTTCGCGACACTGCTCGAACTGAGCCGCCACAGCGAAACATCGCGCAATATTCATACAAACTTGTACATTCAAATCTTCCAATTTGGATGAGATAGACAAACGGTCTACGCAGCGCCGCATCGCATCTTCCAGTATCTAGAAGTTGCCAGATAAAAACACCACGCGTATATAAGGTTATAATTAAGTAAGTAAGCTTCGAGTTAAACTACAAATATTACAGACTAGTTCTATTCGAAGTCGAATTGACTGTTTCAAATCAAACCACAGGCCGATAAAAATAACCAAAGGTATGAGTGAACTGTCCGATGCATTAAACCATTCTAAAATTCCCTGAGCTACATACTTGTTCAGTCAAACCAAACAGAGTTATGCAGATGTTGCAAAGTTTTACCTCAAATCCATTTTCTCGACGAAGTTCTTCAGCATTAAGCGCCGAACAAGCCACAGTATGGTAAACCAGCTCGCATGCAGTCGCCAATAAAGGCACAGGCTTCGCAAAAAGATTATCATCTTGGGTTTCCATTGTGATAGTTTGAATGAGCATCGGATAGCCGGCATATTTGAAAGGATGAAGCTCTGATGCAAACACAATCACCCATTTCGAAATATTCATCAAATAAACTTTAATTTTTGGATGCTACCTTCGCTATAACGGCTGAACAAAATGCATTGTGTCTGTAAAATGAGGAGCAGGTTCTGTGGATCAGGTCCGTCAGATACTTTCCCAGTACGACTGCACAAGAACTCGTATGCCTTGTTCACTTTCTCAAACATTTCCTGTAAACGAAAATGGAAAAGTAAATAAGACTGAATTTCGCACAGAACTAGACAACACTTGCCCGTCCGTCCGGATTTTTATCAGGGTGATACTTCTGAGCCAACGCAAAATACGCCCGACGAATCACATTCTCATCAATTCTGAAGCAACGAATAGATTTACCTGCAAATGCCGGTGAGTCGAAGCCACATTTACAACACATACGCTTTTCCGCCTTTCTTGACACCTAAAACATCGTATGCATCGTCCACCGACATCGTCGGTGGTTTCTTCTCCACTTCTTTCTTCCAAGCTTCCAGGACATCTTTCAACAATTTCACCTACAAACAGCAGTATTTTGTCATGAAAAGCTTTATGCAGCTACCATTATCTTTAATAAAAAAACAACTTTTTTTAATTTACCGGCTCTTTTATTGGCCAATCTGGAAATCGTCGAACGTCACACAGATGTCGGAGGTAATAAATATTGCAGAACAGCTCGTTCTCCAGTTGCACGTAGTTAATAGTAGGAATCGGGCAATACTGATACAATGCACGAGCATTGCTCTGGAGCCGCGGGCTGAAATCAGCTATGTGGACCGCAATTTTTTCAATCATTAACCGCCTGAAACACCACCATAGCAACATCCATAATTCATTCTAGCTAAAAATCATCAAATCACCTCATTTCCGAATTCCAAATGGCTTCAGGTGTATCGAACTCGCCCAGGAATATTTCCGCAAATTTATCCGAACCATAATTCTCCAGATAGCAAATCATAGCTTCCGGTATCAATGGTCCCAGAATGCTACGCTGAAGCAGTGTGGATGATTTAACTTCTTCGCTTCGGAACGCCTGTTTGGTATGCGTGTAGTGCAGGAAACGTCCAATTGGTAACAAATTAGAGCCAGTGTACATCATGATAAAGAAGAAACAGCCGGACAGATACAGTCGTGGAAGAACCGGATTGTCCTGCATTACGTGATAAAGTAATGTAGCCACTTTCTCCACCAAAATGGGATCGAATGTCAGCAAAAGCTAAAATTATACCAATTTATTAGTCATGGTAACGAAGCCACTATAGTCTATAAGCACAACACGCCACAGTTACCTGAACGATGTGCGGGAGGCAAGAAGGATCGGATAAAAGCCTCTTAGCTTTCGGGAGGGGACGAATTATTGAATTATCAGCATCTCTACAACGAAACGGTAAACAACATGTACAACTAAAAACAAAAGTTATGGATCTTCCATACCTGCTCGGATACAGCTCACAAATTTTGATCAACATCCCCAGGACCAAAGATGCCAGATCACTTTCATTCATGACACCATTTCCACCGGCCATCAGTATCCATTTCAACTGAGGAACATGCTGCAGTGGTCGCCAACCATCCATACCTTGGGCCCAGCATCTTGTTTTCTGATTGATTTCACCACTTTCCCACAATTCTCGTAACTAAAAACAACATCAATCGCACAATAAATTCCGGTGATGATTCTCAAGGCAAGAATCGGTTTATTTCTGTTTTTACAAAAAACAGAACTTAATCACACATCACTTATTACCATACCTCAGCCATGCTGACTGGACCCAGGCGTTCTTTTTCAAGATTGCCGTAATACCACTCTTTTTCAGTATCCCTTCGAGAATCAGCTCCCGCTTCGATGACATTGGTCTAAAACCTCATATATTACTAAATAAAGTTACAGATCCGCTTAATCTATGCCAGTTTAAGAAAAACAAATACCTGAGTATGTATAACTGCTCGATTGGTGTGAAAATGTGCGAGTGTCAGCAGGTCCACCAACGTTCGAATGCCATTAGCATCGATCAGGTCTTTCACGTTTTGCTGCAACAAAAAACCGCAACAGTATTATTTTTTTCTCGCACACAAAGAACATCCTCACCTTGTTCGAGATCAATTTATCCACAAAAATTAACAGTCGGTCGCGCTCCAATTTATCCATACACTAACACCGTCAATTAAAATTACTTAAAACCACTTAAAATGTATTACCAACCACTTAAAATGTACAAACGCACAAGAATTTCTAACCTTATCCAACATCAGCATCATATACTTGGTATCGTTAAAAGGACCTATTTCTTCTGAACAGCGTCCATAAACAATTGTCATCGCTTGCAGGCAATTGCTTTTCATAGAAGCTTTTTGCGAAAGAAGAAATCGATGGTACAGGTCGAAAAAGAATTCCTTCCTACAAAAGAGCAATTATATTAATGTAACAGTTTTAGTTATCTATTAATTAGCAATTACTCGATATTAACTGAACCCAACGTGGTATAGAACTTATGGTTAGCACAGTAACTCACGGTTTGTTCATCGGACTGGCTTCATCATCTGAATCGCCTTCTTCCAGAAGAAGTCGTAGAAAATAGTCCCCGATTTTGATCTCTTCATTTAGGCAGTTATATGGAACCTAGCCATGATATTTATGATAAAACGATTGAAATATAACATACGTTAAGACGCGATAAATGCAACTAACAAGCACCTCAAATTCAATATGATTCCAGGAAATAATATTACCGGCGCCAAGATCCTTGTCGACGTTGAAAGCGCGCAGTTCATTCTCCAAGCATTCCCGTAGTTCTTCTCGGGTCTGATCAAAGCAACAGAAGAGAGTCAAACCGTAGTGTCTGTCAAATCGCTCTGTCTGTTCAGCTTGACTACTGTCAAACTAGCCAGGTACTTAACTAAGGTCCCTAACGACCACGCACAATGCACTAAACATCACTTGCCTTGTGATTCCAGATTAAATTTGCTCTGGCATGATCTCTCAAGAATTGGTAGTAAAACAAATCCCAGTTTGATTCGCTCTTTATTTTCTGTCGGCGCTTCCGCAACACCACAATGCGCTGGACCTTTTCATCTTGATTTTCCATCCCGATACGAGCTCTCCAATGTTTCAAGAGGGTCGACACTTGTTTTTCAATTACCTTCCACTGTGCGTTTCCTTTGTTTTTGTTCTGGATATCCTGTAACAAATTTAAAATGTCATCGATACCTATACGTTCAGCAATTCAACGAGGCGCACATACAACAGCTAGTTGTAAATTATCACGCTGGTGAATACGATCGATTTCATGCTCCGGCACTTCTTCGCTGGATTCCAAATAGTACAAAAGTCCATAAGGCATAATTCGTGAAAGAAGTGACATGGCACTTTCATTTCCCGATACCCATAAGGATACAAGGATTCGGCTAAGTTGACTACGAACAAACGGTTGCAGGTGAAGCGAAATGCTTCATTTTTACAAATAAACATTTTACCGGTTGGTAAGAACTCGACTATCCAGACTTTGTGTAAATAGAGCAATGTGTAAATGCTTAGGTAAAGCGCCTTCGGACATAGCTAGTTCTTGCATCTTCGTGGCAACATCGTCTTCGCCTTCTTCAATCAGGGCCTTCATTACCAACCCGGCGCCTTTCACAATAGCCATTGAAGGATGCTATAAAACACAAGATAAAAAGGTATTTCATTTAATTTTTTTAATAACGACTATGTGGAGCCTTGCCTGAAACAGCTTAAACATAGTTCTCCCTCTAGCAGCAACCATTTCCAGCATCTGATCAAACATCGTTCCATCAGTTGTCTCACTGTACGGTGCACACAAGGCAAAGGTTAAAAAATCCAGCGTTGCGCTGATAATTAAAGCACCACTCCCTCGTTGCTACAACGAAACTCACAAGTCAGAAGAAAAAAATCAAAACGGTTTGAGTGCAGAGGTTTCTCGTGCGCATCCTCCACGTGCTCCAAATTACTTACCACGTGGGTAGAAAACACTTCCAAAATTCCTTCCATAAATTTTTTCGACGACATAAGTGAAGCTTTGTTAATCTGTTCTTGTCGCAAGTCATAATCGTCATGCATGGGCTGCATTAAGGCACATAACATATCCAATACTGCATGAGTAATAGCATCGTTGTTCTTGCTGAGTGCCTTGATCACTCGGCTGCCGATTTTTTCTCGTAGGGTGGGAATATTTGTGAAAGCCATAAACCCAGCTTTGGAGGCAAAGAGGCGTCGCAGTGCTTGAAACTGAGCTTCCACATCTTCCGGTTTTGCAATATCCAAATCCATATCACGCTCCACCAGTGCCATCAAGGCTACATTAATTAGCTTTTCCTTATTTTCCGCAAACAAACCCTATTGAATCATTGCAGAAAAGGTTTTTCATAAACTGAAAGCCGATAAAATGAATGCGTACATCTTGAGTGACGGCATGAAGAAGTCCGCTGTATGAAATGTTGCTATTAAACCGTTGCACGACTTCCGAAAACAACATTCCGGCTGCAATTACAAATTAATCAGCAACTCATAAGAAATTATGGACTTCATATCTTACCCGGTGAAATCTGCAGAAACCGTAAATGCTGGCTTTCCACTTCTTCGTCGACCGGAATGGTAAATGGTCCAAGACGATAGCCGCGCTCGGTGGGATACATTTTCACATGTATATCGCGGTTGCCGGCTGCTCGAACACCGTCCATTATTGTGGCCAAAAGCGAATCACTGGAGAAAAGGGAATTTTAACCACAAAAAAAAGTGTAACGTTATCCGCAAATCCCTAGTAATTACCGGTCAGTCGATGCGTACGTTCTCGTCTGTCCCTTAACATATTCTATGCTGAAAAGCTGGGGATTATCCACGTGGCGAACAATAGCGAATATCTGCAAATGATTAAGTACAACAACTGCGTAACAAAAGCCCTACATGAAACAGAATATTTAAGTTTTCGTACGTCACATAAGGGTTTAAGTGTGCATATAGCGTAACTCCCGGGATCCCGTTCCAAAAGGCACGATTCACTCAGGCAAAGGATTCGCTTCACAGCACCCTACAAACAAATTGTTTCTCAGGGATTTATTTAAGTTCATAACCACACCAAATCATACACGGTCTTGTGCCATAAGATGATAAAATAATTTTACATACTGTGGATGATTTCGTCGTTATCTTTTGAACGACAAATTCGCTCAGACTCGTCAACGCTTCGTCGGTGCTGAATTAAATAAAAAATTCGCATTACTATCTGAAGTACTGTTTAATATTCCGCAAATAAACGGTTACCTATATTTTCCAAATCTCTCGGTACTGAAGCGATCAAAGTTGATTGGCTCCTTCCGAGCCGTTAAATGCAGTCCAATGTACTGCGAGGCGGCTTCCGAAATGTCCCGAATTACTGCATCCCGACTTTCGCTCGCAAACATATGCTGCAGTTATGCGAATACAGTTTAAACCCCAAACACGAATAATTCTGATGTATTAAAAAGCTGCGGAAATACCAATCTCTCGAAACCTCCGGTAAAGATGCAAAAACCGCCAGGATAATCCGACACCTGCCAGAATAAAACTGCTTTGCTGCATTACATCCCAAACTTCGCTTCACTAACCAATGCGATTGCTTCGATATCTTTGTAATCGTAAACAGATCGCTGGACACCGGTTGCAGGATCCACTTGGTGCAATCCCGAATATCCGATTTCCAGAGTGGCAGGAATTCGATTATCCGACCAATGGTGCTTATAAGCGTTATACTTCTACAAAATATCTCCAACTTCAATATAATAATAGTTTTTTATTACAAGCTCAGCTTTACACACTCGTTGTGCTTACCGGCCTTGATTTGGATGTCTCGTGAAATAAGTGGCGAAATCGCTAAAATACAATGTAATTTCAAAAATGGCAGTCGCATAGCATCGGAAAATAATTATCGCATTACTTGGCATTCTGTCAGAATGTCAGTCCGGTGATCCGAAGAAAATTTCAATGTGTCAATCTTTTTTCCTTTGCGCACAGTGAGCGTCAATTCCGCTCCACCGTGGCCTTTTGTGGCTGGCGCAATCGACACGATGTCGTTGTATGCCCACTAAAATAAAAACCCTTCATAATCCAGGACAAACTGGTGCGAAGCAAATTATATCCAGTGCGTTAGGTACCTGGTTCGTATTTTCGCATGATCCCGGGTTGTAGGTGGTAATTCCTTTAGTGCCAACAGAAAACACTCGTTTGTACCTAAGAACACCAAACGATTACAAAATCCGGGACGCTGAATACATCGTGTGAGAGGCACACGCTACGTACTTTCCCTTCCACGAGTGCTTCGTGACAAAATAGCAACACAAATCTTTATTATCCCTGAGCGGAGTTTCCGCCATTCTTTTCACTCGTCAATGTCGAGGAACAAAACGCGTCAGCTGATCAGCGAACCAGGCTCAGTCAATCGTCCGAAGCTCCATATTCCAGATTCGCACAGGGCGATCCGACGTCCCGTTGCTTCTGCGCCAAATATTTTTGCAAAGTAAAAACAAATTCTTTTCAATCCGCAACATCAGGTCAATTTAAAAACTGCAGATTGTGGACGATCAAGATAGATTTCACATGAACCTTCGCTGACAAAACGCGTACCAACCAGACGTACCGTAAATAAAAGCGTACCAGACAGATGTAAATAAAATGCCCAATTAAATCGTCTTAAAGATTTCACTGTGAAACCGCTTTTAAGAGGCGTTACCTACGACCGGTAATACAATTAATATAAGGGTCTAAATGCGCATATCACGTCACGATATCTTCGATTTTGGTCGACGTTGATACATATTTAGTATTTACATGAAAACCACAAAACGCTGATCGGTTAAAATAATCCGATAAGAATAATTATATATCGTTTGACTTTTACTGTTGCTGACACCTACAGCCAACAGTAGCACAGACTTCGATGGATACGGCGGCTGCCAACTTGGCGCACCTGGTCTTGAAGCCTTGGTCGGTGTCTGCCGCTTTCGTAGCCGATGGTCAGAGCGCGCTGAGGCGTTGTATTGACGAAAATTTTGAAGAACTACGCCAGTCTTTTTGTCGTTATAAAATGACATGTTAACACTTATTGATTTGGTATTTGTTTCTTAAAAAGAAATAACAATGGAAATTCGCATCGTCCTTTATTACCAGTTACCCCGAAATTACTTTGGTTTTCGCTGTTTCAGCTGTCCAGCCTACCCTCGGTTTCAGTTTTCAAAAGAAAACGCAATATTTTGGTGTCGCTGAGCTTGGGTCACCTTTTGAAAGACCCTGATGCGTTTTGTTTGCGCTTTTCTTGTTTGTTTTTTGCTCAGACATGGCTAGCATCACTTCGAATAGTGCAACTTCCATATCTGTCCGATTCTCCTCTGATACAAATCGCCGAACATATTTCCCTGATGCAGAAAAAGCAGCCAGTGACTTCGCGCTACGAGCAGAGCGTGAATCTCTTCTTCCAGATGTTGGAGCGCCGCTCCTGCTCGACTCCGCAGATCAAACCGCAGTGAGTTGCCATCGTAAGCCAGTTTGAGCCTCTTGTCGCATTAGTTTTCTTTGTTTGCAGATTTATCTAGCGATAGTGTGGCATGCCGGGATTCTGGGTGCCGCGATGTACAATGCGGAAACGGCTACAATTGACCTTTTAATGGACGTTCACGACAGTCCACCGTTCGAAATCCTGCGTGCGCGTAAGAATTTGAACGGCGTGATATGTTAGACTAGATGACTGCATCGATATCTCTAGATCTCCTTTCTTCTTAATTTTAATTTTAGACCGTTCTCTTTGTGTTAACTACTCGGGTGATACTAATAAGTACATAGTCATGCAGATACAGCGCAACCCCAGCAACAATGATGCGGCTATTTTCCTAATTTGTTTTTAGTGATTGCCAACACCAAACCCGGTCACTTGATTTTTGGTCAGAATACGGAGCCCGACGTTAAGGAATATTTAATGCGAATCGGTAGGTTGTCGTTTACATACCAATTACGGTTTGTAACTATTAGCCGCTAAGCTAATGGTTACGTTGAATTCCTTCGACCATAATTGCCTGCATTCCAACAGGGCAAAACCAAGACGATGTTCCAACAGAAGACGAAGTTCTTGACTTAACGAAAGCCGATCCGCCACAGCTCAACATCTTACCAAATAAAGATTTCGGTAAAATAAAACTGCGAAACGCTCATCCTTTTTTGCTTGTGCCATTGAAAGATGTTAACCAAAATCGTTTTGTTTATTTTGCAGCACTGGGATTGTGCAAACAGCGAATCGATCGGATCCGCCTTCCTGCGATGCCTGCACATTTTGTAGAAGTCGAATCCATAAGGACCTATCTCGCAAGCTTGGTTGATTTCCGACGGATCGCAATGGTGTGTACTTTTGTAATTTTGAGTTTTTCTTGTCCCTAAATTTCTGTATTTAAGAATGGCACGTTGCAGGTGCGAGCTCTCGGTGGACTTTTGCACTATTTGGATAAACATCCTCCACAGACGTCGGCCACCGGCGAGAATAATCCTGCGGTCACGTTTCCCATCGTATCTCTGCGGATGTTCTCAATGCATGTTGCATATTACCGTGGAAATATCGCCTTTCTAATTACATTTTTTTAGGGAAGATTCGGTGTCGATAGACGAAAATTCGCAAAGGTTAGTCATTGCAATTATAAACAAGATAACAGATAACAGCAATGCAGGAATGAGCCCAAATAATAAACGACGCTTTTTCAGAGCTCTACGGATTTTCCATGCAGGTGAATTGTCTGTCGAACCTGCAAAATCAGGAGTTCTTTTAATTCAAGAAAATTTTGTGCAGATACGCATCCATCGGTTTTTCAAGCCGGCAAAGCAAAAAAGGAAGGCTTGAGTGTATTTGCGCTCTTCAACCGGTGTAAGAGCCCGACAGGAAGTAAATTGCTGAGGTCAGATGAAAATATACTTTTCCGATTGAGACATCGCACGCTTTTCCTTCTTCAAACGTACGCTTTTCTTCTTTGCGCTTTTAGATATTGGTTTAATCGTCCAACTCGAAATTTTGCTGTAATCCGCGAACGTCATCAAGGCATTCGGTTTTTTATGAGCGACAGCAATGCGGTTTTAAAAAAAGAATTTGAGAAGCTGCTAGGAAACATCAAAGATGTCGCGGTAAGCTGTAATGTGCAACGACAGGTCCTTTCGTAGACTTGTTTATTGAATTTTTGAAATAAATGACCGATTTTAGAGCAAACAAACAATGTTGCAGATTGTGTTGTAATATCAAATGCCAGAGCTATTTTGTTTTCATATATTCTGAAGCGCTCGCTGGGAAGAATGGCCAAAGGTGCATCGACATTGGCGGACTGGTCAGCCTTGCAAAAAGTAAGTCCCGCTTGTATATATATATGTATATTACATTTGATACCGGAAGGAAGATACTGGGCAGGTCATCTCATTTATTTTACTACCATTTGTGCAATAACTGCAGTTGTACATTTAGACAGCATCATGCGCTTTTGGCATTGCTCAACTTATCAGCGACGAAAGTATGCCGCAAGATATCGAAATTTTCGGCAAGGTACCTAATATTTTTTTCAAGTTTGACCGTGCGTCTAATGCATCTAGGTTTTAACAACTTTGTTTCGTATGCGTATTTTTGAAATTTTAGATTGTAGATAATTTTACCGGCGACTTGGCTAGAGTCGCTAAAATAATTGAAGAAGTGGTGAGTGAGTGGCATACATCATGAGCACTATTGGTCTGACAAGTGAGCATATCGTGCACGCTTTTGTTTTATTAACAATAAGTACAGATTGATTTCGAAGCTTCGGCTATGGAAGAACGGTTCGTGGTGAATCCCAACATTGCTCCAGAACTGGACGAATGTGCGTATACATACGCATGCATTATGCACTGCATTTTTATATTAACAGCTATTACGTTTTGCAGTAAAGCAAATGCTGCATAATCTAAATGAAACGCTGACATATATTGCTGCAGAAGAATTAGTGAAAATGACCGATGGCGCTCGTGAAATTCGAGTCACATATATTCCACATGTAAGGCCATGCAATACCGCACCATCTACTACAAATAATAATGGAGATATGGAGAATTAATTTATTACTAACTTACCGCGCTAAGTTTTGTGGTTAAAATTCTGTGGGTCAGTGTTCTATGTACTTTTTTGCAGTTAGGATATCTTACGGTCCTACAAGAGACCGAAGATCTTGCTCAAAGTAATTATGAGCTACCTGGATTGGATTTCGTGGTAATTATTACACCACTATCAAGCTAGGGTAGTATATCATAGACTATTGGTCCAAACAGGCATTGTTTCAGCTTGGTAACCATTTTGCAGTTCAAAGCGAAAAATGGATTGTTTTACAAATCGGACCGAATGCGACAACTGGACGAAGAGTACGGAGACATAGTGCCGAAAATTCACGGTAACGTATTGTATAAGCAAAATGTATACCCTACAGAATTTATCCTTAAAATTAAAGCAATTATTACGTATACGGTCTCTATAAGAGTGCAAATATATACTTTTTATAAGTTCATGATTCTGCTAGCGGTCCAGATTTGCGATTTTAATAAAATGTATTTAAATGTTATAGATTGCGAACAAATCATCATGATTCAGTTACAAGAAATTGTTCTCCGTTATTCTAAACTGTTCTTGGATGTAATGAAGCATACCGCTGAACTGGACTGGTACGTTCAAGAGCGTTAGCCAGCACTTTTGGGCACAAGTGCTAAAATGATTCTTGCAGTGACCTTTCTGGTAACGTAACTCTCGATGTCTCGTAACACATCTATAGTACACACGCTAGTATTCTTACCGTCTGTTTTCATTGTTTACTTTTTTTAAATTACAACTGCTTGGGGTACACAGAAGAAACTGCTCAGCGTTATTTATATCATTTCAGTGTAATTGCTATCGCTTCGGTTGGATCATCTCGTTCTCGTTCGTACTGCATTCCCGTTATGGGAGAAGATGTGGGAATGGAAATTATGAATGCTAGGTACATTACAACGTTGATAAGATATTAGTGTAGCTAAGGATTATAAAAGATTGTGATTATAGTTACTTGCTACAGTTAGTTACAGTATATAGTTATTTGATTATGGTTAGTACTAGTTAGTTACTGAACCTTGTGAATGCCGTCCGATACTGATAATATAATACAGCTAATTCAGAAATGATAAAACATGCAAGTATACGTTCGAGGGAATATATATACCTACTTGCACTTCAGCACTAACTGGCTCGTTTCCGCGTTTATTGTTTTATAATTAACCTGAGCTGTGCAATATCATCTTACGCTTTCCTCGGTATGTTTTCAGGCATCCTTTGCAAGAATTTTATGTTAATTCGTTCATCCCAAATCATATTCACGTCGAACCAAATAAAGGACGAATAACCATTGTCACAGGACCTAACATGAGTGGAAAGAGTGTTTACCTAAAGCAAGTACGGGACTGCATGCATGACCAATATATTTACATTTTGTCATTAAATATTACTCTAACGAGTAAGCTTTATCACGAAAACGATATGCAATATAGATACATATACCTGTTACCTACTTAGAATATCCACATCGTTACATACTGTAATAAATTAAATATACTAACAAAGCGCAAACTAATGTGAAGTTGCCTTCTGGTTCCAAAAATTAGATGGGGTTAATCGTGTTTTTGGCACACATTGGATGTCCAGTTCCAGCGGAGCGTGCAAGAATCGCATTCGTAGACAAAATTTTCACGCGTTTACTAACCGAAGAAACTGTTGCGCTGCGGCAGTCAGCCTTTCTGATTGACCTTACGCAGGTAAGCGGAGCCGCATGAGCACAGCGAGCAGCGGTATACATATTGCTTGCCGAGTCGGAAATCATGTGATGCTAGGTGTAGTGTTCGCGTTATCGCTTAATTTTTTTGAGGTGGCCTTTGCTGTAAATTATGCAACCCGTCGATCCTTGATTATTTTGGATGAGTTCGGAAAGGGCACGCGGGCCACTGATGGATTGGCCCTCGTTGCAGCTATTTTGAACCACTTTATTTCTGACACGCACCCACGCCAGGCAGAACCTTCGGACACTGCCCATGCAAAAAATGCATCCCTTCCGGCACGAAATAGTGAGACTTCTTCTCAAACAGCAACGCCGATCATCTTCCTTGCTACCCATTTCCATGCCTTGGACGAACTGGTACCACCTTCGGATATTGTTGTTTATAAAGTACGCAAATAAGTCGACATATTCTGTTAAAAATGTCTTTGACCACGAGCGGGTTTGCAGAAAATGCAGCATACGACCGCCGACGGTGGCCAGATGGTATTCTTATTTAAAGTGGATAACGGCAAATCTAGCGCAAGTCATGCAGTAGAAATCTCCAGATTGGCTGGATTCCCTCAGAAAATCGTAGACCGAATCCATGAAGTCGCAGAAAGCATCAAGTGTAACCGAGCGATCAAACCCGTTGTCAGTTTGCGAAAAACTGCGTTTTGCGAAAAGTCAGTTTTCAGTGCTATAAGAAATGTTTTCGTATGTGCGAGATACGACAGTATTCTGAGACGCAGAATAATGCGAACAAATTATGAGGGCCAAATTTTGCAGGGCGAACGCCATTATGATGAAACTCCTGCAGTTCGATCCAGTAGCGGAAGACGGAAGAGCATTTCTGGATAATATTAGTCAATTCGTTCGAAATTCCGATGAAGTGTAGGCTCCAACATTTTTGTTAGCCATTGTGCCCATTCAGATATCCTTGATCCGTGAAGAAGCTTTTTTATGTTGTACGAACAGACCTGTGTCAGTGTGCTAAAGTAGGTATTAATATGTAAACTACAATATCGGTATATATTCTAAATATGCGCATATTGCAGTATAATTAGAAATTAGTAGCATACAGAGCTCTGTACTTACTGCGGTAGATTTGTCTGCCATTCGTCATTTTTGTCGTTTTGCGTTATTCAACCTTACGCTGTTAAGACTATAGTTAAAAAAATATTTTTTCCTGTTAACTCTCAGTTCTGAGGTAATAAAGTACACAACTAAATATTAAAGATTCCCAAAGACAAATTCGAACAGCGAGACAAGTAAGTATGTGTAAAAATAACAAAACGCTTTAATCAATGCGAGACGAATACCAAAATTAATACCAATTGAAACCTTGCTTGTACTGCTGGACATCAAAGTATCATCGAACGGACAACGCTTCAGTCGTAGCACAGAAATTAAAGGCGATCATCACATAAACAAAACACAAAAGGCCATGGCTATACACGAAACAGATACCCATGGACTCAGTCTTTCTCCTATCCGTGCGCATTTCCAAAAAATGCTTAGTACCCTAAAAACCGTCAAGAAAAAGTAAGTATTAATCACAGCTATACGTAAAAGTTTTCATACATTCATTTTTTTCTCCAGTTACGCTTTTCTTGCAATAAAACATACCTAAGAGTTCATGCGAATTAACAAAGGTTCGGTGGCCAAAAGCGTAAGCTTACCCGGTTTTATATTTATCCATTACCCGAGGCGCCATTCCACGGAGATATGCACAGGTGCAGATTAAGAGCAAAACGACAGTCAGGAGACTTTGAAAATTAAAAAGCGCGGACTGAAAAATAAGAAATTAGGAATTAATGGACAATGGAACATGAAGTACACTGACTATCGTACAAATAAACTCCACAATGTCTACACTCTACATTATCAGATATTCCTAGTACCATGGCCAACGGGACAATGCAAAGCAAATAAGTGTAGTATCCTTTAAGGACCGTTCTTTTTACGAAGACTACTGCACTTCTAAAAAATGTGCATGTTAGGTTGTTAACTCACCATTTTAGCTCACAGGAAGGTTTCCACAACTGACCTGGGAGTCACCGTGTAGTCTATTCTAGTGTACCCTATACGAAACCAGATACTAGTAACAAGGATGAAATTATAAACTGAAACACAAACTGTAAACACGTAAAATAACAAGGAGATGTTCGTTTTCTGGAGCCGCAGACGTCGCAGAGTATACATACTGGCAGGCTGGCAGCATCGGTAAATCAACAACAATCAAGTTGGTCATGACGACGCCACCCGAAGGGAGACCAACGTAGTACTCCAACCGGAAGTTCACAAATCAAAAGATTCGAGGCCTGCTGTCACTAATTATTGTTTTAGTCGTAAGCTCGCCGCTCATGGAAGCTTTGAGAGATGCGTATTCTTTGAGCGTTCTTCGAAGTTTTGACGTAAATGTTTTATCGTCTCTCAGTTTTATTGGGATTTCTGGGTACCCATTTGACTTGCTTATGTTAATCTCCGGTTGTACCTTGCTTTTCGAGTCGTGTCAAATTTGACGAAACACCAAACATGCTGTCCGGAACAAGTAAGAAAGGAGTCTTTAATCATAATGGTACAAGAATTATTTAATTATTATTTAATTATTATTTCTATTAAGTATTAAGAATGCGTTTTTAATACAGCTGAGGCCATTATTTTCGGATTTAAACATCCTTCCACTTTGCAGATACCATTTGCATTTCGCAGCCATCGAACGACGTTTCCATCGTTCGCATAAGGAGCGGAACTGAGGATCGGAAAACTGAAGTGGATGCTAGTATGTGCGTCACGTAACTAAAACTTATGTTAAAATAAATGCTCAGCAGCGTTTTCCGCCTTTAATCGCAGCGGACTGCTGTAACCCATTTTTTCTTGAGAGCCACACATTTGGACAATTTGACTTTGCAGAGTGCGATCAACGACGCGACTGCGGCGGCCGAAACGAGAGCGAAGAGGAAAGCGATGGCTTCGTGGAAAATTACAACTGCATTTTGGATTCGTCTCGGGTGGTTCATCCAAGTCCACGAGATCTGGAGAGGTGAAGTTAAATTCGACACATCCTAATCCAAATTCTCACACTCGAAGAAAAGATCGTCAGAAGACTCAGGCAAAATCAGAGCGTTTCAGGAAAAGCCTGCGAACTATTCGAGGAATTCCTTTTAATTACTATTACACACTGAACGGACTCTTCAGCCGACTTTGTTTGCAGGTGCAGTGCAATATCAGATTTTTTTTGAATTTGTGTAAGTTTTTGTTATCGTACACGCTACCCAGGTCGTTAACGTAGTAGAATGTCAGTTGTACAGTCACTTGTACTGTATGTTACGCACATTTTTAACTGTTAGCAGTTTACTGCTCTTCAGTAAGTATACAGTATGTTATCTGTTTGGTCTCTTATTTATTTATACTTCGTACGAGTATCTTGATTTTTGTTATTACTGTATTATAGAGATATTACTTGTTACTGTTGTGTTAAAACATGCTAAGAGTTAGGTATATCGTTTTCCCTATCATTTAAATACCGAGTTCGACTATTTCTCGGTTTTAAAATTACTTTTTTTTTAAATGGAATCATGTTACATCCAATATATTCTGTTACAGTTGTATGTTGTTTAAGGAATTATTGCTTTGCAGAGGTTTCGTCCATACAGTGATTTCCATATGCGGTCATTGATCCTTCAGGACAATGGCAACGGTATGCTGTCATAATTTCGTATTTGCAAAACTACTTATTTACGAAAGCTGCGGCATCAACGTTGCTTGAACGAAAGTGACATTGTTTTAGTTTTGCCAACATCGGTCACCGCGTTGTCCACCGTCCTTGCAGACTTTGGATATGGCCAGAAGGATTTCCTAGTTGCCGCTAAAGCTGTATGGTTATTTCCTGTTGTCCAGCTGTGTTATAATCCTAGAAACTTACGTGTTATACTGACTACAGGTGATCGATGGAGATAATATTACGGTCGAGGCGACAAAAATTCAGGAAGACCGTGTTGATTTGACCAAAGTCCAGCCCGGACAGGGGATTGTTATGATGGAATATTTGGCATGTACCAATCGAATAGCCCATGTTTTCAGTAAAGGACACTTTTCATTGGAGCAGTACAAAAAGGTGAATACCAGGCAACGCGCAGGTTTGGTGATGCATAAATTTGGAAGTCTTTTTCGTCAAATTGTTTTTACACTTCGTTGATATTTGTACATACATGTAGTTCTGTATCAGTTTTACCTTTGAACGGTACCATTTGCGTTCTCGCTGCAGGAACTTTACATAGAGAAGTAGCGGTTTGCTTCTTTAGGCTGTGGCGGCATGTCTGGTGATGTGCGAAAACAGCGCACTTGCTGCAATGACTGCATTACGGCGGAAGTATGACAACTCGCTGGATGAAAAGCGTGAAATTAATCTTACAACTGTGCCGGTAAAAACGACCGCGCTTCTTACTGATACGCAGAAATCGGACATGAAGGCATCCTTCGGACAGATGTTGGCCGGGGTCAGCAGCACTGGGTCCACTGCCAGAACGGCTGCCGGAAACACTGTTCTGCCGACGCCTCCTAACCAAAATGCAGTGCCTGCTCAGCCCAGTGGAAAGAAGTTAACACTTGCTGAACTAGCTAAACGTAAAAAACAGTGAATGAGGATTTGAGCGCGACGCGTGTTTTGTTTGGTGAAAAGCTTTGATGCTCTGTTGTTGGATTTTGATTATCGTCGCTGATGCAGCGATCTACAATGTTTAAAAGCGCTCTGTTCAGTCAGTCTCCTGTACGCAAGTACAGCAATTGGCATCCAAGAAAATAAGGATTATTAAAAGCACGCTGGAGCCTACAAGCCTGACCGGCATTTTGCTCTGCAGCGCGGTTTGTTTGCATTTTGAATCTAGCGCGATGAGTAGACTGTGGAAGCAGGATTATAAATGCCTGTGCCCAGTAATGGAACACAGTAGACAGTGAAGTGATTTTATTAATATCACGTATGATACGAGATATTAATAAATCTGTTATTGTCCCTGGTTTATGAAAAAATGGAAAAGACTCTGCCCATCGATTCCAGTCTGCCAAATACTAACACGGATTACGATATCGAATTCGATTTAGCCGTGTACAAACTCTACCCGCAACTGTCCACGCGTACCTACCTTCGGAAGGTCATACGACAGTATTCAATCGGGTTTATTACAGCCGCAATGTTTGCTCGACGGCTGACCGAACTAGTTACAGACCCGTTTCATCTGGAGTTGTTTGATGTCTGCCGAAAATTAGTTCGGATTGCGGATCAGATTGAGTTCAGTCAAACGCTGCCAATGTACGATTTGGATCGTGTATTAAGGCGAATAGTGAACCGAAAAACGCTGAACGACGAATTCGGCTTTCGAGTATGTGGCGGCAGAGATCAAAACTGTCCCTTAGTGATATCTAACGTTGACCGGAAGTCCAGAGCTTGGCGTGCAGGAGTGCGCCCCGGAATGCAGATCTGTCGCGTCAACGGAATGCGCGTCAACAAAGCGACACACCGAATTTTCGTCGATTACGTAAAAATATCACTACAGTTAGATTTGGAAATGAAAATGGTCGGCATGATTCCAAAGCAAACTAAATCCAGACGGAAAAGATGGGAATTTCCGGTGTGGGGTGAAATGATCGATAACAAACTTCCCATCGCCATGGGACGATCAGTTGTATCGTTCGTGGTGTGGTCGAACGCATACTGCGCCAAAGAGCTCCGCATCTTGATTCCGGACACCGGCGATGCTACACTGGGACTGCATGTCCGCCAGAGCGAAGCCGGCTTGCAGGTTTTGGCAGTCCAGGAGAATTCCACAGCTTGGCATGCCAAAATTCGCACTGGAGATGTGATCGTGGAATCAAATGGCAAACGACTAGAACAACGTGATCTCGAAGAATCCCTTGCATTTCTCAACTGTGAAGGATCGTTTTTAATGAAAATTATGCGGGAGTTTTATTAGGGGTGCGTTTCTTCAAATAAGGCTTCACTGAAAGTTCAGATTATTAACTTCTGCTGATTTTATGTGCTCGTATAATCGATCAGTTTACAAAATTAATGAAATCACATTTCAAGATCCAATGCCGTGCGTAAAACGTGAGATTCATCTCAGAAATTACAACGTACCCCACATTCTGTACAATTACATAAAATTCTGGAAACACTTGCAGCAAATAACATTAATGCTGAGAAGTAACAAAAAAAAGAATACCCATAAAAAGCCTGCTGCATTATGATGCCATTATCACATTAGTATCACAGCGAAGTTCAACCTCCTTTAACTCCTTTTATGTATTTTAAGGCTGGTTCAACCTTCTTCCTTTTTTGATTTCTTTCTCTTTTTACTTTTCTTGCTTCGCTTTTGGGATTTTCGGTCACGGGAAGTCTCGCCTGCAGAGCGATGGCGCCTGCAAAAAATGTAACAAAAAATTTCGCACTGGGTATTAGCAAACTTCTTACACTTTGCCACTTCTTTCCCTTGATGTAACATCATATACAAGTTATTCCAGTTTATGCTTCCACACTGTTATTCTTTTTTTGCCTGCTGCCTGCGACTTTCCTCATTAATCGCATTAATTTTCTTTATGGTACAGCAGAAATTAACAACTGTTAACGTTAGAATTCATTAATAACGAATTCTGAACGTTAACAGTTTTCAATTTTATGGTCATGACTCATGAGCCGGCTGAGCACAATACTGTACACTGAATACAGTACTAGCATGGCAATCATCTGCGGTCACTTTTACTTTGGGTAAGTAATTCTAATGCAAGTACGGAGTACCGTACTGATACGAACATCAGTCTTTACTTTTTTGTCTTTCGGTGAGAACCATCCCTCGGATCTTCATGTAAACGATGCTTATGCGATGCCACAGAAACAGAGAGGCGACTGCCCTGCGGCTCCAGTTCTTCCGGATACAACTGCCTGAAACCATCGTGGTGCCATCTGAAATTCCAACCGTATATGTTCTTGTAGCTGAAGTTGCTGAACTCACCAACAGGTTTTAAATCCAACACATGCTAAATCCCACTAAATCATTGGAACTTGTAACATGTTACTAAAACTTACTATAAAATGCATCAATGTAGGATTCGTATCAAACTATCAGTTACTATCTGTATTACCATGTAATTAAAGCGTTCTGATGATGATTTAATGTTTTTGTGTTTCATCACGTATGCGAACTTTGACGACTGCAAAATATCGCTACGAACAGTATGTCAAATGAACCTTCTACTATAAAAAGAATAGATACAACAAAAAGTAATAAAGATACATTAAAATATAAGTCACTCTAGCTGACAATGAGTAAACTTACTTTTCTGGATCAGCCTCTTTGCATTCAGCAAGTTTACGCAACCAAAACCTGTCATCGCTTTGAGGACGAAGAACTTCGTCTAAAGATGAAGAGGCGAAATTCGAGTTACTGGAATCTGGAAGCCTCTTTTTTCTCACAAGGATCTGTTCATGGATACTTTTTGGTTTGTCGTTTCTGGATTTGGAATGTTGAATCGAAGGATGAGAAGGCGGAGAGCGCTCCGAACAGCGGTCCGACAGATGTTCGCTGGTGGTTTGTTGCTGCCACATTTGTTGCTCTTCGTTCGACTTATTGAATGCGTCAGCATTCAAAATACTGTTTCGCAGCAAAAGCTTTCCACTGGGGTGCAACATCTTTCGTTCAGGATTTCCGTTTCCTCGACAATCCGCGTTTTCGCGAAGCACACGGTACACCGTTTTCTAATATTTACACGAAGATTTCGTATTTATTCGTTCATTGCATGCAAGTTACAACACTTGTAACAGAACTAAGGCAAAAACTGTAAGACGGGCAACTCAAAAATTCAAAATTTGTCAGATCTTTTGACTTTTGACTTTGAGTTTTCAACTTCTCGCTTTACTTTTCGTTTACAGTAGAAACTAGAAAGTAAACAGGCAAAGTAAAATTATTATACAACTCACAACTGAAAAGAGCACAGCGCTAACGGAACTGCCGCCTCTCGCAGTTCACACGAGGTCTACAGCGGCCATAAGTACGTACGTACGTGAGTGGAGCCACCGAACACGACCAAGTTGACCGTCCATTACTTACGGAATTCGTCGGTAGGTCAAATGACGTCACCAATGCATTATAGGCCGGACTGCACAAAACTGGCCAATACCATAGCACAACAATTCAAGCTCCGCCTTCTTATTTCTGCCGTACTTTGATCTGAAGCAGTGAGCACGCTGCAGCATAGTTCGCAAGTTGGATGCTCAGCCAAATCAGTCTTGTTGCAATAAGCGAAAAAATTTTCCGTTGCATGAACATTGGACTGAATATCATGTGAGGATAAACTGTAGTACTCGAAAAACATTGCTGAACAAAATTAATGGTGACCTTTGGGTGTTGTTCCTGTGTTAACTCATCTTGAAAAAAGGTAATCTACCATGTTGTACGTAAAGACCTAAGCTGGCCAAAACGCACACGAATTAATGCGGTGAGAGCCTCTGCGACAATGAATCGTGAATTTACGCCATGCAGCAGCAAAATGTACACCTAAGGGTTGTTAATGCTCTTTAAAAGCATCCAGATTCCAATAGCGTAAGTAAGTGTTGTAGGGTGTTAAAAATTTTATACCGGTTAATGTTTATTTCACGGACGAGGAGACTAATTACGGATTTTGGGAGAGGAGTGTGGGCGCATCTTTTCATAATCCATCTCATCGGGTACCGCGACGCCATATTGAATTTTCAGTGCTTTGCAGCAGCGATCGCGTAGCTGAGCACACCGCCCTTTCCACTTAAGTTCCGTTTCAAAGCAAATACCGACTGGATATTGATCGACGTGCTTAAATAGGCCACGACAGAGCGAGCCGATTGACTTGTCAGACTGCTTGCTCTTGCGTAGGCGAAAAATCGCAATACAGCGCTTTAAGGCAGGAAATTTTAAAGGGTAGGACAAAATAATGTAATATTAGTAAGCGATATATCGGTTAAATTCCAAATAAATGTTCAGTAGTGAACATCGAGCACTCAGCACTGGGAAAATAGTACACTTTTTATTGCTGTTTTCCGTAAATACTAAAATTTTTATTTTAATGCACCGCATGAGTCGTCATGTGCGATTTAGTAAAATTAATAGTTTGTACTACTATTGTTGCGTTGATATTATAACCATCCTATCTTCAACGTACGCTGTACTTACTTTGAATTTTAGAAGAAAAATTCCAGTTAATTCACTGCAGTAGCCCAGTTTACGGAGATTTTGTTATATAACAATATTAAATTATGGTATTCCGATATTTTATACGGTAATACAGTACCTTTGGGTGTTCAATTATAAATTGGGTATTAGTATAATTTATTGTTTCAGCATATTCGATTCGGCTAAAAGTTTCAGCGAAATTGACTCATCTGTAATCCGAATCAGGATCCTTGTGTCATTATAATTAATCAGGGTGTTAACTTACAGTCGATTAATTTAAAATGTACAGTAATAATACTATATTTTGAAAGTATACAGTACATGCAGTTGACAAGCGATGTGCTTATAGTATTGGCAATTGTTTTCGGATTTCTCGTTCATAAAGCATTTTATCGAACGGTCGGGAATTTGATTGCGTTCGTTTTTAGCTCAACTTCCGGTACTGTCTTGAATTTCGTTGAAACAGTGGGATATTAATTAGGCTGGCATAGCGTACTGGCGTAATCGTCTAATCGATAACAAGCCATTCATGACTACTTATAACTTTAGCTCTATTATGCTGTAGAAAGTACAGTACATGCCTAATAAGTGTTTGAAATTCTGTGCGGGTAGTTACATCGAGTTGAAACACCAAAAAATCTTGTCCGGGTTTTGTTAGAAAAAAATCAGATGCAGTATTTGTGAATTTTCTTAGTACATAGTACTGTACTACGCGATCGCCCTGCTTGCCTAATATTTTTAGTGTCTGCAGCCTGCAGGTATTTTATGTAAAAATTATGATAATGGCGTAATCCTAGTTTAATGGTAATGAAATGTAATTGTAGGTAGAATATTATTACTGACGTTAAAATTATTGGGAACATCTTGCGCTGCGGTATTGTTAGAAAACCACCCGGCGCTTCACGAGATTGGTGACCTTGAGACGCCCGTAGGCCATCGGCAAATTCGGCATTGAACAATGTAGCAGTGAAACCGACTGACTGATAACCACGAACGATATAATATTGAGAATGATAGCATCATGAAATTTCGTAATCCGTCTTAAATATAAATACTTGTTGGGGTAGGAAGGACGGCATTGTCATTAATCGATCTTTTTCGAGAAATTCCGAATATTTACAGTGCTTCGAAGTAGTTTTTTATGTCCTTGAATCTTGATTAACTGTAGTAAAGTAAACGGTATCGCGTCAAAGGCGAAACTGGACTTGGGAATGCTCTTTTGGAAGAACAACATGAGAAATCCCTCTAAAATGAATTATCCGTTTTACAAAGTATGAAGTTGAATGATCTGACTCATCTGAGATAAGCGTCGATAAGGCGTTAAAAATAATTAAGCTAAAGATTGAAATCGAAAACTATTGTTATGCCAATATTTTAAAACCAATATTTTATTTCATTAAATAATAAATGACATTGTAATGATACAGTTTTGTCGAGAATTCTGGCAACATCCGGATTAACCTTATTGTGGAAGCTGGTGTTGCAGTTTTGCACTAGTGTAAAACTCTTAATCGTAAGACTGCTTCTTCCGGGTACGGTCACTACGGTGCTATATTTTCTCCATTGATGATGAATATTTGGAAACTACATAGCTTCGAGCCTCGAAGTGGCAGTCACACACTCTTTGTCATTTTAAACTTTCACAGTAGATTTATGCGAGAGAAAATCTGATTTTTTTGAATGGAATGAAGGCTGCTTTTGATTGACTAATCCAATTTTGCAGTTTTGTATGCGGAGCCATTTAAACGTCCTGTGAAAACATGGAAAGTGCAGACACAGGAGAGGACAAAATTGACCTGGAAGAAGGTGAACTTGAAGACGAGTCTGGAGATGAAACCGGTGGTCAAAAAGAGCAGATAAAAAAGGATGAGAATCGAAAAGCCGTGAAAAGTTCAACAGGTTCGTCCTCGTGGCTGTTACTAGTAATCAGCGCACGCTTCCCTCATTAGCCTCAATACGATGAAGAACTAGAGATCGCAGAATCACTTTGACGCGTACGAGTTATGTGAAGAAAGCTGGTTTAAATTGACAGATTTGCTCGTTTATACACCAGAGTAGCAGTTTTTTTTCACCCACCTCTGAGACTACGATGTCTGCATTTACTGTATTTACAATAGTGACCTATATGACAGTTGCCAGTACTACCTTCTGGTGATATAGTTTGAAATTTGAAAATGTCCACGATGCGTGAAACACGTGTTTTACAAGTATTAAGTAAAATACTAACAACTCCAAGTAAAGATTAACATATCCACAAAACAGGTGGTGGCCGTGGCGGAAAATCGAAAGAGGCAAGCCGAAAGCATAAAAATGATTCTTCGGATGCGAGAAAACCCGACGGCGGATCCAAGGTGAAAATCATTTCCGTGTGATTTTGGTTAACGGCAGTTCATGTTCCCATTAAACGAGTAGGTTTTACAGACAGACCATAGCGGAAATTGCGATTCTTTATTAGTACAGTAATTTTTGGCGTCGGGAATTTTTTGTGCTGGATTTCATAGGCGTAGCAATTGCTCTGCCATTTAATACTGGATAATCGCAATGTGATTGGCTTGTGTAGAGTGGTAAACGCGGTGAGTCCAAGAAACCACCAACGCGATCGCGAGAATTTTCCAAGGAAAAAGATTCCGATAAACGAAACGACGCGAAAGTGAAACGGAAAAGCAAAGAGAATCCCTCATTCGAGGATGAACTGAACGAATACAAGCAGCTGAATTCCCATCGTGGCCGGCGCCACAGTCACAGTGGGGATTCCGATTCCGGTCACGGTGACTCCGGTGGCCACTCCCCGGTATGTCTGTGTTATTTAACAGAACCGTTTGCTCTGTAACTGTCAAATTAATAGAGTTTTGTTTTGACTCGATGCTGGTTGCTCTTAATTGTGGCAGAGTCGTCTGAATGATGCGTTTCCCCGGTTTTTGCAATTTTTATTCTATAGGACGCGCGGCGTCATCGCGGATCTCGTGACCCTCGTCCAAATGCACCTAGCTCCTCTTCTTCGCGTCCTCCTTTTAAACGGCGCAAAGAAGAATTTCGACCGCCCAAAGAGAAGAAAATTCCTTGCAAATTCTTCGTCGAGGGCCGGTGCAAATATGGCGATCAGTGTCCGTTTAGTCATAACATTCCGCAGACAAAAAAGCTGGAAGCCTGTAAATTCTACATGGGTGGTTACTGCCAGAAGGGCGTCAACTGTGTCTACATGCACAGTGAATTCCCGTGTAAATTCTTTCACACGGGTCAGCGGTGCTATTCCGGGGATGCGTGCAAGTTCTCGCATGATACGCTGTCGACGGAGCAGAAAACGGCCCTCGACAGACTGCTGGAAAAAGAGAACAGGGATTCTTATTCACGAGGGCACCGAAATGACGCCTTGAAAGAAGGTCCGGAAGGTCACCACCACGTGACTGATAGCCCGGCGAAACTGGCCAATTCATTCCTTGAAAACTTGTCGCGCGATCTCCTTGGACCCAGTGCTGAGAACGAGAGTCCTAACTGGAACAACAACACCCGGCGCCGGTAAAATCAGTGTGTCGAATACTATCGCATAAGACGGTTATTAAACTGCGATCATTTTTATTTAATTTTTAGTCCGGAATTTTTTCGTGAAACATTGTATGGGGAAGACCGCAACCGGTACCCGGAAGAGCGGCAGTACGGCGAAGAAGTTGAAAATAAGCCAGAAACGTCGTCAGCCCGACTGGAGAATGGGGAAAACGAACTTGAAGGCTTTGGTCAAGGTATGTGATTATCTGATTTTAAACTTCTCATACTATGCACCCTTCGTTGGAGACACAGATTAATTTTTTGTGCAGGAGAATCTCCGCATGAAGGCAGCTCTCACCAACACGGTACTGCGGATGCGAGCAAATCGCTGCCGAAGCGTCAACGTGAATTATTCCTGCGACTGCAGCAGCGTGCTCAGCATGGGGTTGCACGACAGGTGTCGGAAGCAGAAGGAAGCTACGATGCCGGTACCGGTGGCAACCAGGAGGATGAGATGTTTGAGCCAAAAGGCGAGGGTCAACATGAAGAAAGTTAGTGTTTTTGCATTTTTTTTCAAGAGATTGTTTTCGTTTACGATAATTTGCTCACAGATTTTCCAAAGCCGGAATCTTCCGTGGTGAAAACACACTGGAATGAGAGCGATGATGAGGACGAAGGGAACGATCAGGTTCTCGCAAATTCTCTGAAACGTCTTCAGGAAGCGGTACGATTCCATTTGCGTAATCTTCTTTTGCCTTTGTGAATTGATCGTTTTTGGGGTTTTTCGTTTACTTGCACCGTCTTGAGGTATATTTTTGAATATTGTTGCAGCCAAAAGAATCGCGCTGGAGTCGCCCGCTTTCCAGCCATCCACCAGCTCGTGCACCTTTTCCCGCTCAAAACTATCCGCGTAGCCAACCAGAGCAGTTTCCGCCAGCCAACGCTCCATACGGTCAACCTGCACATGCTCCGTTCTATCCACCTGTTGACCCGCCGGTGAATCACGAGCGACCGGCGCCGTTTGACGGCCGCGAAGAGTTCACGAACCGTGGCAAAACTCTGTTACCCTTGCCTCCTCCCGCACGAGAACCGCTGCTGATGCCACCGGCACCCGTGGAGGTGTATCCGCCGTACTCGCAAACTGCCCTCCAAGGGGGTCTGCTGGCGCCGCCCACTGGGCAGTACAACGAGTACGAAGATCCCAACTGGAACTATGCACAGCCCTCTCCTGTTGATCCGCGTTTGAAATCCCCTCCACATCCTCATACGCCGGTGCCGGTGGTGCAGGCAAATTCCTACCCACCGACACCGCTGCAGCCCGGCTACGGGCGCCCTCCGGCGGTGTACAATCCTCCTGCACCGTCGACGGCACCTCCTTATACAGTTCCTTCGTATTCGTACCCTGCACCGACTCCTGGCACTACTCACGACACCGCCTATCCGGGCGGTTATCCTGGCCAGATGCCTGTGCATTCTCAGTATGTTCCTCCTTATGGTTCGGCCGTGCCGTCGGTTCCTTCCACTGGGCTTTTGCCCGGTATGGCTACAACGGGAGATCCTCGTTTACAGCGCAGCACCGCTTCGGAGATTGCTTCCCCACCACAGGACATGCACGTCCCGTCCGCTTTGGGGTCTGTTCTAAATACGCCGGCCATCGAAGCCGTTATCCAAAAACTGCTGGCTGAGAAAGAATTAGGGAAAAAGACGGAAAAGGAAGCAGTTCCCGTGGTACCGGAGCTGGAAGGGTCACTGGCCAAAAACACCGATCCGCCCTTGTACCGGTTGGAGCCTATCGAAACCTGTAAGCCCAACATGAAGGAAGTGTATTTCCGGGTGAGCGCCTACCGGTCTACCGACGAGCTGAATCGCGATCCGCGACTGTCTAAGATCATTCCGGTCCTGACTTCGGATGAGATGGATCGCAGTAAAACTGTTGCCGCTCCTGCTCCCAGTGTAGTGTCCCCGGCTGAACCGCAGGAACAGGAAGACTCCACTAAAGCCTCTCTGGAGTTTGATGCTTTTACGGCATTACTGCAGCAGGCGTTAGGAAACAGTAAGAAGCGCAATCCGGATGATGTGGATAAGGAGCTAAGTCCGAACAGTAAGAAAAATCGCCGTGTAGCTGCCAGTGCTCCGATGGATACGTATTCGTAGAAGCCAAGGTACAGCTAACTGGGAATGGGTTTCGTCTGTGATGGTTACCGAATTAATTAATCGTGGGACTGGCTTTGGAAATGTCCAGTTGATCTTTAGTCGTGGAAAGTTACGTATTTAATAATTGGTGTTTATTTGTCATGTAGTAACGCCTTTTGTTGACTGACTTCTATTTTGTTGTTTGTTTTCTATGTTATTTTGTAATGTAGCGTAAAAGTCATCGAAGGCTAGTGGAATCGGCTTTTATTATTACGAAGTGTTTGATTTTAGTTAACAATAAAAACGAATATACCGAAACTACGAATACACATCCATATCCGCTCACTGTCGTGGAAACTTTCAATATTCCTTTTCGTCACAAACTATTTGCTTCCTTACGAAAAACATAGTGCAAGAATATTAGCTGAACTGTCTGTAGAACAGGTCTGGAATTTACTGAAGTTCGCGGAACAATTATCTGCAGCAAAAACGCAGTCCATTTTATTTAGAAAACAGGGATCGTTGATGAATAAGGATTACACTTCGATTATCACAGCAAATAAAAAAATATACTGTCATAGCGGCACGAACAAATGAAAAATTTAGCCCGCGGTAGCGAAAGGTACTTTTCCTGATTTTTAAGAAGCGAAATTATTGTACGAATAGGATATGGTGAGTAGTTCCATAACATCGAAAAGAATTCGAACTGAACTGCATCGATTATTAATTAGTGACGTACTGGAATCCATCAGCGGAGAAGTATAGTAACACAGTGACCCGATTATCTAAATAGAACGACCACAAGAGTCGCTATGGCCCACAAGGCCGGCGAAGAAGCCGTTATCCCAGATTTGTTGCACAAGTCTCCCGAACAATAGCAGACATATATCTTTTTCGGTGGAAATCCGGGTAATGCTGTAGTTGCCGCAGCACAGCGCGGAACAAGATCGCTGGGCGGGCTGGACATACACGCGCGCTCAGTTGCCGGAAAAACTACATATGCAGTAACAAAATGAGTACGTATACGAGAACGATGCACAAATGTGTAAACTTGTTACACATACTTGAAATTAAGTACAAAAAATTATTTTATCATGAGCGTCAAAGACTCAAAAACTCAAACGTTAACATTCTCACGTTCTGTGTCGGAATCCAGAGTTTTCATGCACCATCCAGTGAAGCAAGGCTCCACATTATTAATTTTCCCCGCTTCCGTGTCGTACGGATCCTTACAATCGCCTTGGTCTCCACGTGATTTACAAACGTAACAGTGTTTGGTAACGGCCACTGAAATTTACAAGAAAATTAATTAATATGAAAATAAATTAAGCTTCCGCCAAAGGTTTGCTAATTTTCTTCAGAAATGTTTAAAGAGATTTGCCGATATATACGTAGTTTCAACTTTCAACTAGACTTTTAACGAAGAAACTTTGCGTTAAAGATTTTCTTCCAACTTCGGTAAAAATGCATACCAACGCCGATGTACTGCCCTAGTTAATGAACAAGCAGTTTTCCGGTGACAGCTAGGACAGTCATGATTCGTCATTTTTCTAAACAACGCAGTCATGTGCCCCTTAGTCTTACCTTAAAAAAGTATAATATGTACTGTACTGTCAGAATTTTATGTATTCTGGATATTAAATTATTAAGAATAAGGTACTGCCGACAAAACAAAGTACGTTCGGTTTGCCGCTGTTAGCTTATTACAGTAAAAACTATACTATGCTAAATGATATTCTGAAATCTAATAAAATTCATCTGTGAGTAGGTCTTATTTGTAGACTTAAGGTCAAAAGGCGGATATTAGCAGAACTTTAATTACTCAATTTTGAATTATCGAAACAGATTTCGTTGTTTCTGAGTTGAAGGCTGAAAACTGCGGAATCAGCGAAGATATACCACTCTAGTCATATTTCTTACCTGTTGATGAAAATACTGCAAACAAAGAGATCAAAGTGTAAAACATTATCACAATCATTGCAGCAGTTTTTGTGCAGATAACAATCTCCAGGAGGCGTTGTCACACAACTGCTTATACATGCATATAGTAATCACCAGCTCCGAATGAAAGATTCTGTGCAAAATGCATCTTTACGGTGCAAATAATTTAATCACCTCATGTCTACATGTAAACTTTAAGGTAAAAATCGAAGAACGGGGAAAAGAATTTACATCACTTCATCAAATTTCGATGTTGATACTTTTCCTGTAGCACAAAGTTGTTGTTAGTTATAGATGATACTGCACCCGGACAAGGGCACCACTGCATAACATGGTGACTATAGTTAGAGCATCAATTGTTCTGAAGTGCAAACGTTCAATATTAATCACAGTCAGAACAACATGGGCGCCAAAGTAGGTTAGGTGGTTTTGTTTAGCGTTCCGAATTTGTAGGTAGATTCTTACATGAAGTACGTGTGTACTACGTAGGTATCTATGCAAGGTACTTGTTTTAACATGCTCCACTGCCGTACATAGCTAGAAAAAAGACGATGGTGAACTACCGGCAGCGCGAACAACAATTGCCGCAAAATGAGCAAATGACTCATAGACATAATCATTAAAAATATGTCTCGTTTGTGACAAACCTATACGGGAACACAGCGCAGAATGCAGACATACCAATAATTCCCTGACGATTACGAAGGTACCGACAGCAGATGACAAGCTCTTACATAATAAATAATAACAACAAAGAATCAAACGATACCAGTTCGGACGACTACTACTCCCAGCGACTGCCAGGGTAAAAATTAACAATAAGTAACATTATTTACTATGCGGTGCGCGCTACCTAAGTTGTAAATTTGCGAATTGTGGTTAGCGAATTTTGTGGCATTGTGGTTAGCGAATTAGCATACATTTTTCTTACCAGTATAAACAGTGCAGTGAAGGCATAGCAAGGCATGCAGCACTTGCGATAATGCTTTATTTGTGCCCGGTTACTAGACATTTTTACCAAGTTCCAACCACAGACATACTACTTATTTGTGTATTTATTACTTACCTAAAAACTAGTAATTAGCAGGAATTTTACAACATCAACAATAGCAATCCTTTATATTAATAATTCATTTCAAGTTATTACACTATCAGGATATCACTATCGGTACAAATTAGTATTACACCATCACTACGAGTATGTCTTTAGACTCTTCACTGTGGTTTAACAAACGCTATCGTCACTGTTCAAAACAACCAAAATGATGGAAAAAACGTCGTAAAACACCCGTGATACAAGAACAACAATTAAGCACCTGCTCCTCACAATCATTTTTTGGAACTTCTGCTTATCTGTTTACGGTGCCGATTACACAACTTCAATTTCTGCGCTCGTGGACACTCGTTCACAAGTTTATCCTGCGACATTTTGGGATTCTCGTACACCTTGGATATGGAGAACATTGTGAAGTAACGTTTCAGAAACAGTGCAACTTCTTTCAACGTGGAGTTAAATAGTTTCGTTATTATTTCACAACACAAGAAACATATACACATTTCAGTAATGTTGTTCCCGAAACTGCAATGAAAGACTTTTTTATTAAAATTCAGCGAATTGATTTTCTATTAGTACTCGGTCAGGGTATCAGGCTATCAGCCGAGCATTTTTCATGGTCATCAGTCTGCAGTGGGTTACAGTGTGATATTTATTACGTTTTACTACATTACTTTGTTTGTTACATGTAAATTATTTATATAATTTGCTGCTTGTGTCGTACATTTTGCTGTTTGAATATAGATATAATCGTTATGGCATTTACCACATTATTCTGTTTATTTAACAACACTTCCCATAAATGTAAGGTCAAAATCAGTATGTACAGTACTTACTTATTTGAATGGTTGAAACAGTACGCTATACAGCACACACGTAACTGCACCACCACCTATTGGTACAAGTCAAAACCGAAACGACCACTGGCTAAATGGCTATACTACAGTATTCCATAGCACGTTACTGCAGAAAGCGGAATGGTATCCTGACTGTGAGCTATCCTCCCAGTCATCAAATGCAAAATCTGATGTTTTATGGAATGTTGCAGCTCTCTGGTACTTTTCAATCAATTTTTTTGCCTGATGCGGTTATTTTAGCATTTTGAACAAAGTCGTTGTTAAAAATAATCTTGAATAGTATTATTTCTCAATATGTACGAATAAGTACGATTAACGACTGTGTTCACCAGTCAGTTTCTCGTTGCGCCGAAAACGGGGAATCCCGTACGCACAGCTGAGGAATCGCTTCTACCGAACCTACCAATGCAATGGCCAATGCGACAGTTGCTGTAATACTGCTTACTGCCACATCTTAACGACATTATATAAAGTTACAACGCGAAGTCCGGTGAGGAATTGTTTTTGCAGCATTAATGTCGAAACGCGTAACGATAATTAAAATCAGTAAAATATGCATATGCGTTTTGCACAGTCGCTTGATTCGCTTCAGTACGCACTGCGTCTGCTACGCTGTGCTGTGTAGGCTGGTCAAGTCAAGTTCTGTAATATTGGTAGTTGCTTTGTTTTTCCTGTGTAATATAATTACCGAGTTATCATAACCGCGTGAATGCATTATTCTTTTTATGTTTGACTGTTTGCATCACACAGCGCATTGTTGAGTCAACTGCCAGTTTTCTTTGATCACCGATGTGTACATAAAGATCAACAAACTTATTCTAATGTGTCTTTGCCATTTCACTGCTTTTATCGATCCCTGCAAATGCCCGGGTTTCGATGCTTCTGCTTTTTTGTCTTTATGTGACGCTAAATGACGATTATAACGCCGTCGTACATACATATCTACTTTCGCCGTATCATGCATTTCCGTATTGGAAGAATCAGAAGATAGCCAGCTCAACAGCAAATTTATTAAGTAATCGCCTCTTATGTTCGTTGACGGCGCTGCAGCCAACTTTGGCGCGTTAGTGCATTACTAAAAGACAACATTCTCCGAATGAAGTACTGCTGGAGCGCTGCACTACTTTTAATTTTCAACTTTTCCCGCCGTGTCATGCATATGCATATCTGGTAAAAAGAGCGACGCCAATCTAATATGTCTTTTATCGTTGCCGAAAGATGACAGCTACTTGACGTGACTGTTTGTACATCAGAAACTGCTCTCCAATTCCTTCACAATGCGGCAATTGCTGTCCATGCGACATTTTCGGATCGGACCATCATCCCGAGGGAAGATGACCCTGGGATGGGAACGATGCATGAAATACATCCTATGCTGCCTTAATATTTTCATAATGGTAAGTTATACTTCTCGTGCGATAATTCGGTGGTATACAGTAGTTATGTGCGCAGTACATAAGTGTTCAGTATTTTTTTACGTTGGAATTAGTTGATATTAAGTGTACAAATATTTATATTAATATGTAGCATTATGTGCATGTACAGTACGCTTGTTGTTTGTACAGATTTCGTTAATTTAACGTCTAAAGATTTTAAAAACCAGGTTGCACTGTTATTTCAAGCTAATTCAATGGAGTGTATGTACGTCCTGTACAATTTACAATGCTGGTTTCATGAATTTGTTTTATGTTTCACACTGAATTAACAACCACAGTTGTACACTCTCATTATCAATTTCGTACGTATAACTTTTAGCTTTCACTATGATAAAATTAATGGAATTTCATGAATACTATACTTTCGCTTTCCGCAATAAATTCGCAGGACCAATGTCAGAATTACCGATACCTGCCTTTCGGCCACGACTGCTTTGCTTTTAATAGCGAATTAAGTCGTCTGTGGTATTACAGTTTGATTGTTGTGCCGCTATATCATCTCTTTATTTTTATGTCGACTACCGTCAAGAAGAACCAAGACAGTGAAATACAGTATTATATATATGTACGCTTCGATGTGAAATTTATATGTCATGTACCTGCTGATAGTGATAGATAAGCAAGACAGCACAATATTGTAAAGTGTGTTAACGAATGCTTTGAATTACAGATCGGAGGCTTAACTGTGATCGCTGCTGGGATATGGACAGTTATTGACAAATTGTCTCTGGAAAGTCTCCTTGGGACTAATCTGTACATGAGTGCCGCATGGATACTGATAGGCACTGGATGCGGTGTGATTGTTGTAGCGTTTTTCGGTTGTTTGGGCGCCATAAGGGGCGTGCGATGCATGCTGATGACGGTAAGTGCGTCTGTTTTATTTTCGCTTCTCCACTGTTTTTAAACTGACAATAAGCTGATATGAAATAGCTTTGTTTCTATTTTTGCAGTACTTCGTTATCCTATTTTGCATTTTTATAATTCTTTTATTGGGGGGTATTCTTGGATATGTCTTTCGGGATCAGGTGGAGGAATCGATGCGCCAGCAGATGCACGATTCTATGATTCGTGATTACGGTTACGTGAAGGTCATCGATGATGCCTGGAATACGATGCAGCAAACGGTAAGTCTGGGAATTTGCGTCTCGTTTTAAAAAGTTAAGGCATTGTACGTTAACAGTAGTTAAGCAAGTAGAAGGTTGATTATGTGTCGCTGTGATGCAATTCTGCTATGAGTAGTTTCCGGACGGTTTGAGACGATGAATAACTAAAGCTCGATTTAGCTGAAATCTTTTTGGGATACGTCGGATTAATAATTATTTGCATCGACAGTTGTGTAATTTGATGGTTTATAATTGCAACTGTCTCGTTGCTGGTGAGGTATGAATTAAGAGTAAACGCCTGTGCTACTCGCATTGAAAATTTGTCGTATTGTGGGTGTGTTACCGGTAATATTTGAGTTAAGTCAGTTCAGCCATAATGTACGTTTCATGCATGCAAGCATTGAGAGCCGGATTTATTTTATAACACTGTTTGCAAAAAAAACTGCATAACATGGTCATAGCCAGTGGATATATTTCGTTTACGAAACCAAATTCGGCAGCGATCGACCACGCGACGCATAAAATTTACGGTAGATGGTTTTATTTGTCAATTTATTTCACGACTTGAAGGCGGCGGCATTGATTCCATCATGGTGCAGTTGGCATTCACTTTCTAAACTTTATGCAGTTTTGGTTTTGAAAATTATTGCTCCGATCACTTTTATATCTCCGTATTTTGCCAAGCATTTCAAAATTCTATGAATATTAAATTAGTCTTAGAAAAGAACTCGTAGTTGAGCGGTTTGTTGTTTTACAGTTAGAATGCTGCGCGGTGGACGCTGAATACAATCTAACCAATTGGATACACAGTCGATGGTATGAAAAACAACCAACTCCCAGACCGCTCGTGCCGGAAACCTGCTGCCGGCTGACGAATGATTCCTTTGTAAAGGGATCGGCAGTGTATGTGAACCTTACGGAATGCCAGTCACGCTCTTACAGACGGAAAGATTGGCCCAATCCGGCTTTTGTCAATGTGCAAGTAAGATAAATCTGGTTATTAAAACGGGATGCGCACTGTGTAGTCGAGCGGTTAGTCGCTAACTTGCTATACTAAGGACGCTGGAAATTGATTTAGATGTATGTACTTATCGTAACGCCCTTGTTTTCCAGTGAAATTATATTTGTAGACTTTCACAAAGTATTTTAATATTCTGACGTCAGTTCACACTTTCAAGTTATTTCCAAAATATTCCCGATTTTGTTTAAGTGAACAAAAAAAGTCCATTAGTACTCGAGTATGGTGGGCAAATTTGTTGGTACAGTGACAGTTCAGTTAAAAATCAAAACAAATTCGGTTGCGCTCAAAGCAAAGCGTATGCAAATTATTAAATCGCCTAAAGAGAAAACAAAAGTGCTCCAGTTTGAAGCTCGCTTGCCGCGATAACGTTGTTAAAGCTTTTCTAAAAAAAACAGCGCACTTGACACAATTTGTAATCCGTGTTATCGATCGAAAATCACTTTGAAATTGTCTTCTCATAATAGTACGCCTTTAAGAATTTGACTGTTTGAAGAGAGCTTTTATAACACGCGGTTATTGCATTCTGTCAGCAATAAATCGTTGATAGGGTGCATTACAGCTGCGCAATTTGGACTCTGCTGTTTTTGCTTGTGCGAGTAACTCATAATACAATAATAATGTTTTTGCTTTTTGACAGCCCTGTCTGCAAGAAGCGAAACACGGCGTACAAGAACATGCGGTTATATTAGGAGGCATTGGAATTGCTATTGCCTGCTCGCTGGTAAGTATAAAAACTACGTACTAGAATATTTCGAAGTACTGCGCTCTTCTCACGAGAAGACAAAGGATTTTATGCTTCTTTCGTGAAAACACAGAATTAAGTACAATACCAACTTGCGCAGGTGCATTTGGTATGGAGATAAAATACAGTCGGTTTTTTTTCTTGTAGATTTTTGGGATGATCTTTTCCTTGTGCCTTTTCCGGGAAATTATCTAAAAGACAGCCAGCGTGGAAACTAGTTAGCTGCCTTCGTTGCGGTTGAAGCGTCACTATGAAACCCGATCTCGAACGAAAAACGATACACATATATAAAGAAGGATGTCCTTTTTTCCAGGTTTTCAGTTTCAGTTGTTTTGCGGGATGGGGAATCATATTTTTTGTTGTATTATTTTATGGCGCTTAGTAGTGGTTACTGTACGTAATCGGCATGCAGACATGTTTTTCTTTTTATTGTGATTTTTACATTCCAAAGACCACACTAATTTCGTTAAATCTTGGTTGATTTTCGTTGGCGGGTGCGACTACGGCCGTGTCAAAATGTACACTTTAGATTAGGAAAAAACCCCGCGTACAAAACGTGAAACACGTGTGCGGTGTTTATTTAACGTAGGAGATTATACAACTATACTGCAATCGACAAGCATAACGTTCGCGCTCTTGTAACAGTTGATACCCTAACTAATATGAGTACATCGGAAAAACGTCTTAAGAGAAAGCAAACAACATGTCATCAAGTCGCAACACTATAATGCAGCGTGTGTAGTATACCACATCTTACAATTGTTAAATGAGTCGCCTTTTCACCGGCGATTTTTTGCGATGTATATTAGCAGCCAATTTCGGTTGCGCAATACAGCGGTTAAAGTGGTGCTCTCGCACCTCCTACACGGACGCGGTTAGTCAACATCCTCAGAATATAGGTCAGACCACCAGCTACAAATATTCATAATATGCGAATTATTTTCAGGTGAGCGTTCAAGTATTCGAGGTGAAAACACCACGTTAAGGTAGTTTGGTCTAGGTCTGCTACGACGGCGCTAACCAATTTGCAATTTACATTAACTGCCAAGTGCAGCGCACAGCACCGTGAACAAATGAGTGATGCGCCAAATGGACCATGCCAATGTTAAGCACCGAAAAAATCGAACCCACAATTTATGTACCAAAACAACAGGTGCGAATAGCAGTGTGATATGAAATTCAAGTACAGTATTGTATCGATGTATACACTTCGATTAACAATAGGCAATAGCAATGTGTTTGGAAAACAACGATCAAAAGAAGTCCGTCACGACAAACTGCGTTCCATCTAACTGCACGGTCACTTTGAACTTCAAGAAACTACAGCGACTGCATTCATACAAACGCAAATGCAACCATTAGAAGTTCTTATTATATTAGGAGTCCTTATATTTTATTTGTAATAACGAAACGGGAAGTGCAACAATTAATACCGTCGGCGGTTCCTGTCACGATCGTCTCCACCACCGCCACCGCCATATCGCGATCCATTACGATCTCTGTCGCGGTAACCATTGCGATCATCCCTATCTCTGAATCGATCCTCGCCCCTGCAAACAAGCAACAGCATTCTTCAATACCACAAATGTACATCTAATTATCTTGTTCAGCTATGTGTTCCAAAAACCGCAGCTAAGGCAGGCAGTCATAATATCACTCAAATCCAGTACGAACAAGCCCAACTTTATAACATTATTTCTTCAATCAAATCGTCTAGCTTAGCCGAAAAAATGTCTTTACACGTCGCACCTGTCGCGATGCCCGCCCCTGTCATCTCTCATTGGACCTCCACGATCTCCGTGCCGGTCTCGATCGCCGTACCCTCCTGGACCGCGATTGTCGAAACTCCGATCACCCGGACCCTGGTAAGGGCCCCCACGGTCTCGATTGCGGTCCCGATCACGATCTGACCTCATGGGGCCACCGCCGGCCGGACGCTCATTCTCCATAGATGCCCGTCGCTTATCCGGGTCGGTAGCCCCAGTCTTCCGCCCACCTCGACCTCCACCCAAACGCCGGGGTTTCCAGCCTTTTACGGTGCGCCCACGCTCGACATCCACCACAACGCGCCGATCATCTATCCGCTTCCCATCGGCGTACTTATAAGCCGCTGCAAGAGAAAACAACTGAATCTTTGCCAAAGTTTAACTCCCGCCCGAGCAGGGGAAATCATACATACGAATTTTATTTGATATTATTAACTTGTGCTAATATCGGGCCCAACCGACCCCTCATTAGCACATCCACTTCGCCAGTAATTCTGTCATCTTCTCTGTTGGTTAAGCTGTGGAAAAGCCACGAAATGAAAACAAAAATGTTTCACATTATTCAATGTTCAGTCTATACTTACCCGGCTTACCTGCGTATACTTACGCATTAACAGCCGGGATAGCTTTAAATTACAAACTTCGACATTTACGTCAGTCCGCTGTCACTCCGTTTTCAACCACGATGCACTCGAAAGTAAGTGTTCAAGAAGCGCATACCTCGCTTCGTTAAAACAATATTCACTTAACGTGTTTCTAAAATTCAGCAGTGAAATATAATAAAAAACGAAGAAGCAACACAATCAAAAGTTAAAACTACTTCAAGCGAAAGCTGCAAACTTTATATTTTTTCACTGTTGCAGATAAGGAAACCTTGATAAAGGTCAGAAACATTCCGACCAACAACACTGCATATCCACAAACCTAATCTAAAATGCGCGCCAGTACATGTCACTCCTTTTTTAATCCTTAAGAGAAAGACCTCGCTAATTGTAAACAATTTTGTCATGAATGCCGATGCCTTCCAGCCAGTACGGTAACTGATGTTATCTCACCAATGCACTCATTTCGTGTTAAAAATACCAATGCGAGTCACTCCAATCCATATTAAAATTAAGTTAACCTGTCTTATTTCTCGGGAAAAAACAGTACTTATGATCTTCCAGCAGTTCAAAGACAGGTATGAACAATAAATCGTAAGTGACTTGGTTACTCTGCATCCTCAATCGCCGAAAATTGTAAATACAAAACTAACTTCTAAATAAAACTCTTTTTCTAAAAAAAACACTAAAGTGACATTTCCTACGGAAATAGCTCCGTCAGGCCTGGATGGGAAAGGGAAATAATCGGGATAAACGGGAACTGGATACAAACCACATGGAATACTTCTATAATTATTAGGCTATTAGCCCAACCATTCTAGCGACAGCTATGCTGACTATGCACTATGCCCGTATTAACTGGCATACCGTAAACCACACCCCTAGCTTGTGCCAATCACAGGGGTGTAACATTTTGGTTACAGATTTCCCCATAGACCGTGCAAGAAACAAGCCGTATACACTCTTATACAGAAAGTCTCACTTTCTGTTTTTATTATAGTGTATAGGTCCTGCAACAGTGTGCAGGCCTGACGGAAAAGCTAACAAATGCAAACTAACAAAACCAAAAACCTGCATGGAAAATGCGTCGACGATTTCAGTAAAAAAAACTCACACAATCTAACGAAACCCCTCAAAAACCAGAAACTTCGAATGCAATTACATTACTGAAGTTCTGATTTGAATCGAAGAAAATGCTAGCCACCTAAAATGCGCCGGCTGCTCCTCCTGCATAGTAAGTGTCATCCTCTTCAGTGCGAAAAGGAGGACAAATAATGGAACAATAATATACTTACAATTCATATCTCGTTCATTCTCAAATTCCACAAAACCATACCCTTTGGATTTCCCCGAATTTGGATCGGTAACGATTTTAACCTGCAAAACAAAAGATTTAAGGTAGACTAGTGTTCCGTGCATTAACTCATTTAACTCATCAAACTTGAATCCGCTTTTCTTATTTTTTCTAACCGCTAAACATTTGTACGCAAGACGTTCTGTATAAGCAGATATAGATCTGCTAAAATAAAAACACCTGGCCCGGCTCGTTGTTCCTGACAGTTACATCAGCAGACACTAAGAACATGTTCGCTGAGAAAATACCAGGTTAGTAATAATCTGGATGTTCAACATGACATCAGTAATTTATTATACCACTCACAGAAACAACCGGTCCATACTGCTCGAACTCCCGCTTCAGTTTGCTTTCAGACGTATCGTAATTCTGAAAAGTAGAATTCAAATCAGAAACTTCGATTCTCACAAGAAACAGAACCACTGCACTTCCACGTTCTCGTATAAGCGAGATTCTTACGAGTCTGCCCACAAATAAGGTTTTATACGGATCGGACAAGAATTCCAGGTTTGATGGATTCCCTGAAAAAAAATTTATTTGAGAACCGAAATTATCACAATGTTGCAGAGCTTTCTTCACATTTTGCCAACTCCTGTTCCAGTTTGTATGTCATCATCTCTTGTCGCTCTCGCTTCTGAAAAAGCATAGAGTACAATGCAACGTTAACAGGAAAGAATATTTCTCGGGTACACCCATATTACTGTTACACTCGGCTCAAAACTTCATAGTTCGTTATTTCCCGAGAATAAACAGTGGCCTAATGATCTCGTGGCAACTTTTTAAGCGTTGAGCAAAATATTTCATGCAAACATTTTAACTGATGAGCAAAATATTCAGCGCATTCATCAGCAAACTTTTCCAACACTTCATTAATGACTGCCGCCATCCGGTTTTACCATTCCTGCGACATGGCGATTACTGAAATTCGATTTACAGCAATTTCCAGTCGTAAAAAGAATTAACCATATTATAAATTAGTTTACATCCAAAGGCGCTTCCATTTCGACCACTTTTTCAACTTAACTACAGAAATACGGTAATTGTGGCTCACCTTACGCTCTCGCCGTTCTTCTCGGCTTTCCAAGCGTGCAGGAGGAGGAGCGTCTCTAGGATCCTGCAGACGTAATTCATTACAAGAAATGTACGAATAAAAGGATCTTAAAGAAACAGACTCTCAATCATTAATTAGATTTTACTGTTTGACACTCCTGTTTGTCTTTCAATTACCTCGAACTGATTCAGAAATGCCCCTATTCCATGATATCCAGCGCGTTTCCTTTCTCCCGAAGCTTTATCCAGAGGGGGCAGGTAAGGAATCGGTGGCCCAGGCGCAAAGAGAGCAAGAAGATTTGGAGGCAAAAACGCCGTCATGATAACTGTCGAAAACGTTGTCCGTTTACCAAGTCGAACGGATGCCTGCCATCTTCTAGTTTTACCTAACTTATCACTTACCGTTAGGCTTCCAGTCCGCGACCACCAAGCACGGCTCACAATCCCACCATCAAAATCTCAGTGACAACCGCTGATATCTCAAGCAAAAAGGACTCAGTATAAACAATTTACAGACGGGGAATAACGCTTTCTTTCCTGTTAAGTTCTGACTGAGAAGTCAGAAGTGATATTACAGAATCCCCTTCCCAGATCAATAATCAAACTCACTAAATCGTAACAAAAGTTGATCCCAAGCGTCCGTCAACGTGCTTTCCTCTTCGGTAGTAAGTTAGTAACAGGACTGATTCAAATCTGCTTTTACTCAACCTCGAAGAAACCTGTTGGCAGTGCAATCTATGCAATCACATCCCAAAAACGCAGACAGTCGACAACGAAAAAATAAAAAAAGCAACACAAAATGCGAATCCTGATAATTATCATCCTACGCCGCTGCAAGTAAGTACTTACTACTTACGTATAGGACTGATATCACTGTGAATGACTGCCACTGGTGCATCTTAAAGCACGGTGCTTTAATAGAGGACCGCGAGGCGAACACTGTGCGCGTAGCGCCCCCACGGAGCAGCTCTCTAGTTCTTATGTTTGTCTTTATCATAAACATAGTCATAAATCACCGTAATACCAGCTCTCAGAGGTGGTGAAAATAATTATAAACCACCACAATATTCGAATTTTAAAAATGTTGTTCGTATTTATTGCGTTCTTTTCAACCCGAAAATTTTACGATTTTACGAAATTCCGACCGAGGTACGATAAGTCACGAAAACTCAAATCGACAACACTACGTATCAAATGAAAAATATGTCGTATTTTCTTTTTTAAAAAACGAAGGAAATACGGACTCACGAAAAAAAAAACGAAGGAAATACGGAAATACTTACACTCACTAAGTTACTGTTAGTTCCTTTTTTGTCTTCACAGTGGTTAAAAGCTAAAAACACAAGTTTTATTACGCCTTCAAAATCTACAAACATTACTTACTCTATTATTCCAATTTTCAAGTGCATAATGAAATTTTTCAAAGCACCTTTGGAAATTACCATGGGAGTTGGCCGTTGGGACATTACACGAGTACAGACTAACAGACTCCGTCCTTACGTATTTAGGAAGGGGGTGCACTCGAGCCTTGCGCCAGTTAGAAAATGATCTCAAACCTAACGTAAGGAAAACGAATGGCAAAAAGCCACTTCTCTACGCTTTTCCGAGAAAATTAAACAGCATGCCATGCCCCGTGAGCATTATTTGAATAAAAGAAGCAGTTCTTTAAAAAATTAAAACGTTCGAAAACAATATATTTCTGGTAGGTTAAAAGATCTTTATTTTGTTTTCGTCCGTTCTTCAATCGCAAAACCGTGAGTTCACTTTTGGGCACCTTCCCGACATCAATCGTTATTTTACGCATCACAAGGAAAAAAAATCTCCAAAAATTTATTTCTTCGATTTTGTCGGTTCCTTAACTCCAACGTCTTTAACTTGAACACCTGCAAAAACCATTCTTTCAGTTTTAGAGCTTAAATTCTGACGCTAATTTATAGTAGTGATTCATATAATAGTGTAACTGTAATTTATACTAGTGAATTTGTGAATGAACAATCATACCTGGGGGAAGGGATCCTCTCAGTTTTTCGGCTTTTTCTTTATCCTCCAGCACCAAAGTATACAAAAATCGACTGCATCGTATCTTGAATTTGACGTTGCTCTTGTTTTTTTTTATCTTGACCACTGCAACGGATGCAATTGAAGGTTCAAGGATGTAAAATAGTCCCTTAACTGAGTTAACTGGTATTTGACAAAGGAAGCCGCAATTAACAACAGCGTGATTTTCTCACCTTTGGCATCGGAGCGGCGTGCAAGAAGGAGAAACTCCTTGATATCCTTGACTTGTTTTGGCTGTAACAAATTACATCCCATTTAAATAAATCCACAATTTTATAAAGCAAATGGAGAACCTGCCGCGAACCATCAGACGTTCACAGTTTCTACTCTCACATCAGTATCGTATTTTGCCATTGTAAAGTAGACCACGATGCGTATGTCGGTTAAATTACAGACCGTACCATTTTGGATCCCCTGAGATCCAAGCAGCGGATGTTACAACTAACAAATCAGAAGTATAAAAGAACAAACAGGATCGATCAAACCCAAAACGAACTCAATTCTAAAACAAATTATTTGAACCGGCTCTTGCATCGTAGTCAACCATCGTGGACCCTGATACAGGGAAGTCATGAAATAACAGTGTACGAATGAATGTCAATCCACATATGAAAGACCGTGCTTCGTTTTATGGTTGCACATAATGATTCGCTGTTTGCTGTTTAATATTACCGCATACGACCGTAGAACGTACAAAGTACAAACTGTACGACATGTACTTCGGCATGCGTGCAGGTCTGGATGAAAATGTTGTGTTAAATTCACAGGGTATCAAAAATCTGAAACGTTCAAGAATACGACATACTACGTTCTAATATTACCATCTATTGTTTTTTCAAAGATAGGTTGGCATTTTCAGCTTCCTTCTTTGGGGAATATATGCGGTGGTCAGTAGTTTTGTCCATTTTTAAAAACCAAACATGATTTGAATTTTGACTGCATCTTGCTGTGGTGTCTCCTACGGTATTAGGATCTGCATCCGAAGTTTGGCTGCCAGTGACGTGGAGTTTGTCATTTGTCATTTTGCGCGTTGCTTTTCCGGAAATCAGAACTGACCGTCCGGTGCGTTTGCGAAATTATTCTACCATCTTGCCATTTCTTCTCTGCCTGGAGTTCGGATATCCAGTACTTTCTAGCAGGAAATTTTAGGAAATATAAGTGGTTCCATGACTTCCGTCTGAATCTGCTGGCAGGATGATTCAAGTGACTGATTTCCAAAGTAAGCATTATGTATCATAAATAATGTATTACATTTATGTGCGATAATGTTGTGTTACAGTTAATTTAGATTTATTTGTTGGTTTTGTTTTTTATGCAGAAATCGGGATCGGCCTCGCAGGATTTGGTGTTACGTTCATTTTCTTGGGAATATTATTGTTTTTCGACAAAGGTCTACTAGCAATCGGAAATGTAAGCGGCAAATTTTTATCGGCCGGCTCTTTTTAACGTGTACCGTGTACTGCAGGTTTATGATACTGTAGTTTTAAACTTGTTTTTTGTAGATATTGTTCGTTGTTGGATTGACGTTTGTGATTGGAATAGAACGAACTGTGCGGTTCTTTTTCCAGTTTCAAAAAATAAAAGGAACTGTAGCATTTCTTGGTGGAATAGCGGTAGTGCTTTTCGGGTATCCGAAAATTGGGATGGTGATCGAGTCGTACGGATTCGTATCTTTATTCAGGTACAAGAAAGAGACGATCCCATTTTTTGTTTCTAACAACGACAAAATTTTTTAATTCCTAAACTTTTAGTGGATTTTTCCCTGTTGCGCTCAGTTTTATACGGCGACTTCCGGTCATTGGAACTTTCCTTAATATGCCTGGCATAAGTAGGGTAAGTTTGCAGTTAATCCAAAACGATACTTGAAGTATTAAGAATTCAGCATCGCTGGAAATTCAGCGAAGAATCTAATGCAGATGTCTTTCCAGATAGTGTCGAAATACGCCGACGATTCCAGGACAGCTGTGTAAATAACCAATTCGAGCTTTTGCCAGTATAACTTAATTATTTGCGTTTGTTTTTGTTTTTTGGAATCGGATTACATTGTGAGTTTTTCAGCGTTTTGTAAATTTATGGAGATCTCAAGAATCTGTCTGAGTCTTACCGTCCACCTCGCCCGTATTGCCTTTTTAGGCATACGATTAAGGAGACGAGGACGTGCGATTTGTGGGCAGCATGTTACCGTTTGCCTTCTGGAACTGTTTTGCTGAGATTTCCTGATTTTTTCTCATTTGTTTTCGTAAAGCGTTATAACTACTGAAAAACGAAATGCGGAGAGATACTTTATATCAGATTGGATTATTGGAATAAACAAGATAATCATGTTATTTTCGCTTATGGTTTTCTTGTACAATACGAGAAAGTAATACAGTAACAAAGTGGTAACAATCTGAACAAATGTTCAAGTATAAAATTTCGAATGAAGTTTAATTCAGGACGTTGAGATCACATTTACTGGGCCGCCACCGCGTTTTTGCCGCGGCTGGCAGGCTGATGTGCATTTTTTTCAAACTTGACCACAAGTTTTAAAGGATATGCTGTATTTTTGGCCACGTTACTTTCTCGAAAGAAGTGCAATCAGTGCATCAATTTTTTATGCCAGAAAAATTGATTTTTGTGCGACCACTGACCAGTAAAGTGTCGTACTCGTATGATAAGTTATCTTTACAATAATTATTATTAGTCAATAAACTCAGCACCGCAACTTCCGGTCGACTACGGTGTAGAAGCTGTCCAGGGACGCGTCAGGGACGCGTTCCTAACGCGAAAAGAGCTCCTCGTAGACCTAACGCTATAACGAACCCCACCCACAACCAATGAGCAGGGCTTTACCCATCGAATCCTAATTGCGTATAAGACTTACACAATTTCGTCCGTTTCGATTGCAACCATATATTATACAAGAAACAGCCTCGGCTTCGCCTCCGCGTTTCTTGCGGTACCCAGTCTATGGCCGGTTTAGTCAAATGATTTCGATCACCTATTTAGTTAACATCTTATAATTCTCATTCCTTCAGCGAAACTAAGCTAAAATGCAGATAGGATAAAAAGTGAATTTATGGCTTTTGTGCACTTATGGTTAGACGCATTCACTTTCACACAGAAGGAATTTTGTAAACTTCTCCCTCCAGACCTTAAGTCTACCAGGTACTAAATTTGAAATTTCCACCGAAAGAATGCTTGCAATAGATTCTGGTGGTAGCTCGGTCACTCATTTTCTTAGCGGGCTTCTGGACAGCAATGGAAGTTCGGTCACTTGCTCACCCTGCGGGGATCCATGCTCTGTACAGCAGCGGTAGTTCACTCGTTTACTTAGCGGACTGGGTGCTCTGGACAGCAGAGGTATTTGGGTCACTCGTTCACTTAGCAGGCTGTGTTCTGGACAGTAGTGGTACTTCGGCCACTCGTTCACCTAGCGGGCTGGGTGCTCTAGACAGTTGTGGTACTGCGGTCACCCGTTCACCTAGCGGGCTGTGTGTTCTGGACAGTAGTGGTACTTCGGTCACTCGTTCACCTAGCGGGCTGTGTGCTCTGGACAGTAGTGGTACTTCGGTCACTCGTTCACCTAGCGGGCTGTGTGCTCTGGACAACAGCGGTAGTTCGGTCACTCGTTCACCTAGCGGGCTGTGCGCTCTAGACAGTAGTGGTAGTTCGGTCACAGCGGGGGCTCTGTGAAACTAAGACCGTCTGGCCGGGATTTGGAATATGAGCACTCAGATTACGGAAATGGTTTTTGCTGTTGGAATATGAGCACTCAGATTACGGAAATGGTTTTTGCTGATTCTATACGGGAAAGCTGGGTTCGTGTATCCCATTTTATTTTTTGTGGTAAAGATCTAGAATGTAGACTACCGTATTATTCCGTATTATACGGAATAATTTAAGGACTGTATATGCTGATAATTAATCCCTGTCCTTAGTTTTGCTCGGACTGCAGTGAAAGGTTAGCCCGTTTAAACGATTACTATGGTCAGTTTGGTTTGCAGCTGCCTTCAAATGGCTTTAAACGAGAGTTCTTATTCTTAAGGGAAGTGGGCCGGTACATGGTACCAAATTCGTGTACATACACGAAACCTTACACTTTCGCGCACTCCCAAACACATTATTGACTCGGTTTATGACTTTCTGTAGCCCGAAGATTTGTATACACTGGCGTGAAAACCGTTTGTGCGCGCAACATCCGGTTCGGGAGTTATGGCTTTTAGAAAATTCCAGAAAGTTTAAATGCATTCAGGTGTACCAAAAGTCTCATTATGGACCGATCTCTCAAATTTTAAAATGAATTTTAAACTTTTTGAAACTCATTTTTTAAAATTTGAAAAAATTGCTAGAACAATGGATCGGATCATCGGTGTAAAAACGTTCTTCGTGGTTATGTGCATTTACGTTCAAAATTTGAGGGAGATCGGTCGATAATGAGTCTTTTGGTACACCTGAATGCATTTAAATTTAATTTTGCACGTAAATGCGCATGTCCAGGAAGTTTGTTTTTACATCGATCCAGGCTTCCATGATTTTTTTCAAATTTTAAAATGAATTTTAAACTTTTTGAAACTCATTTTAAAATTTGAAAAAATTGCTAGAACAATGGATCGGATCATCGGTGTAAAATCGTTCTTCGCGGTTATGTGCATTTACGTGCAAAATTTGAGGGAGATCGGTCGATAATGAGACTTTTGGTACACCTGAATGCATTTAAACTTTTTGGAATTTTCTTACAGCCATAACTCCCGAACCGGATGTTGGTACCATGTACCGGCCCACTTCCCTTAAGTCATGTTTTTGAGCGCTTTAAATTGTTAACGATTTATTGAAACAGAGTCATTCACTAGCAGCATCGTTTGTGTTACTGCTATTTGGCTTTTCTAGTTTTGTAGGAGAATAACCTTTATAATTTGTTGATCTAAAAAGGGTATCAGTTTAAATTTACTGGTTTCGTGCTCCATGCAACAGGACTTTGAAATTGTTTTCAAGGTCACCTTGAGCTTTCAGCTCTACCGGCACCGGTGTCTCTGCACGGAAGCCGGAGCGGATAATTACCAAAACAAATGCATGTGACACAGTTTCCAGACATGCTGAATCGAATGGCGTTAGCAGTTTTTCGATTAATTTTTTGGTTTGTTCTGACCAGATCGTACGGGGTTTTCCGTTGTAATATAGATCTTTACCTTGATTATTGCTGCTATTAGCCACTGTAACTGTACATGCATGTGATATTGGATTTTTTGAATCAAAATGTCGTTTTTTCTTTCATGAAACAATTTTGATATGTTGTATTTGCTGATCACTTTTCCGCTGAATTTCACTCACTTATCACCTTTTCGATTTAGAAATTAAAGACACGTTGCCGAAAGTCATGTTGGCAGTTGGTACAGTCCACCGAACGTTTCTTACCGTGCGTTTTTTTAAGCGATATAAAAATCAGAGTTCATACAAGTCATACTGCATCGATTTTTAAAATTTATTATTGCTGTATAACAAAAAAATCTCCAGTGTAAAAATAAAATTGTTTCCAAAAAAGTGGCAAAATACCAAAACTTTTTAGCTCTTTTCTTACAACGGCGCCCCTTTTGTTGTGCGACCGGCTGCATTACGCGATGTACTGTAGGATGTACATAAGGTTGTACTACAGTATGCACTTCAAGTTGTGCTACAGGATGAACATTAGGTTGTACTACAGGCTGCACTTCAGATTGCGCTTCACGTTGTATTCAATATATTTTAAAGGCAATCAATATTATAAGCATTAAAGATTAATACAAAACATCTCTTGCGCTTAATTTACTTTTTAACGTTAACTGCACATTAAGCAGCTTCCGCTGAAAAATGTAATAAATTCTTTTTAAACTTTGATTTGGACAAATTTTTTACCATAATGAATTGGATACGTAGGATTATCATTTTGTTTTATCAAACTGTAGAGGAACCCTTTAAAAATTTACATCCTAAAAATAATGTTAATTTCATAAGGGTTTACAATAAATTGCACAATATGTGGTAATGGCGAGTAAAAACGTATAATTGTGGTAAGCTAATTTGGACTTGCCAAATCCTAAGTTGGGTGCCAAAATATTGGATCAGCAAAACAGAATTGATGTATAACCCAGCTATTGAATTTTTTTTTTGAAGATGATTTTCAAAAAATTGGAAAATGACAAAATGATGAGCCTTCTCGTACAGCACCGCCCGTCAGGTTTCATTACAATAACCGGAATGTTGTACAACAGGTTCCACTACACATTGTACTATAAGATATACATCAGGGCGTACTACAGGATGTACTTCAGGTTGTACTACAAGGTATACTGCAGGGATTATATAATTTATTAAACATTAAAAAGCTACTAAGCGTAAAAGGTACTATAAAAATGCTACAATACTGCGTTTTGTTGATGGTATTAATATTGTAAATTTTCATAATATATGTAATTTATTAGGTTTCCTGTGCATAAATCCAAACCCTGCAGAAAAGTAAGTAGATATTTTAATTTCTGGGTGTGACGCTGTTCTAATGACTCAATTACTTGGTTTTCAGTTAAAGTAAACTATATTTTTTGCCTGATGAAATTAACTTTCCATAAACACGGTTTAACTCACCCGTACTCGTATTGTATTTTATTGAAGGCCCTTATAAAAATAACGTCATTTCTAGGATGCAATTATTAAAGGGCCTCCCTGTAAACTTGATAAATCAAAATGATAAGTCTACGCATCCAATTCCTAATAGTAAAAAATTTGTCCAAATCAAATTTAAAAAATATTTCGTTTTCCAACGGAAGCTAGTAGCTACTTAATCTTTTGTTAACGTTAAAAAGCCAATAAATCGCAAAAGGTTTTCCATAACAATTTTTCTGATGTTTATAATAATTATGGTCTTTTAAAATATATTAAAACAACTCAAAGCGCAATCTGATTTGCAGCCTGTGTTACAACCTAAGGTTCATCATGTAGTACAACCTGAAGTGCATACTGTAGTACAACCTTATGTACATCCTACAGTACATCGCGCAGTGCAGTTGGTAGTACAACAAACATACGCCGCCATAAAAAAACAGCTAAACAGTCTCGGTATTTTGCAACTATTTTTTGGAAACCATTTTATTTTGTAGTGGTGATTTTATTGTACAGCAATAACAAATTTTAAAAAATTGATGCAGTACGACTTGTATGAATTCTGTTACTAGTATTTATATCGCTTATAAAGAAAGCGCACGGTAAGAAACGTTCTGTGCCAGCATGACTTTCTTGTTTCTAAATTGAAAAGGTGATTAATGAAATTCAGCGGAAAGTGATCAGCAAAAACAAATTATCAAAATCTGTTTTATGAAAGAAGAAACGAATTCTGACATCGTTATTCAAAAAATCCAATATCACATGCATGTACAGTTACAGTGGTTAATAGCAGCAATAATATAATAATGGTTGCAATCGAAACTAAGGAAATTGTGTAAGTCTTATACGCAATTAGGGTTCGATGGATAAAGCCCTGCTCATTGGCTGTGGGTGGGAGTTCGTTATAGCGTTAGGTCTACGAGGAGCTGTTTTCGCGTTAGGAACGCGTCTGTCACGGGCCACAGACTGAGCTGTCCTTCGCACAGGAGGCGCTCACATGCACTGTCGTTCTGGCCTTTTTGTCGTTGTGTGGGTCCGCGGTCCAGAACTGCATTATTGTGTTTAAGCACAGTATAATTCCGACGAATAATGAAAAATTAGATTAAATTAGAATACATGCTTTGTTGATTGTTTGTGCATTATGCCTCCCCAGACGAAGAAGCGTCGAGGGGGTCGGGAAGTGGACATCTTTCTTAGTGTTGCCTCGAAGAAATGCGTGGAACAGCTCGACGCTGTGCTGAAGAGGGTCTTTTGCCGTGGTTCCCGAGAATCAGTGATCCTTTGTGGACCTTCTGGTTGCGGAAAATCCACAGTTTTAGAGCAGGCTCTCCAAATATACCGAGATGACAGTGATTTGTGGAATACCTTCCACCATATCAGACTGGATGGCTGGACCCAAGCTGGCGACTCACGGACATGCGTGGATGAAATCCTGCTGCAGGTTGGTGCTGGCAGACAGAAGAACGATGGCGGAATTACTGGTTCTTTGGCCGAAAAATTGCTGGAAATGGGGCGCATTTTGACTGACGTTTCCCAAAAGGAGAACAAATCTGGTTTTCTTATTATTATTGATCAGTTGGAAGGGCTGGCGGAGCAGAAGACCCAGTTAATTCTGTACACTCTTCTGGATCTTGTGTTTACGAGTACGCTTGCTGTTTGTGTGATTGGAATGACGACCGTCCTTGATGTTATGGAACGAATGGAAAAGCGCGTTAGATCAAGATTTTCCAACCGTATCATTAATGTCGGCGCGGAAATATTTGCTGGCTTCGATGAATTTTGTCATGCCTTTGTTTTTCGGGCGTCCTGTTTGATAGACGAACTTGCGGAAAGCGATGGTACGCAGAAGAAGAGCGATGGTACACAGAAGTTTAATTTTCCCTTGCCATGTTTGGCACGTGTTATGTGGTTTTATACCGGATATTTCTGGTTGCGTCAGTGGTTTGGGTGTTTGATAGCGCTAATTGGTAAACTTGTTGCGAAGTGAATCGTTTTATTTTCGTAGTTGCTGAAGCTCTGAAAGAGGGAACCGCTGTGCAGAGCTTAGAGAAAGCCTACGAAGAAAGAGGAGGATGGAATACCATTAATCAGTTGTCACTACTGGTGGCGTCTTTCTGTGAAAATTGTGGCTCCAGGTTCACTGCAAAACATATTGTCCAAGCAGTTAAAATGATCCTCGAAGATCGAACAGTGGATGTTATTAGAGATCTGCCACATCTCCATTTTGCTCTTCTGCTATGTTGCTTTCAGTTCACCAGAACACACCAGACAAGAAATTTTAATTACTGTTTGGTGGAAGAAATCTACAGCGAGGCTACAAAAATGCGGCTGAGGAATTTGAAGTTTGGCCAGCATTTACTGATGCAAGCATTCTCGGATTTGGTAGATTACGGACTTCTGAAGTTCGTCGATCGAGTGAAGGATGAGCCTTGGAAGTACCGATCGGTCACTTTAGGCATGGCACTGCAGCATATCCGTGGCGCTGTTGGTGAAATAGATATGACCAAAATGCCTACTGATTTGAGAGCATTTTGCAGTGAAGTCTTGCGGTAATGTATTTATTTTCGTACTTTTTATTTTCTTTTGTCCTTCCATTTTTGAATTTTGTTAATTTGCTTTCCTGTTAGCATTTACACGAGTATTGCGTATTCAGTTTAATTTCTTTGAAAACATTGACCATCGGCTACTTGACCAAAATTTTTGATTGTTTTTATCGGTTTTAGTGGTAAACCACATTAAAACTAAGTGTGTATTTGTCGTATACTACCGGATTTCATCTGTTCGGATGTTAGCACAAACAAGCTAAAATAGTTGTGAGTTTACTACCATACGAGTATAATACGTACCACATGCATAATATTGTACATGCATAGTTATGTCATGAAAACCCGGGAAACGTCTATGGACGAGAATTATGTTACAGAAATAAAATCTCAGACTTGCTTCAAGACTCATTTCATTTAGAACATCTTTCGCGGGTACACACGAGAGACGGCGCCCCTCCGAAGCGGTTCGGTGTCTATAGTTTCCGCTGGCTTGTTATCTGCACGGCTCAAAGTGCGGACAGGAAAGGTTAAGTCCATCAGTGAAACCCGACTTTGCGCTTCTTCCCGCAACATTCGGTATTCCGCGGCAATCCGGTCCGCTTCATCGTAATTAAAATTCAGCGAATGTCCTGGCGGGAGATAGCTTCCAGGATTGGTCGATGCTAAAACAGCGTAAAAAATATTTTTGGGAGATATGTTTAATAAAGTATCTACCATGTATACCTAGATACCTCTGATTACACTCAAATTCAATTGACTTAAATGATTGTGTTTTACCTGGTTTCACTCCACCATACTCTTCCGCGTCGGTTAAACGCCCTTTCGGTTGTTTGAACGGGGTATTCAAATCAGAAAGCACATCATGCGAACCAATTCCTAGAAAACCAAATCTGTCTCAGCATGGGCGTTGAAGGACAGACAAGGACATGCTTGTCCGCAAGGCTTACACTTTATTAAGGTCGACAAATGGGTTTTAACAAAATTTAAAATTGTCTTGCCTTCGAACAGTTTTTACCCACCTGGTGCTGTTATCGGTCGAAATACCGGAGTCGGGTTAAAGTTAAAACCGATACTTGTGTCCAGTGTACCGAGTTTCGCAGTATCCGGCAAATTTACAGGGTGCATACTCGTGTGTGGGCGCTTTTTACGTGGAATATCAACATTATCTTGTCGACGAGCGACCTTCTGTTTCGATTCGCAGTGCTTCCCTTGGCTGTTTCTTCTATCTGCGTTGCGACTTTCAGGCAAAGGGATAATCTGCACTGGTCCTCGTATAAGTAGTGCAACTTCCCCCGTATCCAGCAAGACCCGCTCTGGCACTGGATTATATGAAATTGCGCACGTATTAAATAGTCAAATTTATAACCAACAGAGACTTTAGTTTCTGTTTTCAACCTGAAGTATTAACAATTAAGGAAGTACCTGCTGCTCCGGATGTTCTTAACGAAGCGGCGACGTGATCTCTCGCCGGTGTAACGTTTTGACCGGGTGAAGGAGCTACGTCCAGAGGAGAAACACCGCCGCTATCCGGTGCTGGAGTCGAAGCAAACTGAATCGCGACAGACCGGGCCAGACTTCCCGAGGAATTTCCCGATCGCGACTGCTCATAGTCCACTGTCTGAACAGCTTCATCCAGCGAAACATGATCCCGAGAAGAGCGGCGCGGCAATCGCAGTGAACGGGCCAAAATCGGACTGGTCCCTCTGGTGACCAATTTATTTTGACTATGGCGACGCTCGGGACGATGTTTTGCCCTCCCCGCGGAAGAATGCCGGTTGGCTTGTGTTGACTGTTGACTGAGATGATCGGATGTGACACTCCGGTGGGAGTACACGTATTCTGTCGAATGCTGCGTATGGACGCGCTCTTTCGACTGGTCACCGTCTGCCCGTTGCGTTTTCGGGGTAGCACCGCCCCGTGCTGGCTCTCTTTCGCTGACCCCTCCGTCACTCGTGGCGTCTGCTTCTAGCCAAGCCAATTCATCCGATGGGTTGCTGAAGGAGACCAGCGTCGGCTCTCGCAGGTAACGTTGAACTGATTCCGGTAGTTTCGGAAAAGACGATGACTGGAAAAACGGAGCCGGTCGCGAAGAAGGGTGGGCTGCATCAAACAGACCCAAACTTGGTCAAAAATAACTTTTTTCCCAAACATTAACATGCTTCAGCAACGCTGCTAATGCGTAGACATTGCAAAAATATAATCATTCTGAACAACCGTTCATACACTACGTTCTACAAGACTACAAATAATGGTCACAAGAGCGCACACGAGAGGTCCAGCCACGTTTCAGTGCGCACAAGAATGGATTGCGAATGACAGACTATCAATAAACTCACGACGCAAAGTCTGATGATTGCGGCAAGGTTCACTGCGGTAATCGTAATTCGTAACTGGCAAATCGAAGAATACTTTCTGGCTTACCTTTCTTGCACAAGACATCTTCGGCTTTTTCTCGGTGCATTCGTTCAGACACCCGCATATTTCCGAAAATTGGTCCCAACTGTAAGGTAACAAAGCTTCCACAGTAATTTTGTAACGGATGCTACCGATGAGTAAGAACAGACGAGAAAACACCGACGAAACAAAGTGCAAGTGTACCCGTGTGGATTTCATTGGCAGCGAAACACGCACAGCCGCATCCTGCCGCTCAATGGCGTCTTGGGATTCTTCACGATGTCGCGATGTCTTCGCATCAGCATGTTGGTCAGCAGTTCGTGCACTTCGATGTTTACGCGGGCGAGATTTTAGTAACACACGATAACCCCGACGATTCGGCCGGCGCGACTGATGTGCGCTCGCCACGTTATCAAGCGGACGGTTGTCCGCTTCCTGATCACCGGAATTACGATGATCGGTTAGGAGACGGCCTTTCCGTTTATCCATCCAGACCAGAATATCAGCAATTAAAATTCCAAGCACGCATGAATGACATCGCCAATCAAATAACAATACAGTATAAAACAATGAAGTCAGATGCAAGAACATAACAATTGTCAACAAGGCTGGTAATACTTCGTAAAGCATGAAATGCTTTCGTACGTAGATATGTGAAGGAAAAAACTGAAGCTGCATAGACCGATTAAATTATTCTAGCACCTACTTAGGGTACAATGCAGGCATATGCAATACCGTCGACTTCTGGAACTAAGAAGACCGGCACGAATGCACGATACCGGTAGATATAATTGTAATAAGCATCTGTACGTATCTATATTTTCAGCAGGTTTACGCTTTGACTTTTTAATTTATTGTACAATACAAGCAATTTTTTTCCAAGCCATGTTTTGCATTTTTTAACAAATAGGCTCACCAGAGTCGTATGCATCGAATAACCAATGTACTGCAAAAACAATGTACCGGTAACCGAAACACCGCAAATCAATTAGAGTAAGAAGCGTCCAGTTCATATTGCGGCATTCATAAACACAGATTTGGGCAGTACTAAAATATCGAAAATTAGAAATTCAGTACTTATTCAAGAAACATAAAAAGGCACAGGGCAATAATTGTTTTTAGTATTTACAGTAAAATATTCGGCCCAACAACATCGTTATTATTAGGGAACGTAATAAAGTCGGAAAGTGTTAAGGCTAATGAGTAATCCGAAGACCAAGAGCTATCCTGAATATATGGCGTATTTTCGGAACCGGCATTCGATGTCAAATCTACAACAAAGGATTTGACAATGGTTTCATTCCCAATTATTTAAGTTTTTCAGTTTTTCGATTCAAATACAGTCGATATGCAAAATAAAGCCGTTAATAGCATATATTGGGTATATATAACCGCGACGAATACAAACGCAAAAGAAATTAAAGTGGAACAAAAGAAAGTGGAGACACAAACGAAAGTGGAAAAATTTTGCTCGTTACCTTGTATTGCTGTACCAGGATTCGCACACGTAGGTCCTGACCAGGACTTCACTGGAGCCGGGGCATGATTCTGTTCATGTTCTAATTCAATTAATTTTGAAATCATTTCCGGGCGCATGGCCAGCCGCGCTCGGAGGTCAAGTATTTTTCTGGCCAGTTGCAGGTTTTCTTGCAGGTACCGGTGCATTAGAATTACCCGTTCACCTTCGGGTATGTCAGAAGATATTGCGACGGACGCCATCGATGACGTTTTAGAACAAGGTCGCGAACGTCGACGAGAACAACTGCCGGCTACGTGTGCAGACAACGTGGAAGCAGGAGAGTCTGCAACCAACAGTTCGGCCAGTTGGGTCCCAGTATTAAGGAGCGCGTGGGAACTTCCGGTGTCACCCGCTTCCATTCTTGTTAACCTAAAGTAGTAATGAAATAAGTATTCACAGAACAATAATCACAAATCGGTTAAAAATACCAAATTAGGGACAGAAACAACACAACAATAATATGGTTCACAAACGAAACTAAGTAGTAAGTGTACAGTAAGAAACGATCAGTGTACAGATATGTTGAAGGAATCGTGAGTTTTGGTTGCTTGGAAATACGAGTGAATTACAATACATCGCAAAGTGCACTCGTTGAGGACTTTATGACCGAAAAGCACAAACTACGAGTACTACGGATACTTACTTACTTACTTTTATTCGGCGGACAACACAACAGCTTTTGTTGGACAAGCAAAGCATGTAAGGTTTAATTTTTACAACATTACTGTATTAAAGTAGTTTGCTAGTTCTTTCACTAAAGCGGCCAACGGAAATGCCTTTGTGCTATTTTTAGCCAGGGAGTATGTACAGTATACCTTTTATTCTGATACGCGTTTACGTATCCTGGATGAGAAATTTATGCACATGCTCCAAACGGCATGGCCGATGGAATAAAACAGAGCCGATGGGCGATTCTGTCACTTACAATCTGGAGCGGACACTGGTAGTAAGTGGATTGTGCAAAAATCCAGTTGTTAGCTGCAACTGTCTAAGCCAATATTCTCACATTATACGACCAGACTTGAAGTCCCTTCGGGGTTGTCTGCTCTTGTGCCGTAATAATACTGTAATGATAATATAATATATATAGAGCTTTATATTAAATACATATAGATATTCTGATGACTAAAAATGCATATCGTATAAATTAAAACTGGCGAAAACCAATTATACTTACGTCAGTTGCGTGTACAAATAAGTGTGCTCTTAATCGTGCCAATCACAAACCATTTTTATTTTCGAGCAGACTCAATGCAGCAGCATCTGCAGAGCATCATAACCATAAAAAATTTGAACAACTGACCAAAAACAGCAGCCTTCAACAATTTTTAGTGTTAGCACATTTGTTTTGCGAAACATCCAAAATTTGTGTCAAAAACAATCAAAAACAACCAAGACTAAAATGATAACGAGTGACATTACACGTAATTGAGTTCAAACCGCTTTTGAAACAGTATCATCTTTCCAGCGTATAACCGAGATTTTTTCTTTGTAAAAACAGGTGAATTTCCCTAAAGTTTGGTCGGTTTTCTTCTTGCTTTTGCCAGCATTCGCGCATGAGATCATAAATTTCTTTGGGACAAAGGTGAGGTTGAGCAAGTAAAATGGTTTTCTTGTCGCCCTGGTAGCATGAACCGGCGTTTTCGATCACTTGTTCATCGTTCAGTTCTTCAAAAGGCTGCTCCCGGGCAAAGGTCAAAATCTCCCACAGTGTCACGGCAAATGACCATACATCCGATTTTGTGGTAAATTTTCCCTGCAACCACAGATTCTGTGTTTTAAATGCAATCCTTTGGATTGACAAAAAAGATACAAAATAAGTAGCATGCAAAATGTTTCGTCCTATCTTAATGGTCGAAAACTACAAGGTACTTTCGACAGCATACAACAAAATGTGTTAAGGTGCAGTGGCGCACAGCTTACCATGAGAATACTTTCCCATGCCATCCAGCGAATAGGTAATATCGCTTTGCCTTCAATTCGGTAGTAATCACAAGCATACAGTCGTCGACTCATTCCGAAGTCAGAAACTTTAATGGTATAATTTTGTCCAACTAAGCAATTCCTTGTAGCCAGATCGCGATGGACATAATTTAGATTTTCCAGATACTTCATACCGGAAGCGATCTGCGAGGCCATGTAAATGAGCGTACCGTAACTGAAAAACAGAACGTACAACATGTGCTGTAGCTGGAACAGTTTCGCCGAGACACATGATTTTGGGCATCATTATATAGAATAATTAAGATTGTGTTAGCACAATTTACTTTAAGGCCTTCTGATGCAATAATCCGGAAGGGCTCTCCGGCATATGCTCTTTGAGGAACTGGTTCAAATCACCACATTCCATGTATTCGACGACCATGCACAATGGGTCTTCCTGGGTGCACACTCCCAGAACTTGAATCAGATTTGGGTCATGCAGTGTGCTGAGGATTTCTATTTCTCGACGGAAATCAGACCTGCAACCAACCTTTTGGTGAATTGAATCTGATTATGGAGTCATGAAAAACATAAACAGAAATAAACTAAGTGAATTTAAAAAACGCGCATTCTAAAATACAGTATAACTAGATTTCATTATTTTAGTCTTACTTTATATCACCCGAAACATCTGAGCGGAGCATTTTCACAGCAACAAGCTTTGCGCTGGGAGACATGGACCGGTACCCCGTTAGTTCATATAAATCCTCCGCGACACAAAGGTGCACCTGTAAGATAGAAATAATCACTTTAGAAAACAAGATCAGGGAGAGGCAAATTAGGTTGCAACAACATGCAACCAGTACTAGTCAAACCATAATTTGTTTCTCATATCTTACTTCGCCGAACTGTCCTTCGCCAATACGCTCAATGAATTTCAAGCAAGAACGCGGTAATTCCGAAACCGTAGACATTGTGGGCTGGACGGAGCATGTCGGAGAATCCATAGAGTTAGTACCGCTGGGGCCTTGCAGACTGAACTGGTTGTAGCAAGGGAGAAGGTGGTTGCCGGCGAAGTTTTTTGGTTTGACATACGGTGATTTCAGTTCTGGTATGGCATACTCTCTTGAGCACAAAGTGTCTAAAATACAATATCACTGATGAAGATCTTCATTTTTAAGGCAACTACAAACCAATAGGTGGAAGTTACAAATTTTTAAGGCAAAACAGCAAAGGTTAAACGCATTATATATGAAAGAAGATTAATGAGTCTCCACATTCTTCAAGCAATCCGTTCTTTTTCAGTTAGAGTTTTGTAAGTGCTGCTGCAAGATTCTACATGTTTGTGTGACATACTATGATATTCCTTAATCAGAGCGGACGAAGGCATTTCGGGAAGAATGCGTTTAAGGATGACTTCGTGCGGCTCATGATAAATGGTATTTTTCTCCGGCTCTTCCGATGCCACTGAACCGTACATATTCCCATTTATTGACCTCAAGGTTTCGACTTGGACGTTTTTCAGATCAAAAGGCAGATTTTTTTCTAACGAGAAGAAATCAGCAGCGGAATGGAATTTGTTGCGATAATGGTGTTTGCGGTGTCGGAAGCGAAGCAGGACAATCTAGGAATCATCAAAAGGAAAGTCAGACCATTAGCGAATGCCAATGCCATTAAGCATGCGGCATCCGTCATGATTCTCACACTTACACCCAATCCGATCAATAGCAGAATGACCATCCCGGATACGATGCCAATAATCAAGCCGACATAATCATCCGTAGTGGTCGGCTGCAGGCGGCTGGACGTGTTGCCCTGCACGGCATACAAATGCGTTTTGTGGCCGTGAACTTCCGGCGCATCTCTACCGCCGAGCAGAAATCCCGACGGATGGAAGATGTGAAAGAACTGACCGTCCAGTGCGGCACTGGAGGTCGTCGACTTGGTCAGTAATTCTGGCGGAGATGCCTCGGGCGTGAAATTGCCGGCTAAGGGTTCTGCGGCATCAAGGGAGACAGATAGCATTTTAAATTTTCATTTCACGCTTCAGTGCTCAAGTGGACAACCGGTCGATTCTTACCCGAATCAAACGACACTTCACTGATCATCATCCAACGGGAGGCAAACGTCAAAATAACCTTTACATAGCGACCAACATGCTGGTTTAATTTAATGCTGACATTTCGAGACTTTTCCATGACGGTGTCAGCGGTGTAAGCATAGTGAACTGGCGCTCCTGTGTAATATTTCCCGCCAATACTGCAACAGAGAAGTGCAGTGAGATAGATATCATCACAAAGCCATTTTAATGAATCCTTTTCTGCTTTGAAAAGTTAACAAGAAAATCAAATAATGCTATCTTTATGACGAAACATTTGGTAGAAAGATTTGTTACAGCAAATGAAACTTAAATATTTAATTATTTATCATATGCGTGCTCTAGGAGTTTTTATAATTATAGTGTTTACTAATTTTTAAAAATTTTTAAATAAGCAGAAGTATTAATCCAATTAGGCTGTCAAACTTAACAGCCACTGCTTTCACTTTCGACATTTCTAGATTTTGCTTATTTAGATGGGTTAAAAAGTTTAGAAATTTAAAGCAGGGCATCAGCGGCAACCTACGAGTTATTCATAGCTGCAAGGCGGTGCTAACGAAGCCTTATTGTGGCTAGATCACAATAGAAAGCTCAATTTTATCAAAGCTTTCAAAGTATCTATCGTTCGTTATCGATTTAAAAATGCCCACTGGCTACTGCACCGCAATTGCCGGCTAGCAATCAAGACGATTAGGTTCCCTATAATCCGTACCTAAAGTATATAGAAGCCGTGGCGAACACTTGTACATCCTTACTGAACAAATTGTTACAGTAAAGATACATGGCGGAGAATTTGCGGGGCACATCAAATTTAAATGTCAGATCAATTTTGCTGCCGCGATGTGAGTCGTTCTTCCAGCCCACCCAGTCGGATGCTTTCTGTCCAGCCACTGTCGTCCCGCGGAAATTATCAGCGCCCAGTCGTCCATCCGTCAGCTGACCCATGCCCAGATACAAATGGTTACTCTCGATCACGCCATCATACGACCAGTCGTATAGCTGCACATCCGGCGCCTTGGATTCGCCTTGCGGCATAGAATACCACAGGATTCCTTCCCGCCACGGACATCCAAACAATTCCACCCGCATGCACACTGTCCGGGCATAGACACTCTGCGGGATGAAGCGGATCTTGCGAGCGATGATGGGCGGATCGAGTTTCTGATTATTACGCACGTAGGTGTTGGTATTCCCGCGGAAGAGCTTCTCGCCTTTCCGGTTGCGAAAGGTTATCCATTCGCTGTCCGGTTCGCGCTGGTATTCCAGCATAAATTGTTCGGCAAATTCCTGACCTTGTCCGTTGCCAAAGCGCCCCTGCGTTTCTACACTGCTGACCACGTGCAGCTGTAAAAGGTCCACTTCCAAAAACTCATAAACATCCTTTTTCACTTGTTGTCGTGGACACCAGGCACCGCCTCCGTCTTCATGTCCCACTCTGCCGAAACAGAAAAACGCATTATGCCATTAGTTACTTCCTGCTCCAAAAACACAGAACAGATCAAAAGAGACTGTGCATTACTTCTGCACAAGTGATTGTTTCTACCTATCGCAATTCAAAAACATGATTAAACTTATATGTTTTTTTGCAAATATACAGACAGAATTGATTCATTAATTTTGAATTTGTATGAGACGCGACAAGAGCCACGCGATCCGCGTCGGTAATCGTAATCAGGCAACTTTCGCACAGGATCGTATTACGGCGTTTGAATAGCGCTGTGTGATGACTGACCTGTGGAGTGATCTGCACATGTGGGTTAATGGTGCAATATGAGATTTTATTGTAAAATTTAATATTCACTTTATTGCTGATGGTGAAACGACAAGTTTAAAACAGAGCATTAGATTGTCAGCTTGTTTTGAGCATCTCTGGGAGTTTGTGCCGGCACATGCAGCACCGGCTAGAGATGAGAAATTCTTGGCTTCCTGCTGTGCTTTAGAAAGCGTCAGCGAATATTTCAAGCATACACTGCTGATAGAGTCGAGAAGGGGGCCATTGGGAAACAATCAATACACATGGCAGCAGACTCACAAACCTACTTTTTCCAGTCCTCCCACTTTGGCCGGTGCCGGATTAATTGAATTTTTAAAGCGCGAAAAACGAAGCAACTTTTAATGGATGATAAATGACATGTCCCACTGTTAACTGCATTGAAAATGGACTAATGTCGTCCGTAATAGGATCTTCAGACTATCAATCCGCCGCCTATGATCATGACCGGCACACAATTCGCCTGTATAGGAGCTGGATGTATGGGCAGTCAGGACAATCTGGACAGCTTTGTGATCTGTGAATATCCTGCATCTGACTACTTTCACTTCTCCTTCTTTCTAACGAGCTCTGGCTTCGCATCATCAAAAGGATATGATAAGTATTCAGACCGGAACGTAAAATGCAAATTGGCAAAACGGAAAATATCCTACTACTCGACACAGAAAAGCCTGTTAGGGCGGTACAAAACACTTTAAGAACACCGAAATTGAATTAATTTTAGTCTCCTCATTTAAACGTACTACAAGTATAGTGCGGTTTCTAAAACTGTGCTGCAGCGCATCGCTAAAATTAATATACAAAAGTTTATGCAAAAACAATACTTCTATCGCTGTAGTCAAGTATTTTTTTATTAAATACTACGGTAAAATCACACAATTTTCTTATACCAGTGTGTTTGTTAACGAGGTGTATCACTGTATGACGTTGTATATAGCTAGCAGGACCATAGGCTATGCGCGCTGCTAGTGCAAGGTTGGGAGTAGAGGTCCATGTTAAATTAACATTTACAAGTTAAATTAACATCTGCGCATACTTCCGGATTAAATTTGCTGACAAAATCCAGGATCCAGCAAATTCTGTTTAAAGTTGCATACCAGAAAACCTACCAACTTACCGCTTTGCTGCCCAAGTTTGGCTTACAATAATACTCGGGCCTGTGTACCACTAGTCTCTAGCATTGTAGACAAGCGAGTGTCAGTAGCGAGCCGCTACTTGAACATCCGGTAATGCATCGGTATTCCCGTATTTTACCTGGCGTTTTGTGGACCAACACTGGCATCGTCATAGGATGAGCTGGCTTTAATTTGATCATCAGCAATCAATTCACTCTCCATTCCCAACGGGGCCACACATTCATCTGCCAAACGCAACATCTAATTAGATCACCTTTAAATTAGTGGGTTCTTTTAGGTTTTCGCTCCAGCGTGCTAATTAATAGTTTGCATTTCAATTCAGTCACTGATAGGTTTCATGATATATCATTGACGAAACGTCAAATTGGTTTTTATGATCTTAAACGATTTCAGCACGAAAACGCCATCAAACAAACAATGTTGGACAAAAGCTGCAGCCTCGGAACTGACTTCCGGCGAGGGTAACGCACGAGATTGCCGCAGAAAACGTTTGCCTGCTTCCTTTTTAATGGGCGCAACATCCTCTCCTATATTCGCACGGAATATTTTCTTTTTTATTTAACATCGAACAGTAAAGTGTGCAACGAGAATAGCCAGGAAACAGTTTACAAGAACAACTATACATCATTAACAACGCATTAACAATTTATTTCTTGCATGTTAACCTTATACTGCAAAAGGGCAACGACGTATAACTCCTATTGTATGGAACTGACCACATATCGCAAGTGACTCAGTACTCAGTCATATAATATGGGATACTACTCGCTCCCTTTAACAAGTGCAACATTTTACTGTATTCTTTTATTTTCCACAAGCGCCGGTGTGCGGCACTATTGGCACGCTAATTTTGTTGGAAACAAAATATAGCGCAACAACCAACAGAAAAAAATGTCATCTGCGATTGCGTAAGTTGATCCCAACCAGCAATCATTTGCCTTTTTTAAAAAAGAAGGTCCCCTAGGTTATTCATTCTTCAATGCGAATTTGAATTGGTTACTCAGATCTTTTTTCCCAAGCTGCTAATTTTGATAGAACGTCTGGTTGCCTGGAAGACAATAATTTTTTCTGGGGGCTTTTCCTAATCCTTAGTGGCAGGACCTCAATCAGGACATGGTCAAGATTAGGCTATTCATGCTGATTTGTATTCAGTTCAAGTTTCCGAGCCGCGTTACGCTGGGAGGGAAAGTGCCAAAACTTATATTATCATGCAAACACCATATATCGCTGCATCTCCTGGATGATTGGATCGATACGTTGGTTGAAATACATAAAACGAGACTGGAAAAACACAGCAAATGCATGTTGCAATTCTGATGCATAGCGCTACGTTCAAAGGCAGAAGTTCATAATCGTATAGCAAAAACTGAAACAGTTTTTAAAATGCACTCATAATTATTATTTGGTATACTCGTTTGATTCCAGTTTTATCTGCACGCGGCATGAAATGTACTGTCAAAACAGTACCATTCATTAATTTTCTTGTCTGATGGCATAAACAGCTGCCTGAGCAGCAGCAAGCTTTGATGACTGCTCTGGTTACACAGCACAATATATTCTGATTAAAACACTGATTTAATCCCGATAAAACACAATCAGCGCACATTAGAATCAACAGGAAGAGCGGAGAACAATCGTGCACGGAAGTGGCTGCCGCCGTCCTCACAAATGATCTGACCTAATTTCCTTAATATATCGATCTGTGTGCGTAACATCTTCCCCGCGTGCGAATAATCCACCATAAACAACCTCATCGGATTACCGCCTGCCAAATAGTCGAGACACATCCTTTGATAAGTTCATAATTCAGCTACTATTAAGGCTGCTTTATTTGGTCTCTGCGCAATATTGTATTAATAACTAATCAGGCTTTGCACTGGTCAGTATGGCACAATCTATGAGAAAATCTCTTTTGCGAGCATAATTACAGAATCATGCACCGTGCTTATGATTTAAAAGTTATAAAATATAATAGAATACGGTGAATTACTTTTGTTTATACCAACCACATTATATAGTTTGATACTGATGACTTACGATATATATATTGTGATAATAGTACTGCATTAATATATATGCACCGTTAGCTGTTCCGACTCAAACTTTTGAACAATTATTATTTGATATTTACTTATAGAAATATCGTACTGAAAATAGTCCTAACATTATTATACATGCATATGAAGTTTGCCAACCTTCAAGAGCAAGGGAATGCTCCGTATCCCAATGTTTTATTTGATTTACATAAGCTGTGTTCCCTCTTGTTAGCATTTTAACCTTTGAAGTCGATATCGATAACGACATCTTAACCGTAGAGAGCAAAAATATTAGCCAGCCGATCCAGCTGCGGAACACTACCACCAGTAGTCAAGGAAAACAAATCTGAGGTGGTCATCATCTGTCATTTTCAAACATGTCACGGGGCTTATAGATTACATTTGCAATTTTGAAAACGATAAACGATGCTCCTTCTAAATAGACCCGAACATTTATCCATACCCAAAAACATTTCATGAGTTCGTGCTCTTGACAGATTTTTCCGACCAGTGAAAAATAAACCAACCGCCGCACACAGACACAGATACACACAGGTTGTTTGTGCGATGAATTTAAGCTGCATATCCGGTCGACGCCGGGCAGCTCATTAGGTATTATCCGTATTAATGCGCTGTCGAGCTTGTTTTCTACTCCCGCCGTTTAAAATTGACATAATACGAGTACCAATTCGAGGCAAACCGCACGCGCCACGCTGCACTGACTGTATGCTTCCGCTCGAATCAGCTCGACATTGACTGACCAAACTGTCAAAATGAAGTAAGTGCAAGACCACTTGCTCATTGACGGAACAAACAGGGTCATGTTTTATGTACGATTGTACGAAATTGTTGGTGAATTTCAAATTTTCTCCACAAGAGCTGTTGAGAATAGCAAACCATCTGCATCCCGTCTGCTTTGTACATTCTCCCAGCTACCGGCAAAGGGACACTTCACAAATGGATTTAAATTATCTGACAGGGCGCCTGCACAACACCTCGTGACGAAGAATGCCCATACTCTATTGCATAGCCACCGCGAGAATCACCCGCATCCTGGTTTTCGCTATGCTAATTCTTCAGAATAACGGCGTGAGCAACTCATGCTTGATTAGAAACACTTTATGTACTGTGTATTATATAAAAAATCAGAACAAGAAACAGTTAATAACGAGAACCTTTTTTTTGCAAATATGGCCATAAAATAACAGTAAATACATATAATAACAGTAAATACATAAATAACAGTAAATACATATAAATACAGTAATAACAGTAAATACATATATGCGTCGCACATGCAGCTAGAAGGCACATATCTTTAACATCAGTCTAGACGATCAGGAATCAGGAATCAGTTACACACACTCATAGCTCACTGATTACGTTTAAACCTGCTGCAGCTAGAATAAAGTTATTAAATTAACTACCGTAACAATATTGTCCACAGACAATATTTATGTGAAAGACTGCACTTTCTATCGAAACCAAAAACATGTTCAATCATCAAAGGAAATAATATGGAGAAAGCATAAGTGTGTGAGAAGTGCGTAATCCAATTACCGTCAAGTGACTGCAATATTGAGAAAAAGTCAAAACAGAAGTATTTAATTTCGCTGGCATCCATTGCAGCGGTGATAAAAGATTTTCAAAGTGCAAATCTGGCTGACCAAAGCCGGCAAGTCACCACAGTTCACAGAAAATTGATGGTAGCAGCGGCTCAGCAGTGGTCACAACTGCATATAAATAAGTTTAGTTGGACTGTAGTTGCACGCACACAAGCAAATCCTATGTGCTCCGCTCGAACAGACGAACCTGATGAAGCACATAATTTAATTTTCTGACACTGTTTACATCGTCTATTATCTATTAGCCCATGTACAGACCCCAATGGCTGAGTATTCAAATAATCAACAAAACTTTTATAAAGAACGCAGCTATTCCACTCTGCTCATGTTCATTACGGCATGACCGAGCAAACAAATTGAATCGTGTTCATGTCTATTGTCAGCCGGCATGATATCAGGCGGACTAGGGTCTAAACAAGAAAATCAAGTTAACTCGCACTCGCTTCATTGCATAAGTCACCAGCAGTAATTGTTAATTAAATCTGTCACCAGCAGAAATTAATCTCAAAATTCAATCGTTTTCTAAAGAATCGAAAATCCCTTTTCATATTTCCTAGTCTCCTGACGATCCCTGCTAATAACAGCGGGAAAATTGCATTAAGAAGATTATAGGACTCGGAAATGGAATAACATGTACCACAACCGAATCGAATGCTAATCAAATTATTTTAACTGCATTATTCACAATTGAAATTTAAAAACAAACCAAAAATAAAAATTTATATGAACAGATAGTAGAATAGTTGTTTCAGTTCTGAACACGCAAACGGTGAACATTTGTTTTTGAAGAGTGCACTTACCATAGTTGAGAGCTAAGACGACAATATCCGTTGCAATGAAACAAAGTAATGCCAACGCATTTGTCCGAATCAGTTTGCCGGTTAAAGCCATAATGCAGCTACTTAGCGATCACAAGCCTGCAAAGAAAAACGGGAACCATGATGTTAATAATGCGTCCTTATTTATGCGATGGTCAGTCAAAATCGACCAAAGCGTAACTATAACAGCAGCATCAGGAAATCCTGATGTGTGTGGTTATTCCGATATCGGTGCTTTTATGCCTGATGATGCCATTTCAGAACCATCAAAACAAAAGAATAATTTAGTTTCGAATTATCAAAAGTGCACCCTGTAATAAATGGATGTTATGGACTTATGCAGAAAATCGACTCTCATATTATTCTCACCCCCTTTAACTTGCCGGCTGTCTATGTAACGCATAACACGCCACGAATGTCCACATCGCCAACAGGGAATTCATCGCTATCGTTTTTAATGAGGATTGATTTCTTGCATAAATTTCATGGTTTTAACATTACAAACTTATTTAGATCTAACAATACGAGTATAAACTATACATACATTATATTCTCAGAACACAGACGACGCATAATACTGTACCGCAATGTGAGCGTCGACGATTATGGCAGCGGATAAAATGCACCATGACCGATTATTGGACATCAGTACCAGATGCCTTCACATTTGATGCATATGTTGCCATCAGTGCGCCGAAAGTGAATGATATCCCGTCATGAACCAAAGTGGTTGAATATAAGTACATACACCGTCTATGTCCGTGGAGTTGAAATATTTCATTCAGCTCGTGTGGATCGCGAATCTCGTTGGCACGACATAAAATAAAAACTACCCTGTGCTGCTGCGCAGCCATAATCTACATAGATCGGCGTGCAGTCCAGTGATGCGTTTGAAATCACGCAATAATTCGCAGCCCGAACGACACCGCTCTCTTTAAAATACCGTGCCGCGCAAAGGAGATTGTGTTCCCCACATGAAAAACGAGCACGCGAAATCGAATTCCTACCGTGAAGTTTAAACTATGATTTTGCAGATATACAGTACATTCAGGGATCGCTATGCAAAATTCCCGAAAACAAAAAATTATTATATGTTGTTAAAAGAAAGGATACTTTTAACTTTTAATGTTGACCGTTTATTGTATTGTTTTAATCTTATCAGATCGTTTTACAGCACACTAAAAACTATAAGAAACGGAAGCCAACAGATTTATGGCAATATAGCAACTGAAAAAGTATTATAAACCGAGCGAAATCTTGAAACTGTTTCCACGAATACCATGCACCATATTAATTAATACTGATAAAATTCAAACCAATGGTTCCTGGTCACTTACAATGTACAGTAATTTAAAATGGCTAAAATACACGGCTCGCATTCATTGTAGTGTTTTTGGCCTACATAAGTGATAACCGCGCCTGTATCTTTATTCTCACGAGCTTGATCGGACCTGCTGTCAGTCCTATACAAGTATTAATTTGTTTTACGTAGATTACTCATATATGGCATCTAAGAAAAACTATGGCATAAATTATAGCATTTGCGAGAAGAAATAAATGAATATATAGATATTTGAACCTACTTAAGCGCATTTTCTTATGTTCGTACCAGCAATACGGGACAGTACTGCTAAACGCGATGTCGTCCGCATTAAGAAACTAGATACGTTCAACAGTAGTGATATTGGTTTGCTCGTAACTGTTTACATCATCCTGCTTGCGCCCGGACATTCCCGACCCGGCAGAGTTAATCAAAGTTCGGAAGTTCTGCTGAATAAGGAGGATAAGAAAGAGATGGTGTTAGATAATCTGCGGGAGGGTCAGAAACATAATAACCCACTTGCAATCGTAATCCGCTTCAGTCTGACGCGTCGGTATCCTGCATCATGCATTATCCCACTATAGCACTCCCGATTCTCACGCTTCCCTTTAATCAGAATAACTACGGCTCCATGCAAAAACAGCTGGCTGGGAAACATTCTTTGCAGTAGTTAGATACCGTTCTACTACACATTTCCTATTCGACAACAAAAACCGTTCTTTTAAAGCAGGAAAGCATTCTGTTCTAACTACAAATATAACATCCCAAAAATTTAGCGAACACCCACTAGTAAGTGGGTCTGCAATTTCTCTTGTTATAGTGGGTGGGTTATAGTACTCTTCAACGGCAAAAAAAATTATGTTTAAAATATTTCTTTTGCGTTAGCACCAATATGGTGACGATAGAAGGATTATGGGTTAAAATTTCATCTAATGCCTTTAATTCGCTGGGATTACCAAGTTACTGTATATTCAAGTGCATCGCGCATTTCCTTGATGCTACCGTAGCGGTTGTAGCTATAGCTTACTATAGTATGTACAGTCAGTACAGAATACTGTACTATGAAATACGTATGCAGTTAACGCTACCGGGAAAGGTTTTTCCCATGATTAACACTACGTGAGAAACAACACAATTATAGTAAGTATATTGTAGTATCAAGGTATATCTATATGTCTATCTCTTATATTTATATACCTTGGTAGTGTATAACGTTACTGTACGTGCAATGCAGTAGCTTAACTGCCTCGCAAGACATTAGATTTATTAGACAGTAGACATTAGATTAATTACACATTAGTTAATTAGTTAAAAGTCGGTTTAATTTGCAGACAATTCTAGGAAAAATACCTGTAACGCGTTTGATCCACAAAATCTTGGCATGACCAGGTCAAATATGAGCTATCTATGAGACAGATTACACACTTCTGGATAACAGCAAGGTAGGTAGCCATCGCCGATTAATAATCGCCTGATATCGATTCGGTATACTAAAATATTATAATTATATGGAATTTATTGTAAGGTATAAACATCGCACTCCTGATATATAATCTTCGAACTGGTATAAATATAAAGTCTCTGCTCTACGCTGACAAGCTTGCAGCTAGTAAGATATCCGGAATGTCGCTGCATAACGTGCGGGAACACGCTTCGGGAAGAGAGGATTTTGTACGTATGGAAAATGGTGGCACTATGTATACAGATAGTACGTTAGCTCATACCACAACAAGTGCGTACCGCTACCCGGTGCGGGAAGAGATTTTCCCCCTTTCAGACAGACCCAAGCGGAAGTGAAACCTAGATTTACATATGTTCATCCCGCTGGGCCAGTGACGTGCCAGAACTGTAAATGTGCGTTCTTTCTAGCATACGTAGCATTCGAAGTACTGTAACTTTAAAACTGGACTTGCTGTTTGAAGCAAATAGCGTTTTGAGGTACGTAATAGTAACTACGTACCAGTGAAAGAGAAAAGATGTTTGTTATAATATTGTAATAGGCTTCTCCCGGGAGAAAGTGTTCAAAAATCGTATGAAACCTGTACAGCTTCTTGCTGCATATTAATGATCAATTTATATATTTTTAATTTTTTATGGAATTTTTACAATAAATTTATTTATGTACCACATTTTCAAACGCTTTGTAATTTCCTACAACTTTAGGTGTGCTTGTACACTTGTGTATTTTGTGTAAAGGGTACCATACGAAACTGTGTAAGTACCCATAGAAAGCTCAAGTGTCCACGGCAGCTCAATAACAAAAAAGCAAACACGTTATCACATTTTCTTGACAAGTTGAATGAAACAACTTTCTCTATTCAACTCAAAGTAGGCCACCTAGTTTAACATTCAATAAATACAGTGGTGTAAGTCGTCTGCGGCAACGGGATATCAATACAGGCAATATTGGATGATCTTTAGTGCTCCCGTATATATAGTCAACTGTACGCTGTTTATGAATTGCTTTACGTTCGTGCGCACTCTTTAAAACGTTATTCAAATGTCAACAGCATTTTCAAAAACTGTGTTTTGGTTTTTCGTCTTATACTCGTATGCGGTAAAGCATCAGAGTACTGGCATTACGCACAACGTTTCGTGGGTCACTTTTGTGAAAGCGCTCGTAATTAACTGCCACAGAAAGTCAGAAACTACAGCCTATATATTGTGCTGATAAATTCCCCTATCGTAAATGATTAATTTTGCAATAAAAATTAACAGTATTATGTATAGCCTAAAAATCCATACTTTAGTACTGTAAGTACGGGTAAAACTCCCATCAATCTCGGAGTCGCGTATGGTAAAAGTGGATAATCGACAAGAAAAAAAGCAGGATTTGAAGGCATTAGTTTGGCAGCAGCTGAGTTATATGCCATTTCACACTATTCTCTGAAGCTGGCTATAACAGAAAACCTTTTAAGGTTCTTTCTAAAATCGATGCGGCTATTAATTGCCGGTTGAGCAGAACTCCCAGTTGCACTCCAGTCTTTCCAATTAAAGCATGCCCGATTGCATCCTGACACTTTTCTCTCTATCTGTTTGACCTCACTGAAGCAAATGCAGCTCTTTGGGCATCCCATGTGCATTTTCATCTAGCTAATTAAAAGTTTTCAAAACTAAACATTTCGTACGTACAATGAATGTAATCCAGAGTGTTGCATATAAGTTCGGATAAATTAAGAGAAAATTTTATCTTTAATTCGGTACGGTGAGACGTTCTACTCTGCTTGTAGGCTTTAACAGAGTCTCGTGCAGTAACGGTGCCACAGCCAGCTGACGCTCAGGATGCGTGACTTTAGAAAACATCAAAGCATTGGCACTTATAATTGTTACGTCACCAATAAAAACGTAGCGCATAATTAAGGCAGACTTAAGCCATTGTAACACTTTACCGTGATTTTCATGCAGTGTTACTATATAAGGGCGTTTTCTGAATGAAGATTTGCCCATTTGTGCCTTGAAATGTCGTCTGCCGGTTGGCCATTGTATACAATGGCCAACCGCCCTTTGTAGTACTCCTATGTAAATTGCACAACGAGTTCTCCTCATTGTTTCAACTCAATTTAAGAGAACGAACATCTGCGCATTCCAGTCTTTAGAAAGGCTATTCATGCGATTGCCCAAAACCCATTTCTGGCCATATGCTCGTTAAAAGTCGCGCCGACCATTTACATGTAATTACACACTTAGTGTAATGAAGTTGCGGTTTATTATTCAATTTAATTCTGTAACGCAACGAACTGATCTTTTCCGTTTTGATGTATATATTTTTTATTGTACTTTCTTATTAATGTGTTCGGTAAGAACGAATTCGTGCACCTAAAAAAATTGCATTGTAGTGATTGTACAGAATACGTTTTAACAATACAGAATAATAACCGTATAGGAGACTTTAGTACGGTGCAAGAAAGACACATTTTACGTTTTGTACTGTACCTGCCGGCTGCACCATTGCGGTTTTGACATCTGCACCGATATTGCAGAAACCACCGGTCAGACTACTTAAATGAATGTTGTGACTACACATAAATACAAAAATCTCTTGAGAAAATAGTTTAGTTTTGCTTTAAAATTTTAATTATTGGTATTAGAATAATGTTTTGATTGTCAGGACAATAAACTGACTCGATACCAGCTTACTCCACCGGCATCTGGCTTACAAGATGTACACGATCACGTTTCTAAAGAGCCCCTTGAGTTTCCTACGAACTGTCGAGATAGCGAAGCACTTCAGAACAGCATCAGCAAGAATAGAATTCATTTAACAATGCCATGAATTATTAATTAAAGGTTTTAGTTTCGCACACTCCAAACCCTTGACTTAAACAATAAACACCTGCCAGGCAGTTCTACAGACAATGTTCGTCACTTTGATTGGATACTGTAATAATCAGGAGCTGAACAGTGTACTGTATGATTCGACTAGGCCAATTTTGTTCTAAAATTTTAAATGTATTTTTTTATTACCATCGCACTATTAAAGCTGTTGTAGAAATAGAATGCCTCACAAGTGTTAAAGGGTGTGCAAAATCTTTGTGTTAAAACAAGACAGACAAGATAGGTCCGTTCAGTATCTTTCGACATTTTAAGATGCACTTCAAAGAATAAT